GCTAAGGCTAGCAGTTCTAGAATGTAGGGCAGTAATAGGCGTAGGCGGTCTCGCTAGGTTATCTACACGAGCTTTAGTAGTAGCTTAAGGGGATAGAGTAGAGGCGCAGGGGATCTGTACAGCGGGGCTTGCGGCAGCAGCGAGGTAAGATTTCTTAATCTTAAGCTAGGTAATCTGCTTCTAGTTAGCGGCGAGTTGCTCCTTCTAGTAGCGGATAATTCTATCGCGCTTAATAACAGAGGTCTAGAGCTCTTACTTAGTAGTGCGCGCGTTGCTTAGGGAGCCCTTAAGACTCTACAGGTACTAGTAGTTATTGCGCAGGTACAGCAGCTAGGCATTAGGGTCTCTCTGCACCTTAGCTATAAGGGCTTTAGCTAAGTCTAGGGTTGCAGGAGGTTTAGGGCGATTTATAGCGGGCCTTGCAGGGACAGGCACCTATAGATAGGAGCTACGTAATGTCACAAGGTTAGCAGGCAGGGAAGGTAGGTGCACGTGATTAGTATATTTACTACGATATTGCTAATAGTACGGGGTTAGGCTAAGACAAGGACGTAACTTAAGGAGCGTACAACAGGGCGCGTTCGCGCAGGAATTTTAGCGATCGCGCAGCTGCTCGCTTAGCAGCTTGGCGCGCTCTAATAGGCTATCTAGGTTAGCGCCGTAACATTACTAGTATAGCTCGTGGCAGAGAAGTTAGCAAGATGTGTAATCTTATTCTAGTTTTAGGCACAGGTAAGGAGTGTTAAACTCGAAACAAATATAAAGCTATCCTTGCAAAAGAGTAAGCTAATGATTGCTTTATAGTAGGAGACGTGTGTACTAAGGAGGAAATTAGATAGATAGTGGTCGATAATGATGATAAGGGTCCTCTCTGCTCCTTAGGCCTCTTATGTTAAGGAGAAGCCCTTCTTCTTGTAGTCTTTGTAGTTAAACATTAGATAAGAACGCACTAGGGAACCCTGTGCACTAGCACAATAGGATATAGAAAGAAATCTTAATAGACTTTATTAAAGGGCTACTAAAAAGTAAAGGTATAACTTGCCTTCTAGTTATTACTAACCAACTAAGTAAAGGGTCTATCTTTATCTTATTACTAGATATTAGAATAGAAATAGTAGTCTAAGCGTTTATTAGATAAGTAGTAGCTTACTACTAGTTACCTAATATAATTACATCTAATAAAGGTAGATAGTTTTGTTAGTACCCTATAGGAACGCCTTTATAAAATCCCTAAGATTAACTAATAGCTTTCTACTTCCCTCTACTTATAGACTAATAGAGTAATAGAACAAATAAATAGTGTATAGGAAGTATATATCTAAGCGTTTATTAGCTAGTTACAAGAGGATTAGGTAAAGTACTGCCCTATAGCTTAGACTGCTATTAATAGGAGAGATGTAACATTAATAGGAGTTGCTCTATCTTTCCTCTAATATAAGTACAACGTAGATCTTCTCTAGCTAGACACCCTACTAGGAGCTAAAAAGAAACAGTACACTACGAAAGAACGTTTAGACTATAATAAGGCTAAGGCTATTATAGCTAGATTCTAAGACATGTTTAACTTAGTATAAGTAAGTATAGCTAAAGCGTAAGCTAAATAGAAGACGTAGACTAATAGGCACTAGAAGGAAGTATAGAGTTATAGGGTAGGTAATAAGGTTTAGCTAAAACTTAATAAGTAATACTAAATAGGCTGTCTGTTATAAAAACTAGACTAGAAAAGCGCTAAATATATAGTAATTAAAGTAATTAACAGCTATTCAGTTAAGCTAAATACCTTAAAAGGCTATTACCCTGTTTTCTATATTAACAGATTACGCCTAGCAAACTCTAACTTACTACCTAGCTAGGTTTAGGATAACTACTAGCTACTACTGCTAAAGATTAATAGTAAGGACGAGTAGGTAGTAGAGGAGATCTTAGAAGAGCAACTACAACGCTATAGACGTAGATAGAAACTATACTTTAACGTTAAGTAGAAAGGATACTACTAAACGACCCTTAAACTAGTAGAAATCTGTAACACGGGATAGCAGAGGTTGAACGAGGGGGACGATTATGGTCTCAACATGTTTGCTTTTCTCGTAATCGCCTTGGCCTCCAAACCTGCTCATAAGCTGCGCCCCGCGCGTTAGCAGAGGGGCAAGAATTATTCTCACGACCTCCCCACCTAGTGTAGTAATACAGAGCTTTCCCCCACTATTCTCTTGTAGTGTGAAGCAAATACTATTGCCTATAACTACCCCTCACAAAATCCTAGAAAATACAGAAGCCCTAGATTAATAGGAGGAGTATACGAGAGAATACTAAGACGAAGCAGGACGCTTACTAGAAGGTTTTCGACAAGATGCCCCCTAAAAAGGAGGGGAGGAGGGTGGTAATATAATGGGCTAGAGCCTAGTTAGTAAATCCTTGATGATATCTCAGTTACGTGCGCGAGGCGCACTGTCCACAGAATCCGGGTGCCCCCCTGAGCACCCGGATTCTGTGCAAGCGAGCCCGGCAGAAGGTTATCCCGAGCCGCCGCCCCCTGAACGACCTTCAGAACCCTAGCTACCTGTAGTTCTCTTCCCTATCGAATACAACTCCAGTATACCTGTGCAATAGCTCCCTGAGCGTAGCCCTTTACAATATAACTAAGATCTTATTAGGGACTTACTTACTAGGCTCTAGCCTATTACATTAGCTAGCTAAATTATTATATATCATATAACTTCGTGGACATAGAGCCAATGTAGCAATCGTACTACAAAGTACAGCAGCAGACGAAGTGTTTGAACAAGGCAAAAAGGTTTTTCTACAAGGAAGAACTTCAGGGCTACGGCGCTAATGATATGAGTCTCGAAGAATAGCGCGGCTACCAAATCGGAATTGATACCTTTCTCGCCACTGCCGCCCCCCACAAAGTCAACGAATTTATAACCGATACGAACCTCGAGTTCCCGGTTTTATGCTACCGGTTTCTCGCCTCACGCGAAAATATTGGCTACGTACATGCTAGCCAATGCTTCCGAGCAACTCGACGGGCAACCTTGGAATTGTGCTTAAACACGCTAACGGCGGAAGAACCCGATTTCTCCTGCTTCCGAAATCAACTCCTCAAATCTACTCTCTCGCGTCTAAGCTCACTGAAATATCTCGCGCTGTCTACTAGCTTCGATACTCAAGATGATGATGATATTCATGATATGGAGCGAAGTTGGATCTGGGTCAACCTCGACGAGATCATCCCACTAGATGTACTAGCACCAACGCTTCAGTCTCTCTAAGCCTGCAAGTTTTTCTTCGATGATGAAGCATCTTATTCGGGTCTCGCTTCGCTGGAAGTTCTAAACACCATCTGGCTTAACAGCATCGATCTGTCCGACGCTTTCATCCGGAGACCGTTTTGCTTCTGCATCATGGAAAAGCTCATCGAAGACACAACATCGGCCCCAACCTGGAGCTCAGGGAACCCGGAGATGATTGTCAGAAGAAGGACAAGTTATATCTACCATAGACTCGATTCCTCGGCTGAGCTTAATGCGCCTCTATATCAGGATGAGCAATGTCCGTTCACGGAAGAGGTGCCGTGTGTAGCGAGTGTGGGGATGCAGATCAGTCTTTGGGACAAGAGATTTAGGAGTATGTAGGGACCCTTTGAAGTTTATATGTGATATTTGTTTCGCGCAAAAGCTCCGGGTGATGAGTCTAAATCGCGACTGGCTGTCAAACCATCTGCATGACATGATGCAAACTCCGTCAGTACACCGCGATACAGAATACCATGCCGGTCTGCAGACGACACAAACCTCATTGGTGTGAACAAGAGAGGCTGGCAGAATTATGATAAGAGGCTCATCAGGCTGCTTCACCAGATGCATGCCCGGCCAAAACTACCAGGGAGTCGCTCACAACTATGACGCGACTGTCCTAGAATGTGCTTGTTAGGTGCGACGTTTCCTCTATCGCCATTGTCATTGCCGTCACCATCGTCGTTCCTGCGGACCATTACAGACTCGAGGTGCTAAGACGGCGCTGGGGCGATATACGCAGCAGCTAGGTACCATCAACGTCGGACCCCAGTGGAAGATGATGAGTTGGCAACCCTCTTAGTCAGTCGAAAAGCAAAACAAAAGCTCCAGACAAGCAACATGATGTGCGTCGCACCGTGCGCAACTGCTGAAATAAGGCCAATTCTACGCTAGACTACCGGTGAGCCATACCTGGCATGTGTTCTGGAAAGAACTGTGCTTTCCCTCAAATGTGTTCCGAGATTTGTTCTCCCGGTTTCAAATTCGAGGTATGTATGGCATAATCATTGACGTGCTTGGATCACAGCAGCGCCTAATTCACAGTACCATTGGTATAGAATATCGAAAACATCGAAGTTGTTAGGCGCGGCGGGAAATTGTCCGCCACGTAATGTGGTCTGTGGTTCTCGCGCCACTGTGATCCCTACCCCACATCTTCCGTCTGGGCAGCTGCAACTTGACCGCATTCTCACCACACCGCGCGTTCGAGACCAACGCACCATTGAACCGGCTGCCAAGATGTCGAACCCGTTTGTGCCAACGTGCATGACACATGTTGACAGCTGCTTCGAGGTTGCTCAGCCCATTGCCTGAGCTTGTAGCGGTTTTAACTAATCTTGCTGATTTTGCGAAACTTATCTCGTCAGCGAGCACAACACTCTCTGACGCAAGTCGTCTAAGGTTAGTCGGCAAAGGTGAACGTTGACGTGGTTCTCTGCTAAAGAGCCGCAATGCTGCTGAGCTTTCCGCCTAGCACGGCGCTCGGAAGATCGCCATTCAACAGCACTTGGCAAAGAAAAGTACGAGCCTCATCCACGTCATTTGAGTTGGCATGCAGCCAGCGATGATGCGCAGGGGCAAATATTCTATTTTAAAGCCCAGCTCCATATAGGCATAGAGTTTCGAATTTTTCCTATTTCTTCATACTCACACTGATTCGGTATCCTACAAGTCCATATTATATCTACTCTCTGATTTCTAAAAATGAGGGCCAACGCTGCGTATATTCTGGCCCTGGCGACTACCGCTGTCGCACAAAGCAAGGGTTTCAACTACGGTGCCACCAATGCAGATGGTTCATGCCGCGGATACGAAGACTTCGTGCGCTTCTTCAATGAGGCAAAGAGCCTACCTGGAGCTTCTGGCTTCAACACAGCGCGTCTCTATACCTCCGTCCAATGCGGCACCGCAGCCGACCCTATCTCTGCCTTCCGCGCAGCCATCGATACCGACACACAGATCCTTGCGGGTCTCTGGGCCAGTGCTGGAAGTGCCGCTTACGAGAATGAACTCAACGCGTTGATTCGTGGTGCTAGGGAACTAGGCAGCGCTTTTACGGACAAGATCATCGGCATCAGCGTAGGATCTGAGGATTTGTATCGCAGCAGCGCACAGGGTGTAGCAAGCAACGCCGGTGTTGGTGCAACCGGTACTGAGATCGAGGGTTACATCGGTTGGATGCGCGACTGGATCCGTGGCACTGCGCTCGAGAGCAAGCCTATTGGTCATGTGGACACATGGACTGCGTGGGTCCTACCTGAGAACCGCGGTGTTGCGAACACTGTCAACTGGCTTGGTCACAACTCGTTCCCGTACTTTGAGACTACGAGGCCCAACTCGATTGACCAGGCCCGCGAGAACTTCTTTGCGGCTGTTGGACAGACTGAGAGCGTGTCTGGTGGAAAACCTGTGTGGGTCACCGAGACTGGATGGCCACGAAGTAAGTTATATTTTGAAAATGACTCTCGATAACCAGGACGCTAACTCTTGTGCAGTTGGTCCCAACTCCGGCTCTGCTGTCGCGTCCCTCGAGAACTCTAAGCGTTACTGGGATGAGGTTGGCTGCTCGCTCTTCGGCACCCGCAACACCTTCTGGTATACCTTGAAGGATGCGAATGCGGCACAAACCGATCTATCTTTCGCTATCACCCCGAAGGAGAACAACACACCGTTCTTTGACTTGACTTGCTAGACAGTCTGCTCTCTAAGACAAAGCCTTCTATGCGATGCCCGAAGATATCGTACCTTCATGTATATAATATGTAATTCGAGATTGTGGCGTTAACCACATAGACGCACTGACAACGTTCAAATGCAAACATCGGGACGTATCACATGCAAACCAATTATAAAATAATTGGTTTGACAGCATTGACACTGATTCATTGACAACGACTTCGGTTGAACATATACAATTCTTCCTATATCGCCTTTTCCTCCATATTTCTCCTTCTCTAAGCCGTCGTCAATGAAGCTTGCCGTAAGCTACTCGGTCAGTGCTTACGACGAAGGAATACTCTGCGCGTGGGTGGTGAACACATCCTGAGGGTCTAACTCCGATTTGATTTTCTTCATTTTCTCAAAGTTGTCACCGTAAAGCCTGACGCTCCACTCCTCCAGAGTAAGCTCAGTGTCTCTATAGTTGACAAAGCCCCTAAGTGGTACATCTTCCTTCTTCAACTGCTCCTTGAATGGCCTAAAACCAGCTTGCATGTACTCAATGCCATCAGCAGGCCACTGTGTCAGGCCGTTAGCGAGGCGCCCTTCCCAGCGGATTAGCCACTGGTTGTTGGAGTAGGCCATGGCTTGTTGGGAGTCGTCGACATCGCGGGATACGCCACCCCAGAGGTCCAAGAAGCCAAATTCGGTCAGGTCGGTGCGGTTAAAGGCGAGTGTAGTGTACTGGTACAGCGCCTTGGCGGACTCGAATGTGAAAGGTTGGTCTTCGCGCAAGACAAGAGCTTGCAGGTACATGCTGCGCGGAGGGAAGGTGTCGGCAGTGCCATTGAGCAGCGGAGCGGCGAAGTTCTCCATCGTCCAGAAATCTGCCGTGGACTTGGTAGTTGTGGTGGTGTTTGGAAGTCGCTCAACAAGACCAGCGAAGAGTGCGTCGAACTCATCCGGGTCACCATAGAAGTAACCGCTGCCGTTCCACTCGCCAGCAAGCTGCCATCGCAGGGCGAAGGTGTCGGGAGCTTCGGTCATGGCCCACTCTTGAATGTCCATAAGGGCTTGGACCCCTGTGTCAAGGTCCACGGCACCTAGTGAAATTGTGAAGTTTGTGGCGACCTCGAACTCTGGCTTCCAAGTACGGGTAGTCAGAGACAAGAGGATACCGTAGGACGAGCCAGCACCTTGCACGACGAAGAAAAGGTCAGGGTTTTCTGTGCGGGAAGCGGTTACGATGGTGCCGTTGTGCAGCATCACCTCAACGCTATCGAGGTTGTCCATCGGAGTGCCAAGGAAACGACTAGTAGTACCAAAGCCACCACCGATAGATGAACCAGAAAGACCGACCCAGTTGGCTCGGACGTGGGGAAAGTGACGCCCATGGTTTTCCCACAGCCATGTTGCGGCTGGGCCAACCCGGCTTCCTCCACCGTAACTATGATTGTAAGCATCATGCATCTAGATCACGACTATGGAGGTAAATACGTGAATAGACCTTTCGCCTCATTGAAAGTGGTTTCAGTGAAGCGCTCCATATTGATCACAAGTGCTCCATCTACGCCACCGAGACCGTAGGCTCCATAGGAATGTCCTCCGTTCAGCGGCGAGACTTTGACACCCGCATCGACAGCGCATGCCAACGCGGCAGCGATCTCTTCCCTGGTGCGAGGGACAACGACAGCGGCTGGCTCAGGGTTAAATCGTAGAGCCCATGGAGACGTGACAGTCTCCCAGTTCGCAGCATCTGAAAAGGTTGCCAGAGAAGCTAGAATGCTGGAGCTGCTCAAGCAGTCTCGAAGTTTGGTAGAATCATCCTGAGCTGCTGCACCAGAGAGAAGCGAGCTGAATAGAATGGCGTTCGAAAGAAGAGCGAGTGCAGCTTGGGGCTTGAATGAGTGACGAAGACCCATGGTCAATCGATGTGATAATAAGTGTGATCTGAATTTTGGTGTAAGAACTACTGCTCTGTAGTCTAGAAGAGGGCGCACATCGCATGCCTTATATCTGATGTACACACAGTCGTCTTACAGTCTTCCGGAGTGTGCCGTTTGGTGGGAAGTTGTTTGCATGAGTTACACTTCGGCGCCGAAGTACCCGTCCTACCAAGCGCCCGAAATGAAGCCATTGCTACTTATCCCTCGGAGGGAAGAGCCAAAACAATCTAACGGCATCGCTTGGAAGCCTATACACAAAAGCCAAGAGTGAATGTACGCGTCGCGCTTTCATGTAGACACGACGGACATGGTAGCCCTGTGTCTTGCAACCGTTTGCCAGTCATGGGTATTAGCCGTTCTTTGCTCGCAGCTGTAGGAGTGCATGAGTTTGAAGAAAGGCGGATGTAGACTGCGTACAGGAAACTCTACGCATAGCGAGTGCAAGTCGGGCACGCAACGAGCGCAGGACAGTTTATGAGGAGCAGATACAGGCGGCAAGGATCGCATCGCATTGACCCGAGCTTCTTCACGAGAGCTTGTATCGCAATCTTATCCGTGTACAGAGAGTCAGAGACTGAGTAGAGCAGTGTAGGGAGGATTACTGATACGGGCGGTTGCCGAAAGCTTGGTTTGTTTCACGTAACATGCTCAGATGCGACATCACAATCTCACATTAGTCCTGGCGATCTTTGCAGCATCGCCTTGGCACGTGGAGACGCCAGACACTAGCCCACAGCTTCGACCCCCAAACGTGAACTTCTCCATACCATGACATCACGCACCATCATGTTTTTCGTAAATAGGCTGATTTTGCCCTTTGAGGGCACCCTTTCCCGGGCCACAAGATGAATGCAGTAGCCAAGACGGCGGCAAAGACATGAGGTCTTTCCCATGGGCAGCCTCATTGCTGTCTCCTCACCCAACGTAGTACTGGAACCATGTCCACGCCGAGCGACCACAAGCTTTCCCCTCAGGATTCGTCGCAGCAGCTGAACTACATCGAGGGTAGTTCTCACAAAGTCTTGGGCTTCCAGAACGCCAACTCGCGGCGGTATGCTGTCCATGATGAGCATGGACACGCGAGCGGCACCGAGTGGGAGTGGTGGAGCCGTGAGAATCGAAAAGGTGCGTGGCTAGACGTCTGCTAAACATGCGCACTCTGTGCTGACAAGTACTTTGTCCAGGCCGGCATATTCTCCTCCTGAACCACAATCAAGCGCCCTCGCGCACCGCGCGCACTACCCGCTTCCTCCGAGCGTTTGCGCGTATGCTCACCGTCATAGCCTGGTGGGATGTGTCGTGGTGGATTGGCGTCACCTTTTCCCTCGGCTCCATGTGCTCCATCACGGCTGGCGTTCTCCAATGGCTCCCTATCGCATACAAAGACATGACACTTGCCGCCGACCCCACCATTATCAGCGGCGCGTTATCTTTCATACGTGGGATGTTGTTCCTGCTAGGCGGCATGCTTCTTGTGGTCGAAGCGGTCAACGCAAATCAAAGCGATTGTTTCGGCTGGGCACTCAAGGAAGCCATGAAGTCCGATAGCGAGAACATTGAACTCGCTTCTGTGGACGAGGAGAAGGGCACTGGGAGCACCTCCGGCTTCCAGCCCGACCGTCGAAATTGCACACATATCCACAATCCCGACCGCATGAAACACCAGATAATGAACACCAAGACATTCAAAGTCGAGGCTCGCCCTACCCCTGGACCCGAGCAGGCCTGGAAATGGTGGCCAACGTGGCAGGATGTTCGCATACACTACCGTCGAGAAATCGGCTTCAATGCGAATCTCATTCTCTTTGTTGGTACAGTCGTTTACTGGATCACCAACCTCCTTACCCTACCGGGCATATATGACATCCTCCCCCAAGGCGTGCTCTACGGACTATACTACCCCTCCTTCCTCCTAGGAGCCTTTTGCTTCTTCGTCGCATCTATACTATACATACTTGAGGTCCAGCGTCAGTGGTGGAAGCCCGCCTTCAAGATGGTAGGGTGGTGGGTAGGGACGACAAATCTGGTGGGCAGCGTAGGCTGGTTATGGAGTGCTTGTTTAGGATATTGTAGTGCAAGTTGGTGCGAGTATCAGAGTGCACTGGCTCTGGTCTGGGCGCCCGCGGTTTATCTCATGGGCAGTTTGTTGCTAGTCTACGAGGCCGTGGAGAAGTGGCCGATTCATATCGATGGATAGTAAACCGTCTGTAATACTCATGACTTATCTTCAATACTGGCTAAGCTGCTTTTGAAACGTGACGCCTGTTGCACATGAGTAGTGACTTTTGCGATGAAGCTGCTCTAGGCGCGTGCTATATGTTCCAGGGGGGGCAGTCGTATACGTAACCAGCCATGACGTCAAGATGTTGCGTCCGTCAAAAGCAGCAATTCTCGTGACGAGCGCGTATCCAACTGCAACTACCATCCTACACTCGACAAAATGACACTCCCGGTAACAGGCAAATCCGGAAAAGACACGCTCGCGGCGCGCCTCGAGGGCGAGTTCGAGAAACGACCAGATCCCGTAGCGTTAACCCACAACGCCGATGAGTCGCAAAACAGTTCATCAGGCGTCGACTACGAGCCGCATCCAGAAAACTCCATCAAATTGGAGTCCGACAGGGAAAAGATTGTTCGATCCATATGCAATCTATACTCTGGGAGCGCAAGCGAAGACGACATGATGGTGTACGCCAAAGAGGCGATATATGATGATCCCTGGAGCTACTGCGATACGAGATACAAGATCGCGGGCCAGTGGTACGGTGAGTACTTTGCAAAATTCGAAGCAAGAGGATAACGTCAATGGGACGCTTTGCTGACAAGCAAAAGGCATTCCAATACTCATGAAGAGCAGCCGGACTATCAAAACGGAAGTGCTTACATCGAAGCCGGATGAGATTATCTTCAAACTGCAACAAGAGTACACACCCAAGCCGATGCCTATCGCAAAGAAGGTTAACAGCTTAATCACTTTAACACTTGATCAAGAGGGTAAGGTGCGGTATCATAAGGTACGTCGGAATCGCTGGTGGCGCAACACTTGCGCAACTTTTTGATAGACGCCAAGGGCCGGACACTAACATCAAGCAGGACATGTGGAATGAGAAGGACTACAGTCACGAAGGTCTGGGTAAGATCATGAAAGAGTTGAATGGGGATCATTTAACGAAGATTACACAACCTCCAGCAGATCTGTGAGATCTAGAACATAGTAACAGATTGCTCGCAACGCAGATTTGTCATTGCTTTCATTGACCTCCCATCAAAACAGTTGCAACTGATCCATAAAGTCCAACAGTCCGATGGATACATCAACATCATCTGCGACACGTCCAATCCTGATTCACCATAGACTCAAGGTTTCCAGCCTCCAGTACGCGACCTGAATAGACCTCTCGGATCCGCTGCATCCGCAACCTTCTTCGCCAGCGCACGGCTCTCTGGCCTCAGCCTTCCAAAGTAGTCCTGTCGAAAGAACCCATAGTTCATGAAAACTGGCAAATACGCTTCCGGCAACTTGCCCTCCGTTTGCCACGCTAGAATCCGATTTCTCACACCTGAATAAGTAGTCTCCATCGTATTAGCCATTTGCTCATACAGCGACTGTGGCGTGAACGCGTAGTTCATCTCGATGATAATGCGATCGATATCTGCATCGGCGTCGATCAGATCAGGACCGAGATCTCGGGCCTTTCGCGCAATCTTCTTAGGGAATGGCTGCCATGCGATGGACGCTACGATACCAGGTACGAGAAGTGTTGTGCCGGAGACGTTGCGCCAGTGATTGTGCAGACCTTCCATGACTTCGACTGCGTTAGCACTAGAAGGTAATGGGATTGTCTCCGTGGCGATATCTACGACATTGCCCTTGATCACGACCCAGTTACTTAGTGCCATGAGGTCGGCGTATGTGCGTGTCCGAGTGGTGTCAAGCAAAGGGTTGACATCAGTAAAGTTCTTGAAAAGTCCGGCTGGAGGTGTCGGACCGTCGTAAAACAGGAAGATGATCCATGAGTCGACTATGTTGATGTTTGCTCGCTCCGCCGTAACTATAACAGCAGCCCTGTCGTCTTCGTTGTATTCCGTCCAGTCGCGAACGGCCTGAAGCAGCTGCTTGTCCTTCTTCGGCGTACGCAGGTACACCAAATTGCCACCCCAAATCTCACTTTGTTGGCGAGCCTGCAGTTTGTAATTCGTTACAATTCCAAAGTTGTTACCGCCTCCCTTGAGTGCGATGAAAAGGTCGCGATGGTTGTCGTTCGTTATGTGACCAATTGTGCCATTGGCGAAGACAATCTCGTACTCGAGGACACTTGAAGCAGCCCATCCATATTGCGTAGACATATAGCTAAGCCCTCCGCCAAGTACTAATCCACCGACTCCAGTGTTCCCAATGCGACCACCCACGAACGTCCAGCCTGTGCCCTGGAGTTTAGCAGCGATGCCATCAAGCCGATTACCAGGACCCACGTCAACGATACCTGTGCTGCGATCAAGGTTGGCTTGATCGAAATGTTCCATAGCAATGAGTGGGCCACCGGCTACGCTGCTCCACCCATTGTTGGGGTTGTGGCCTCCAGACTTGATGGCGAAAGGTTCAGTCGTGTTGGCAAGTATTCGCACCACGGTCGACACTTCTTCCACCGTTTTTGGAAAGATGATGCAGGAGGGAAGGAGGGCAGAGCATGACGTTGACCAGTACTGGGTTTGTTCTTCAATGTAGGCTAGGTTGAGAGCATATGTGACGTTGATGTATCCCAGAGAAGCAACAGATGAACAAGTATCACCGTGGGCCAAAGAGAGCAATAGCAACGCACAGACAAGGTGAATTGTTAAGCGTAGCATCTTGAAGCCAAGCCTAACAAGTCAATAGCAGCATCGTTGGGATTGTCGCGATTTGTGTCCCAATTTATACACAACACGAAAGCGCTGCAGCTGTCAGTGACGTCGGACGCGACACCTGGGAAATGGAAAAGACTCATGCACTCGCAGTGATACAGGTGCATGAGATCATGACCAGGTACGAACCCCGTATAGATCATCAATAGGCGACCAGTTCAAATCATACGACTAACGATCGTAACCATTACAGTCATGCCAATGGTTCCCAAGAAGGCGCGCAGCATTGCTTCACTCCGAAAGTAGCTTGAACCTAGGGTAATGGGCTCTACATTGCACTACTGGAAAAACTTTGACTCAGAGCGTGCATCTCGGATAGAATCCCGGTAAATTCATACCAGGCGTCGTTCATGTCCTTGCTCTTATTTATACGTCTCGACAACGACCAATGCAGAGCTTCGACCTTACCTCCACGCCCAATGAAGTGCTCCAGGCCAAGCATCAAACTGCGAATCGCATTTCAGCTATGAACTTAACCGACATGGACACTTGGGGTTGGTAGCTCAGGATCGATCGTTCGCAGTGAAATCTGGCGGTCCACGAAGAACAACGAACCGTAATTGAAGCCTGGGAGGGTCGCGTAAGGAGCGTGGTCGTCTTGGTATCTCGTTTCTACAATGTCTTCGTATAGGCTAAATGCATGCAAGCTCGCTTCGCTGTAGGCTGACACACCTACTGGGTGTACCCGCTGCAGCTGCAAGCGTCGATACGAGGTATAAAGTAACACTGAGCTAATCTCGGGACCTGCATTGGTTAGCGTAGTATCAACTCCCCAAAAGCGGAGCACTTATCGAAAAAGACTAAGGCCATCCCGAAGGACAGCCATTGAACCACCCATGACAACTCCATACCACACCCTCCCATGTCCACACCAATAACACTACAAAGACCCATTTCGGAAGACGTATGATACTGCGTCCCATATTCTGGCCAAGAGAACGTCGCGAAGAAGGATGCTAATATGGCCGAGAAGCATGTCCGGATGGAAGACCCAACAGCCCGCAGGAGCTTGTCGCAGACGATGCTGGCAGACAGGTCAAGACCTTGAGCCTCACTCTTGAGAGGTCCTACCTTAATCGTCTGGTTCGAAAAGCGTTGCGTTATGGCTGTCAGTATCCTCCAGCATGCTGTCATCGGCTTTCCAGTCCTTCATGCTCAGCCCTCTTGTCGCATGGCCAAGCCAGAGGAAGCAGATCGATGTATCCGAGTTTATCAGTCTTGCAGATGCCATTGAGCTTCCACAGAAGGCGCCGTCACACCTCCAACGCAAGCACTTCCTCTCATCGCCACAAAATCGTCCTCTCCGTGTTCCAAGTTGAGTCAACAACAGAATCCTAGTCAGCTCAGCACAACAGTAACGCAACACTCTCGATAGGAACGTTCATCGATGGTTGTCCAGCCAAGATGCTTCGCTCTGATCGTGGCAACATGACTTCCTGAGACTAGTCTTTGTTTCCTCCCCGCTTCATTTGAAACGAAGGGCATTGTGATACGGACAAAGGACATCCTCAAAAGCCGCATTGTCGACCGCAACAGCCAAAAAACTGTTTGGTCAAGGGGGTAAACGCTCGCCAATTCAAACGTAGGCTGAACATGCGTGTTGACGATTAACGCGACTGGTCAGATATCACCCGAAGGTGACAAATGTCGAGTGCTTAAACTGTGACACCGGCTTCGTAACAGAGCAGACTGCGAAAGTGGTTGGAGTTCTGATCAGGACTTTCGTCCTTGTAGGTAAGATGCGCGGGTGATCCGTCGCCGTGCATTAGCCCAGCTTGATGCAATCGCCGTACAGTACAAACGTCGCGTACTTGATCCGATGCATGTAGATCCAGCAAACCATTCATGCGCAAAACGTCGAGACATTAGATCCGAAGCGTGACGGTCTGCCGAATATGACAACATCAACCTGCGACGTATTGAGACCTCGCTAGGCTTTCACCTTTCCGACGAGTGGATCTTACGCCAGCCAAAGCCGAACAGGGTAGTGTGTCTGTATGTTTGGCTCGATCAACGTCAAGACCGTGCTCTTCTTCTGTCTGGACGCTGTGTGCATGACGTCTGCTGGATACATAGTGGTCATTGGCATCAGGTGTTGCAGCTCCCGTATGACTCTCGGCAACAAGGGAATAGTGCTTCGGCGCGATGATGAAACCCAAAGTCGATCCTCGAGAGAGGCGACCGGCATCTGACGTCAGAGCTCTCCTTTTCGCGTTATCGCATTCGTCGTGAAGCTATCTTTGGTGACCAGAGTCTGTTGTACAGATGGGTAGTCGACGTGTTTCTCGTGTGAGAACTTTAATACCCCGACAGGCACATGACATCCCAATTTGAGCTTTCGCTCCCGTACCTCGAGTCTCCCTTTTGCACACCTCGCAAGACGGTCCACCGAGGCAGACCTGTATGCAGGGGCTATTCGGAAGGTCGGCGACATAACCGCGATACTATCCATTGTGCTCTTTGCACATCGGACACCAGAAGATGATTAGGGTTAAGATCCGAGCCTGCCCTCCTCACACACGACCCCGGTGTTGCCACTGAGGCGCACAAGCCGACATACAAACGACCCACAGAGACCATGCTAAGAGGCTCGGGTGTGTGCCAACCGTACAAGTGCGTGAAGCGCGGACGAACCGCATTCCAGATGGAAGACAGACATCGGTAACTGTGGGGGAAGTGACATGCGCAATGCTTGCAGGCAAGCGAGAGAAGAAGTCGTGTCTAAAGAGAGCGTTACGCGACCGTCCCGCTGCAAGTGACATAGTCAGAAGATGTTGAGGACGCGTGCATGATTCAGGATCAAATCGAGATGCGACAAGAAGTAATACCGTTTGAACAGAGATGAACGTTGGGTAGTGATGGGTGTGCTGGAGTGGTTGTTAGGTTCTTGTCCGCCAGAGCCAGGGCGAAGACGCGTTGCCTTGCGCCAAGAGATTCGCGCCGCCGTCGCGTCTGGCTGACGCTAGCACGTGCGGCCCTTCTTTTTCTGACTAATCAGCGATATCCTTATCCACTTGCACATCGCCATCACAACATTCCACCTGTTCGCCGATGGCGAATATACAGATATTGGGAGAACGTGTTGTAATCTTGTAAGCTTCCCGAGTGGGTTCAGCGACAATCATCATAAGCAAACTCAAAGCTTGGGCACAACAGCCGCTTCCGTACCCACAGGTGCGACCATTACATAGCAAACGGCGTCGCGACACGGCCAAGCAAGATGGGAGCAGTCGAGGATGCAGTGGATGCTGCCGCCAACTTCATCGGCCCTTTCGTCGACAAGAATCGCAAGTACAGTGCCGAGGTTCCCACTGATACTCTGGTTGAACAAGCGCTCGTCCATCTGCAGGCCATCAACACTGCGGACCTAGCTGCAGATCCAAATGCGCCCTACGATGCGTCGCTCGCTGGCGTCGTATACGGCCTCGTGGATCTCGTCACTATTCTTGCAGTAGTTCCCCGTTTGTCTTCTGGCGTTGCGTTCAGTCAGCGACCAAGATCAGTCTTGACCGCCGTAATCTTCACACCACCGAACCACAACTTGGAGGCATTAGCAACAGTCATCGAGGCTTTGCTGCCTATGCTGGAGCAGAAAGGTTCTGGTCTACAACCATTACTGTCTCAAAGGATCCTCCCAGACATCATCTCTGCACTCGTTGAGCTATCTTACTCTCCTACAACCTCTGAGAGCTCGAAGCTGAAGTACTCGAAAGTGTTTGAGAGGATCATGAAAGACACTCCGACATCTCGGCTTCTTCCTATCTTGACCACGTTTCTCCAACAGCCTCTCCCTACCTGGCTTAAACCTGCTATCGCCTCAGAGCTCTCTTCGATACCTCTCCGAACCCAAGGCATTCGCCACACCATCGAATTCCTTTCTCTATCATACTTGTCAAAAAACTCTCATGTACCCCAAGGTGCATCTGGCCCTCAGTCACAGATACCAATCCCCTTAGAAGCGGTCTCACAAGCTTCGAAGTTGCTAGTTTTACCGCCGAGCGGTATCAGCCAGGATGAATGGCTGATGAAAATCTCCCCTGAGTTGCTACATCTCCTAGATGGTAAAGAAGGTAAAGAGCTCAGTCGGGCGGCTGGGCAGATCATCGCTGGTGGGATCTTAAGTAAGAAAACGACCGGTGCTCCAGGAACCACGGGATGGGAGACATTCGCGAAGCCGTTGTTCCAAGCAATCTTCCCGAAGAACGTCAGTCCGCCAAAATCATTGCAACACAAGTCAGATCAGACTATCGTACAAGAGGACGATCTCAAAATAGCATTGAGACGACTGAAGACGATCATGTCATCATACTCTCATGGCGGACTCATCAGACGCCTTATTCACCCTATTATTCTCCCACTTTGGGCGGTGCTTAACTACGCGAAGGACCGGACTTCGCTAGACAAAGAATGGAGCATGCTTCCGAGCCTCATCTTGTCGCGATATATGGAGATTGCCTGTGATACGAAACAAATCGACAACATCGCCACCAACCTCTTCTGGGATGGTGATACAGCCTGGACATTCGGACCTGGCTCTCAAGGTGGTGTCGAGATACGCACTCGCTCGAAAGACAAGACTGCAGAGATGGGGCCTATGGAAAGCATATTTGAGCGGATCAGCGACCTGGACAATAGAGTCACCGTCCTTGTTACACTTTTTACCGAAGCTAATATTTCCGACGACACGGCTGGTTCCATCTTCGTGAACGCTACAAAACGATGGCTGGTACCAAACAAACTTACAACGAAGTCGCTTACAGACTACGACTCTGATGCCGATCCGCTGTCGGCCCTTGTTGATGCAAAACTATCAGAAGCTTTGGCGCAGCGTTTCCAGGAGCATTTTGCCAGGAGTCCACAGCACATCATCGAGCTCATGGCACAACTGATTCAAAACCACGTGAGCGAGCACAAGACACGAGTCGAGAAGTCAGGCAAGCTGCGTATATCGAAAAGAGCGATGCTGAACAACATTGTATTGAAACAAGATCCGGCGAAGGGGAGGGAAGATGGGGAGGCTACAGACGAAGACTTGGTGTCGTTTGCACTGAGTATCTTGATCACCCTACTAGGATCGTCGGACCTCAAAAAAACGCCCTCACTAACAGAAACCCTACATGAACTTCTTCCATCGCTAGCATACCTTTCGCAGCCGCAGCCTCAGGCCCAGCCGCCCATATCGTCTATGACAAGCAACTCCGCCACCACGGCTCTTCATCTCATCGCTCCTACTCCTACATCCACACCATCAATAGCAAGACCAACAACAGACCCACTGACTGAACATCGTGACATGTTAAAGACCTGCTTAACCGAATTACAATCACCAGATCCTCCCAACCGCACGTGGGCTTTGAACACAGTACACAAGCTGCTCAACGATCCATTTTCGTTTCCGGCCCTCGACATACCATCTCTCACGCACACGATCCTTTCGGCTTCACTAGCAGATCCAGAGTCTTACGTTCACCTAGCTGCAATACCCGTCCTCGTCACCTTGGCAATGCGAGCTCCAAATCCCGTGGTTGGTATACTAGTCGATGCATTCATTGACATCGACGAGCGATCCCTGAAGCTAGCGCGAGGGAAACAAACCGACGAGAAGGAAAGAGAGCTAAGGGACGCTTTGGACTTCAGACTACGCGTTGGAGAAGTCCTCAGCACCTTTGTCAGCAGCGGCGACAACTTCTGGGACGTACCTGAACATAGCGGACTGCAGTATCGGTGCGCCAAACGGATTGTCGAAGCTTGCCTTTCGTTGGCGAGTCGGCGTGGTCAACGTAATCAAACGCTATCGGCACGAACAGAAGTCGCGGACAACGAACGGAAGATCAGAGAGGAGGGTGAGGCTGCTTGGGGCGGGCCGATACCTAATATTCTTGAGCCTGAGGGCGCGGATCCACAGCAACAGGCGGAGTATGAGGCGCTGCAGAAGATTGTGGGTGGGTGGGAAGATACAGGAATTGAGGAGGATGTTCGTATTCGCGCATCTGCTCTCAGTGTGCTGTCTGCTGTTTTGGAACATCGATCGGATGTTTTGCGCCAACCCATGATCGATGCGACGTTGCAGATGGTGCTATTGATTTTTGTCATGGAGAAAGAAGAGGCTAAAGCTTTGTTGCGCCGCTCGGCTGTGCTTGTCATAATGGGTTTACTACGCGGTATTGACGTGGGGATTGAGAGTGGACGGGACAGTGCGGTCGGTTTGGACTTGAAGCAACAGGGAGAAGTCGAGCGAATAGTGAAATGGGTACGAGATGAGGATGCAGATGAGCTCGTAAGAGACCATGCAGCAAACGTTGCAGAGGGTCTCGAAACGATAAGGATGAAGAAGCTGTATAAGATCAGAGACGAGGGTCGGAGGCTAGGACCTGATCTTGGGCTCGAGGGAAATCTTCGAGGGCTCAATGTCCAGCCTCAAACTCATGACAAACAGGGCAAGAAGAAGATGATCATAGAAGAGATAGAGTAGCTGGCGGCGTGAGTACTGATAACATTGTAGCGCCTCACAACCGAAGCTTGGTATCCTGACTTTTTACCCGTTCCAATTGCGCGCCTATTTGCTTTGTGGTATCTTCGGTGCGCATACTACGTGGAGCGCACCTGCTGCCTTGCTGCTACGGGCGCATGTGAAAGTTTGCGCTACATCCAGTTTCTGCGCGCTCCCGATGGGCACTCATTATTGCGATCGATCTCAGTTTGTCTCGCGCATAGTGTGGTTTGCCCTCGTAGGCGTGCTCAACCGCTCATAGCCGTGTCCTTGGTCGCCTTGGGTTCCACCTCTTCGGCCTTTCCAATCCAGAGAACGTTGTTACACCTTATGAGGACTTGGCCGAGAGTGCCTGAGCTGACGCCGCCTACGAACTCTTCCGTGTTGGAGAGCTGGATGTTCATGTAGAGGTCGACTGAGACGAGTCTGCCCTTGTACTCGGTCTCGCCCCACTTTAACCTAACGACGATGTCTTTGTCGACTCTACGCGTATGTTAGCGCGTGCTTCGTTTGGGGAGGGTAGTCGGAGAGGCGAGGGTATGCGACGTACAAGCTTTGGAGCAAAGGACGCGGGTTGAAGGGTGCCACTGCCTAATCACTGTTAGCTTTGGGCGTGATTGCCGGATAGAGTTCACAGCTTACAGCCATGTTTGCGACTCTAGTTAGAGGCTCGCTGGTGTGTAGATGTGAGATTGGTGGTTACAATAGTGATAGTCGCGGTAGTATGTTGGTCGTGCCTGCAGCTTTGGAAACTCATCGGCAAAAGGTATCGCCGATTGGCCGAGTGCTTCACCGCGGGGAAGCCGCGCGACAGAAGGTCAAGGTTGGGTTAGATGATGCTATAGTCGAGTTTGATACTATTGCACGAATCTCATGTTGCTCCGGAATATGAGACACATCATGCAACTACTTTTACTCGTCTTGCATAGCCATGTCTACAAGTTGCTCAATGTGTAGAGTAACGCGACTAGCGGACGCGCTAAGAATTTATTCCATCTTCGTATGAGCGGACGACCCTGTATTTCCTACCAAGAACCGGCATTGCAAGCACCGAGCGACGACACCTCTGGCTACCAGGTCTACAGCCGGATAACAATAGCTGCCCACCATCAACTGCACCATTGCGCCCACCACGGTGCGCTATCTCGCCCTACCGCCCGCGACTCGGTCCTTCGTCGCCCCTCCGTTCCTCGCACAGCATGCCCCGGTAGCAATGCGAGCCATCTGGTCCCGGGCAACATCGAACCCGGGTACCTGCAGATGCATATCATGTGTCTCCAATACCAACGCTCTCGCTAGACGCCATGGGCGGACGGCTCTTCGCGGCTCATGGGCAATCGGCACACCCACGTCGACCTTTGTATATACGACCGTATTCGCAGCAGGACTAGCTATCGACGCCAAAGCAAAAGTTGCTAGGAACAAACAATGGGAGAAGGCATTTTCGCAGCTGGCTGGGGCTACAGATGATCGAATTCCAGTGGGAGGAACGAACGAGACAGAGACGACGACGGATGCTGTTTCCTTAACTCATGGATATCACGGCTTGACCTTTGACAATCTACCCAAGGACCTTGACTGGAATGCTATGCAGCGCATTGTAGGCATGGAACTGGACGAAGATCAGATTTTGGAAACACAAGAAGTCCAGTCGCAGATTCGCGATTACGCCGACATGGCTTGGGAAGATCTGAGATTCGACTCGAGGTTCCCAGGCGCGCAGTTGCTGGAATGGCCAGCAAACACAGGGGCTGAGCTTGTGCGTAACAATCTGCCACCCCAGTCATTATGGGCGCCAGACAGAATGCGAGTTATCTCGCTACGAAGGCGACACACATGGAAAAAGCTGGCTATGCAGGAGCTTTCCATTGGACTTCTCATACACGACTTGTTGTATGATAGTAATTGTGTTCGCTTCGCTGGAGCTGCATCGGCAGGCGACGAGTTTGCCAAGTTGTCGCATCAGATTAGAGACGCCATGTCCATGACCCAGGACCAACGCAAGCAAGCGCGTCTGAACATATTAGAGGCCCTTGAAAATCTCCACAGAACTCCCGTCGATAGCCAAGTAGATGACGTCGTCAACTCCCGGATCCAGACGGACCACCCAGCAATTCCAAGCTATCACCAAGATGTCGATGGGGACTTCTACGCCATTACAGACCAAATGAATCAGGGAATCCAAGGGTTGCTTGAGGAAATCCCCCATGGCAATGACCGCAAGGAAGCTGTGGCAGTCGCGAAGATATGCCATAACCTTTTCGTCTCGTCCTCGTCCCCAGATTTACAAACGTTCAACACCTTACTTATTGGCTTCCGACGATGGCGTCGTCCGAAGCTAGTAGACCGTGTTGCGGCTTCCCTAACCGTCTGCAAGATCCGTCCGAATGAGATTACTTGTCGGGAACTACTCAATCATTATGCTTCTGCAAGGCATGGGCACGCTGACGACTTCTCGCGGTTCATAACTAGGATGAGAGGGTTGAACGATGCGCTTATGGTTGCAAACCCCAACATCACCATCAATGAAGCCAGCCAAGGGCGGCTCGTAAGGGTCAACGAAGAGAAGATCTATCAGAAGGTTCATCCTACGCCCATGGTATTCAGTTCCTTGATAACAGGCGTCATGAGGTTTGCAGGCTTCGACCGAGCCCTTGATATCTATTACGAGATGAAAGCGGACGGTTGGGGTCTCGACGTGATAGGGCTGACGAGGCTATTGAATGATTGTCTCCGCCGCGCCGACTGGGAGGGCGGCTTGTACGTGTGGGGTGAAATCAGCAGCATCAAAGCCAGAGTCAAACATCACGACATGGCCAAAGCATATTCCAACATGCTCAGCTTATGCTCCATCACTGGTAACACTGTTGCATTTAATCAGATCCTAAATGATCTCTCTAAAGGAGGTTTTGATCGCGGAAAAATTCTTGCTGCTGCCACGAAAGCAACGCATGTAGCACGAAAGAAGAAAGAATACCTTGCTCCCGCTTGGGTCGCAGACAACGTCATGATAGCCGCATTCGCCTACATCAACGACTTCAAATCTGTAGAGTTTGAGGCTGAGGCTGCGCCAGAGATGGTGGATGATGACAACACCATGTTTTCTCAACACGAACCTGACGTGATTGGAGCTATCGAGCATAATACGACCAATACAAAAGAAGTTTGGGCATCGTGGCTAGAGCGTGAATTTGGAGAGAGACCAAAAGAGCCTGAGCCATGAGGAAGATATCAAGTGTACAGTATGGTTTTTGCCGTGTACACCAGTGTATATATTATAGCGCTAGAAGGGTTTTACCATCAAATGCATACGACAAGTTCTTTCAATTCCCTTTTCGTGCAGTCCATGAGAGACTTGTTTCTCAGGGTCGAGATAACGTCTGCTCGACTCAACCTGTGCATTCGCGCATTGCCGCCGTCCCATGCAGAAATCTGGCAGAATGACAAGGTCCTACCAAACAATACTTATCACATTCGAGATCTCAGGTGTCATCCGACCGTTGCGTTTGCCGGGCACCCGTTTCCTCTTGGTTGGGGTCGGTTAATTTAAATTAACTGCATCCGCGCCTTCATCTATTTTCCTCGCTTCTGCGGCTTCGTCACCAACGCTGCTACTGCTGCTGTCCGTCGCCAATTACCTTGACTCCACTTGTCACCAACATGTCGCCTTCGCAAGGAAGTCCGTTGGCACGGCTGTTGAGTCTGTTCCGTGTCTGTTACGGGTCGCTATCGTTGCGATCCTGAATAGCGATAGCAATGCGCGGACTTTGCTCCTATTTCGTTTTCAGCCGTAATGAAGAATCTTCGTGTTTCGCTTGTTCCCTACCGTCTTCATCACAAAATAAAGGATTCATATACTTGGAGATTTTGTCTATATCATTAGTTATACTCTAGCCGAAAAAGCCAGGCCTCTTCCGACGAAGTTGCTATCGTGTCCAAATATAGACGAATGCACTATGAAGATCATATCAACGGTGATGTTACGGCAGGGATACTGCACGGAGTCTTTCAATCGTACAGGTATTCCCCCAGGCTCTGCGCGCTGTTGCTTTTAGGCTTTACGATAGCGTCGCTCGTATGTTTTTGTTCCCGTAAAGGTCTAGAGTGATGCGAACCAAGTCCTTCCGTCGCAACTTCAGTCATGATGCGAGATCTAGACCTTTAGGTCAGGACTCGACTCCCCTCTCAATGGCTTGAGATGTAAGGCATGTATGCGCTGTACCTTCTAAAGTTCCTCTCCATCCGAAGTGATCACTGATCAGCCACTCTAACGTTGCATCCACGGCAGATAGCACCGCTGCCGAAGCCTCTTGTGCGATGCGACCATAGCACTGACCAGTGTCCAGTGCTAGTAACCATGGAGAGTTAACCCCTTGCTTAGTCCAGATGATCAAGCACAGGGGTATCCTGCGTGGAAGCCGTTCGATGCCCAATACGCAGATTGAGGTGCGGGTTCGACTAGAACGTGCTATGAATGTTGAAAGCCTACGCATCTTTGCTATCATATAGGGCTAGAAATGATCATTTGGGGTGCGCGGCGCCGTTTTGGCGTATACCTGCCATGAAGTGACATTGTGGTTGATATGCCCCTTCACGTGTACTTCAGGTGGTGATGAGTGATGTGTGCTGTTACGTATACACATTAGAGAAATATAGTTTCGGACAACAAATGAAAACGCCACAGTAGCAGAGACTGAGAAACAAATCTAGATTCGGGTTCCAGTATGCGATCAAAAATCCACTAAATAATTCTCGTATACAACGTTCAGGCACAAAGTCCAAGACGAATACCAACAGCACCAGCCAGTGCAGCACTCCTGACCACCGTATCTCCCAATCACGTCAAATCTAACTCCCAAGTCACACACACACAACTCAATTTGCATACTCGCCTGAGGCTGGCTGGTTCAAACACCCCCTAGCCACAAAAGGAAGAACAAGTACTTTACCCAGATTGCAGCCTCCCGTATCCAACAGCCTCGAACACCAACTACTCACCTACCGTCTCGGGCAGCTGCAAAGTGGCCAAGTGCATCTATGTGTCTGAAGTTTGGTTCCAAGGATGCGTATAAATGAAGTATGCCGGTTCCTTTGTCGATCTCGTGTATCTCCTCCTAGCTATATATCAACAGCGGAGACCCTGAGGTTTTGCCTTGTCAAGCGAGCCCCACCCATTTCTTGCCCTTCCGCAACAATAATACTCCACACTAAGAGAATAAGACAAGACAAGAGTTAAGATGCAGTACCGATTCGTATCCGTCCTTGCTGCTAGTGTATTGGTTGCTGTTACCAGCGCTGCACCCGTGCCTTCAGCAGAGGTTCGTCACCACACCTTCATCATCATATCTTCTCACACACTAAACAACACCAGGCACAAACCTTTGGCATCAGCGATCCTGTAAGCACCATTGACCTGGGCAAGCCGTCCACAGTAGTCACCTGGGGTAAGCGCGGCAACGAGCCCACCAACTCAGACGATGTCCAGCTCGGACCCCCAACAACCGAGATCATCTGGAGCAAAGACAAGAAACGCGCTGTCTCCTTCGGAACACCAAAAGACAGTTTCACTCTGGGAAAGCCCAAGACGGTGGTAACATGGGGAAAGAGGAACGAGCCTGACACCATCGAGAATGGTGTCCCAACGACCGTCGTAACATGGGGAAAAGAGAAACGCGACACGACTACTCAACCCGATACCATTGACTTGGGAAAACCTACCACGGAAATCACGTGGGGAAAGAGGGATACTACTATCAACGGCCCAGCGGACACCATCGAGCTTGGTAAGCCCAGCACGGTCATCACGTGGGGAAAGAGGGATACCACCACCGCCGTCAATCCCGCTGATAGTATTGAGCTGGGAAAGCCCAGCACAGTCATCACTTGGGGCAAGGAGAAGCGTGATGATACTCCTGTATTGGGTCAGCCGGATTCAGAGACGACGTGGAGCAAACGTGAGGCGGCGAAGCCGAAGGACAGCTTTAAGCTGGGTAAGCCTACTACGGTTGTTACTTGGTCTTGAGTGCGAGGGGCGGTTGTGTGGTGAGCAGATTGTCTTCGTCTTGCTGGGTACTGTTCACTGACGACTTAGTGGTTGCCGGATAGTATAATGTTCCTGTCTGTGTTAAGTAGAGTTTGAGAGGGTAGATTCCACCGTCGCTACTTCATTGCTGCTGGTAGCTGGGGTAAAAAACTGTGATATCCGTAAGGCCTTCTGCCTGTTTATTTCTTCCAATATACTTCTGTTCGATAGTCCTTGTGCAGTCGTCGGGTCTGGGTAATCCGTCGCATCGTGTGCATATTGGTAATCACGCTCCGTGAATTCTTTGTTCGATATTGGTGTCGCTATTGATGCACATATCCACTTTTCTCATGATTTCAGCACTTGCGCTCTTTTGATTTGACGTGTGTATGTTCATGCCTTGGCACCGTCTTACGTGATATTCACGCTTCTTCTTACTCCTACTCTTGCTCTTCATGTATGTGCTCTCCTGGATAGCACATAACGTGCGCTTCTTCGAGCTGCATGCACTCCTGCTTCTATCTCGTTTTTCCTAAGCCATCTATGCACGACGTATCTCCCACTCGACATTTGTGATGCTGACTTCCTCGCCAGCCTTCTCGTCGTAGTCATACCATTCGCCATCGGGTAGCTCGATGCCCGAGAACTTTGTGCCTGATTCTATACCCGTCGCAAGGAACTCTCCCTCAGCCTTGAATTCGACAAACTCCAGGCCTCTGCAGTCGAACTCGAGGATATTGATCTTCTTTGGTGGGTCGCTTTGTGGGTAGGAAGCAGGCGCAGCTTTGATATTCGCTGAGTGTTCTCTCTGTAGGCCGTGTCAGTGGTTAAGTGTAGAAAGATGGGCATAGGGCAGAAAGACCTTACAATTCTTACACCTCCAGACAAAGTTGGCTTCACCCTTGCTGCCGCTTTGTTCGTTCATCTCGAAGCGATTTACTGAGACAGGGTTGGGGTGTACTTCGCGACATGACGTGCATTGGACTTTGAATGTGTAGAAAAAGGGCGCGTCTTCGGTATCGTTGGGGCGGAGGTCGGTGACTCTGGGGTTTGTAAGTAATTTAGAGGTGGTACCTAACCACAAGAGACTCACCCGTTCAGTTCTGCTTTCAATGCTAGTGCGAGTACCATGTTGACTTTGGATATGGGCGTTGGGAAGTTTACCGTCGCAACTCGTTGCGCCTCTGGGAGATGCGCCCCGCCCCCACTAGCACTCGAGCTGCTTTCGCGCTAACGTCAAAGGGGGTAAGGCGGCGTTACCGTGCATCGCAGCTTTCTTGCAGTCCAAATCTTAATAACGCATTGCCTACTGCAAACATTCCCAGCCTGTACATTATCGGATTTACGTCACCTTCGCCTCAAAGATATTACATCTGTGATAACTCTCGCCATACTGGTTTACTAGACGGATCGGCAAATTACACTTCAGGACCTTGAATCTCCTTTTCCCAACTGAGACGACTATCGAGCGCAGTTTCCCAAGAAATTATCACACTTACTTTGGCCCTCTCTGCGTATATTCGACTTCCTTGGACGATATCTTGTTGACAACAATCTCCGGCACTGTATTATCTCAACCCCAGATCTTCAAGCTTGACCGCTACTTGCATCTATCCCCATACTATTCAACATGGTCAAATTTTACCCGTCTCTCAACGAGAAACATATTGAGTTCATCTCTAGCCAATCTATATTCTTTGTGGCTAGCGCTCCATGGTCTGGAGACCACATCAACATCTCGCCAAAAGGCCACCCATCAAGAACCTTTTCCATTCTCGGCCCGAACACAGTGGCCTATCTGGATGCAACTGGTAACGGCTGTGAAACCATCTCTCACGTCTACGAAAATGGCCGAGTTACCGTAATGTTCTCTTCTTTTGGACCCTCGCCACAGATTATGCGGCTGTTCTGCAAAGGAAGAGTAGTCGAAAAGTGGGATCCGTACTACGGCCAGTTGCGAGCGAAGATGGCGTCAGAGAACGGTGATGAAGTCGACATTACCGGTGCGCGAGCCATCATCGTATTGAAAATCCACAAAGTCCAGACCAGTTGCGGGTTCGGAGTCCCTCAAATCGGCAGCGGAAAGGCCGCAAGCACGGGAGAAGCAGCGGGCGATGCAATCACCTACGTGGACCACGACCATGACAAGGAAGAAGAGGGCGGTTTCAAGCAGCGGGATACCATGGATAACTGGGCGCGCAAGACGCTAGAGAAGCAAGAACTCGCCGATTACCAGAAACAGCACAATTATCGATCGCTCGATGGTCTGCCGGGCATGATGAGCGCCCGACGATCTCATGATGAGAACATTGCTTTGGAGGATACGAAAGCGTGGTTCAGAAAGGTCAGTAGGCAGCAAGATGCTGTGGCTCTGGGTGTAGGCTTGGGCGTTGTACTAATGCTGCTGTTGAGTCTTGTGGGCGTACTCAGCATCAAGCCGATATTCTTGCAACACATACTCAATGCGCAACGAAGGCAGTTGGGCTTACCGGAGGATTACTCGTGGAAGAGCGAGCTTTGAGGGGCACTAGATTTCACAGCGCGATACGGAAGCTCGAAGCTGCATGGCATAACTTTGGGCACATTCAACGCGGAAGTATAAATTTGACCCATTTGCATTTTATCCCTTTACGTTTCGAGACTATTATTCGTGTTGCTTGCACCGCCACGTGACGTTGAGTGCAGCCTTGGGGTTTCTGCCCCACCCTCCTTCTCAACGCCTGCCTTCTCTCATCTCGCATTGTGCACAAGCACGAATCCATCACACTTTTTATATCGCACCTCTTTTGTGATTACGCATCATAGGCGAGCACGTATATATACATGTAGTCGCATCCAATGCGCCTCCTTCACATCGAAGACGACGGCAGCCTCAGCCTCGGCGAATTCATCGAGTATGCCATTCCGGAGTATGCCATTCCGGAGTATGCCATTCCGAAGTATGCCATTCCGAAGTATGCCATTCTCTCGCATACTTGGGGCAAAGATAGCGAAGAGGTCAATTATCAGGATCTTGTCAATAAAACTGGCAAACACAAGCGTGGTCAACAGAAGCTCCAGTTCTGTGCCGACAAGGCTCAGAAAGATGGATTGAGATACTTTTGGGTGGATACATGCTGCAGGTAACAATGCCAAACATGAGGACTTCGAACACGAGCTAACATATCCATAGTAAGTTCGAATTCTGGTCGTGAAAGGACCTGTAGCGAGGTCACATTATGATGTTCGCTAACTAATTGCTTGCTTGCGGTAGTCGACAAGTCCAGCAGCGCAGAACTGACTGAATCGATCAACTCCATGTTCAGGTGGTACCAAGAAGCAGTTGTTTGCTATGTTCTGCTTGAAGATCTTCCCTCTGAAGTTGCACCGGAAGATGGTTTTCCACATTGCCGTTGGTTCACGAGAGGTTGGACCTTACAAGAACTACTAGCCCCGGAACGTGTGGAATTCTACGATCAGACGTGGGCCTGCGTAGGTACCAAGCACGAACATGCCATGGCTTTGTCTACATTCACCCACATCGCCTATCCTGTTCTACTCTCTTTCCGAGAAATGCGTAAAATGACTGTTGCTGATCGGATGTCGTGGGCTTCCAAGCGGGAAACGAAACGCAAAGAGGATATGGCCTACTGCCTTCTTGGTATATTCGACGTTAATATGCCATTGATCTATGGCGAGGGCGAAAAAGCGTTCCGTCGTCTGCAAGAAGAGATCATCAAACGCAACAATGATCTTAGCATACTCGCATGGGAGAGACCGCATGGTGTGTACTACGGTGTTCTGTTCCCAGCCTTGGCCAGTTCGCCAGGTGCATTCCCATTCATGTCTGCACGCCAAATTAGATCCGCAGTACCCACAGCCGAATTTTCTCTCACGAACCGAGGGTTTCAGGTCACTGGCAATTCCAAGCCATGGTATCGAGAATACCACATGAGAGCGAAAATGCCGACTTATGTCCTTTGCGTCGGAGCTACGATCGAGGCCGGAACTCTTTAGATTGCTCTCCGCAAGCTGGCGCCACGTTTGTATTGCCGTACAGGCAATCTGCTTCTTCGGGAAGGAAAGGTGAATGACTACGATACAGACGCTATGACATGGTCAAAAGGAGGAGATTCGGTCTTTATTTTGACAGACTTGCATCAGCTCGATCATTTTGAATTGCTAACTCCTCCTCGGGACAATGCCCTTCATATACCTGTACAAGAAAACTTTAACATCTCCCGTGTTACTCCAAGATTGTTATGGGATCACTCTGATGCCGTATTCTTAAGGCCGAGACAAAACACTCCCTTTCCAAAATATGAGTCTGTGGTAGCGGTTGAGTTCATCTTTTCTGTCAAGGAGCACCAGGATCATCTAGCCGTTGTCTACCAGAACGTTTCACTAGGTTCATGTCTGCATGTATTCCGGTCGAGGGGAGGACCTTCTGAAAATGTTGCAACGCTTGCTTTATTTGGAAGAAGAGCTCCTGAAAGAGGTATCCTTTGGGAAGACCTAATGATACAAGCACCATGGCTTGAATCTCGGGGCAACTCTATTGTCGTGGAGCTTGGAGGGGATATGTTTCGCGTGACATTCTTCTTGGAGAATGGTGAACTCGAAATCGAACAACCGGACATTGAGCAAGCCGACGCATCTGCAATAGTTATGGTCACGAACCTAAAGTCCTCAGTCGAACCCATTGAGCCTCGAATTCAAAGCACATGAATGTGAGAGAGCTCGAGTATAACACTAAGAACCCTTCTTGCTGACTGAAACCAAGCTGCAACCGCCTTCATTCAGGTGCAATGCCTCCAACAGTGCTATGTTATCCTAGCTAGCGTAGACAGCAACGATTTCCTTTAACGCATATTGCCTGTATGCACTACTCAGATGCTCACATGGCAGTTCAATCTTTCTCCAAATCGCTCGCTGAACAACTCTGACAATCTACTGCAAGAATCTGATGATAAACTGTTCAAAGGTAAGGACATGTACTTGGATAGGACCTAGGTACTGAGAACTTTACAAAAAGAAGCCTGATCGCTACCTGAAGACCTTGCCTCACCTCATCCAAGACCATACCAATAACAACCACAAGTACAATCCCGTCATAAAGAATTAGAATACACAAAAGAAAAAGAACAAGCTAGAAGCAACGTCTGGCACCAAAGCAACACGCCGCAATCGCACATCTCGCTACTCACCACCCTATCACACCAGACAAGGCCTTTCATCCCTTTTGTATACGATCTCCGATCCACCGATGGCGTGTTGGTCTCTTCTTTGTTTCTACATTGGAAACTACGTCGTAACCACAACTCCGACATCACTTTCTCGCTTTGTAGAACATCCATGAATATCACGTCAGACGAAACAGTCGTGCGAAACGTATTCATACCATTTGTACTACCAACAAACCTCGTCAACGCACTATCGTACAAGCCATGTCGCGGCGAAAACCGTATACATTCGATTCATTCGTTCATTCATCTCCCAAGGGTATTCAATTCTCCGCTTCTCCATCGTATCGTAAGAATGCATATACACAGAGCAATCCGCATCGTCCCACATGATCAAGCTCCTTCCACTCCACACGTGCCATCTCTTACAAGAAATACTCTCCGCGGCCTCCACGGCCGGCAGGGACAGCACGCTTATGATCGGGAACAGCAGAGAAGATCTGGAATTCCGGCTTCAGATCCTCGCCTAGATTCATGATAGAAGCGACGTTACCGCAGCGGTAGCAGTAGTTTGGTGCCGACCAGACAGTTACGACGTCTTTGTCTTTGAAGTGGTATTTGTATCCTTCGTTGACCAATTGATGGGCTCGGGCGATGAGTTGGAGACCGTTTACGTGATTGAACTGCAACGTTTAGTATTTGTGGAAAGATGATGGGTGGAGGGGAACATGGGCATACCTCTGAAGACACCTTGTCTCCGAACAACCAGCCTGCACCTCGTGGTGAGACGGCCCATGTATCTACATCTTCGGGATCACTCCATACGAGATCGCAGAAGGCTCCCTCGTGGGGGATCTCTTGGGCGCGGGCTACGACTCGGATCTGGTCCAATGTTCGGATTTCGGGACTGAGACCGCCGTGTACGCAAAGTACTTTTCCGTCGACGATGGCGGCCAGGGCGAGGAAGTCGAAAACTTGGCAGCAGGCTTTCCATACGGAAGCATTGCCGTACTTGGTTTGGCATTCCTCGTAGAAACCGTAGACTTGGGTGATTTGTCTCGACTCGTGGTTTCCGCGAACGAGTGTGACGCGGTCGGGGAATCTGCTACCGTTAATATCGCGAACATATTGACCAAGAGCTGTGCACCTACTTTGCCTTCAAGCACATAAGGAGAGTAAAGGTCTCCAAACTGAAGTACCCTCGGTCGACAAAGTCACCCAAGAAGATGAAGTTCTGTTGGCCGTTTCCGCCCACTGTGTTCTTGGCTGAGTCTGCATCCGATGCTGACCCAATACTGCGCCTGTCGTGTACACTCCTGCTTCGGCCTCGTTCCTCCTCCTCTTCGTCATCGCCCTCTTCATCGCCATCGCCTCCAGGGGGACTTGTAGGCCCAGTGTAGTTGGGGTCGCGCTGGAATCGCCTCTTCATCTTGCGCTTGACTTTGGGATCTGTTATGCTTGTAGGAGGCTCGAGATCGGCGGGGTTAATTGTGCTTGGTAATGTGACTGGTGGTGCGAGGGGCGCGGCAGGAGAGTCGTTAGGCATGCCACCAGCGACACGGAAGAGCTCGAGAAGGTCGTAGAACTGGCCGTGGATATCTCCGCATACTGTGACGGGTGTTCTTACGGGTTGAATATTGGATTCTAGCGGGGATGTGTTAGTGTCATACTTGGATCCAAGTGCTATCCAAGATGCCCGCTACTCATTATCCAACCATCTCTTCTTTCTGATATAGCAACCTCCGTGTCCCATATCACGTACCTTCCATGAGACATTCCTTGACAATCTCACATAGCCGCTTCATGTCTGCCTCGGGCAAGTACTTGCATTGCTTGGCTTGCTCTAGCCATTCATCGGGTCCTGCGCCCTTTGCGAGGCGCGCGGGCCCTGGCTGGGGGACGTCACTGTCTTTCCCCATAATTTAGTCGTCCTCTAACTCCGGGTCCACGGGAGGGGCTCGATGTGGTGCGTTCAAGTACAGGAAGGCGACAATGGCGGCGGAAGGGAGGTAGGTCGTGTGACGAAGGAGGTGCTGATGCGTTCGCTGTAGGGTATCATGGGGTGATGTGGCTCGCAGTGAAAGGAAACACAGTCAGCGAGAGGAAGCCACGTCGTCGGCAGCTTGAGAGGGCGGGTATTGAGGATATGCCGTCGTGGTTGAGGTGTAGTTGAGGTGCGGGTTTCGGTGGGGCAGCTGCCGCCCCTCGGCGCTTGCCGTTGCGCCTGCCATCGCCCACTGTCTTGTGAAGGCGCGCCCGTTGTCGCTGCGTCATTGCCCAAGTCGCCGTGTCTTGACGAGCCACCAAAACAATCGTCGTGTTTGGTACTGCCCTCTTCGGTGACTCCTCCAATGTTCACCCATACAAATCACCGCTCCCTCCCGCACCTTGTCTCCACTCAGCGACACTCGATATAATTCACCAGGCCGAGGGCTACCTCAAATTCAACTACGGTATATAACACGCTCGTGTCTCATAACAACCAGTACTGACAGATAGCGTATAGGGTAGCGATTCGTCCAAGCTGTTCACGACCTCAGCCCGCAACCAAGAATAATCGCGCCCTCCATGGCTCCTCCCCAGACAAATCCCAACGGCGTCCTACCCGTCGCACTCCTTCAAAAGAACCCCCCAGCTCAGACACCCCGCGGTCCCAAGGCTGCTCAGCCTCGCCTGAAGCTGATATGTCGGCGACTTCCTCCAGGTCTCTCCAAGGCCGAGTTCATCGAGGCCCTAGGCGACGAGTGGAAGCTTGGTGCTGGCAAGATTGACTGGATCAACTACAGAAAAGGCAAGGTTTCTACTGAGTATGTCCCTCTTTCCTCTCCTTCATGGACAGCCTATTCATTACCTCAGTGCCGCCAAACCCTCCAAGCCAGCGCGCGCATACATCCACGTTACGAAGCAGGACCATGTCAAGACACTCGGCAACCACGTGCGCGCAGTCACTTTCCACGACGCGACCAAATCATGGCAGGACCCTGCCCTCGTCGGCCCGCCTACGCTCGAATACGCACCTTACCCAAAGATGCCTGGTGGCCGCCGAAGGAACGACAACCGTCAGGGCACCATCGACCAGGACCAGGAATTCAAGGACTTCCTTGAGAGCCTCACAAATCCAATCTCCAAGCCGCCTGCCGCCGAGAACGAAGGCCAGAAGGAGAAGGTCAAGACTACGCCTCTGATCGAAGCGCTAAGGGAAAAGAAGGCCAACAGAGATAAGCCGAGCGCAAAGGCAAATAGACAAGGCCGTGGAGAAGCCAAGGACGACGGTGGTGAGAAGAAGATTCTTGCAAAGCCGGGCAAGGAGAACGCTCTGAATTCGAATGACAAGAATCGTCGGCTGAGCAAGGCTGACAAGGCCCAAGCCACCAAGGAGGCCGTAAAGATCCTTAACAAGGAAGCATCGTCCTCCAAATCATCTGCTGCGACAGCCTCGGCGGACAAGTCTTCTGCCAGCCCAGCACCCGAGCGCAAGCGTGGCAATGTTGCACTCGCAAAGTCAATGCTGCAGCGTGACCTCGGTGTAGGGCCTGCTCCCAACCGTCGCCGTGGAACCAAGCGCGAGGTTGGTACAGCTGCGCCAGATACCAACGCTCAGGCAAAGGAGACCAAAGCATCCGACGACAAGGCCAAAGAAGCGCCTGTCGCACGACCGGCTGCATCAACTCCGGACAAGAACGCCCAGGCAAGCAGAAAGGAGCGCCCAACTCGAGCAGAACGACGCGCATTCAAGGCCAATCAGGGCGACAAGCCCAATGAGAAGGCCAACAGTAGTGATGTGAAGCCGCAGACGCCACTGAAGACTCCTGCGCCTCAGATCCTCAAGAAACCTCAAACCCCGAACCCACCCAAGGGTCCAGCTGCTTCTCGAGCGCCTCCGACCGAGCCTGCTGCTGCCAGAAATAGCCCCGCTCCACCACAATCACAATCTACTCCGGCCAAGGTGGAGACGGCATCCGCTCAAGCGCATAACAATGCCGCAAAAGCAACACCAGCCAACCCCGTGCCTTCGCCTACGAGCAAGCAAGCTTTCCTCAAGCATGCCAACCCCAGCCAGGGCATTACTGAGCCCCTCATCGAAGAAGTTATGAAGACCTTCGGAGGCATTGACAAAGTCGAAATCGACAAGCGTAAGGGCTTCGCCTATGTCGACTTTGCCGAACCCGAGGGTCTACGAAAAGCCATGGCTGCTAGCCCAATCAAGATTGCACAAGGCGCTGTTCAGGTTCTTGAGCGGAAAGAAAAGGTCACCAGGAATCCTCGCTTCAATGGTCCGCCGACTGGACCTGCTCGTGGCGGTACGAGGGGTGGCTTTGCACCGAGAGGTGGACGGGGCGGTCGCGGGGGTGCTAGAGGTGGAGGGCATGTTGGTGCTGTACCTGCTGCGGGTGCTGGCGAGTCTGCTTCTAGTGCACCTGCTGCTGCCGCTGCTGCTGCTTCGGCTTCGGCTCCGGCTCCAGCACCAGTTGCCAATGCCGATGCCGCCACGTGATGGGGGCACCGAATTTGTGTGCCTCAGACACGAGATATTAGCACTTCGACGACAGTCCATCGAACATGACCGCCGTCCATATCGCGGTATCCACTGTATCGATTACAACACTACATGTCTAGGATTGGTCTTCGTCTTGCATAGCCTTCTCCATCATTGATAACAGACTACAGCATATCAGATATGCGCACAAAGAAGTATGCATATGGTGCCGTGGATCATTTGATTAGAAAGTATGATTATACGAGTAAGCGATACCGAATCTGCTACATGGACATGGGTATGAGGCGACGAGATGCAGTGAGAAGTTGGCATGATAAGAGGTTTAGTCAAGTATTTGGAAATATGGAATTGAGATGTGTATATGTCTAGTTGCCTGACACGCTCTTGATCATGTATTTGGTACGACATGGAGTAGAGAGTGGATTGAGTTAGATTAACCTAGACTAGACTAAACATGTCCTTATTACTCCTACCCTCGTGCCTATAATATGAAACATGAAGGAGTGTTATAAAGAGATATAGCGAGCTTTTGGTGCCGTGAGGCGCTTGTCTTTGGTATATTGTAAGAGACGAACGTGAAGACGACATGGAAGCGAATCTTCGATCCTTGAGTTGAGATGAGACGAGAGAGGTAGCAATTTCGTGGCAACAGTAATGGCGCTCTGGGTCTGGCACAACACACAACTCAAACTTCAAGGCAGCAAAAGAAAAAAACAATAACAAGCAGCAAGTAGGAACAAGAAGCGCAATCATGAAACATGTACATTAACGTTTGAAGATGAAAGATTTCCAGCTCTTTTCCCCGTTACATATCCATCTAACTAACATATAGCCCATCCGCATCGTCCTTGCATGTTCCCGCCAAACCACCCAATGCGAATGCAAAACGAACCAGATGCCAAAGCTGACTACCAACAAGAAAAAGATACGCTAACCAATCTCCAAAACAAGGGTATCGACAAGATCCGCCGCGAAGCGTATTGGAAGAAAGTTGGAGAAGATTTTCCCAGATCCAGGTCTTTGATTCGTAAATAAAACGATACAAAGTAGACAAATGACCCGCTAAATGATACTTGAAACAAGAGGAAGAATAAGCAATGCGATAAGACACGCTTGATGATATAAATATGCCAAAGGAGGAGGTGATGAAGCATAACAACGGATAAGTTGCAAATGATAGTGCTGAAGATGCGAAGATGTCGTTATAGTGTAGGCCGTCTCAGTTATACATAGTGTGCGCGAAATTGGAAGTAAGGAGTTGAGAGCCTAGATCATGGGGGTGTTCTCTCCACCCTGGTATACACCCGCTTGTAGGGTATTGGGAGGCATGTTGGCTCTCAGCTCCTTGGGGTGTCTATAAAACGGCTGACCATTCCCATTTTCGGGAGGAATGACCTGCTCCATAGGCTGAGGTGGAGGCGGAGGAGGCGGAGGAATCTGGTTGAAATACGAGTCGTGATGGTTCGTATCGCCAGGAGGAGACCTCGTGTTTGGTCCACGAGGGAAGGAGAACTCCGGAACGCTCTCATAAGGGGATCGCTCAGCGCGAGTAACAGGCGGGGATTTGGCGCGCTGAGGCCCTCGACTGGTGCTACGCATGCGTTCAGTTACGCGCTTGAAAGTCATACCGAGGTTCTCGCTCACACTGCCGCGTCCCCGACGGTGAGCATGTGGGGAGCCAGTGGCGGAAGCTTGAGTAGGTGACACTTCCATAGGCTTCTCGCTTGGACTGTTTCCTTCGATGGCAATGTTGATCATACCGATGCCGTTGCCGCCACCGAGGTTTAGCGGTGGTGGAGGCGGTGGCGGTGGAATTGCTAGGTGCTGGAGTTGAGATAGCAGAGGTGGCGCACGATCACGGTCATCTTGGTCAATGACTATGACTTGATTTTCGTGAGCTTGGCTTTCGTGGATCGTCTCGGCAATGCTAGCAGTGATCGGGGGCGGGCTGTGACGCTTGTAGTTTATCTGGGGTAGGACGTCGGGCATGGTGTTTTGTCGAGCATGACCACGAGATCCACCTAGAGAAGGGCGTCTGCCTATTGAAGGGTAGGTAGGCGAGTTGTAAGAACTAGATGGAAGTATGTCCTGTGGAGGTGCTGACACGGATCGGGAGGGAGGTGCAATAGGCTGGCCGAAAGTGGTTGCGGGAAGCAGAGGCCCGATGTCGTCTGTTTCGGTGGAGTTCGATCCTTGATGTTGCATATTGTCCGGAATACTTGGCACTGCTGGAATGTCATCTTCCTCGTTCGGGTCGGCGGTCATGTATCTTGGATGACGCATGGCGCGGGGGTTCGCTGGAAGACCGATAGGTACAGATGTTGTCGATGTCGGCCCTGCACCGCCCATCCTGTTGGTAGGTGAGTACCTCTTGGTCATTTCCGGATCCGCTGTTTGGCTTCTCTGGATTGGATCACGATAAAGCGACATCGAGTTCAGCATGTCATCAGTGTTTGATCGCTCGTGGGATATTGGTCGGAAGGCAAGATCTCCCGGATGAGGAATGACAGGAGCGGATGGCCGCCGAGCCAAAGATAGCCTGCGCTCCTCGAGTTCACGAGCAGCTAGAGCCCTTCTTGACAATGTGGGAGGGCGCATGCGCGATACACCGGAACGTCCCGAAGTCAAGGATTCAGGAGAAGCATCTCGCCCGTAACCCCTGGTCCGGCTGGATTCCCTCAGAGCCGGCGTAGCTTTTCGGCTCATGGATCGATCTCGTGGTGCACGTCGCTCTGGGGAAGTTTCTCGACGACTGTCTGCAGCGCTTCCTGAGGGCCGGCGGCTTCCGCTGCGATGACGCGGGCGAACAGGCTCATAGTCAATGAATGCCTCGGCGTCGTCGCGTTGCATGGGTTGGGGAGACACGGGAGAGTGCTCACCACGAACAGCGCTTCGTCCGCGACCTTCAGCCGGGCGACGACTTGATGCGCGGCTAGTACCTTTGCTTCGGGCCCGTGTGGCTCCTTCGGGAGACTCGGTACGGCGTGTAGCTGCTTTGGATGAGGATCTTGTCTTGCTTACTCCTTGTCGTGCTCGGCTGCGAGCGGTGCGGGTGCTGGCAACAGACTCCGTGACAACAGGAGAAGCAATGCTCATCTTGTAAAACCTCTCATCATCGAAATCTTCTGTACTGGTTCCCGCTTCCTTCTTATTCATGGAGTAGATTCCCGCATCTTCTGGAGACATCGGAACAGGCGAGGAGGGAGAACGTTTGGCAGGGCGGATATAGCGAACACCTGATCTTCCACGATTTTGCGACTCTTCGCGAGTGCGACTGCGAGTGCGCGCAGTTCGCGAAGCAGGCCTTTCCTCGTTCCTCGAGTTGGTGCGGTTCTGAGAATAATGATTGGCCTCGTCTAGACTGCTGATGTATTGATCAATGCTGCGCGCCTTAGCGCTCTTGATGCTTGCGCCGGTCAGTGGTGGGCTGAGTCTGTTTGTATATCCTGTTTCTGGGCCGATTTCAACTATGTTGTCCTTCATGTCCAGGTGGAGCTCTTGTATGTTTCGGCTTCGAGAGCTGCCGCGAGACTCGCTGTGTTTCTCCTTGAGAGCATCGAATACGCCTACTGCTGGAGAGGGTAGGTGGTCGCTTGATTTTCCTGGGTTGAAAGTTGTCGCAGAGAGGACAAAGTCTTTAGAACCACTTGTTGCTCGGCGTGTTGAAAATGGCAATGTCTCGGCTTCACGACCGATGTTGTCAACGGCAGTTCTCGGATGGGATTCACCACGCTGTCCCCGGTCGGGGATGGCCAATGATGCGAGGATTTCATTGTTCGTAGTTTTGCGACCATTGTCGGATCGCGAAGGGAAGCGCTTCCTACCATAAGATCCTGGTGTTGCAGTTCGTGCCGATGAAGGCTCTCGAGAGGCATCGCGGGCAGCACGACCAAGCCAAGCGTGGTGGCCTACAGCCGGGCTGATAGCTGACTCAGCGATAGGCGTGACACCCGCATGCATGGGTGTCTTTTCGTCTTCCTCTCGGACGATCTGCTTAGGCTGGGGACCGCGAGTGAAGTCAGTAACTAGTTTGAGTGAGGCCATCCTAGCCGCCACTCGGCTACTGCCAACACTGCCACTAGGGGGCGACAAAGGCGGGCTCATCTGTGAGCCAAGAAGCGCTTGCTTCTGCGCGGAGAAAACAGCATCCTGTGCACGAGGTGAGAACCAGGGCTCTGTGGTTTCGAGACCCATGCATGAGAAACATCGCACTGCCAACTCCGCTTTGCCGTGTTGTACCGCGTACTCTCCCCATTTCCGGACAAGGAACGATTGCCTTTGCCAGTCAGTTGGGAATGTCAAACATGTCAGTAAAATAGCCTCCATGTAGTATTTACGAGACACGTAGACCTCGATAGCGTCGTTGTGCTCACCCAGTCCGAGGAAGATCGCGACGGCAGGGTGAATGTCGCCCTTCTCTAGGAGACGCTGAACGAAGGCCTCACCGACTTTCTTCTGTGAGCCCTGGCCCATGTTGCTCAAAGCCAGCAACATCCAGTCAGAGGAGGTCATTGACTCAGAGCCGACCATGGAAGCCATGAGGTCTGCGCCGAGGTCACCAAGCCACTTTGAGAGAAGGACGGCAGCGGCTGAACCAGGAGCGTGACGTGCTAGTTCATCTTGCACTAGATCCTCAATGTCCTGGTCCCAGCCAAACACAACCTTGAGCATGTTGCGTCGTAGATCGTCTGGAGTGCGTTCTGGTCCGAGATCCGTGGGGCGGAAGGGTACGTCGCTCAGCCTCGTTTTAGTGAAAGGGAAGAGATCCATATGTTGGTTCTTCTTGGACTCGTCTGGGCTTCTGAGAACCTCCTTGCGCAGAGCTGAAGAGCCGTATCTGGAGGAGGATGCGGCTGATGATATTGATCGGATGGATACGCTCTCGCGTGTTGAAGTGCCAGTAAGGGAGGAGGTACCGGACGAGAAGATCGTACCAGAACCACCCGAGCTCTTAGATCTGGTAGACCGTTGTGATGCTGAGCCATGTGATGGTCTGTCGTATCGGTAACGTGGGGCACGGCCGCTACCAGATGATCGTGAGCTCTGGGAGCCTCGACTGGAGACGGGACTGAGGGGCCCCACACGATCACGGCGCTCTTCCTCCAACTGGTCCATCTCTAGGGCAATCTTCTGCAGCGGCGACATGGCGACGCCTTCATCGGCACTGCTTTCTGACTCGGCAAGCATTAGTGGAATTGTCTTAGACGGGAGGGCAGTAAGCGGTGTCTCCATTTGCTGCTTCTGTTCATCTAGAGAGCTGGGCGGGGATGGAGGCGTGTTAGCGGGTGCATGCTGAACGTTAGCTACCATGGTGGCGGGGCCGTTACTGGGGTTGATGTCGTATTGTTGGATACTGGAGTTACGCCCGATGGTGAAAAGAGTGGCGGTGGGACCGTAGTTGCAGATAGCAGCGATGCCGTCAGTCGTTGGCACAGTTTCGTAGGATACTCGTTTGGTACGGACATCCCATGCACAAGTTTGACTATGATGTCACGTGTCAGTACAAGGACCTATTGGCAATGGATAGCAAGATACGTACCCTTCGGTGTACTGCACGATTCTGCCGTTCTTCGACCACGCGAACCAGCAGGGGCCGGGCTCCCTCTGTTCCTTTTGGTTGAGAACACGAATCACACATGGGGCATCGCTGCCATGCTGGGCCTTGGGAACGCTCCATACTCGGAGGTCGCCGTCTGATGTTTGGGCGGCCAACATCTCGGACTTTTGCTTGGATGAGGAGCCATGCCAGGCGAGACCCGCAATAGGGGAGGGGTTTCTTGGAGTGGTGAGGGTGTGCAGGATAGTGAAGGATGGCTGTAGGGTGGCAATTAGGATGGAGCCATTGAGGTATCTGGGGCCGTTAGTACTGATCCCGACACATTGCTTTTTCTCCTATACGCACCCAATGGCGAATGTTCTGCAGTCTGAAGCTGGTGCCAGTGCTGTGATGGGGTCGAAGATGGTTCTAGCTGAGAGATGTTCGGATGTAGAAGGCTCGAACAGGATGATGTTGCCCTGCGCATTCCCTATTCACCTGTTAGCTCCAATCAGGCAATGGCAATTGCTAGACCCTGACACTCACCAAAAGCAACGTTTCCATTCCGCATCCACGTCGCAACACGGATCTGCTCGTACGATGCAAATCTCGCCACCTCGTCGCCAGTGAACAAGTCCCACACAATTGCAGTCGAGCCGGCATCGTAGGAAACAACTAATCGGCCCGCTCCTCTTTCACTTGTTGTGTCGACTGATATCCACGATACATCTTCCCGATGTCTATCAAAGCGTCTTTCTACCGCCAATGTGTCGTGGTGAAGGCATAGTATTACGTTCCGTTGCGCATAGAGCAGGAACGAGCCTGTTGCTGCACAGGGCTCGAATGCGAACTCATCTTGGCCCGGCGTCGGAGGCTTGAGTTTAACGTCTGTGGAGCGAACCGAGTTGCTTTTCATGGAATTGGAATTCGCGCGCTGTCTTAATCCAGTCGACATGGTGAGGGCTGGATCTAGGTTGGTCGTCAGTCGGGTCGAATCCGCAAGGGCCCGCGAAGCGCATAACGATGAAGACGAGGGCGATTTGGGATGACGAGAGTACAATCAGGAGCTTCCACAAAAGCGAGTATGAAACTGCAAGACGTCAGGGGAATTCAACTCACTGCAGAGAGCAAGAGCGCGCTAAACAGCAGTGCGCTGACAGCTCCACGGCGTCTGGAGGACGGTACCCTTTGGCCCCGCCCCGGTCTCTACAGGGATCAAAGTTGAGGCGGTTAAACAGAACTCAGGTACCGCGTTGGTCTTATGCGGCGGTACAGCAACGTGCAGCTGAAGAGACAGACGAACAAGCAAGACAGTGAAAAGGTAGAGAAAAAGCGACAACAGCGCAGGCGATGTGTGAGTTGAAGCGCGTGGACGCCCGCCTATCACTAACGGCGCTTAGAGCTCAAAAGACCGACTGATACTCGCTCGAAATAGTACGAATAGCATCGGTTGGTGCCGTCCAGCCAACGAGCAGCATACCCGGCAGGAAAAGGCGTTAACGGGCTGGGGTTGAGCAGCCTCATTCGCTCGCCAACTGTGAAAGGTCGACATTGGACCTTCGGGGACTCGACGAACGAAGCAGACGCATGCTGCAATCCTGGAAGCCAAGTTGGTGACACCGCACGTTAATGGTTAGGTTCGCGCCGGCGTGCCTGCGTGGGTTTAGAAAGCAGCCTCTCAGAGGGCTGAACGGCACAGGGACGAAGATGCGGAAGACTGGGGTCCAAGGGGCACACGGGGTGGCCAAGCTGATTGGCTAGCCTATGTGCCTACCGCACAATCATCACACTTTCGCGCTCGAAATCAACGTATCAGCAAGCGGTACGGCCGCCTTGGACCGGCCCGTAAAGGATGATCCCTACATAGTCAAATATGCGACATGCCTCGTCGACTCGATGCATATAACGACTCTCTGTTCTCGACGCTGGCATGACTCTTCTCAAAAGTACGGTGACGGTAGCGCCATCACGACATGTTCACAATTTTCCACCTGACGCTTGGTCAACCGTTCGCATACTGAAGCGTCCGTCAACGCCGCAGTTAGCGCATCGTGCCCAAGCTTCTGCGCAACGGACTCAACCCGCAGCGTTCGGGAGCGGATATGTAGGTTGGTGCCACAAAGGTCACGGTCCCTGAACGACTATCCTGCACAAGCCATGGCCCGTCTCAGAAGAAACATCAAGAGCTCGCGCATGACGTGGGAAACCCCACGAGATGGTAGTTCCGACTTCACTTTTGAACCCAGCCGCTTGTATCGCGGGGCCATTGTAACGTCTTGCGACCCATGCTCAACTAATGTGTTGATACCTACATACGGCCTACATATACGGCCCAAGAACCACCCTCTATTGTTGAACCAAGCACAGAGCATAACGTGCCGCTGCAGAGGCAGGAAACACAGAAGCACATGTCGCTAACCAAGCACAACCGATCTACTCCCGCTCCGTCAGCTTTAAGCAAGTCAAAGCTCCGCCGATCTGGCATGCGAGCTTCGTTCCCCGGTCGTGATATATGCATGCCAGTTCATAGTGGCTACGAAAACCTCGTGTTTCTTCAAGACCCCCGGCTCGGCATGAAGCGACAATCTAGCAAAACTGCTTCAAGCCGTGTCATTAGCTCTCAACACCGTCTTACACCGTTCGAGCTATACCCAACGGTATCGCAGAAACGGGGGTGGGTGTCATGAAGTTGGGCACACATTGCTAGTTCCGTGATGAATTATTCACTTCCTCAAGCGAAGCGCCCGAAAGGAGCTTCATCCTGGTCTCTTTCTACACCGTCTGCCAGCCACACGAATATCGCCCCTCTTTTTGTACTGTGCTATACACACTCCCCCCACGACATTCGCAGGAAAACAGCGGGGGATGCAAAATTGCAAAACGCTTTCGCACAAATCGCGTGTCGTTCCCAGACAGCTTGTGTGCGTACTGCTCTAGGTGAGTCAAAGCATGCATCGCTGTCAACACTGCAAGCCCAGCCAAAATGTACTGTGATACAGCATGGTCATTTTATGGACCCACACAATGTACAGGAGCTTCGAGTACTAGAGAACAACCCCAGCAAGATTTGAGAAAACGCTTGTCTTGGGCATATCTCGCGATGATACAGGGAATGGGAGGAAAGGGGCTGTCTATCATGATTCAAGAATGCATATAGTGAGGGATTACCGCATTGAGAAATGTAGGGCTGTTCACGAACACTATACCAAACATGCTACCGCTGCAATATGACGTCGCTTCAGCAGCGCCCAACAGGTCGTTCAGCAATTTGCTTTTTCGGTCGCGACCTCGAGCATGTAGAATGCCATTCCCACTACCAATGCGGATGCGGATGCGCTGCATGCAAAAGAAACATGGTTACAACTACCGAATCCCGCTCTGGGAGCGCCACACATCTCAACAATCACACCTCAAAATTCGACTAAGACGCCAGTCACATCCTCATCACATGGCTATACTATTCTGGGATTATCATCACGAAAAGCGCAATCTATGTGGAAAAGATTTTCTTGTTCTCAAGGTGAGACGCGATGCTGTAAATTTGGCAAATGGGGGTATCTATCTAAACGATGGCTATGCTATGCTAAGGTATGGTGGGGGTATCAATAAAGGGAAAACAGGCGAGCGAGGATGCTTATCAGCCACAAACAAGCCTCTCGCGCCTTTTGCGCACACAAGCGGCGCATACAAAATTCGCATTCCGATTTGCGGAAGCGGGGGTATCGAGAGAAGGTCAGAAACGCTGCAGACCTGCAAATGCGAGCGTCTGTCACAATGCTCTCCTCCAATCCATTTCTTCAGTCTCCTTCCACAAAATGGTGGTCTGGAGTTCCTCCTCTTTCAAACGATCGTCAGGATCTGCGCAAGAACGCGGTCTGGATGCATGTGCGCAACCACGACGCTAACGAACGACGCAAGTGACTGTTGCGCCCAAAGGGCTGTCTGTCGTGTGGTAGATGGCAACGGATTGATGAGACGGGGGTGTCCTCGTTCACACCTTTGATAACCTGACAGTGTGACTGAGGCTGACATGCGGGGGAGGTTGCATCCCCCAGCTCCTGTTACATCTCGTGGTGTTTGAAGTGAGATGGGACAGAGCACATGTGAGGTCGACTGAGGCGCGTCACGCGGCAGACTCAGGTCCCGGTAACGGGATAATGAGTGAGGCTGACAGTGGCGCCTGATGGACTGACAGCTCATGGGACTCAGCCATGCCAACGCGATGCTGACGCGCGCGCCTGCAATGATGACGTTGATGTAGTCACAAAAAGGTACTGATAATGCCGTTAGTGCTGCGTCGCGATTCGTTACCAGTTCGGCAAACTTACAATAACACTAATGTTATCACTTGAACTGCTTGCTCATTCAACCTGCTCTGGCGACTCGGAGATGGGAGTCATGGGCTTGGAAGTGCGGCGCTGCTTGCCACTGCTGCGACGACGCTCGCTCTTGGGCTTCTTGGGTGCGTACAGTGGTGGCAGGACGGGGAGTGCTGTCGCCGTGGGGTACACGCGTGGTGGAGCAGGAGCCTTGTCGAGGAACGGGCAGGCGAAGTCGTCGTCAAAGTCCTCACCAAAGAGGTCTGCGTCGCTAATGTAAGAGGATGGTGCGCTGCGATGGTCCAGCGATGGACCCGTAGGCCATGATGGGTAAGCACATGTTGAGCCACGAGATGATGAAGCCTCGGTAGAGTAGTTGCTGTAAAGCGATGATGTTGGTGAAGACATGTTTCTAGGCGAGATGCTGATGGGCAGCGACTTTGATGGCGAAGAACCTGGAGATGATTCGAAGTGCATGATGGTGAATGGATATAGCGTACGGGGTGGGTCGCTATTGTATATACACACTTGCGGGCACTTTCGGCGCTACAAGACTGATGTGTGTTTTCGTGATTTTTTCGTCAGTCTAGCGTCGCGGCAACTGGACCGAGGCGCAGGGGCAGTTGATGATGTATGACGCCGATGTGGGTGCTGGAGGAAAAAAACAGGGTTACGGGTGCTACTCCGGTAGCGTCGGGCTGCGTCTCGAAAAGCGATCTGGGAGATTTGCGATCTTTGGATCTGAGAGTTTGGTTCGGGGGCGTGTGTTAAATAAAAGCCACGGGGGTTATGCTTCCACGCAAGGGTCAGGAGTTCGAGTCAGTCAGAAGCAAATGCTGTGTGTCTGCGTGTGTCTCGAATGCTGATCAGATGAAGGCCTGGACGTGGGGAGGGTTCCATATATCTTCCGCCGTAAACAATACTGTATACTCTCCACGCCTCGCTCCGGTCCGCATGAAACGCTTTTATTTGGCGCTTTATGATTTGCCTTTTGTTATGTGTCGGTGAGTGACCGCTGTTTGGAAAGGGTGCACTGTGGTTGGCGGAGCTTCCTCGCAGCTCAGACCGCCCCTTCACAAAGGCTGCCATTTCTGGCTACCTTAGCCGTCAGCCCCGTATGCTCCGCTGCGCCTGCGAGTCCATCCCGGCTGTCGGGGCACCTCGACCGTGACATGGCAGCCCATCCTTCGCCCTATCGACTTGCCCACATGCGAAATGCAGCGATGACTCGTCCACAAGGCCATCAATCAGGGCCGTCACGTTCTGCCTCGTCGTCTCCGGCGCAAAACACTCAAAGCCTGCTTCGTCACTTTCAATAACCGCGTTTGGCCACACGTTGCTTTGGAATCCTGAATCTTCAAAAAGCAGCTGGACAAGGGATGTGACTGTGACAGCGGATACACACCCCACGACTCATTCGCGCCGCGCCCGTCTCCGCGAGTATCGATGCGGATAAGATTATGTTGCATAGCTGAATGCAGTAAGCTTATTGTCAGAAGATCATCTCGGGGATGAATAGGGAGACCCTTGGTGCCATCCCCACGCTTTCATCCGGCGGCATCTGACATCCGCAAAAGGAAGTGCAAACGCATGCCCCGGGTTACTGTCCGCTTCTCCGTGCCCCCTTGTGAAATTGATAGTGATTGTTTTTGCGGATGTACCCCAAACAGTCCATATGGCTGTTTGACAACTTGATTCGAGTGTCGCAGAGTGGCCACCTGTCTTGCCCCTCCCTCGCCGACGATACAGGCCGGCCACACAAGGCGATCCTCGCCGTTTTGAAACGAAACCACTCCACAAAGCTTCCTCAAGTCTGAAGATAGCCTCGGAACGTGTGCTTTCCTTTCGCATCGAGGTTTAGCCGGTCAAGCACATGGGGTACATTAGTCGCCATCACATGCATCTCGACGACGATCCCAGGGTCCAGTCAGTGGATGAAGGTCTCCACTCGTGGCCTCCGAGACAATTTCTAGCCTGCGGGTCCCCTTTACAACCTCACCCACCAGTAGTCTTCCATAGCCGGCAGGTACTTTACAGGCCGTGGAGCAAGGTAGCATTGCCACCAATAGTTGTAGCGAGGTACATCTCGGCCCGGCATCAACTGTACACTTCCACAACCGCCATTATCGCTCAGTGAGACGGTTTGCAGGAGTCATACTTGCAGCCGCTGCGGATCCGTGTTGGCCCCGAACAAAGTCCAGTAACCTTCCTTTCATTATCAAGTTCCAAATGCGTTGTGGAGGCGTGGTACACGCCCCAACTGCTTACTGTTGACCTGCAGTGTGCGGGAGGCTGAGTAGAGATCTGTAATGTCCGTGTCGCATGCAGTGAGCACACCCTCCCGTTCGCATCATCACCGCAACGGTTTCCGCAAATACAACCCTTTGTGCCTATAAATTCGCAAACACCACAAAGGAAACGGAGCACAAAGATCAGCCCTGTCGCTTACATTGTGTGCATCTGCGCTCGGCTGAACGTTGGAATAGAGCACCCTGCTTTCATCTCCACGTTTTTCGCGACCCGTTTTTGCCTGTACGCTCTGCCGGTAATCTGGGGTCGGTAGAAGGAAACCGTCTGTGCTTCCTCTGGAAACTGGGGATCGTGAGTCCGTCCGCCCTAGTGTGGAAGGTTCTTCCATTCTTCCATGCGCTACCACCGTTTCCAAAGTGCTCGTGCGCAGCTCCTCGGGTCGAGTCAACACCCATATTGCCTTTACCGAGGTTCTGTTTTACCATTGGACCAGTGCCAAAGTAGAGCTATAGTTCGGTTGACGACTCGGTCAGAAGGTCGGTCGGTCAACTAGGCCACGTTGACGCTACTCCTAGCCTTTTCGCTATTGCTGCACAGAGTGCGGGCAGGCGACCAAACTAAGAAGGTTCCAAACCGCGTGTGAATAAACTTTACTTAGCTGATACGAAGGGTTCCCCTGTTTGCAAGTTCACATGCAAGGAACCACATGGCTGTTTTGGCAAACCTCGCAGCTCGAGCGAAATGCAGGGTCTGCAGACCCATAAAGCAGCACCTGTTCATGACGACGTTTGTCCCACAAACGACATCAGCCAACACCCTGACGAAGCAGGTGTGCCGCTGTCTCCATTCACGACCCCATGTCAGACCCCGTATCACTTAACTCGATGCTATCACCAAACTTCAATTATGACGTCGTCGGGCATGCAGAACCGCACTAAATCCGCCACGGCGCTATTCTTTTTTGCAACTCCTGCAAACATGAAGCTATCGTCAAAAAGTCTCTGCCATGATATCCACATACCAGTACGAAGTAAACGAACTTCATTTCGGTGAAAACGCACGTGGGTGGATCGGTAGCATCATCGTGCTTATGGTGCGGCTACAGCCTTCAACTAGAAGCCTGTCCTCCCTTTACGTAGAAGGTCCGATGTGGATCCAAACGATAAGACGACTCAACTGGGTAAAAATTTCAGCGCTCCGATGTGGAGATGCAACAGCCTACCTCCGACATGTTTTCGTGAGACCAAACACCTACGATTCATGGGTGCTGGCGAAAAACGGCCGGGTGCTGTGGCTGTGGAGCAGGTGTTGGAGCCTCAATTTCATGCAACACCTCAACACATACCGTGCAGTGGCGGTGAGTGGATACAGCTTCAAAATTCAAATCCGGCCGCGGTTTGAGCGGTTCGAACGGCTCAAAAAAAATATTCAATTTCATTTCTTAAATCATCGCTGTGCTCTCGATCGCCCTCAAGCCATGAATCCAGAATCATATTCCAAAAACTACAAGACTGTTTGCAAAAGTACTTTCCTCTTCCGGAAGTACAACCGCCTGCGTGGTTGTTTGAGAGGATGCAAGTGTACCATGGGATTATCGCGGCCTAGACCGCCGTTGCGATCAACAATCGCCCTGCATGTCACTAGGTACTTGACAGGCAGGTGCACGATGAATAGGATTCGTGAGAAATAATCCGTTACTGTGTACAGTATAGGATAGTTGGTCGATTTCGGTTGCAATTCTTCCGCTTACAGATGAGGGGAGGAGAAACTCCGGTGGCTGATCAAAAACGGAGAATTATGGACATGCATCGTGAGGAGTCGACGCGGGGATGCAGATGGTGCATCTAGTGCGAGATGCCATTCACCGAATTGTTATCTGAAACAGTTGGAATGGTTGTTACATTCTCACTGATAACCTCTGCAGCGTGCTTGCTTCCGGGCGTTGGCGCCGCAGTAGGGGCACGCAACTCTGTCGATCTGACAGCTGCCACTCGGTGCGACTACATCGTCGCATCTCTGCTGCAACGGGCAAATCCCACCGAATAATGGACTTCGCCATCTTTGATATTGTTTGCGACATCCGCTCGAAACTCGTTGCACAAATGCGAGTCCAATGATGGTGGGGCAAATTTCCACGAGGCCCCCTAGTAGGCATCCACGACACTCCCACTCATGTTTGCCCACTACAAATCAGTCAGCAGACCAGGTAAACAACTACTCAGCCTTGGAGCCTTCTCCGCCTTGCAACTCTCTATACCTTGCAACATCTAAAAACTACATAGCATCTCAACATCGCAATAGACAAAGGAAATCGGTATAGCGGTGACTCACCGCCTAACAAACTCATCCCAACACCGCTCACCTCCATATCGTAGTCTATGCAGTGCGACACCTAAAATGCAAGCATGCCGATCGATCGACTTCCGCTGTCGGAGCCGCGTATGGAAAACTGCCAGATGGTGCATGAAAGCGAGAAAGCAGGGCCATGCCCAGTTGTAACAGCCATAAAGAAGGCGCCTGTCCCCCATTCTTACCAAGTCCTCCAGGCGTCTACGTGGCGGAGCAGATTTGCCACCAGCTTGGTTATCCAGGTATACAAGTTGACGGTTGGTAGGCCGGTGTCTGCCTTGCTTGACCTTTTCCGCTGCAAGAGGCGGCGATAATGGCGCTTCGTGGGAATCCTCTCATTCCTTCCCTCATTTCCAATCCACACACGATGGTAGAACCCTCGTAGCTCATTCGCCTAGTGCTCAGGCGAAGACTAGTCTTGCTGTATGTCGTGCATATGTCACTGTTTTAGTTGCTCCAACGAGACCCCACGCAGGGCAGGTAGAGTGATGATCACAAGGGCGCTTACCATCCCCACGCCACACCACACATGACATGTGAAATTGCTCTGAATGCATTACTCCCGTGCCTACCGCGGTTGATGCTACTCTTCGGCATTTGATCTAGATCTTCTTGTTTCACCCTCCAGAAGGCGAGAATGCTCCGCTTCCCGAGGATATGGCGGTTATCATCTCGGGACGTGGGGTACCAGGAAAGGAAAGCCGGTGGGGTAGACTGTGGATTCTCCCCTCCACACACACTTTTGCAAATGCTGTGGAGATACAGTGGGTTTCATCAGGACCCTGATATCTCTTTAACCGGTTTCTTCCATCAGAAATGGCAATTTCCGTAAGAAGCTGATGGAGAGGTGGCGTCATAGTGGGGATTGTAGTTACTGTTCGAAGTATAGTTGTTGATCAGTGGGTATGGCGGTAGTCGGCATGTGAAGTGGAAGGGGTGGGCGAAGACGTATTACGGGTATTGAGACGTGTGTCTAGATGTAATCAAACGCGGAAGTGAGGAATACTCGGGTATTGCTCTGGCTTGAATTCGTATGAACGGGTCGTGAGTCGAGCGCATGACCCGATGCCGCGTTGTTATGCTCTTAGCTCTACGCCTTCGCCACATGGCTATACTACAGAATACTACAACTACTATTCTAGAGTTTTGAATCCATGAACAGACGACATGTCCGCTCCCAAAGAGAGACTGGCTGACGTTCCTAGGATAGTGCGTCCTTCTATGGACCACCATTGTCCGGGACCAGCACGTCCTATTGGGTTACCATGTGTAATGCATAACTGCGGTATATCCTGTGCCAGAGAGGTCAAAACTTACTTCCCAAGGCCACGGCGCTTCAAGCCGGAGCCCAGTAACCATCCCAGTTGTACTTCAGTACTTCGTTACCCCAAGACGTCCATCCCCTGACAAGGTACCGGGAGAAGACCTCAAGCGCGCTGTAATCAGTTGGATCTGCCAAATAGGGTTCGAGTAACTGCTTCAGACACGGTTTTCGTGAGTGGATGTCTGGCACAGCAGCAATGACTCTCCTCTTGACTGTTGGCGCGTGTGTCATCGTCGTCCACGAGTTCGGGGCCGCGCGACCCAGTAGCAAAATCTCATAGGGCTTGCGCATGGCACCATCGATGTCGAACATGGGCTCGCCTTTGGTCGTCGTCTTGATCCATATCCACTCCTCTAGCAAGCCCACGTTCCACGTTTCAAAAAGTCCACCGGGACCCAGCACATGCTCTCTCAACGCCTCCTTGTTCGTGATCCAGACACCCACCAGCGCATTGTGTTCGAGATAACTGTCAATATCCATGCTCAGCAGCATCTTCTTGAGGTACGGCATACCACCAACTTGTTCATACGCGCCCTTCCGCTTGGCTGAACGATTGGGCCATGGTGGGTCCAGCAGTACTAGATCGAAGTGTCGTGGAAGGGTGTATTCGTCTGTGAGTTCACGAAACGAGGTACGGAAAGCATCCGATGCAGTGGAATCGCTAAGGAATAATGTGGAACGGGGTGGTATCGTGAAATGATACTCCGGACCCAGCTGAGCTGATTGCGACATGTTTTCGGCGATCGCAAGTGTCAGGGAGTGGTGATTGGGGTTGTGGAAGGTACCTGTCCATGGTTCGGTTTGTGCGTCTTGAGAGACCGTTTCAGCGACCAGTGTACTACTTGCAGTCTCACGTGCAGGGCGGTACGACATCATCCACTTTGGTGCCACGGCAGCCGGTTCTGCAGCCTCAGAAGTTGCACCGAGAGAAGCCATCATCTGCTGTAGATTGAATGCAGTATCGTCTTCTTTGCTTTCGCTCCATGAGGCCCACTCCTTCATCCGTGATTCGAGCTCTTTTTCCGAAATTTCGTTTACGTCCATAGCTTGCTCTTCCCTGTGAGCTGGTTCCTGGGTCATCAGCTTGCGCTGTGTGCACCATGGCCCTGGAACCTGTGCGCGAATTTGGCGGAGTGCATGTTCAGCGAGGACTTTGTACCGCAGGTCGTCAAGATGCAGCGACTGGAAGTCGTGTTTGGAGACTTCTGCCACCGTCACATGTGGCAAGCTGTGATACTCGACATGCTGCGTGTTATCCGTGTCTTGGGCCTGAGCCTTTTTCGTTCTAAGTTTCTGTGCCTTGGGCCGGTAGTCCTCTTTCGGTTCGATAGGCGCTTCTAATGGTGCGGTAGAGAGTAACACACCCGAGCGGTCGCCTTGTGCTGCTGCGATGGACGTTGGTATATCGACCAATGTGATGTCCCCCTCCGCGTTCTGGTAGATGATCGGGTTTGAGGAAGTCATAGTGAGAGGCAATCGAAAAGAAAGGACAATGATGGAAAATTCCTACCAATTCTAGTCTTACGTCACAGCTATTTCCTGGTCGCACTCTCAAAGGCCACACTCAAATAATGGATCTCATATTCTGAAAGATGCACATGGAAAATGGTCATGAAGCCTTGATATTGAATGTCGTGATGTTCAGTTGGTGTTGAGCGCTCCATGGGAAACATCTCCGATGGGTAGCGTCGGATGAAACGATCTGGGCCAAGTGCCGGCCGAAAGCAGCAGATCAGCCTCGGTAAACGTCATCGGCGTGGCTGCATGTCAAACACCAAACCACACAACGGCGTTGCTTTCTAATCCACATACACGCGACCTCTCCTACCACGTCCCTTGTCATAGCCACGCGAGTCAACGACATTGAAGGCGCCGCAAACATACAATATTCATGTCGCGGTAATCCCCACGCACCTCAGCTCTGGAATGTCCACGGATCTCCTCCGCTATGACGGAAACAAATCGAATATCATGACGATGACTGCGGCGCAACCAACTCGCGCAAGCAATATAATACCGGACCATGACACTGCCATGTCGGCGAAGAAGGAGGGAGGCGCGGACATGGCCTCTGGGAGGAAGAAGATGGATAAGAACAGCATGGAATACCTGATCAAGAGCGGAGTGGCGGGAGGATTCGCTGGATGCGCTGTATGTCAAGATGCTCTTCCTCATATGGACCAGACCACTAAAAGAACATGTACTGACAGTCTCCTAGGCGAAAACAGTAGTGGGCCCCCTCGACCGCGTGAAAATCCTCTTCCAAACCCGCAACCCCCAATTCGCAAAATATGCAGGCTCCTGGATAGGTTTCCCCACAGCAATCCGCGACATCTATGTCAGCACCGGTGTACGCGGGCTCTTCAAGGGCCACTCTGCAACACTCCTCCGCATCTTTCCTTATGCAGGCATCAAGTTTCTCGCCTACGAGCAAATACGTGGTCGCATAATAAAGAACAAGGCGCAAGAAACACCCGGCCGACGCTTCGTCTCGGGCAGTCTAGCAGGCATGATGAGTGTCTTCCTCACCTACCCACTCGAAGTAATCCGGGTGCGCCTCGCTTTCGAAACCAAAGAGGAGGCCCGCAGTAGTCTAGTAACCATAGTCCGAAAAATCTACAGCGAACAAGCACCACGGGTATCGCAACCAAAGAACCCCATCACAGCAACCGCAACCCACGTCGTAGAAATCGTCACCCCGCACTCCGGCCTCTCAAACTTCTTCCGCGGCTTCACGCCCACGCTCCTCGGCATGATACCCTACGCAGGCGCTTCCTTCCTCGCCCACGACTCCATGTCCGATCTCATGCGCATCCCCATCCTCGCCCCCTACACAACATTACCCAACACTTCCCGCGAGGAATCCAGCACCACGAGTCACAAACCCGCACAACTTCGTTACTGGGCTGAGCTGGCCAGCGGTGGCATCGCGGGCTTCTTTTCACAAACAGTGTCTTACCCCCTGGAGGTTATACGACGGCGCATGCAAGTTGGTGGCGTGGTCGGTGACGGACATCGGCTTAGTATACCGGAGGTTACGAGGAGGATTTACATGGAGAGGGGGTATAAGGGTTTTTTTGTAGGACTGACAATTGGGTATGTCAAGGTTGTTCCGATGGCTGCGGTGAGCTTTTATGCTTATGAGAGGGGGAAGTATTATCTGGGGATATAAGACGGTGGTTTTTTGGATGGGAAAGGAGGAGAGATTAATCTCCAGAGCGAAGAAAGAAATGCATTAGAGTCGAACACCTCAGGCGTTCTGGAGTACGGATATGTGAGGAAAGATCGCTTTTGAGATGCGTCGTTGAAGTTGCTAGCGATGAGTATGTACATATACCAAACACGTCATCATCATTCATCGCTTCACGTCACATCATGTCCTGTAGACTGTGCAATAGAGGGACCTGTCAGCCGACTATTGAAAGATTGCATGTTATACCTGCAACTTCACTCCCTCAAAACTATCTCTCCATTCGGGATACATGAAGAGATTGAGCCTCCGCCCCCCTCTCAAACAAGCTCAGCATAAACATCCGTCCTCCTCTTCAGCGGGCTATCCTTCCTCATACTCCTCACGAATTCTAAATCAATCTCCGCCGTCGCAATCTCACCCTCACCCTTCCACGTCCCTCCCTCGCCTTCATCACCTCCCAACTCACACACGATCCTTCCCCAAGGATCCACAATCATACTATGCCCCCAACTCCTTCTCTTGCCCTCCTTATCATGCACACCCACCTGCGCAGCCGCGATGATATAACTCTGCGTCTCGATGGCGCGGGCTCTAATCAGAATCTCCCAGTGTCCTGCTTTACCCGTCGGCGTGGTGAAGGCAGCGGGGTATAATATCACTTCTGCACCGCGGGATCGCAGGGCCAGCCCAGGTTCAGGGAATCGCAAGTCGAAACAGATTTGCATGCCTAATTTGCCTACGGGGCTATCAAAGGGGTCGCCCAAATGGATACCGCGCTCGACACCGGCGGATTCTTGCATTTGAGGGCCGTCTTTGACGTCCATGTCGAAGAGATGGAGTTTTTGGTAGCGTTGTTTTATCTCGCCTTGCGCGTTGATCCAGATTAACATGTTCTTTACTTTCTGGCCGTCATCGGTAGGTTCGTGGATGCCAACGAATATCGGCAACGAGTATTGTTTTGCGGATTCTTGGAGCCCGAGAACGAATTCAGAGTCGGATACTGATTTGCAGAGTTTGAGGCCGCCAGATGTGGTCAAGTAGTCTGCTGCTTCGGGGAGGAACAGGGCGGCTGCGCCTGCTTCGTGGGCTTTGCGGCAGAGTTCTTGAGCTTGCTTGAGGTTCTCGGCCATGGAGGCCGTGGAACGCATTTGTCCGACTGCCTGGGGTTTGTCAGTATGTGGAGTGAATTATATGGGTTTTTGGAAAGCAGTGCAATCTCTCGTGGGCGATGTGAAGATGTGGCAAGAACCTGGTAAAGGTAGGGAAGATTTGATAATATGTGAGTTTATGAAAAGGGCCAAAGGACATGACAAGAGAGTTTAAAGTAAAGAAGATTAGGAATGATGTTTCTGGATTCAAGAAAGATCGTGACGATGAGGAAACAGGGGACAAATATCGAAGACGGTACGGATGATAGGAAAATATGGGATTGCTGTAAAATAGCTTACTGCGAGAGGCATCTTGATGGTGATGATAGATGAGGGTATGTCGTAGAGAAGATTGACAGAATAAAGGTATCTATGTACTTATATAAAAAAGTACCGAGAAGAACTAAAGAAACATTACTGCTGTCGTCAGAGACGGCAGAAGTGATGCCACTAGAAGGACTAGTTCAAATCGAGTAGCCATCGTAAGATTCACGTGCATCTGGAATTCCATGTGCAAAAAAGCATATCGCATATACCCGGAATGGAAAAGTGAAGATGTCGCATACTGCGATTTACATGGGGAAAAGATGGCCGGGAACCAAGTCCCCTGCATAACCCTTGGTCGTGGGAGTTGCGTCAGGGCGGAGTTGCGGCAGAGCGGAAGGCTGGCCAATCGGCGTTTGTTTGGCTACCTGCAACTGCGGCCGTCGTCATCTTGAGGGATTGCGCGGCAGGAATCAAGAGGACACGAATACGGTTGGGGCTATTTCGCTTACAGGAGTTTCATTTCGTTGTAACAACTTAACGCGGTCCCTTGGTGTCGACTACGTCTTACCTATGGTGGTTGTTGTGACGGTCTTAGCCTGCGACTCCCCGCGAAACCTTACCTGACCGCGTACCACGTCCAACAGACCAGCCTGGCCTTACGCGCAATCGAGCTATGAACAAACACAAGCGGAGAACGAGTGCACGGTGAAAGCTAGCGAAGCTCCATAGACGGGGAACAGTGTAAAGACACGGCTGTAAAGGCAACATGAGTGGGAAGAACTGGTGGAACAGCGCCATCTCGGGCTTGGAGTCGCGACTCGACACTATACTGGCCGAGGATGGAACCCCAAAGCCAGCAGGCGCAGATGCAGGCGCCAAGCCAGAGACTACAGAGAAGGCGGCCGTGGACAAGAAGCTCACGATTGAGCCAGGTGGGTAGCCTTGGGAGAAACATGGCATTACACCTCTTCAGAAGGCTAACGACGCAGAAGCCTCGCGGAACTCGTCACGGAGCCGACCCAACTCTCGATTACAAGACCGTCTAGCCAAGGCTGTGAACAAGGGGTCGGAAGCAAGAAGCTCGTCGGATCTTGGATCAAGGCCGGCGAGTCCAGCCATAAATGCCGTCGCCGATACAGCGAGGGCAAGCATAGATTCGAAGGCGCCAGAGCCAGCGACAGAAGGATCAACTGGCAAGGAAGAAGCTTCAACAGTGAAAGAAGATGACGCGACCAAGCCAGACGAGAGCAAGGTCGAGCAACCTCCACAACCCGCTGAAGAAGCACCCGCGCCAGTAGCCTCTCCTCCAGCGACCTCACCACCACCGACGCCTTTGGTAGCTGAACAACCCATATCGACGCCCGTTCCTACCATGTCCATGCCCTCGATACCCTCAATCGTCACCCCGCAAACGTCCTCCCCGCGCCAGTCCTTCGATAGCAACCTGTCGCGACCCTCTATTGACGCCCTTGCCCCAACACCGCCTCCCGAAGCTAAAGACCCTGAAGAAGTACAAGTTGAGCTATCTTTGCTCCAGAAGACATACGAGGAGACGTTGCGGGACAATCGTGAGGAGCTCAACTCTCACTTGGAGCGCATCGATGCCTTGCAGTCGAAACTCACCTACCTTTCTGAGCAACTTGCCGCCTCTGCAAAAGCTGCTTCTTCCGACTCACAAGCAACACCGGCCGACAAGAAGTTGGCGGACAAGGATGCACAGATAGCTGCGCTCATGGAAGAGGGGCAGAAGCTCTCAAAGACGGAGATGAAGCATCTGACCACTATCAAGAAGATGCGCACCAAGACTTTGGAGCAGGACAAGGAAATTGCCACTCTCAAACAGCGACTGACAAAGGCGGAGAAGAGCATCACGGAGCAATCGGAAAGGGCACGGCGCGCCGAGGCGGCAGAAAAGTCTGCGCAGGAAAAGTTGAAGATTGTGGGCCGGATTGAAAAGGATATTGAAACCATCAGAGCAGAGCGCGAAGAGGCTGGGCTCACAATAACTGAGCTGCGGAGACAGCTCAACGATGCGCTCTACCGGGCAGAAGATGCGGAAAAGAGGGCCCAATCTGGAGCGCTGGAGGCGGAGAAGAGGGCTACTGCATCGCTGAAAGAGGATATTGAAAACGTCCGGATAGAAAAGAAGCTTGCTGAAGACCGTGCGAAGAGGGAGCTTCAAGCGGCCAGAGACGAAGCGAAGAGCCAGCAGGAGAAAGCAAAGGTCGCCGAGCTTGAGTTGCGCGGTGAGATTGCTGTAAGTGGGGACAGCCTTTTGAAAACAGAAGTATACTGACAGACACTTTAGAACCTGGAGTCCAAGCTGGAGTTGCTCCGTAGCCGCACAGAAGAAGCGTCTTCATCTGCAACTGGTGATTCACAAGCCAAGCTTCTGCGACAAATCGAGACGTTGCAGACTCAGTACTCGCTAGCTTCCGAGAACTGGCAGGGTATCGAGACTACTTTGACGTCTCGTATGGCAGCTCTCGAGAAAGACCGAGATGAAACGGCAAAGCGCGAATCCGATGTCAGACGAAAAGCAAGAGAGCTCAACTCAAAAGCACGTCGGCTGGAGGACGAGCTCGAGAGCATCAATGAGCGAGCCCGGACATTCGAACACGATCTGACCGAGCAGCGTGCCGCAGCTCAAAAGCTACAAGCTAGGCTCACACAGGCGGAGACTGCAGCACAAGATGCACAAGCCGAACTTGAACGAGAGAAGAAGATATGGGAAGCTGAGCTCCAACAACGACTAGAAGACGAGAAAAACAAGTGGAAGGTGGAGATACAGACACCATCTCTAATGGGCGAGTCTCATTATCTCCGGACAGATTCGCCTTCAATAGCACAGCGAAGGCATTCGCCAGATCCATTAGGTATACACAACCGCCGACCAAACCCCCGTTCCATCACCAGCGGCATGGACATGCCCATGATGTCACCCATGGACCGCATGTTCGACGACTTCGCCTCGCGCCGCCCTTCCAGCTCCCGCCATAATAAATCCACAACTACCAAAGTCCGTACACCAGAAATCGGCACCCCCCAACGACAAAACTCGATTCCGTCAAGTATGTCGAACCTCAATGGCAGCATGGCGCCACTAGACACCCCCTCTATCCACACAATTGATCATGATAATGATCCCTTTGAAAACACATCCTCCCCGCACCGCACCATAAACGACATGATAAGCGTTTCCACCGCCGGTGCAGGCCCCTCGGTCCAACTCGTCGAGCGCATGAGCGCCGCCGTCCGCAGGCTGGAATCGGAAAAAGCAACGCATAAAGAAGAACTCGCGCGTCTAACTGCCCAACGCGACGAAGCCCGTGAGGAAGTCGTCAAGCTTATGCGTGAAGTGGATGAGAGCAAAGGAACAGGGGAGAAGGTGCGGGATTTGGAGAGGAGGTTGGGCGAGATGGAGAGTAGGGAAGAGACGGCGTTGGAAATGTTGGGGGAGAAGACGGAGAGGGTGGAGGAATTGGAGGGGGATGTCAGGGATTTGAAGAAGATATATAGGGAGTTGGTTGATACGCTGAAATGATGTGTGGATATGGATGGGATAGGGGAATGGTGGAGTGAAGTGGGTTGTTATATTATGAAGATGTCTGGTGAGATTATCAGGGCACTTGTATCGCACCATGACGGCTTGCTTAATAAACTCTCTAAAAGGTGTGCTAGGAATACCATTGTACACAACGTCAAAAATCTGGTCCAAAACCGACATTCTAACCCTACCTATTTCCCATCCCCATCCTCAATATTCCGTCCCTCCAGTAACCTTGCCTTACCCCCCAAGCTTAGGTACGCCAATGAGTGATCCCCACTCTCAAGCTCCCGTTCAATCCTCAATCTAACATCCTCCAACCCACACTCCATAAGCTCGGCCAACCTCTCAAGCAACGTCGTAAACAAACTCGTACCCTTACCCGGCTCCCGCTTCGGCCCCTGTGTCCTCGGTGGTTCAAACTCGCCCTTTGCAGTCCCCCAACACGGCCAATCCCAATCATGCGTACCGTGGTCATGGTACAAGTTGAGCAGCGTGGTTTCCGCATCCGACGTATCGTGGTGGAGCAGTGTGTCGGAGACAAAATCTGGACCGAGACCAAGCGCCGCTTCCGCGAAACAGAATTCTAATTCGCAGCGGAGCGAGACTTGGTTGGCGTCCATGAAACGGCCGTATGTGCGCTGGTTTATCCAGCCGGAGCCGTGGTAGCGGGCTGAGAGGGTCGAGTGGTGCAGCACGAGGTATATTGCGGCTAGAGGGTCGCGTTGGAGGTTCTTGATGTAGAATATCCGTTCTGCGTGGGATTCTGTTTTGGGGGGTTATGTGTTTAGCTGGAGATATACGGAACTACGAGAAGCATTCTTTTGTGGAAGTGAAAGTGAAAGAAGTTGTGACTGACCGATGGGGACGAGTTTATATAATAGTAGTAACCCTGCATTTGCAAGGCTCACGTTATGCCGTAAAACAGCATTGAAGTTGTGCTCAGAGCAGAGGGCGTCCATAACATCATCCACAATATCATACTTGCCAACACAACCCGCCAACCAATCGACATTCAACCTCCCATCCTGACAGCTAAAATCTGTTTCTGCATGGCGAAGCTCCTTTCTCATAAAACTGCCGGTAATGGATCTTTCGTAGTTTTTGAAGATGGCGCGGAGACGTGGGTGAGCGCTCCGAATTGTGGTGATGAGCGAGCCGTCGTTGAAAGGTAAATGCTGGATTGTCTTCAAGACGAGTTCTGGGGGGATTCGAGGGGAGATTAGGAAGTTGAGGTATGGAGACAGGTCGGAGAAGGTAGCCATGCTGTGCTCTATGCTACGAGGTGTGTGATGTGCGAAACAAAAGAGTGGTTATTATGGTACGTGTGCTCGAGAGAGGAGGCAAGGAAACCAGAAGCTGATTGTTGCGGTCGCGACTTGTAACTCTTCTAGAGTAGGAGCAGTTAAGGTTGTACTTGCTGTGTAGACCCTGAGAAAGTAAACGGCGCCTATCTATGCCTCGGTGTACTACTCTTGTGCGAATATATAGTCAAACAGTGAAGACCATGATGGGTGACGATTAGCACCATGATGGCGAATCATCCTCATGATTAGCACGCGTCAGGTACCAAAGTAACGTCATCTGTTTACAGTCACGATTGCGTAGTTTGACAAAGGTTTGTTCGCGTGCTTCACAGATTGTTGTCGATACTTGATGCACATGCCTATTCATATACGTGCGTGTCCGGGTGCTCAGACTTGGAGCATTGAATGTAGACTGATCGCCGCAGGTAGACGCTAGAACCCGCCGTTGATGACATGCCGGTAAGAACGTGGGGGCTAATGCAGGTGATGAGTACGATTGCGCAATAGGTCCGAAGTGCAGAACACGCGGGGTATGAGGGGCAGTAAGAAGAGGGACGGGAGTGTTGAGGTCGGGAGCGATGATCACAAGCTAGCACCACCCCAACTAACCAGGCAACTGATGGAAGAAGCCAGTACCATTTCAGACAAAAGCTCGATTAAGGTATTTCCGTGCTTGGTGTGATAGCTTTGAATGCGCCATAACCCTGGGTATCGTATGGACTCCGTAAATGCAGCATTAGACGTCAAGTGCATCGACTTCTTATAGCAAATCTATGCCCTCCCTCTCCGCCGCCTGCAGTATGAAGCTTCTCGTTTTCGCATCCGGCGCAAGATCCAGCGGAACATGGCCATCGGTATCTTTCTTGTCGTGTTCGGCGCCCATAGTCAGCAGAAGCAGTGCCGCGTCTCCATGCCCCTCGCTCATCGCATGGTGCAGCGCAGTCATGCCATCCATATCAGTAGCATTCAGAGGACTCTTCGCATCTAACAACGCCTTCATCATCGGCACACTACCCACCGCTGCTGCCCGATGCAGCGGAAGCTGACCTCTCTTATCTTTTATCCGTGCCGAAGCAGGCGGCTTTTGCGCAAGCAATGTACGTGCGATGTCGAGGTTGACTTTGGATGCGCAAAAATGTAAAGCGGTCTGGCCGTTGTTGTTCTTCGCGTTTACTTCGGCGTCTTTGGAGAGTAGCAGGTCGACTATTGCCTCTGCGTCTTTGCGGGAGCATGCCATCATGAGGGGCGTCCAGCCGGAGCCATCTGTGACGTCGGGGTCGAAGGACTTGGCTTGGACGAGCGTTTGGACGATGGGGAAGTGGTTGTAGGATACTGCCCAGTGTATGGGGAGGCGGTCGTCTGGATCACGGAGATTGGCGAGTTTGGGGTTTGCGGCGAGGAGAGAGTCGACTCGAGATACTGGGGATTTGTTAGCCTTGGTTTCGCGAGCAATGGGGGTCCGTAATTACCTTGACCTTCTCGGCAGGCTTCGTGGATAGCGTACTTGGCTTTGTATTCCTCCATGGTGCTGGGGATGATGCTACAATGCAGTGAACTTGGTCACGTTAACGCGTATATGGGGCGGTTCGTAGCTCAGCTCCAGAAAGTTAACCCCGCTATGACCGAGGCACGGAAGATCCTAGTGTCAATGACGTAATCATCCAGCTGTCTCTGTCTCTTCATATACATGCCCATTTTCCCTTCTCGTTGTTTTCTACGTCTCCATTATTTTGTCAATATGTAGTTCCTGACTGTAGCATCAGCGAGTGCAGGTATGGCGGACCGTCTAGCCCTCCCAGCGATAGTAACCTGCCCGATACTTGCCATCCTAGTCTGTCCAATGTGGTCCCGCTGCCGCCAATCCTGGCTCATACAACAATTTCTCTTAGAATTTGCCCTTCTTACGTCAAACTCGTATCCTGGTCCCGAGGGAAGACATGGTTTCCATCACGATGGACAAGTGGCTGCGAATCGGCTTGAACAACTCAACTACTCCATCGTCCTCCATATCCTAACGCTCCATGTCGAGCGATATCTCAAACACTTCCAAAGGTAGGGTCGCCACTATAGCGACGATGACTTTTATGGCTGCGTGTTGCAGTGGACTCTCTGTGTATTTTTCACATATGCTTTCTAAGCGAAGCAAATCAATCTTGGTCATCCCCGGTGAGTCCAGGCTGGCTGGTAGCATATCTTGTGCGCTTAGGGGATATGTTGCCTCTTCAGAGATATCGTCTTCCACGGGCTGTCTGTTGGGCACGATTGCGAAAGCCTAAGAACAGCGCATTCATGAGAATGTACTCTTTACATACTGCGGTTGTTGTTTACGATCAGCACTATCGTACTTCTAGATATCGTAGGTGACGCTCCTCCAGACTCAGCCGGTCATGCAGCATCACGTGTCGTCTATTCTTGGACAGATGTATGCAGCCTTGTCTGCCCGCCTGATAATCTCCAGCCCTTTAACATTACGATTTTACCGCCGCAGCACAGTTTCAACACGTCAGTATCCCGCACTCGGACGCAAAGGGCGCTATTTTCCCGACTTACACTACGATATAGCAAGCACTGTCTGAAGACGGCACATGGAGCGTCAATCGACCGGGCTGCAGGCTCGGACCCTCCCCGTTCTCCCACAGACTGAAGGCTTGATGTCTCCCGAGGACGAACGCACTTACGGTCTTGTAGATTTGAAGTAAGCAAGCATATGTTCTTCGATATTGAGAGATAAGGGTTCAAATTTTGCAGCCGCGAGCTCGCTCAGCCTTGGAACGCGATGTCGAGAGAGCTGTCAACCAGCTCAGCCGATGAATTACATCGGCCAGGAGGCATGGAGATGAATGAGTCTGCGAGGCCTCTGGCTTCGCAGCCAAAACGGTTGCTATGCCTAGGTGAGTCAAACACAAGATCAACAACAAAGCTTCACGAACTGAACACCAGCAGATGGAGGCGGGATTCGTGGCATTTCCACTTTTTTGATCTTACAACGACTTATGGAGCAAATTAGGGATGATTGCAAACTGGAAGAGACTCCCTGACCGTGCAAGTATTTTAGCTTGATCGGAGGCACAAGTACAGGGGGGTAGGTCTAAACTCAACAGCTAAAGTGGTTCGAAGCTGATCCTTACAGAATCATTGCGATCATGCTTGGACTTCTGGGTATGACCGTCCAGCAGTGTCTCGAAGCGTATAAGCGAATGGCAGAGCAAGCCTTTACGCCAAAGAGAAAATGGCTTTGTCGGAAACTCAACATGCCAGCGTCACCCCGAGGCAAGTTTTCGGGGAAAAGCCTTGCAGACGCTGTCAAGAAGATTGTGAAAGAACACACGGGTGATGAAGAAGCCGTCTTTGCTGACAAGACCTGCGTGAAGACGTAGGTATCGCTCTTCCACATGAAAACGTTCGACAACTGATCAACCAATAGTGTCGTACTCGCCGTCACCAAGGCAGACGTCGGTGCACTCCCTACAAAGTTCAAGACATATCATATCGGGGACGATTTCAAGCACTGCAAGATCTGGGAGATTGCGCGCGCAACCTCTGCAGCAACTACCTTCTTCGAATCTATTTTCCTCGGTCACCAAAATATCGAGTTCATCGACGCAGGCTTTGGACACAACAACCCCAGCGAGATTTTTCAAGCGAAGCAGTGGACATATTCCCAAGTGACAAATACGACTGCATTTTAAGCATCGGAACCGAACTAAGAGGTGTCATCGCCATTAAAGATAAACGGCGATCGATCCTCAGTGCACTCAAGAAAATGGCGAGCCATTCTGAAGCTGTGCATCGCCACCTTTCACACAGGCTTCCGGAAGCTGCCTACTTCCGGTTTGACGTGACGAAAGGCCTGGAGGATATAACTTTGTCCGATTGGGAAGAGTCGAGTACTATTTCGGCGCATACTAGGAATTATCTCGCAGAGGTGCAGGTCGAGAGGCAGATCAAACGCTGTGCGGAGATCTTGGCGCAAGGTTAGGAATAGAATTCCCCATAGTCGAAATTAAATGACTCCATCTAACGCTGAATTTCAATTTCGGTATGCCCTGTTGCTGACGGATAAGTAGACATACACTCCATCAGGCCCTATGAAAACGCGGGGCGAGTTTCCGATCATCAAAATTGTCGCAAACACGAACACCGCGATGTGCAAGAAGACCAAGCTGCGGAACAAACACTTCCCTCACTTTCAGTAATTTTCGGTTTTATTGCACTCTGTCAGCGAGATACTGCATCAAGTGTGCTTTTGGACTGCATGTCGCAGCATAACATTCAGCCAGGGACGTACCGGCAGGTCCTTTCACAGCAAAGTATCACACAGCCTGTGTTCTACAGCAACCCCATAACTCTTTTCACTGGAATCGACCAGCGAGTCATTGGCTTCAGTCTCGACAGGATTGGCTCATTGCTTGTATGACACAGCAGCACAGTCCTAGATTCTTGTCCAAAGGACTGACAGTGCTCAGGAATTCCAGCAGTACATGGCGAATTTCGCGAGAGATATACTCGAGGATAGATTCAAAGTCGAGGGTTCGGCTAAGTTCATAAGAGGCGAATTCTTGCTTCAAGATGAGAGCGAGCACGACCTCGACCTGCGGTCGCCTTGGAAAAGCATTATGAAGCCCGGGCAGCGCAGACACTTGAGCGTCAAGTTTCGAGCGATCAAAACAACAGCTTGTCCACATTGTGGGACTGATAACGAGCTTTTTGAGGGTCAGGGTACCATCTGGTAAGTTCTTTGGATGAGGTTTAGACAGATGCTGAAGAAGGGTAGTCAGAATTGCCCAGTGACGTATCAGCGGATCGTCGAGCTCGGTTCAGAAGACGAGACGGCACAGAGTACAGCGGTATCCAAGCATAAAATATATGGATCGAGAAAGAACGAGGTTACAGAAGATGTGCTCAAGCTCTGCTTCCATCGGATCACGCTCATGGATTACTTGTCTGGACATATTGCGAAGCTACAATTATCCTCGTTTGGAAAAACGGCGACACCATCAGTACACTGGTCTAAAGATATTGGGAGGCCACCAGTATACCGCTGGCAATGTTGCGGATGCGGCAGCGATAACAGCTATAAGACCGATCAAGGTTGCCCAAGTTGCTGGAACCACTGGAGGGGTCATTGCTGCTACGTTTACAACGATAGCCTACGACACTAGTCGGCTCTGACTACCAAAAATTCTCTCGAACTATGAACGAAGACCGGCAGTTTCGCGATCGCTATCATCAGCAAATGCTAGAGATGCACAGGAACAATTTGCGGGATCGGCTAGCTGCAGATCCGTATGCACAGCAGAAACACGAGATTCCAGTTTTGAACATCAACTCTCGTGATGTAAAAACTGTAACGATAATGCGGTACACGAGGAAAGAGCGTCGCCAAGAGGGATGGGAGGAGCAGGACATTTGCAACCTTGGCAAGGGCAGGACTAGCGCGGGGAGCCTGACGCTAACACTAGGCACCAGGCCCCAGGCACCAGGCGCGTATATTATGAACGCGACTTCTTCGCCTCGACCATCTTGATCTTGCCTCCTGCACTCAGCGTCGGTTTTACCCTAAATCTTGAGCTATGGAGGAACTACCAAATGAACTGCTCCTCCATATCTTCAGTTACCTGCACATCACACCTCCAATTACATGCTTCTCTTCACCACGCGCCACTGATCCCCCGCGAGATCTCGTGGTCTTGTGCCGCGTCTGCCGAAGACTTAAAGACGTTGCCACGTCACTCGTCTATGAATCGATAGAGAGGGCGGGCAACATGGATAGTCCGGCCTTCCGTCAGCTTCCACGTACCCTGCTCAATAATATGGAGTTATGTCGGTACATCAAGAATGTGAGACTGAAGATGGAGGACGGCTTCCAAGTGGGCGATGTTTTTGGAGTGCAAGACTTACGCCCAAAGAATGACAATGACGCCGAGGAGCATTGGCTACGAGAAACTGAAGTTAGAAGATCCTGTCGCTATCAAAGGCGATATCAACGCGACGCACAAGTGGGTGATGATGAGAAAGCTGATGATGAGGCAAACAAAGTGCTTGTCGATGTGCCAGAGAACTACCAGTGGCTCGGCAATCTCGTATCAGCCATGAATCACAACCAGGCATACGCCGACGATTATGATCTTCTCGAGCGAGCTGTTCTCGGAGAAGACGTACTACTTACACCGTGTCTTCTTTCTGCACATAACTTAGAACGCCTTTGGATTCGCTTTCCCAGATCGCAGTTGGACGAAACTCACAGGAGCTTCTTGCTTAACAGTCTCGCCTACAATGCTCAACATGGTGGATTCGCGAAGCTCAAAATTCTTCATCTTGATATACACCGCAACGACCTCGACTGGCCGGTCAGTAACGCGCTACCATTTTTTCTTCTTCCGAATCTGACCGATCTTACCCTCGGTAATTGCGGTAAAGTCGTTGGCGGCGGGCTCTGGTCTTTGCCGGATCAAATGTACTCTACGTTCATAGGGATACCTTGGGTATGGCCTGTGCGCACTTCTCCCATCACTAGATTGTCGTTACTATCTCCACGTTTCAGCGGTTCTATAGCGGCAGAGATGTTACGTGCTTGCAGAGCAATCACTGAATTTGAAGTGGTATTGCCATACGAGATGTCACCCTACGACATTACATTTTACGAAGATGTTGGCATGGCCCTTGTAGAACATGCCGACACTCTTACCAGATTATCACTTGGAGATCAGTCGGAAATCTTTGACCTGAACCCCTGGGGAAGACCAGACAAATTCCGCACGGGTCCCCTCTTGACCTCGCTCACCTTCTTGCGAGCCCAAATGTACACCCTCTTCGGCTATGATACCCCACCTTGGTATAGTATGAAAAGCACTCAGACTCTATTGAATGCTCTTCCGCCAACGATTGAGGAGCTGTGGCTTGATCTCCCCTGCAGGGCATGGAACGTGGACATGAGTCCGTACTTCACGGGTCTATTCGAAGCTCACAAGAACGGGCAATTTCCTCACTTGAAGCAAATCTATATCTATTGGTACCAAAGGATCGATCATGCTTTCGACCGCATCAACTACTACCTCAAGCACCTCATGGGGATTCGTCAGGATGCATTAACGCTCGCACCAGCCATCACTTTCGACATCTTTGTGCGAGTAGATTGCGGGACTTGGGGTAATTCATCACCGGGTACGTTTCGATATAAGAAGCAAGTTGCTAACTGGTCCTAGTTTCTCCTAACACTCATTGGTTTGAAAATCTGATTCCCTATACACAATGTTTGCGTCTACCTCCACGAGTGGACTGCACCGGATTTGTTTCAGATGCTGAAGATGGTCGGCGACATTGCGTTGAAGGTAGTACGTGCCAGGTATCCCGCCAAACACCAGAGGAGATGCAAGACGACTTGGACCATGGCTATTGGAACACTGTTTCCAGATGAATCGAATTACCATAAGATAGACCTAGACGTAGTTTGTGACTTGAGATATAATACAATCATTACCATACTGATCAAGTCTCTAAAATCCGACAACAACAGAAACGAGGCCAACTACAGCCAAGAATCCCCAAGAAACACCCATGCTCATGGCACCGCTATCAACCTCCGGTGTACCGACTTCTTTCACGTCATCGATCTTGCAAACAGTCTTGCACCCCTTCTCAGCCCTTTTCCTTCCAAACAAGCTCGTGGTATCCCTCTTGTCCTCCTGGGCCTTGCCAGCATATGGTCCACTGGTATTGAACGTCATCTCAATCCATTGGATGTGGAACTCAGCATTGTCGCCCACGTTCATCTGGCCGCTCCACTCTCCACCATCACCCCACATGTTTAGGACGAGGAAACTTTGTTCGCGAGGGACAGAGTAAGTGTTTGCAGCAACTTGCTTCTGGTTAAGGTACCAATAGCTGTTCTTGGGAAGCCAGTCGATGCGGTGCGTTTGCCAGTCGTCCCAGCGTGGGAGGTCGGTGGGACCAACGGATGCAGCAGCCACTTCGTTGCCGTCCTCGCCTACTGAGGGCTGATTCGTGTAGCGGATCTTGTCTTTGGGATCGTCGGTCAAGATCTCGATATCGGACTCGTTGTCGTCGTCGTAGAAGGTGAAGAATCCTGCTACCGCACCCTTGGCGCCTTGAACACGACCGTACATGCGCATCGAGACGTGCATGAGGTTCTTTTGCTGGTTCTCGATTTCACCGGCTGTCTGGTAGTCTTCCATGCGCGAGGTACGGAGTGCGAGGTAGGACGTGGAGTCTTCTTCGCCGAGGAAGATATTCGCGAGGGAATTGTTCATTGGTGTAGGGAAGTCGTCTGTAGCCGGCTTGCTCCAGTTTTGAATCCCCCAATCGTAGTTCCATGCATCGCTGTTGAAGAGATCGGGTTGCCATGTGGGCATCATACCCGCGGTCTCTGTGTCGTTGAGCAACGGCGGCGATTCGCTCATCGCGCCTGGCAGGTTTCGGAAGTCGTAGAATCGATAGTACTGGAAGTACTCTGGTGTATTCGAATCTTTACCAGATTGCACGACATAGCAATCACAGTCTGGGTTGTTGTCTCTCGGTGTTTCGCTCATAGAGCTGGTATATGGGTTGGCAGCGAGTGCAGGTTGGACGAGTAGTGCCGTGAGAGGCAGGAGCAAGGCTCCTAGTGGCGGGAGGTATGACATGGCGATTTTGGTCTTTTCGAGATTCGTAGATGTAGTGACAGTATCCGAATAATTATGTAACAAGGATATGTAGAAGTAAGACGGGTGATCGACTGCTAGTAAAAGGTGTAAAGAAGAGCGAACGAATGTCACCTAGCAATCAACACTTGACAAGAGAAGGAAGGAAAACTGCGCTCAATAATGCTGCAACAAACTCGATGATGTAGAGAGACGATGTCGATTCAGCGCAAACGCGGGCTGAATAGGCTCATATACTAAAACGTGCGTGACGCCCGCCCGCTACTCCGCTTACACGGCACCAACACCAGTCCAGAGTCAGTCCAGTCTCGAACGCCGTCCGCAAGTCGTGCTTTTTCTTCGCGGAGCTTGTCCTAGCTACATTCGCTAAGGTATGCCTAAGCCCTGAAATCGCGCTTTGGATTGGAGTAAAGGGCACTAAGGTAAGTAAGCTGGAGAGACAACAGAGGGATACGAAACGCAGACACATCATATCACACCAGCGGCGCACTTTACTTCTGCACTCAGCCACACTGCATCTGGACTTTTGGACCACCATGACAAGGGTGGTAAGGTTTAAGGCGCCATCCATAGGGTCTGCGCGCGTGTAAGGTTATGATTCATCCCTGGTTTAGGCTGCTTTTGGGGGTTTCGGTAGCGTTGATGTGCCACCGGGAGTTTCGGCGTAGGCGCCAAGGTGGCTTGACTCTCCGGATAGATCCGTGTTCTTTCTTTATCGTGAAGATTTTGTGACACTCTTTGTACGTAAATATTCCTATCGATGCAGGGAATGAGAAGATCTCTTCAATGGGTCGTTTGTATTATCGAGACGTGGAGATGCTGGCGATGTAAAAGTCCTCAGCGGGCCATCAGGAAATGACAGGCATCCACGGGTCACCAGCCACATCCGCCCACATGGCCCGACGCCAACCAATGCAGCTAAGTCCCAAAATAGCCCTGATCCAATATTCCTGAGATGCGGCGCCAGCGACAAAAACGTCCTGATGAGACGACCATACGAGCACGTTTTCTCGTGGCTAGCAGACGTGGAGTTTGTCATGATCTCGTATCATTTTTGCTGGCGCGGGGTCTGGAGGTCTTGGGGATCTTAGTGATACGGGTTGTTGAGGGGTAGGTTTGATTGTGGTATGTATGACGTTTTTGGCCCAGAGTTTTGGTGTGGCTAAAAAGGCTGTAGTATTGACCACCATATTGAGATCGATATATTTACCGGTCAGGCCCCTGAATATTTCGCCGGCCTGTATAGACAAGCATTGCTTCGCTGTACGAAGCCTGCGCGCCACAACTTGGCAGCTGAATGACTCCTTTCGAGTTATCACAAATTACCTCCCAAGGGGCCGGCGATTCGCACTTGCAGCATGCAGCATGTCTAGCATCACTGTCGAGTTGGGCATATTGAGAGATTATGGTGAATTCCATGCACATGACGCATGTCTTGACCGATATACAGTTTGATTCTAACAACTTCCACTGAGCGTGCATCGCAAGATACCGTGTTTATCATGATCGCTAACAAAAACTGCTGATAAATCTTAACCTTATGTTTTGCTCGTCGATACAGAACACATCTGAGTCACCTACTTTCGCATACCGAAGCGCCGCGTTACACCTTTAGAATTCGTCGTTTTGACGGTAGGTGCAAATCACTGGCAGGTGTGCAATATGGTAGTGCAAGGTGGAGGTGAATGGTCAGTCCGGCGATGGGAGCACCTTCTCGTCGTTCGGCTTAGCCACTCAGCTGGTAATAGCGTCCGACTGTTTAAATGCCGATAAGATCACGTTTTTGTCCACATTGTTGTCCACACCTACCCTGATTGCTCTTCCACTCGGATATGACACCCCCAGAAAGGACTTGGACAACGCACAATTATACCCATCACAAATAAGCTATCTGCCGGGCAAATGCTGACAATGAATATTCGAAGTCTAGTCGTCGTTGAGCATGAGCTTGCTTGAGAGTAGAATGTAGGGCGTACGAAGCGGCTTGCTTTCCCGTTTCGTGTCTATGACGGACTCAAAAAGGTTACCACCGCGTTCTACATAGCTGCGTGTATATCATAATACCAGGGGACTACCTTCAAGGTGGACTGACTTCATACAGATCGGGTATGACCAGGATGGGCAAGCTTCTCCGTTTGTGATAGTCAAGCGACTGCTTAATCGCACTCACACGACTTACTGTCAAGCTCTCCTGAACTTAAACAATGGGTCCGAAGAACGCTCTTGTTCTATCTTTCTGACCTGCTGTATTAAGCGTCACCTCTCGAATCAAGGCAGGATGACGATGGAGAAGCTATCAACAGAGTTGGACCAGAACATCGTTCGGCGGTTGGGTAATGTCGGAGTCAATGCAATGTCAAAAGTCTGAAGTTGTTATAGGGTCCTGACGGAGCCCTTCCTCTACAGAGACCTTGTCTTCCATGGAGATCACTTCTTTCAAATCACTACTCTTTTCCTCCCCATTCTCGACCGACCAAACCTAACGAAGTTGACCCAGAGTATTACACTGGCTCGCCAAACTAGTCCACGCCACGTCAGCGAACCTAACTATACTTAGCACCTGGACTTCTGGAACAGTATCACCGCTGTAAGAGACATGATCGAGAGTATCAGTAAGGGACTAGACAAGGAAACCAGTGTACGCTGGTTCAGTCGCATTTACCGCGATCAATCGTCGTTTGATAGCGCGTTAGCTGTTATCCTTCGTCTCGCTACAAATCTAAAGCACTTGGATCTTGACACCTGGAATGAGACGCTGACGATTACAACGGAGCTCCTAGTCTGGAGATGGAGGCGTAGCGGCAAGAACTCATATATCTTCCCTTCCAGCCAATTGAAGAATCTCTGTATGCGCGGTCATATACACAGAACAGTACCTGTGCTCCCGTGGATGGAAAACTTATGCATAGGCCATCGTCCATCCGTCCATTTCCCCTACCCAAGTCCCGCAATCGCTACGAATCTACGAGTTTTGAAGATGAAAAAAGCTTATTTTGACCCAACCGCTCTTGAAGAGATTCTTTCTTTTTCGGAACTCGACAATATCAAAGAGTTCAAAATCGGTGCACGAGATGTTGGCTACGATGAGGAATGCGACAGCCATGATCTCCGACGCATGACTCAAGTAATCGAAGCTCTTTACCTGACCTAGAGATTCTACACTGGACGCAACATGACTGGGATCCCGAGAATGGCGAGCCAAAAAAGTTTCAGCAGCTTCAAGGGTGTATCGAAGCTACGGGTACTGAAGATATATGTCCATCTCTTGAGAACTGGCAATCCCGGGTCTCAACGTGGAGAGTTGTTACACCTTACCCCGTCCCGATGAATATCTACCCGATAGTCTTGAGGTTCTTCACATCCAATGTTTAGGTGCAAGCGATTAGAGGATTGACCTTATCCTGGAGTTAGCACGTACTATCGGCCTCCAAACGGTTGAGCTGTCGCTCGAGCTCGAGGACTGGTATTGGGATGGGCCCTGTTCCTCTGATATAGGTGTTCTAAAACTACGCAAGATCAGAAGGAAGGTCTTCCGCGACACTGTCGCAAACATGGCTGTATTAGGCGTAACGATGCGTGTTTGGCAACAGGAGGGCAGATACGCAGAAGAACTGCTTTTTGCTTCAGGGTTTCAGAGGCGGTGGCCTATATGGGAAGACGTCGAAACAATAAATGGGAAAAGTAGGTCCGTATTGCATGGGAGGTCAAGAAAGGTATCCAGGATCCCTCCGAGTCGGACGTCGATGGTCGTTACAATGAAGCGCAAGAGTTTGAGGATGACAGCAGCAACGAGGACGACAGCGATGTTGAGGATAAGGGAAAGGATGGAGTTAAGGGCGACGACAAGAAAAAAAACGATGGTGAGGGTGAGTGATGATGGGTATGACGACGTGGATGCGGGCAAGGGCGATGATGGAGATGAAGCACACTCGATGCCCAGCGTGGCTGGGAACTAAGATATGCGTCACCAAACAATCATCACATAGAATAAACTCTGCAAAGCACCAAGGGAATCTTCATCATCATGTATTGTTTCTCTACATGTTACACATAATCCAACAACAAGCCACCCTTCGTTCATCACGCAAAAATTTACCAAGAATATAGAAAAAGCCCATAACCCAATCACCTACGTCATCATCTAGAACCAGCACTTTCCGTAGCCCTTGTCGCATCCAAGACCACACGCCCAGGGGTCAATAGAGCAACGTCCACTCTGCTTGCAGCAGCATCCCATCTCAACACCGAAAAGAGTCTTGTAACCAGCACACGTCTGGCCGCCGTTGTGCTCACCGCACTTTCCGTTCTCAGAGACAGGAAGCTTAGTAGGTGTGGGAGTGGCGGTGGTAGAGCAGGAAGTAGAGCTAGGGCGGACGATAGCGGTGGAGAAGGAAGAGGATGGGAGGATGGGAGTGGGCGTCATGGTGGAGGCGGGGTATTCGGAAGACGCGGAGGCGGAAGAAGCGACGGAGCTGCTTGATGGGAGGGCTTCAGAGTTTCCAGGGGTAGAGACGGGGTAGGAGGATGAGTCGTCTGAGACAACGGAGCTGGTGGGGTAGCTATCCTTTGAAGCAGAGGCAGACTCGGCGGTTGAGGTGGGGTATGCGTCGGTGGAAGAAGCGGAGACGGAGACCGAGGTGGAATCATGCTCCTCGGGCTTCTCAGATGCAGAGGTTGAAACCGATGCGGAGATGTGCTCAGAGATGGAGACAGATGCAGAGGCGTAGTCGGAGACTGAGGCAGAAGCCGGAGCCGAAGCAGAGGCGGATACGTGCTCAGAGATGGACGCAGAAACGTACTCAGAGGCCCAGGCAGAAACTGAAGCAGAGGCTGAAGCAGAAACGGATGAAGAGACAACCTCAGATGTGGGTGTGGCGACACTGGAGGATGTAGAGTCAGACTTCTCGCTAGCACTGGAGACAGCGACGGAAGAAGAAGCAGACGAAGAAGAGGCCGAAGGACAGTTGCCGTAGACCGGGTTGCAACCAGCACCGCAGTGGTCCTCGGAGGTACCGCAGTATCCCCAAGCAGAGCAGCACTCAGACTTTACGCCCTCGAGGGTGCTGAAACCAACACATGTGTATCCCTTGGTTCCACCACATGAGCCATCGCGGGACCTCTCACCAGAGGTGGTAGGAGTGGCAGAGGGTGCGGAAGAGGCCTGGCTGGCGCTGGAGCTAGCATCAACGGTGGTGCTTGCGGCGGACGAAGAAGCAGCGGAAGAGCTCAAGAATACGGAAGAAGAGACGGTGTCCTTGCTGACATCGGCCGAGGAAGAGGGAGCTGGGGTAGAGCTAGCAGCACCGGAAGAAGAAGCGCTGCTAACATCCTGAGCACCGCACTTTCCGAAACCAGCCTGGCAACCTGCCGCGCAGTAAATATCGGTGTTACCACAGTATCCGTACTCGGAGCAGCACTCGCTAAGACCAGCGGGGCCGTTGAAGCCAATGCAAGTCATGCCGCCGTTGGCGGCACCGCAAGATCCATCGGTGGTGGTAGGGCCAGTAGGGGTGGGGACCGGGCCAGTAACGCTTGCAGAGACGGAAGCAGAGGCAGAGGGGGAGGCACTGGGCTGAGCACCGCACTTTCCGAAACCGGCTTGGCAGCCAGTCTGGCAGTGGTCGGCGGTGTTTCCACAGTATCCGTATTGAGAGCAGCACTCGCCGAGGAGACCGCCGACACCGACCCAGCCAACGCAAGATTGGTCGCCACCAGTAGAACCGCACATACCGTCCTTGGAAGTGGGACCGGTAGGAGTAGGGACAGCTGAAGAAGAGGTGCGGGTAGATGAAGTGCTGGGGGGAGCAGGGGTAGAGTCGCGGTACCAGTTCTCCTTGGGGTCGTTCAAGCACTCACCCATGGTGACAGCCTTGAGGCCTTGAGCGTAAAGGTAGTCAAGCATGTATGCGGTAAGGTTCTCAGCAGTCAATTGATGAATGTCGTGGCCGATGACAAGCCTGTCACCATCGTATGGGTCTCCGCTGTTACGGGTGTCAATGCCATTCTTGAAGTTGTCCTTGGCGACCTGGATCTTCTCTGGGGTCAATTGGTTGTAGTCATCGGTATCGAGATCGAAGTAGGAAACGACGTAGCCGAGATCCTTCATGACATCCTGGCAGTCATCATCGCAGGAAGAGTACGGTGGGCGCATGTAGGTTGGGTATTTGCCGATGATGTTACGGATAGCCATCTCGTTCTTGATCATCTGGTCGTAAGCCTCCTCTTTGGTAATAAGACTGAGGTCCTGGTGAGACCAAGTGTGGGAGGCCACCTGATGGCCGTTGTTGTACATCTTCTGGATGACACTCGCCCAGTTCTCATCAATGGCACCCTTACCGATGTTGTTACCAGTGATGAAGAAAGTGGCATGGGCTCCACGTGCTTCGAACTGGGCCATAACGTTCTCTGTGTAGATGTATGGACCATCGTCGTAGGTGATCGCAACCGTTCCAGGGTTGTTGCAGACGTATATGCCAGCACCGCCGTAAGGGATGGCTCCCTTCTGGGGACGGACATCATTGCGGGTGCTTGCTCCGGCAGGAGTCTTGTTGGCGTCTGTATCACCATTAGTAAGCTGATCATCGTAGAGGGAATAGAATATGTCATACCACATGCAGGTCCAAAGTTGAACAAGCAGTCGGGCGCTTGGCAGTGCTCATTGGTAGTACCGCAGTATCCCTGTTTCTACTGTAAGTACATACTCGAAATACAAAAGGTCTAACTGAATATACGTACGGCGCTTGAGCAGCACTCGTTGTCCGCGCACTTTTGGTTGTTGCCGTCCGGACCACAACGTCCGTCGGCGGACTGTCGGGGACGAATGACAGGTTCAGGGTGAGCAGAATGACGGTCTTGGAAACCAGCGAAAGGGTTGCTGGCCCTCAATTGCCTGGGCATACCAACGATCCTTGGCATACCCTCCATGCCATGAGCAGCGACGAGCGGTGCTACCAATGAGGCAGCAGCGACTTGGGTGAAACGCATCTTAGCGGATTAAGTTTTACAGTCCTAGTATATTCGTTGTATTCGACTTAGATTGTTAGAGTGAAAGCGAGTGTGTAGGACAATAATGTCAATTAGAATTAAGCGATAAGGACAAACGAGTGACGGTCGCTATGCGTACAGAGCAAGACGAGTGAAGAATGCAAAGAGCGTGAACCGATATACTTATAACCCACAATCCCATAGACGCACCTTCAAGGGCGACTCGTGGCGTAGCTGCAAAGAGTGGAGACCCACTAACTGAAAGAAGTCAGCACACTATTATCTGGAGCCAAGAGCGCTGGCCCTGGGAAACTCTCGTGGGATACGAAGGGACAGTGGAGACGGCATGGTACTGCGAAGATTGATAAGGCGCCTAATGTAAGCCACCGTATAGTGATACAGCGAACTCTCATGTCCCGCTGTAATTGAACGTCTTGGTAACCTAGCAGCCTTACAGACTTGTCAGTTGCGAGATCCTGTGTTCATGTCGATTTCGAAGGGACATGACAGAGCCTGAAGCCGACCTGTCCCTGTCATGCTCATGCCATTAAGGCACCGGGTCTAAATATGGGAGCCGCGATGCTGGTTCTGACCAGCTCCCGTCGCGGATACACTGAAGTGGGATGATCGCCGGCGGGGCCTATCCCAACAATTGGCTAGCGGGTTACTTGGCGTCACATAAACATCGTGGTTTTCACGTTGATGGCTCGATGTGGCGTTCGATGGCGTCTCGCGTAGGAATCAGAGGCCGTTTCGCTTTCGGCTTTCTCGGTACGCGACAGCCGTCAAAGAACTTTGAGGTTGAAGAGTTGTACAAGGACAACACCGTTTGTTGATATAATCGGTGGCCGATGTGTTCGCAATTCGATGCTGCTTCCATCAGCATGAGGTCCAAATACCCGCTCGTTGTTTGCGATGTCTATACTGTCAGCTGTTGTTGCAACACCTCGCGCCGTGGTATTGGGACTAAGCGACAGCCCACCAGTAACGGTCGCATCGTCATGCGTATCGCTCGCAACGTGATACTCCGAGTCACATTTTCCCAGCTCTTGGACGAATGCCTGACGCCAAGCTCAGGGGTGTAGGACTGGGAACGCTCCGGCAGTCGTCTAATGGATGCGATTCGATGCTAGAAGCCCCTATCAGCCTTAATTTCCACCGCCAAGCTTAAGCGGGCTCTGGCTTCCGCTCTCGACAATCGATAATGCCGTGGGCGGCAATCAACCACCGGCAAGCAAATCCTATGTGCAATGCGATGCTGGATTTTTCAAGACTTCGTCAAAGTGAGAATACTAACAGGCGGAGCAAAATGCAATCTGTTGTATAGTGCTGATCGAGCGCTACGAAGATGCGACTGGGTACGCTATGGGCCCCCAAACGTCGAGCCCGAATAGCTGCATCTTCTAGTTTGTTCAGATGTTGAGTTGTGGTTCGGCTAAGGCAGGCGCGCCACTAGAAAAACTTCAGCTGGTCCATGTATACGATATTTACGAGGAGGTGGAGATTGAATGCATGGCCAAGTAAAAGTGGGTATCATTAAGTTCAGGTACATAGTTGGGTGATATGTGGTGTAACGTCATAGTTTGTGATGTCTTCGTGGCAGGAGACGTACGTCTTGCCCGATCATTTCTTCACGATGCGCAATAGAGGAGCGATCCTCGCCCGTTTGCTCAGTCCTACGCGGTACGGCACCTTCCCTGTGTTGAGTGGTGATGCAGTTATAGGTTTCGTTTTTGGTTCAGGGGTCTCTGACGTCGTGGCTGGGGACGATTTCGATGGTGGATTGGAATGACTGGCAGTCGTTGAGACCGTGATATCTGACGATTGCGCCTGTTTGGTCTCCACAGGTGCGAGTTTCGAGTCTTGCTTTGCTTTTTCTGGAATTGACTCGGGCTCGACGATTTGTGCAACTTCTTCATGTTGCTTCACCTCCGCGGTTTGTTCCAATAGTTCTGGATTGGGGTCCTTAGGCGGAACAGCAGGCGCAGTCTTCTTGGGTCGACCACGCGCCTTCTTCTTCGCGGGCACGGCCTCAGACACAGCATCATCTGCTTCAATTGGTTCGCTCTCAGGCTGATCTAACGTGGTTTTCCTGCGCTTTGCCTTCTTGTTCGAGGCCGCGACAGAGCTTGGGGTCTGCTTAGAAACGGCAACTGGCGACTTCTTAGATATTACCACCTGCACTTTCGTAGGGGAGCGCAGCTCTGTCGCTAGAGGTTTTGTGATATCCTCCACAGCGTCTGACTGCATAGTAGTATCGTTTGCCACCGCAACATGAACAACCTCCTGCTCAGACACCTGAGTATCATCTCTGCGATACTCGTTTAGGTTGCGCATGATATCTTGCATAGTCTCAGAATCCATTGCTGGGCTGTCGTTGCTTTTGTTCATGGCCGGCTTAACTTTGGCTGGACTTGGTGGTGCAAGCTCGTCGTGGCCAACATTGTTAGTGACTAGCCAGTCAATAGCATGTATGACGTCACCGTTGTGTCGCTCTAGGGCTCCAGAGGTCGTGGAAGGTGTAAATCCCATGTCACAGATTTGTCGTACCTTCTCGGGGGTTGTGATCTTGTTGGCATCGACTGCAGCCGTTGTCTGCCGCCGTCTGCTAACCTTCTTGGCCTTCTCGGGCCGGACGGAGTAATCGATGGGTTGCTCTTCTTCAACCTTCAGCGATCTTGAGCGACTGGGCCGTGGCTTGTATTGCTCCTTGGGCAGCTCCAGAACGGCAAGATCATCATCAGAGCCACCTATAGGCACTGGTCGAGACTTTGAACGACAACGTGTCTTTTGAGCTTCCCCATAACCTCCTTCTTGGGTCCCTGGTGATGCCGTTGAAGGTAAAACCAGAGTCGTTGTAGGGTAGGCCTCACCAGACGCTGCCTTTCGGCCCATCTCATTGGCTTCAGGACGAGGAAGCCCATTCCTTAGAGGACTGTCTTTCGGAGGAACAGAAGATTCACACCTGCTTCGTTGGGATGCAGAGTACTCATAGCCTCCCTGTGTCGTCCGGGTTGGCGTGGTCGACGGAACATCAGTCGGAGGTGCGTCACGATCGGATGATTCAGTCTGGTCAGCCGCTTCTGCAGGTGTGAACTTCATGAGGTCTGACCATGGTATTGATGGTTCGGGTGGAGGGAAATAACGGGGACCTTCACTTTCGACTTCCTGGCCCATCATCATCGGAGCATTGACAACTTCCAAAACGTGTTGTTGGGTCATAGTGGCATTGGGGACAGTACTAGAAGGCTCAGGGAACATGGCTGGTTCGTGGTGGGCGTAGTTGTCGCGCATAGTGCCTTCCGGAAGCCAATCAATTTCGTAAGGAGGTGCAAGGTTTGTGCCTGACGGGTCCTCGGGCGGAGCTTTGAATGTTGGAGAACTACCGAAGATGGATTTAGGAGCCTTGCCATAGGTGATCGGGCCTCTCTTTTTGGCCGATGCATCGTCAGATGGCTTGAGTGGGCTTGGATCAACAGCAGTCTTTCTCTTTTTGCTTGGGTATTCAGGCAATGACACTGATGACTGAGGCTCATCCTGGCTGGGCTGTGATTGGAGATGATTTCGGTGCGCCTTTTCGATAGCTCTCTTCAGCGATTCTGAACTACATGTCAGTACTTTTGGCTCGGAATGCGGTTCCATGATGTCGACCCTACCAGTGGATCCAGTGCCGTGGGTCTCATTGCTGGGTGGCTGCGCGGACGCGTCTGGTTGTTTGGGTGGCGGTAGGTCGCTTTCAAGATCGTCGTCGAGCTCTTCATCTGAATCCTGTACGATACGTGCCATCGCTGTGCATGTCGTGTATGTCCCGGCGAATTGAGGTGCTGGGGCGAGAATACTTTGGAGTGAGGGTGGGTGCTCCTTCCGGTTGATCGCGTCGCCTTCACGCAATCACGGGACGAGCCACTAGCGCGATCATCTTTCCAGTTACGGCTTGCACCATCAACTTTCTGGTAGTCGCATCTCCCAACCCACATCATCCTACGAACATGGATAGGTTTGACTCTAGCTCAAGCGATCGCGCAGATTCGTCTGGTAACGCGCGTTTCACATCCCAGGCCGCGACAGCAGAAGATTTGCTGAAGGCGCAAACTGTCGGCCTCGTCAACCTCAATGACTACCGCAAGCGACGCGCCGAGGCGCTCGACAGAAAGGAGCGAGGCGACGCCGCAATCAGCTCAGGCGAAAACACACCTACAGACGGGTATGGACATTCGTATGCTGTCATCGGATGCTCGCTAATTTGCAAAGTACAGGGCATCGACGCCAAAACCCGTTTTCAAGAAGAAGCGCAAAGTAGCCGGTAAAGGCAAGCTGTCATTCGGCATAGACGAAGGCGAAGACACCGAATCTAATGTCTCCAAGACGCCCACCCCTCGCGAAGGCACTCCCGCCGAGAGTTCTGCCCCAGAAGCAGAAGGGAAGGTGTTCAAGAAGAAGCTGGGCGCAAACTCGAGCATCGGTCTCAAGCCTCGCGTCATGACCAAGACGGCTCTCCAACGTGAAGCGCAACAAGCAGAACTGGCACGGCAAGACTTTGTTGTCATGCGTGACGCAGTCAAGGCGACCGAGGTAGTGATACCCTTCGTCTTCTATGATGGCACCAATATTCCAGGTGGACGATGTAGGATCAAGAAGGGCGAGCAGATATGGCTGTTCCTAGACAAGGCCAGAAAAGTTGGTGCAGAGCTAGGCGTAGGTGGTGACAAGAGTCGAAGAGATTGGGCCAGGGTCAGCGTAGACGACTTGATGCTCGTAAGAGGTGAAGTCATCTTACCGCATGTAAGCATTAAACTCTGAAACATTATATCAACAAGCTAATAACAGCCGCAGCATTACGAAATCTACCATTTCCTATTCAACAGAGTCACTGGCTTTGATGGCCGTATCTTCGACTACTCGGCGCAACCCACCAAAGCTACTCCAAGCGCGACCGATGCCGACGCAGAAGTAGATCCGGCTACATACGACCCGCTTGCTCAACCCCTCAAGAAGAAGAGCAAGGAGTCCAGTATACCAGATGAAGAACTGGAGGGTTATGGTGAAGACCCAGCGTTGACCAAGGTTGTGGACAGGCGGTGGTACGAGCGCAACAAGCATATTTTCCCTGCGAGTGCGTGGACAGAGTACGCACCAGACAAGGACCTGTCAAAGGTGCAACGAAAGGACAATGAGGGCAATGCCTTCTTTTTCTCGTGAAGCAGCTGACACTCCAGAGTCTTCTTCCAAGTTGGTCTAGGCCTGCTGCTTCGCCAAGTCCTTCCCTTGCATGCTCCAGTGCTCGCGGGCTCGATGGATGGACTAGCTGAAAGGGTCTAATCGCCCAGGCGGGATCTGGAGAAGCCAGGTTCCCCAGAGCGGAGAGAGCTGCAGTACGATGCATGAACGTGCCGCATACGTGCCCTGAGTATCAATCGCGCGGAGAACACATAGCCAGTATCAATGCAACCCCACCATCCACGTTAATCATTCTTTGATGCGGTGTGGCCGGTTTAGCTGCCGTGCCCCCCCCCCCGCTATCACCACAAATGACATGGATGCCGCTATGCAAGGTAGTCGCGTGCATTCTTGCCCCCATTAGTGCGCCCGAGCTCAAATCTTCACGATGGTCACCAGTGCAACGTTTAGTTATGTTGCGCTTCGGACTCGCACAAGTTGCTTTATGACACCGAAATACAGCGCCAAGAACAGGTTTTTCTGAACGTATGTCCTTCACGAGTCAAGCTGACAAACATACACCGCCGCGATCCGCCGACGCAAGAGGCGCTCAAGCGGGACGCAGTCGAATGCGATAATTGGGGCAGGGATCCACAGGCGAACCGAAGCATCTCAAGGTTTGCAGCGACTTGCAGTATAAAAGAGACAAGTCTCTGCTTACGCTCGCGGGGAGTGATAGAATAAAGCGCGCTCTGTCGCCATACGTCATTGGATATCCTCGCGACGCACCAACCACGTCTCTTTCATCTGAACGTCCTTCACTCACACCTCTAACACCACGCCGATAACACTGACCAGCGATCCGCCGCTCCAGTGTATTTCCCCCAGGCTTCAGCTGCGGCTTTCCCTACTTTTGACAGTCCGTTTAACCATGTTGCAGGCGCGCCTTTGTCGAGCTCTGTCTCATCCAATGAGAATGGACGCCTCGAGCACACCCTAAAGATTCAACATTAACGCGTTGATTGCGCAGGTCGCATGGAATTATACTCTGGCTCTTGCCCTGCCGATCATTCAATACTTACCGCTACATCTCCTTACTTTTCCGCCCTCGCTTGCGCAAAGCTAGACCTCCATACGCTCTAGAGTTACCCCAAAGCTCAATATCGAGCTCTATCCAACCATAGATATCCAACGACTATTATTCCACTTCCAAGATGAAGTTTGGACATAATCTACCCCGGAATCAGGTCCCCGAATGGGCGGCGTCCTACATCAACTACAAGGGCCTCAAGAAGCTCATCAAGAACGCTGCTGAAGCTTCGAAGGATGGCTCAGCTCCCGATCTTGCTGGTATGTTCACTGTGTTCCTTGTTAAGCTTCATATCAAACACCCTCATGACTCTGCGGCATTCGCAAAGCTCTTTGCCATCTAGAATTGGTCACCAGCGAGCACATGTCAATTGTGACTATTGTATTGGAATTAGTTGAATACATGGCTAACATCTACCACCAGAGTTCTTCTTCTCGCTCGACCGCAACCTCGAAGACGTCGATAGTTTCTACAACCGCAAATACGCAGAAAACGCTCGACGATTACGACTTTTACATGGCCGTTACGGACGAGTCACACAGTTGCCTGAGGGTATCGATAAGGATGAAGCGCAAGATCTCATGGGTGCGCTGCTTGAACTGCGTGGCTCAATGCGAAAGCTTCAATGGTATGGAGAAGTGAACCGTCGAGGATTTATCAAAATCACCAAGAAGCTGGACAAGAAGATCGAGACCGTCTGCCTCCAAGAACGCTACCTAGCGTCCAAAGTCAACCCGAAGCCGTTCGCGCACAACTTGCCTTTAAACCAGGATATGAAGGCAGTCAACGAGTGGTTATCGGGTCTTAGCGACATCAAGACATTCGACGATACAGGCTCTACTCATTCCGCTGCCTCCTTAGGCAGAGTTCCAGGTCGCTCGCTACACCTTCCTTCGGGCATCCTGGACGCTGTGGACACGGCTATCCGCGGTGACAAAGTCGACGATCTCAATGAGCAACTCCGAGAAGTAACCACAAGCAACGGCATATCTAGTTCCTCCGTTCAGCAAGTGCTTCTGAACTTCTTGCAACGTGCTATTTCATGTCGGGCAAAGTCCTGTATCCAGAGACTACTAAAGGATATCATCTCACTAGAAGAAGAAGACGACATCAACAAGCGCAACTGCGTTCATCGACTTGTCATTAATATCGGTCGTTCGAAGACTGGCGATACGTTTGGTGCTGATGGAACCCTTCTTCAGAGCTCGAGCGAGACACGGAACTTCATAGTGCCTGCCACTGACCCCAATCGCCAACCTCGCCCTTGTACGACCACCGAAGAGGAGTCAACGCAACTACTCAGCGAAAACGACGAATCGGTACAGTTACTCATCTATCTACTTGACCAGCTCCGTGCTGAGCAGCGCGGCGCGCTCCAATCTCGTGACTCTTACGGCAGGTTTCCGCTCCATTATGCTGCGCAATATGGATTTGTAGTCATTTGCCAAGTAGTCATGAAGCACATGCAGGAATGGGGTCAGTTCGACGTAGGTGAGGGGATTGACTCTACTTACTGGCAGGATGCTGAGGGTAACGCTCCTCTACATCTTAGCGTGATGGGCGGACATCCCCTCACCACCAAAGCCCTCCTCGATGCAGAAAACTGGCGTGGCACTAAGGAAGAACGGTTTGCATCTCGAAAAGCCATCGCGAGATCAGGAGCAGCCTTGACTCTAGCGACTCGGTCGAACTTTGTAGAAATCGTCAAGCTCTTGGTTGAAGCCGGTGTGGACGTCAACTACCAGGATGAAGGCGGTGAGACCGCACTACATATGGCAGCACGCTACGGTTTTGACGAGTGCGCCAAAGTACTGTTGAGAGGCTCCAGCATGAACAAGGCGGAGGTCGATGTGGCCGAGAAGACATTTGCTTGGACGCCATTGTTCATTGCTTGTGTCGATGACCATCTCTCCATGGTCGAGATCTTAGCCGCTGCCGGAGCTGATTTGCAGAAATGTGATAACTCTGGCTGGACCGCAAAGGAGCATGCCGCCCTTCGCGGTCACATGGAAATAGCGGCAAGATTAGCAGAACTTACCCCCACCACAGAGTCACATCTAGTCGCCCCTACGGATACGCGGATCGCTCGAGCAGGCTCGCCTGTTCAATCGTCGCTTGATGAGCGAAGATCCAAGAACCTGAACCGAGACAACAACACTCCTGTTCAGAAGGCGCCTGAGCCTGTCAAAACCTTTGGTCATCGTTATCTGACGAAAGAGACGATGGTTTTGGTCAGCCTCGGTTCTATGGACATCAGGAAAGACACACCCGCTGTAAAACTGGATGACATCCCTCTTGCCGATGCGCATGCGACGCAACTGGACACCGCTTTATCTGTGGTTGTAAATGCATCTGGCGCTAATGGAGAACCCACGGTGATCGACTTGCCCATTCAGGAGAACATCGCGACTGAGCCTATCACCTTCATGACCAGCGATGTTTCCAAGGTCAAGCTGCTGTTCGATATCATACCAACCTACGCGGGCAATCAAGAGCGTGTTGTGGGACGAGCAGTGGCACTGCTGTCAACGATCAAGACCAGTATTGGATCTAAGCGTATATCACTCCAAGGAGACATGAAGGTCCCGATCGTGGCGGCCTCAACGTTGGACGTGATCGGCACGGTCAACTTCAACTTTTTGATCATCACTCCTTTCCACCATCCAGCTATGTCTGTTACGGAGCAACATACTTACTGGAAGAAAATGGCTGCAACGACCATGGTCATTGGCCATCGCGGTCTTGGAAAGAACACGGCTTCACGCACGTCACTCCAACTTGGCGAAAACACGATACAGTCATTCATTTCCGCTGCCAACTTGGGGGCGGAGTACGTAGAGTTTGACGTTCAATTGACAAAGGACCACGTGCCGGTCATCTATCACGACTTCCTGGTTAGCGAGACTGGTATCGACGCACCTGTACACACACTCACACTGGATCAATTTCTTCACATCGGCGAGGGTCAGAAGCCACGGTCTTCTCGCACTGGCTCACCAGAAACCGTGCCAGTCCCCAACGGTACGAATGGCACAGATGACCGTCCCAACACACGTCGACTACGATCATACTCAGTAGACAACTCGAAACAGCGCAACATTCACACGGATCGTCAGAACGAGCTGACCGAACGAATGAAGTACACCCGCGATTTCAAGAAGAAGGGCTTCAAGGGCAACAGCCGTGGCAATTCTATTCAATCATCCTTCACAACCCTAGAGCGCATGTTTGATGAGTTGCCAGAATCGGTTGGATTCAACGTCGAAATGAAATACCCGATGCTTCATGAATCTGAAGAAGAGGAGATGGACCAGTATGCTGTAGAGCTGAACTCGTTTGTCGACACCGTGCTGGAGAAAGTATACGACAAGATGGGCAAGCGAAACATCATTTTCTCATCTTTCAACCCCGACATCTGCCTGATGCTGTCATTCAAGCAACCCTCGATTCCTGTGCTGTTCCTTACAGACGCCGGAACCTCGCCCGTGGGAGATGTGCGAGCGGCCAGTCTACAAGAAGCTATTCGGTTCGCTAGCCGCTGGAACCTACTTGGCGTAGTCAGCGCTGCTACACCTCTGGTCATGTGTCCGAGGCTGGTCAAGGTGGTGAAGGAAAGCGGTTTAGTATGCGTTTCGTACGGCATGCTAAACAACGATCCAAAGAACGTTTTGGTAAGTCATCAATTCAACCCCCACCTACTTTCCGCAGCATCTACTGACTGTGTAATAGCTCCAACGAAACGAAGGTATCGATGCCGTCATCGTAGATAGCGTCCTCAAAGTTCGCCAAGGACTCCAAGCCCCGAACCAAGATTCTACCAACGGCGCTGTCAACGGCGCATCGCTTGTCGTGCCGTCTGAAACAGTGCCAACGATCAAAGAGGCGAGCGAAGGGCTGCAGAATGGCGTTGAAGGCAAGAAAGTAGCGCAAGAAGTGGCGTGAATCATGTAACGCAGTTTCAACAATGGGTGGCTAGCGTTGGATTTCTTAGACAAAGAGCGTTGTGTTGATCCGTAGGTAGTCCCTCAACGGGCTTGGATTTGGCCTGTTAATCGATTGTTTGGAAAGTGTAACCACGTTGTGCGCTGTTGCTGATGTGGGCATTTATGAAGTGATACTATAATTACGTGAGGTTATTTTGCGCTCATTCTGAGTTCTGTGACGATGCTATGCATGATATATTTTTCGGATCAAATGGCATCGGGTAACTCGCATACTCACTCGAATTATCCCACCAGTTTCCAACACGACTTTGCAAACGAGGTATAGCCCCACCTAGCCCTGTACTGAGGTAGGTTTTTGGTGAACACCACATCGTGGTGTTCCTCTATGTGTGTGTAGTGTAGTAGGCCTCTGGACTTGTAGTGCGCTTCAGGGTTGTAGTGACCGTAGAGGCAGGCGTGTGTGGCTTTTTCCTACCAGAAAAAAGGGTGAATTAGTGGTACTCTGGTGGATGGTGAGTGTCATATTGAGGAAGGTACGAACCGTTTCCCATTCCTCTTTACTGAGGCGAAACAAGCCCAGTTTCCGATCCTTATAGAGACTACAGACATCATGTTCATCCCAGACATCATATTCAGAACAGCCACAGCCCTCCTCACTCCTAGTGTCACTGTCACCGTCACTGTTGCAGTCACTTTCGCCGCAATCACCATCGGCGCAGCAAGTGCGCCCGGAGTAGTCATCAACGTCCAGCATACGCCACGTGACTTCAACGTTGTAGCCAGTATGTATCATATCATGTACAGGCTTCCGTATCGATTCCATTACATTCATGAACCCGCGCTCGTAGTCTCGTAGAGCCGTGACCATATCCTCCTGAGTTAGTCCATGAATGTCAGAATGGGGATGTTCGCCCAGCGTCAAGTCGACGTGAAGCTTCAATGACGAGGGTTCTCTTTTCCCCATGAAGAGAGCAAGTCCTGCTCCGAGCTTCTGGTACAGATCACTGAGTTTGCTCTTTTCTTTCACGACACTCTCTCTTACAGCGTCGTCCTCAAGGAGTCGGCCGTTCATTTTTGCCCTTCCTCGACTTATAGGACTGTCGAACATCTTATCGATTCTGATGCGCACATGCAGTGTCCGGATATACACGTACGGTTTGACGCCGAGGTTGAACACGTCTTTTGTCATTGTTTTTTCCATCTCCTTGAAGTTGGCGGAGAAGTGAACTATGGAGTAATAGTACTCTGCTGCCTCGCGTGCGACTTCATTGCCGACGTAGGATGGGCTGTATATACGTTCAAGGTGATCGACGTACGCGTTCTTGCGGTGCTGTAAGTTCTCAACGTGGAACAATATGGGCTCTTCGATTATCTGATTGTACACATAGTCTCTTAATTCCCGTGGGAGCTCGGCATGGAATGCTGTTGCTAGACGGTGGCAAGCTTGTCGCTCGCATTGGGTAGCGGATACATTCTTTTCTAGCTCATCTAAATCCGTCTTTACTTCCTCCAACTTCAGCCCCCAGGCTTCAAAGCTGTACTCATCTATTTCCATGTCGAAAGGATACTCGATTACCGGCTGAATTAATGCGACCCAAGTGTGTGTCCTTGTGAGAAGGTAAGGTGCATTTGTTCTACCGGCAGCCCAGGTGGTGGGGCACTAGAGTCCGTGCATCAATCAGCGGATGACGTCGGACCTTCCCACACGAGGCTTGGCCGTCTATAGACGCTGAATCTCAGTTAGCTTCAAGCTTCACAGAACTCTTTCGTGACCTTGGTCTTCAACTTGGTATGCTTCACCTTCCATTTAAAAGCGCTATACTAGATTTCTGGTACAGCTTACTGATTTTTATTTAGATATGGAGCTAAACCAAATCTATCAACCCTTGGACCCTGCCATTCGCCAGATCCGTCTGCTTCAATTATTGCCTGGTTCCTGGGACTCACCGTTACAAATGGATTTAAAAGTGACGTATCTCGCTGCTGAGCTATCATATCATACCCTCTCTTACGTATGGGGCAGGTCTACTGCCACACGACAAATCCAGCTTTGTAGGCAACCGTTCGAGGTCACCGTCAATCTTTTCAACGCACTCCGGCGTCTGAGAAGGGCTAAAGAAACCTTATTGCTGTGGGTTGATGCAATATGTATCAACCAAACAGACCTTGAAGAGCGAGGGAGCCAAGTTGCCATTATGGGTGAGATTTATTCCAAAGCACAAGGAGGCTATAGTTGGTTGGGCGACTCGATTTCTGGAGAGAAGAGCGGTCTAGCGTACTTGCCAGTAAATCTAGAGGATGGAAAAAGCTATGAGTGGCTAAGTCGGAACGCGGAGCAAATCGTCCAGAGCCCGTCATTCACGGATCTTGAGCACGAGACACTCGCTGCATTTGCCATGCTACATCTCTTGTCCATTGATGAGCACTGGGATAAGAAGGTCGTTTTCAGTATTGGCGACGATGGGAGAGTTCGTGTATCAGACAGATGCGCCATTGCATGGCAAGCAATGCTTCGTCTTATGCAGCTCTCATGGTTTCGCAGAATTTGGGTCGTCCAAGAATTTGTCCTGTCGGAGAATGCAACTCTCGTTTTAGGATCTGTGTCAGCGCCTACGGAACTGATCATCCGGGTTTGTGAAAGCTTTTTGAAGCATCTTCCTCCTGGAACTTGTTGTCATACGTCCGTTTCCTGGAAAATGACTGTTTCGTTGTGGGGCGAGCTTGTCAAGGTCAGACTTACCCTGTGGAGCTTCTACTCTTTACGGGTGCAGCATCTTCAACCATGTTCAAAAGAGCTGCCGGTTTTGTTTCGGGAGACTATGTGGTTGTTACGGCACAAAGAGGCAACGGATGCTAGGGATAAAGTGTATGGATTTCTTGGGCTGCTCCAGAATCACGATCAACCGCTATTAAGACCGGACTACTCGCTAAATGTAGCGGAGACGTTCGTTAACTATACCAAGTTCCTAATCGCATCTGAAAGCAATCTCATCGCACTGGTAGGGCCGAGATTACAGCACCCAGGACTTCCAACATGGGTACCAGATGTCTTACCAGACGCTGAGTCTAGGACTATTTTGTTCTTCAAAGACATCCTACGACGCATTGCCTTTTCCACCATATTCAATGCATCGAAAGGACACAAAGTTACGTTTACTGTACAGGGCACGAGGATTGAACTCTCGGGAGTCCGCGTCGACACCGTTCAAACTGTCGCAGAAAGCTACGTTGATGGTCAAGAACGCAAAACTGTCGAAGAATGGGAATCTGTCGTGTTGTCGACCCAATCTAGCGCGTCATATCGATTTGCAATGGACGTACCTGTCACTGAAGCCTTCTGGCGTACTATTATTCGAGATACGTTCACTCACTCGGAATCTGCCATCACTCGCCGTGCGATACTAGACGATCAACATTCATATAGCCTCTTCCGTTCGTGGCTGGTCACAAACTCTGACGCGCAGCCATCCCATGCAGTACCAGGAGATACAGATTTTGTGAACTTCCGCAAATCCTTTTACATTGCGACACAGGGCCAACACTTTTTTACGACAGATTTGGGCTACATGGGGCTTGGGTACGCACCAAGAGAAGGAGACGAAGTCTGGATTCTATTTGGAGGGACGGTGCCGTTTATTTTAAGACGAACTTCTAGATTGGGGGAGTATTCCTTGGTTGGGGATTGTTATGTACATGGCATCATGGATGGGGAAAGAATGACAGATTTAAAGGAAGGAGACGTGGCAACAGTTACGTTGTTATGACTCCGCCCCTTTACAGTGCCTCGAAAACTGGGCCACCAAAATCTTATGAACAGCGACCTACAATATCACTACAATACTCAAAAAGAAGATACGGTACCGCATGGTCGGCGCCAGCTCTTTGTCTTATCCTCTTAATTTCTGGGCCGCTCGACGTATAAATACCTGTTCGCTATGCCATCCTCCAGTACATCAATCACTTCACCTTCTTCTCCTCTTCCTAAATACGAGCACCCGGGTCTCGATGGAGACGGCGTTTCTTCTCAAAACATCCTGACATTGCCACCTATGTGCCTTCCTGCGCCCTCGAAAAAGGGAACATCACAAAGAATAGCCGGCGCTTCTCGTCCAAGAAATCCATGAGCGCATACAAGGGACAGCTGATGGAACTTATGTGGACGCCACTACGTGCTTCTACTATAAAACTTTGAACTGCGGTTGGAGTACTCCTCCTTCAGCTCCCCGTATCTTCTTATATTATTCTAAAATGCAAGACGGCAAAGCACATGGAGACTGTGCCAGCTTCTCCAAAAACACTTTACAATGCTGTCATGTCTCCTTTCCCGATCACCACACCAGACTTGCGATCCACCAAAATCATCTAGCGGATATTCGATAGAAACGCCACTGTTAGAGCCACTGCATATAGAGACTTTTCTGAACGGCAAAGCACCCTTCCTACATCTTTCTCCTCTTACGAGGTCTTTTCCAAAACTCAAGGCTACCACGCTATGGAGGCCACGCTCCTCTTTCTCAAAAAGACAAGCGGTCCAATCCATGTGTTCTGTCCGGCTCCTTCCCCAATCACAATAAACAGCCTTCAAAAAGATTACGCACCCGAACAGAAACAATAGCAAACAGGTGATTATGTGTGCAAGTCATTCCTGCGCCTACTACAAACCTATCCACCGGCAGACTTTGTTCCTTCTACATCTATCACCCTTCTTTTCTTTGTCTAAAAACAAGAAGAAGACAACCATATGGAGATTGCGCCTCCATCCAAAGTTTACAGAACATGCCAGGTGTGTCCTCCTCTGGCTTTTCCTGTTCTTCCCTTCAAACTTCAAACTAGCTTGCCGAGCTTGACATGGCGGGATCAACCAACATAATCCAAGATACACCAATATCATGAGCTGAAAAGACGACGTCTGTGACGCAATGTTCGTCTTCGCTGTCTTCTTGCCGCGGTATTGAGAGGACGAGGGAGTGGATAAGATTGAGAACTAGAAAGAGGCTGTGGGCGAGATATGAAATCAACACTGCCTTCCTGATGTCTCTCTTGCTCCCTTCACTTACACCGCGAAACGGGTGCTATTTCCAAAAAGCTCAACTCGCTGGACTCATGATGCGTCGAGCACCTTGAAAGTAAAAAGCGTGATAAAGCATGGTCGGATGCCGGTGCTGGAGTTCGTAAGCAGTAACGACAAATCTATTGCTGTAGGCACGAAAACCGAGTACGATGATGATGGTAATGATCAATATGACTTGATATAAAACGAAGCCGCGATGTTATACCATCGCTCTTCAGCGTGATCCGTAGAATTTAACTCATAGGATATCTCATACCACCATGGCACACTTATCAACAGTCTTTCCAACACCCAAAACGCCATATCGCTATGCATGACCAAATAACTACACCCAATCAACCCCATACCTTCCTCCCCATCAACATCTTCTAAAGCCGACCAACACCCGTTCTCGCCCCAAAATCTCCTCGATTAAACCTCTTCAGATCGCACCCCGCTCTCTTGAACCTCTTCATCTCCCACCTCTTCTTCTTGTCAAACTCGTCTTCCGCAAGTCTCTTTCTCACATCGGATTTACTTGTACCACCACTGCCAGTATTACCCACACCAGCATCATGCAAAACCATTGCATCCTCCCACGAATACGAAAACTCCTTGAAGAAGGGGTGAGTTTGATTGTTTAGCTGGATAGCCGAGAAAGGGTTTTGGTGGGAGAATTTGAGGAGGTTGGGGGTTTCTGTGTCTGTTTCCGCTCCTGCTCCTGTCTTTGTTCCTGTTCCTGTTTCTGTTGAGGTGAGGTGGAGGGTATGCGCATTCCGTTTCGAGGTGACGGTGATAAAAGGCTCGTTATCGTCGGGGATATCCTCCTTTCCATTCTCGTTGTCGCTCAACGTGGGTGATGTACGCGATGGGGTGTGGGTAGCGGCGAAGACGCGTTTTGGTGGTGTGTTGAGACCTCCCAATCCTTCGATACCAAGGACGTTGTTTTCCTGTCTCCTCATCCTTACAGCTCGTCTCCCCATCTTATCGCCCGGTCCGGGTATCCAGTCCTCCTCAGGGTCGCTGTCTTGGTCTTGCGTTGCGCCTCTCCGTCGTCTGTTCTCTTCATCTTCGGATGCCTGCCGTGTGAGCTTAGGCCCCGCCGGTGTGACCTTGACCCTCTCCCTCTCCTTGCCTTTGGAGTGAGGTTTCGCAATGTGTTGTATTTGTTCCGGCTCAGCAATCTTATCCTCTCCCCTCATCTGCGCCTCTCGAACCTCATCTGCCATGTCCCTCGGTACCGCGGCGTGGATGTCTGTCATGAGCTTGGCTCTTCTACAGTATCCATCCCAGTCTTCAACGGCCAATTTCCCCGCCGCTTCGTTGAGCGCACTTGCTGGATTCGGTTGTATGAGTAAACATGATATAGTGACGAGAACATCTCGAAGCTTCAGCGTGCTGCTCCAATCGCGCTTCAGCGTTTCGACGCACACAGCGCCGGTGGCTTCGTCGATATTTGGGTGCCATAGTCGGGTTCGGAACTGGGCTGTCGGGGGTGCAGTAGGGTATGTGGGTGGGATATCGAGGTGTAAGCGCCATACACCGCCGGAGTAGGGCGTACCGACGGGGCCGGCGAGGAGGATGTCGAGGGAGGTGAGATCAGCCGAGTCGTCTGCTCCCGGAGGAAATAGGTAATTTGGCGGGAGACCGGCGGTATGGAGGGAGCCGTGGTCGGCGGCGAGGCGGCGGAGGGATTTGGAGTTCTGGGTGTGCAGTGTTAGGCTGTGGAAACGTGATGTAACAATGCGACTATTACCATGATTGTGTGCGCGATCTAGCAGAAGTGCGAATGTATAGGTTGCATGGGAGAAGAAAAGAAATTCATTGCGCTGTTGTACAACAACTGACTGATATTGTCTTCCGAGTAGGGTTGTTGTCTACCAGCAGTTGCAACGCACCTGCCCTCGCATCGCGACGCCCCGCAATTCGCCAACATCTGAGCGCGTTCTAGCGCGTCATTCCTATTCTCAGTCTCACCCCTTCACTTCTTCGTCATTACTATCTAGTAGTACTCCAACAACTTCTAGGTAACAAATCACTCACAGCTTCTGCAACTCACAGATTTTACACAGGAAAGATGCTCTTGTTCAGGATTACCTCAAATACAACCAACACGCGCAACTGCATAATTTCATAGAATTTGACTGCTATAGCTAACGCTGCCGTGGTGTAGCCAGGTCCCTCTCAATGGAGAAGTCTACTTGTTTCTCGATCCCAGCCATGGGTCTCAACTCTGTCTCACTGCCCCAGTCGTTGCTTCCCTTCCTGCCTTGCTCACTACTCGGCAGCCTCAGACCGGTGTTATGGCTCCATCGATGCCCACTGAACACCCGACGTGCCTTGCTTTGGGCCCCCGATGCACTTGGCTCTGCAGAGCCATACACTGGCGGTGCAGACCGACTTGGCCGAGTTCGCCCCATTTTCCCATTAAGCAGGTATCTGAACGCGGGTAGCGTGGCGACTATGACAGAAACGGACGACTCGATGTGACTCCACATGCTGAGTAGCACAGGTCCATCAGCAAGCGTGGCCGGATCCGGATTCGAAGTGGCTTTTGTGACCTGCGCAAGTCGCGCGAATGCGAAAGCAATGATGACTGTACCAAGCGAGAAGATGACGGCAAGGCCGAACTTCTGTTGGGGCGAAACTTGTAGTTTGCGTAACAAGTTTAAAGGGAGGAGCATGATAAGAGCATCGGAAACGACATCTGCGCTCGTTGCAAACTTGATAGAAGCATCGGCTCGGATAATGTCATCTGGGTCGCTGCATCCAGCTACAAGAATTAGCAAAATGTGCAGAAACCATTGGAATGGGATACTGACTTGCGCTCCAGTACTTGGATAGTGGCCGACAGGTTAGGAAATTTGAAGCAACCGATGCAAGGTACAGGAGTAGCACCAACACAAAGCATGCCCACCAAGCACGCATGTATGCGGGCAGCCCTATGACTAGGCGCCTAAAGAAGAACAGGATCGAAAATTTGGCTAACATTACATATCAGCATGACATTCCTCGTACGCGTGTAAAACAGCCAAACTTACCAGCCCACAGAGTAGTCCAAAACAACAGCATTTGGCTGAACATGAACTTGAGTGAAGTACGCGTCCTCTCGACGAACTCGTCTGGCGGCAGCGGCATCGGTGTGAGTGGATCCACTATCAACTCTTTCATGTACTCTTGTGCGAGAAAGAACTGCGGTAACAAACATGTGATAACCGCGGAGAGGGCAGTCAAGGAGAGTAAACCAAAGAAGACGAAGTAATCGTCTGCGAAGATTCGGCGTTGAGACTTCCATCGTAGAAAGCCTCTTGATGCAGTTAGGATGAATGATGCCCCCCAAAGACTCCATATCAACGCCTGTCTACTGTTAGACTTGTTTTGCATGCTGTTGCCCGACTCACCATGAGTTCAGTATAATTGAGCGTCATCTTGGCCGTCACTCGTCATGTACAAAGTGGGATCAACGACACCGTGACCAGTACAATCTACTTAAAAGGACATCTATCTATACGAGCTCCCATGAGCCAGACCCTACGGCACAATAGCTGCCGCCGCGGCGCTACAGACTACATATTAGCACTCCAAGTCTTACCCCATGTGTTTGAAGTCGACTGCGAAACTCTCCGCAGAAGGCCTTGACGCGCTTCAGCCATCGGACTTCAACTGTTCAAACAGGAAACGGCCAAATTACGGGCTAATCCTTCCAACACACATCCATGTAAGCTGACACTTTAGCTGAAAAGATGGTACGCGTGCCGAATGTCATCTCAATGTCACTGGGTATAACTTAGTGGAGCAATCTCTCCGATGCTAGACATGGTCTCGGCCTCTCACGGAAAGCATGGTCATGGTTCCGCGGTGGCTGGCCCAATCCTTTGGGTCACACACGGCTCGGTTACGCTGTCCCTTCCTTCGCGCCGTTCCTTCGCGTTCAAGCTTTTCATCGATTCCGCTGGGATGAGGTACAGCTAACTCGTGTCCGCTGTCGATATACTGAACTTTTGAATGAATGCATGGCTGGCTGCACCAGGTGCAAGGAAAAAGCTGAACAGTGTCAAATAAGCTTTCGATGGTAGTCTACTACAATAAGCATAGCACTAACAGTTTATGTATTCAGGTCACCTAAGAGCCTACAATACTATCACATTTCTTAAGTTTCCTTGTTATATGCTGTTGTAGACTGCAGCATAGTAGATGACTCATTAACTTCTGTTATTTTCTTCCATGTATGCGGAGCTTCAGAGAGTGTACCATATGTAGTATTATATATAAACAGCTGAAAGATTCAGTGAGATGTCTATACTGATCGATCATGCATCGGCAACTTTCCAGCCACCAGGCATCAGGTTAGTATAGACTCGAAGAGGATCGTACTTGGTACGGATGGTCTTCAGCCTTCTCAGATTGGCAGCCGGATAGCTCTGGAAGATCGGCTGGCCCTTTCCTGCATCGTTCATATAGAGATACTGGGCGTTCCATGATTTGGCGCGAAGCAAGCCGTTGATGTTTTCCGTAATCTCATCAGCAGCAGCGCGCACCGTGGTGTCATCGCTTGCTGAAGACCAGGTGAAGTTCTCCACCATCCAGAAGAAAGGTGCCTTCGAGATGTCCACACCTTGAGGATTTCCTCCAGTCTTAGCGCTGTGCGAGAGGAACGCCTTAGTAACAGGCTGGAAAGTGATTGAAGCCTGAAGGTTGGCAACACTAGCCAGCTTGGCATTTACGCCTGAGATGAAGGTGTCGTGAATGAGCTGAACAGCATCACGATCAACGAGAGAAGACAGTGTTCGGAATTCCTGGCGTAGTCCTAGTGGCTGCAGAGCATCTGTAGCTGAGATATAGTCTGAAAGTGGTTGCAGTGCGTACGAATCGGCGACAGGGGTAAGCTTTGGAGCGGTGAAGTTCTCAAACACCTCTGGGTTGTCAGTGAGGGAGTGGTAGAACTTCGCAGCCGCATAAACTGTCAAGTTCGCTGCGGGGAACGTGAGGATTGTCGGTATGATGGCAGCTTTTGGGTCGATACCACCGTATTTCCCAAAGTTATAAACGCCGTCCAGGTAGCCAACTGCTTGAGACTGATCGAATTGTCCGATGCCGACGTGTACGTCGCTGCCCTCTACTGGTCGCAAGTCAAATCGTGTGACAATGCAGAAGGAGTTTCCACCACCCCTCAATGCCCAGAAGAGATCGGAATACTTGTTTGTTGCTGTCGCTTCAACAATAAGTCCGCTGGACAAAACGCACTATCATTGTCAACTCAGACCTAAGCTTGAGGGAGGAGGTGGCAACATACCTGATACTTCTGAACGTTGTCCGAAGCAAACCCATACTCCGAAGAGTAGAAGGAAATTCCTCCACCGAGTAACAGACCAGGAACGCCCACGTGGCCCACACGGCCTCCAACAGCTGCCAATCCAGATGGCTTGAGATAAGCATAGACATCTCTCCACCTATTGCCAGGGCCAACGGAGACGATAGACTTATCCGACGAAAGCGACAAGGTAGTCAGGTTGGATGAAGACATCAACACACCGGAGCTATCGATTCCGTTGTAGCCGGGTATTGGCATATGCCCTCCTCCCCGCATAGCGAATTTCGAGAGCGTAAGGGTCATCGTAGTGACCGCATACGAAACTTGCTGGGCATTCTGAGGAACGAAGACGCACGCAGGACTGCTGTAGACCGTGGCTGACCAATAAGCTGCGAATCGTTAGCGCAGGTCGGGCTTGGGTTTGGGTTCCAAAGACATACGTTCTTGAGTCTCATATGCGTAACCTGGAGTTCCAGGTAAGAAGGTACTGTCAGGGTATCGAGACTTCAACTTCGAGCAGGCGACTTTCTCTCCACCGAAGAGGCTCTTTGCTGCCCCCGTCGCGATTGACGGCGCAGCAAAGAGAAGAGCTGCAACACCTGCTAAGAGTACCATGTTGAGTCTGAGGAAGTAATACCAAGGGCTGAGCACGGAAAACAGACAAGCGAATGCTGGTGTTTATGAGGAACATCGGACAAATATAACCTTTCGCCTCCGCGGCTCAACTCAATCTGAAAGTATGTTGGTCTAACGCACCTGGATCTCTCAGGTACCGGAGCTCTTGCCAGTTCAGGAAGAAGGAAGGATTTCCTGCATATTCAACTTGCGAACTATGTGGTATAGGGCAAGTGAAAAAGTCGTGCCACTTGCACATACAAAGCAGGTATGGCATCTACTTCAGCGATCCAGACGTTAGGTTACATAAAGTGTGACTTCTATGAGGCTTCTGCAGCCCTGTGATGAGGACATGCGGAAAGTCATGGTTGAACAAGATAGCGGGTTGAGCAGCCAAGGGACGCAGGGATGAAGGAGCAGTTTGCCGTCCGAAGTACGCGTGGTGCAGCGCGGACTAGGCTAGGCCACTAGCGCGAGAACGCCCCCAATCCTTCGGGCAAGGGTCTCCTCCACTTCATCTCGCAGCCGTCCCGTCGGTGGCGACCCTGGGTTCGATCGACCACAATTCGGGGACGCAGTCATCTTGTGATCCTTCGGCGTTGTCACCTAAAATTGATCCAAGAAAGGAGTCACATGCTTTCGACCACATCAATCAGACTTCTGCACGCCTATTCTTGCACTATCGCCTTATCATAAAAGCCAGCTCTAGCAGCAAATGTAGCTAACATAGAGGCCGTAAAATAGGAGCAGGTCGTAGTAAAGAGGCTTTACAAGTTGATATGCATAACCCCAGTCTCATGAACCCCTCGAAAAGTGTACATTTGCAGAGCACTTTCGTCCTATCGGAATGCTACAGTACGAGAGTAGACATGGAGCAAGACTTGATCCGGAATGGTGCTGCTATCTCAGTCCTGGCGCGTGGTAGACACAGCTCGTAGAGCCGGACGCAGTCTCGCAAAAGCAATCCATACCAACAACGCCAACACAGTCTCAGCTAGGACAGCAAAACGGAAAACGCCAACGCCCAAGCCCTGAATAACAGCACCGATAGCAAACGGGGAAAGAGCAGCTCCAACCTGACCCAAAGATGCCACGAAAGAAACAGCCGCAACATGTAATTCCGCCGGCAGCAGCCGTGTAAGCATAACAACACCGGACGGAAACATCGGACCCATGATAAACCCCAGCATCGTCATCAAAGCTACAGACGCGGCCGGAGACGACAGCGCAGCGAAGAGTACATCTATACCGATAGCGACAACAAAGTACAGGCCAGTCGCGCGTCGTACTCCCATCCTATCTGTAGCGAAACCCAAGGTCAGTCTTCCAACAGCCATGCCGATCCAATATCCAGAGGAAGACAAGCCAGCGACGTAGGCGGTCGCGTGACGGCTACGCAGCATGAATGACACGATCCAGCCTGAAATTGCTGTTTCAATGCCAACGTAGGTGAGGAAGTATGCTGCGCAGAACCAGGTAGCGCGGTATTTGAACACGGCTTTGACGTCGATGTTAGGATCGTTGGTTTTTGATTGCTTGCTCTCGCGATAGACGGATGAAGTTTCGTTGCGAAATGCAGTGACCAGAACCAAGAAAGAGAGAGCACATGCTCCAGCCTATAAGCCATCAGTCCAGAAACTCGCAAAATCTGGTATTCAACAAACTTACCAAGATAGAGTACCAAGTCCACCACGGAAAATGCCTAGTAGTCAAGAGAGTAACAACAAACGGCCCCATCGCCCCACCCACAGAATAAGATCCATGTAGCAACCCCGAAACCGTATTCGCCTTTTCCATACTCCCAGCCCACGCACACCAACTCCCATCCAAAAGCCCCGTTCCCAACCCCTGGAACATGAACGCAACCAGAAGCACTCCAAATCGTGGATGACTTGCCGCAGTCGCGGTGGCCAAGATCTGTAGAAGCGGCCCCGCAATTGCGATCCCTCGTTGGCCAAAGCGGAAGTGGACAGTGTCACTACATTGGGCTGCAAGCACGTAGCCGATGGGTCCGGCGAGGAAGATGGAGGATACTTGGAGATCAGTGAGGGAGTAGTGGTGGGAGAGGAGGGGGAGGACGGCGCCAATAGAGGAGTTGAAAAGGCCGAGGGTGACGAATGAGTACATTGCTGCGGATATTTTGAAGATGAGAGGTGTATTCATTTTGTCGTCCACATTATGGGTGCTCTCCGCGTTGTGAATAGGTCCGGTGCTATCATGGAGAAGAGGGGAATCCTCGTTGTTGGAGGGTTGATGTGGCATGTTGTTGCGACGTTGCGCGTCTAGGACGCGACGAGGGAAGGAAGATGGAGTCGTTCACGTTAGCCCGATCACGAGTTCATCCTTAGTGGGCTGGCAGGAAACTTGAGAATGAGCGTTGATATTTAGAATCCAATGTATGGTTGATAGTCACTTCAGATGGAAGCTGTTGTCGCAAGATGTCGCTACAAACAGGTAAGCGCTGCCGAGACGGCTAGCCAATGACATCATCATCATCAAGTCGCGTACGCGAGACCTTCACTAACACACAAGAATCGTCCTGGTGGCTCCATATGATAGTACAGCCACAACGAACTGAGCAATGACATGAAAATTTATGAGGCATGGTTGGTTATGGTGGCATCGGGCGGAAGGGAGCTTTCCAGTGCGTAATCGCAACTATCGTGGTATCGAATTGGCATGGTATAATTCTTACCGAAGAAAATACCCGATTATATGGCAGCCGCTGGCCTTAATAGGTGGCATTTGGGCCTCGAGAGCGACTCAATCTTCATCGTCTGAAGATGCATAGCCCAGCCCGAGCGAAATCGTGTTCACGGGCTTGGATGGGGGCTGCCGTGCTGGTGACTTGGTTATATTTGCGGATGTTGTCGTAGGAACTTTTGCGCCGTTGCCACCGCTTGTGGCAGAAGGTGTGTTCGTCCTAACATCCGGTGCAGACTGCTTCTTCGCCTTTGCTTCGTCGATGGTGTTTTTCTCTTCAGTCACGGAGCTCGACTTCCTCAGTTTGACACCCTTCAACAGACCAGCTTCAGAACCCTTCTTCCTCTTCCGCCCGACTGCTGCCCACTGTCCGACATCCTCCTCTTTGGGCGCCTCTGTGCTCTCTTCTTCAAGACCTCGAGCTTTCCTTTCGGCTTCCTCTCGCTGTCTGCGGAATAGGTCCAATTGCTCAAAAGTCTCTTTTTTTACGTTCGCTTCCTCCAAGCGCTTCTTTTCAAGCACCGAGTCCAGGTAGTCAGCTTCCTCATCGTCGAGAGCGACATGCAATTTGTATCGCGCCTTTTCCTCGAATTCAGCTTGTTTTTTGTCTTTGTTTGCTTGTAGGACTTCGAAGAGACTCTTTCCGTCTTGCTGCTTTGCTAGATCGGCTTTTGCGCGTCTAGCATCTTCAATCTCTTGCTGGGCTTTCTTCCACTCATCGTCGCGCTCTACTTCCTCGCCAGCTTTACCGCCACTGACGAATCCTGAAGACATTGCGGTCCACACTTACACGGCTAGTGCAGGTTGCTGATGACGGTGCAGTGCAAGCGGGAATGTTCAACGGCAGAACGGCAAAAAAAAGTAGTAACTGTTCCGGCTTCCTCTTGCGCACTAGCGTCAGGTGGGTTGGTCTCCACCCCCCACCCGTTTAACCTCACCCGCGGGCAAATCGCGTCCTGATACGTGGAGGTTTTATGCCGGTGCTTAAAGTAGCTCGGTACAGTTACTGATGTAATGGGTGAAGGATGGCCCTGACGTAGGAGGGGTACACAACGCGTCGGCGCTGCCCCTCGTTCAGTCCACCCTTCAAAAGTTTGCCATTCCTGCCATCTTTCAAATCTCCTCCATTCCAAACTTGACCTTACATTCTATAATTCGTACTCTAGCAACAATGGCACCCAAGAACTGGACCAAGGAGCACTTCACGCTCAACACTGGCGCAAAGATCCCAGCTGTCGGTCTCGGCACATGGCAGTCAAAGCCTGGTGAGGTTCGCGAAGCCGTCAAGGCTGCCCTTCAAGGAGGATACCGTCACATTGACACCGCGCTTGCCTACGGTAACGAGAAGGAGGTTGGCGAGGGTATCAAGGACTCTGGTGTACCCCGTGAGCAGATCTGGGTTACCACCAAGCTCGACAACCCATGGCACAAGCGCGTCGAGGAGGGCATCACCAGCTCTCTGAACAGCCTTGGTCTCGACTACGTTGACCTTTACCTCATGGTACGTTTGCTCAATGTCAGGGTACAGCCTCTAAAAGGACTAAACACTTACAAAACCACAGCATTGGCCTTCTTCGACCGACCCCGACGACCTCAAGAAGCACTACCCCGACTGGGACTTCAAGGACACCTGGGCTGAGATGCAGAAGTTGCCCGAGTCTGGCCGCGTGAAGAACATTGGTGTTTCCAACTTCGCTATCAAGAACCTCGAGAAGCTGTTCGCCGACTCTCGTACCAAGATCACACCCGCCGTCAACCAGATTGAGCTCCACCCCAACAACCCCTCGTAAGTCAAGTCTTTGCAGTTTACCTGTGTGCATGCAAACTAACAGTGAGGTTAGGCCTAAGCTCCTCGACTACTGCAAGGAGAAGGGCATCCACGCCACCGCCTACTCCTGCCTCGGCTCAACCGACTCTCCTCTCTACAAGAACGAGAAGCTCAAGAAGCTCGCCGACAACAAGGGCAAGTCCGTCCAGCAGGTCCTGCTCATGTGGGGTCTCCAGCGTGGCTCCAGTGTCATCCCCAAGTCCGTCACAGCATCCCGCATCATGGGCAACTTCCAGCTCGACGACTGGGAGCTGACCGACGAGGAGATGAAGGAGATCAACTCGCTGCCTGAGCGCTTCAAGGTCTGCGGTGACTCCTGGCTGCCAGTCAAGGTCTTCTTTGGCGATGACGAGTAGGTCTTTTGAGTTGACCGATGTCTTTACGTACTATGATACCACGAACATAGAAAGTTATGAACATAGAAAGATATGAGCATAGAAAGAAATGAACATATTGATATGAAAACACATGTTACATGGACGTCCAGTGCGTGAAGGGTCTTCGGTGTTGCGGAGTAAAGTCGGGCATGAGCGTGGGAGCCTGCTGTGTGGCGATTTAGCATCGTCATGTGAGAACGCGTTTGACGCTAGTGCGACGCGCCTGATCTAGATGCCCGCTCGCCACTCATCCTTTCCTCTCGCACACTACACTCTCAACTACAGTACAATCACCTTTTTACACCTTTCCACCGTCTCAACCCCGTCAAGATGAGTGCCGAAGAAGAGCAATTCGAGGATAGCACCATGGGTGGCCCTGGTGCGCCCACTCCGGTGTCTGCGCTTGAGGTAGGCTAAATTGGACTTTGAACGCGTAACGGGCACTGACAAGATGCCAGGGAGTCAATGGACTGACTGCACGCGACATTAAATTGATTGTCGAAGGCGGTTTCAATACCGTAGAGTCGATTGCCTATACGTATGTCGGCCACTGTAAATGAGTTGGCCCCGCCACTAACACCAGGCAGGCCACGACGAGCGCTTGAGCAAATAAAAGGCATATCCGAACAAAAGGCTTCAAAGCTACTTGCAGAAGGTACGTATCGATGAAGCCGCTATGTTGCATGTTACTAACTTCATCAGCGTCTAAACTCGTCCCTATGGGGTTCACTACAGCCACCGAGATGCACTCCCGCCGCAGCGAATTGATCTCAATCACGACCGGCTCGAAACAATTGGACACGCTGTTGGCAGGTGGCATCGAGACTGGCTCTATTACTGAGATCTTTGGCGAGTTCCGAACGGGAAAGAGTCAGATTTGCCATACCCTTGCCGTTACCTGCCAACTACCATTCGACATGGGAGGTGGTGAGGGCAAATGCTTATACATCGACACCGAGGGTACCTTCCGACCAGTGCGATGTCTGGCTGTCGCAAATCGATTCGGACTTTCGGGTGAAGAGGTTCTAGATAATGTTGCTTATGCACGCGCATACAACTCTGATCACCAGCTGGAGCTTCTCAACCAAGCCGCACAGATGATGACGGAGACACGATTCTCGTTGCTCGTGGTCGATTCCGCCACCGCACTATATCGAACAGATTTCGCAGGACGTGGAGAGCTTTCTGCTAGGCAAACACATCTGGCCAAATTTATGCGCACGCTACAACGACTTGCGGATGAATTTGGTATCGCGGTTGTAATCACGAACCAAGTCGTCGCACAAGTGGATGGTGGACCAAGTGCCATGTTCAACCCCGACCCGAAGAAGCCTATCGGAGGAAACATCATCGCACACGCAAGTACGACTCGACTTAGCCTGAGAAAGGGCAGGGGAGAAACGCGTGTTTGCAAGATCTACGACAGCCCATGTCTGCCAGAGAGCGATTGTTTGTTCGCCATCAACGAAGATGGCATTGGTGATCCCAAGGAGAAGGACCTTGAGGAGAGGAATAACAGGTGATGTGGCAGATGGAGGGTGTTCGGCTGCGATTCGCATTGCCAGTGCAAGGCGTTCAGGAGCCGTGACGATCTAGATGTGTTTGGCTTTACACGATTTACGCTTATGCAATCCATATATGATATCCTAATACAGTGCTTGATCCTAAGAGCATCATCATTAACAGCTTTATCTTGTGTGCTCTGTGGTTCGTGAAGCACACTACTTATGCAGACTAGCTTGAGGGCGACAAGGACGATCTGCAGTGAAGGACAAAGCCGCGTCCGTGCGCTGGACAGCTTCGCGCATCCATCGCGACAACTGTTTTTGTGAGCTCCACCTCCGCGCCGACCGCCGCAACTCCAACCAAACGCGCGCCACAACCTCTCAACTTCGGCGACGACGACCGCAACCCTTTCGCATGCGATCACCATGGTTCAAAATGGAGGCACATGTCTCTACAAAGAGGCGCGATTGAACATTGAACCCGCCTTTCCTGGCTCGACCATCGTATTTTCCATTCCAACGTACGCTCCATTCGGCACACGAGGCACCGTGAAGCGCAGCCTGATTACAGAGCATTATGCGGAAAAGGACGAGGAGGCGTTCACGAGACGCCATTTGGCCGCAGATGGGTCGATGTACTTCCGGCAACACCATGCATACCCACGAAGCTTCCTCTGGCGGGTGCTGGACAACCGAAAGATGTTGGAGATACAGTCGACTGACCTGGATCACGACTTTACCGACAGGTTTGAAGCAAACTTGACACTCCTCTTCCAGTTCCCCGCCCCGATTCGACCCTTTTGCGTGGCTTTCGCTGAGCCCACCGACCGAGATGCATTGACCGTCTTTGCAATCACTACGTCCAACGAGCTCTACACAGTTACATTGCACCGCGACTTCTTCGCCAACCCCGCAGCCTCAGAGCAGGACCCTGAAACCTGGTGCAAGAGGTTTGAGCCCGCGCTCTTTAGCGGGCGCATACCCTACCGATTAGTCGCCCAAAGCGCAGACGAGCTACTGGTAACACTCGACGATGGAGCCGTTTGTCGCTTGATTTGGGACAAGGTCAACAACACATGGGATGGATCACGGTACCAACAAAGCAATTGGTCATTCGGTGGTCTTCTATCATGGAAAGCGCAGCCCACAGTCCGGTTCGAGAACGCGGATCTTGCCATATCAGCCGCCGCTGCGGTCGCCATATCACCGGACAAGCAACACATCCTCTCAGTATGTCTGGACCACTCGATAAGGGCGTGGAATATCGCGTCAGGCAAGCCAGGCGCCCACATCGACCTTTTGGGTACCGGTGATCTCGCTCTGGAGAAGTCTCAAGCTTCGTATTCCATTGGACCGTCACAATCAATGCTCATGGCTGTTGTCGACGTCCACGGTGGGATAGGAGGCGCGGAATATCACGTCGTTACATACTCTCCGAAGCAACATCAATTCAAGTTTTGGGGTGTGAGAGATGCGGACGACCAGGAGCATGGATTCTACGACGCTGCACAGGACTCAGAACTTATTCCGCCGATTGATGAACTCATGAACACGACGGTATGGACCCTAGAGGAATTCCACATCGTTCCAGGACCCGGGTGGAGGGGCTCGGAGATCTGGATACGCGCCAGGTCAGGACCGAGTAGTAAAGTCTACTCCCTCAAATTCGACCTTACCGATTTCGCCGACCAACGAACGCAGACTTGGAAGAGCGATTGGGTGTCTGTCGACTCAGGCCCGTTGACCGTCGAGGCACTGAAGGTCAATCCTGCGAACCCTAGCGAGCGAGAGTTGGAACCTGATCAGGATGTCTCCGATCAGTGGATCGACTTCCTATTCTACCCCGGACGGTTCACGATTGCAACACTGGAGACGTCGCTGCTCATCTACAAGAGAGGTTCAGAGCGGGTACGGTTAAGCCGATCGTCGAATCGAGGTAGCTTGAAGGAGCGTCTGAGCGCCACTATCGTCACCCTCGCTGTCGAACACAGTCCGCAAACAGAAGATCTCGGCAAAGCCATAACAGCAGAATGGCAGGCATACTGGAGCTTGGTGAAAGATTTACACAAGCGGAGAGGGGAATCGCTGTCACTCGTTTACGACCGGGCTACTGACAGGCCCTGGCTAGTGTTGAGCGACCACATTTCTGCGATAAGAAACTGCAGTGAGTCGGAAGTAACCACACTGAATGCGGCTGCCATCTCAAGTTCGCGTATGCTGAGCAAACCTCTACGTCAAACCCTCGATACCTCAGAATCTCGCGACGTGGCACGTCTACTGAATGCCGCAGCTTCCTTCCGCCAACGGCTACCATCCTTCGTCCAACAGCAAATTCAACGTCACATGGAGATGGACCTACTCCAAAGCCGGAACATGACAATTTTAGATCGCATGGAATGGATCGAGGCCAACAGCGAGCTTTCACAACATGTGACTGACGAGGACGTCACGGTTCTTGTTGAAGAGCTCGGTATGGAAGTGAAGGATCTCGGCACCGAAACGTTCCTCCGAGCCATTAGGAAGTTGGACTATGAACACGACGGCAGGCCTCAGTCGAGAAAGCAAATCGCAAGGTACGGACTGAGTGCGCTATCTTCCGTGTCCAAGGAGACCCTTGAGAATGACCACAACGCTTTGTTGGATCTGCTTGTCCTATTGCTGTTCATGTTTGTCGAGCTAGAGGGAGAGACGCATAATGAGTGGGATGCGTCTGAAGTCTTTGCAGAACTCTTGCTTCGATACAAGGACTGCATGGTGGTGTCTTGGTTAGCTCGCACAGTGTGGGCTCATCAAAGTATGACGGGCGAAGCATCAGAACATTTGAACCGCATGTTAAGCGAGACGTTCAAGACTGGCAAGAAGCTTCCATTTACACAAACAGTACTTGAGGGTGTTTACGGTTTCCGTGCCTTTGAGGTATTGCTGCCAAAAGACATGAAGGCAGGTCTACTCACCCACTGGAGTCGCGGTTGGCTATCGTTCATTTTTAAGGAACATGACTTTGAAAACGTCGTAGAGGACATAATGGGATATCTCTTAGCACAGCAAGAGTACAACCTCGCTATGGACTTTTCCAAATTCCTGCCAGAAGGTCATTGGGCCTCCTATCTCAAAGGGCGCATGTACCTTGCACTGGGCGACAATGCGCTGGCATCTGTGTGCTTCCAGAAGCCTGCATACACCATGGGTAAGTCCACCATATGCAAGCTTGCCTACAGAGTACTAAACTTTATAGCTCTTGGTCCAATGTTCGACGTTGCGGAAGAAGACACGGCAGGCCTTGTATCAGAAGTCGAGCGGAACTCGTTCTCTGAAGGCCTAGCACACTACTACAGTCACGTCATCGGTTTATTCGAAAAAGCCAGGGCATACTCCTATGTTGCCGACTTTGCCAAACTCGGCCTACGATCTCTGATGGGCCAGGAAGGTGAGGAACTGAAAACCGACCTCCTCCAACGACTCTTCACCGCTTCGATACAAACATCCAGATTCCACGATGCGTACTCCGCGTTGATCAGGCATAGCGATGCAGCCTTGTAAGTCAAAGAAATGTCTTCATAACAACTTTACATACTGACTGTTCCGCAGGAAACTTTCCGATCTCCAGACCCTCATCGCAACCATGGTCACCCAATCGCAAACTACTGCCCTCCTTAAATTCCCCTTCGTCGGTTTAACAGACTCGGTCGACAACATCCTCACCTGTCTCTGCCAAAAGACTCTCAACCTTGCGTCCGGACCCCCGTACCATCAAATTCTCTACTCCTTCCGCATCTCTCGCAACAACTTCCGCGGCGCAGCATCGATCCTTCACGAACGCTTACAGCGCCTTAAATCCACCTCGTCCAAGATCCACGATCCCGCAGATGAATCTCTAACGCAGTGCTACCTCATGATCATCAACACGCTATCAGCGGTCAGCAAAGAAGACGCCTACATCCTGGCTGAGCAGCGTATAGAAGGCGGTGGAATTGGCGGACCACCACAGTGGGGTATCGGCCAGGGGAAGAAATTGCTTAAGAGGCAGATCATCACACTAGATACACTGAGGAAGGAGTATCAGACGGAGCTTGACCGGATTGCGGCAATTGAGAGTGGACAGTTTCCTTTTGTGGATCCTGCGGATGATATGGATATTTTGTAGAGTTGCCCGTCACAGAGTGCCCGGGCGGCTTCCTCTCCCCCGACTAACCCCAAAACGGATACATTGGTCTTATAGCGCGGCGTTTCATGGGACGGCATTGCAGGGATGAGGATGGTAACACCATGTGGAATAGCATCTGGATGGTTCGTAACTGGATTGGTGGAGTAGCTATAATCATTCGAATTCTAGATCTGTCTACAAGTAATGGTTGCAGTAAATATTGGTTGTGATATCTCTACTCAACGATTCTTATCCTCATCCCGCCCCGGCCAAACAATCTCCCTCTTCCAAACGGCCCTAACACAACCCACAACCGTCACCAACCAAATGACCACTAGTAAGACAGTCATCACACTACCCACCCACAGTATCCCCTCACTCTTTAACTCCTTCCCCAACATACTTGTGCTAAGCGTAAATCCCACATTCGGAAAGATGAACGCCCACCACGTCAGACTGAACGACATCCTCCCCACCACACTCACATTTCCCAAAAACGCAATAGCAAAAAGCCAAAACGCGAACACATACAAGAAAACCCCTGTGAACAGCGCTAGCACACGTAATATCTCCGGCGCAGCAGGATGTCTCGCAAAGTAACTCCCCTCCGTCCCCTCCGAAATAGCATTCGCCAACCCCATCAACGCAACAATCGTATACGCACAACTCCCCACCGGTATAAACAACCCCGGTCGTAACTGTGCGGGAGGAAACCCGTTATCCAGCACATTCCTCACGTACGCTACTACAGCGACAAAACTAATACACCACCCAAACCCCTGATACGCAACCCCAGACACCACAATCGGCATGACGCGACGACCAGGCTGGCTACCCACAATCAAGCTCGCCACCGTCCCCGTCAACATTGCCGAATACCCCGCTAGAAAGATACTATTCAAATACGGCACGGGTCTCGTTTTACTACACGCGATGAGAACCCAGTACTGGAACACGGCGTTTGCAAGCGAACACGCAGCATACATCCAATATAAGACGTAAACGGCGTTTACGAGCCAGGGGTAACCCGCTGGACCGTGGGTAATGCCGTAGCTTTGGATGCCGGCTAGGATTACGCTTAGGCTGAGCCAGAAGGAACCCAGGAAGAGGGATTCTTGCGCGTGGACGAAGGAGGAGAGGAAGTGCGTGGGATGGTAGAATAGCCGGAGGGCCGTGCAGGTGCATAATACGAGGAAGAGTAGGATGTTTAGGAAGAAGACGGTGAGGCCGATGTGGTAGAGGCCTGTGGTTGAGAGGGTTAGTATTGGTTCTCACGGCGGAGAACGGCGGAGTTATAGGGATGTGGGGGGGAGGAGAAAGGAGAAGAGTTACCGGGGAATTGATGAGGCGTTTCGGCGACGGCGACGGCGAGCCCGCCGGTACTCATTGTTGAGAGGAACCAGGCGAATGTGAAATGTTTCAAGCGTTGGCGTGTACCGATTTTGTGATCTGGTTGTTTGTGCTCTTGCTGTAGTGTTATTGGTTCAGACGACATTGTTGTGTCGTTGCTGGGTGATAAGGTGGTCATATTGAAGCAGCTTCGTTCTTCTTGCGAGAGCTCTTGTGAGGTGCTCTTGGTGATCGATGTTATAGCATCGTGGATCTTGTGGCGAGGGTGCGCGAGGATGTCGGACGGAGTGTGGTTTATGGTGGTATCGCAAATCACACAACTAGCAATACACTTGCGAGCATATGGTCTTCATTCAGCGTGAATTCGGATGGGATTTCACGATATCTTTACTGCCTGCAGAGCTCAGCGTTGTGAGATATCCAATGATGGGGTTGCGGAGTCATGGCTGATGTATGACCCGCCGTGGCTTTATTTCCGGCCACTCTATTTCCGGAGCCAGAAAGGTATCCTCAACAATAGCTGACCGAACAACATGTTGACAAAAAAACCTTGATGAAGATATAAAACTGTTTTCCTCTTTGGAATCATTACGAAACTACTTGCGAACTATTACGCCACCTGGTGAATCTTATCTTTCGCCTGCTCCTTCGCATGGTTCTTCTTTTCAATCGTCTTCCACTTGATATCCCCCGGCTGCGGCCACCTATAATTAATAGGCGACTCTCCACCCACGAAGATGCACAAATCATACATCAAACCACCACACAAGGCACCAGCAATGGAAGCACCCCAAGACCCATAGGCCCAGTATCCATTCTCGAATGCCGAGTCGTATCCAACCCATAGCCCGATAAGTCTGGGACCGAGATCTCGGGCTGGTGAGATACCCAGACCGGTGTTGTATCCCAAACCGACCATGGTGACGAAGCCGGTGAGACCGACGACGAAGGCTGTCATACCTTGACCTGGAGGAGAGTTCTGGTCGTCTCCCAAGGCGAAGATGACGCAAACAAAAATGGCCATGTAGACGAAATCGTTGAAGAAGCCGGTTGCGGTGGAGTAGAGGGGTCCTTGGGGGAAGAGGGCCTTTCCAGTCATCTCGAGTGTAAGACCGGGGTCTACTTCGTGAATGGCATCTGCGTAGAGTCTATAACATCGTCAGTCATTGAGCCGTTTTAGTGGCATGTGGATCAACTTACGCGTATGCTACAGCACCGGCTGCAAGCCCCGCGAGCAACTGCATGAATATGTAGACGATCGCCATCTTCCAAGGAAACCCACGGTAGACGGATAGCGAGATTGAAATCGTTGGACTAAGGTGCGAACCGCTGACACCACCGCCAAGGTAGATGCCAATCATGACCGCAAAACCCCATCCCCAAGCTTGGGTCTCGAAGCTGCCGGTGCTTTGTTTAGACGTGGCGACTGATAGATTTACGCAAAGTCCAAGCAGCAGGTAGACGAAAGTCTACATAGTATTAGCAAGGTGAATGTCACGATAGGTATTGATACGTACTGCAAGGAACTCGGCAGGTGCCTGGGGGTACTTGGCTCGGAATCTAGCGATAGGATTCCGATACTGGTTGTAAAACTCTCGTTCTGCCTGTTCTTCTCGTTGCTGTATCTCTTTCTCTTCCTGCTTGGTCTGAGCAGAAACATTCGTATCATGCTCTTGTAACGGTGGAAGACCGTCTTGCAACCCAAAGTGCTGTCGGTCCCCACGTCCATCAGAGTAGTCCAAACCATGTTCGTCAATAGGCGCACGGTCTTGGCCCTCATGATGTTCATGGCTGCTGGGGTCCTGACCGCGGTTGCGGCCAAGAACTTGGTCAGCTTCACTTGTCGGCACGCGTCTCATGTTGACATTACGGCCATCGACCGTCGTCTGGAATTGTGAAGGGTCTCGTCGCTGCTCAGGGCGTTGTCCGCCGCCTAGCGTGACTTCAGAGTCTTCCGAATCTTCCTCCATAACTGTTCACGTTCTGGTTAGAATGGCTACTCTTGGGGGAAACGAAAAAAAGAGGGGTTGTAAAGACTTACTCTTTCCGTCTTGAAAGTCCTGTTCGGCGACACCATCTCCATCTTGATCATCGATCTTATACAGAGACTTGCGTAGATCGCCTCTCCCCCACCACATGCCCTTACGTACTGTGCGTGGTAGAGGCGCACCCAAACCAAAAACGGGCTTTGCCTTTTGCTCATTATACCAGGGGTTCAATGAAAAGTACTCATTGTCGATATCCACGACCTGTTGTTGCTTCTTCTCAGGCCGTCGAGGTGGTTCTTGTCTGACGTTTTCACGAGTTGCATGGCTCTTTCTAGCAGTGGGTGTGTTTCGGATGGTACCCATTTGGGTCATGCCTGTTGTAGCGGTGCTGCTACGCGCATTCTCGGGTCGTAAGTCGAAACGAGTAGTATTGTTGCGCACATTCTCAGGTCGTGGCTCCAGGTGAGCAGTCTCACGTCTCCCTATGCTCCCCAAGCTGGAGTGGTTCTGTTGCAAACCCGGTGGCTGGTATGATGCCGTAGTTTGCTGCCTTCGACCAGACATGTTTCCAGGCCTTTGAGATGCAGAGTCGCTTTGTGGTTGCGCTGCGTAATGTTAGGATATGCAGTTCTGAAGAGCATTGAGATAATTTCGTCTTTTCCAGGGAGCTGGAGAAGACTGTAGAGTGTGTTGGTGTTGGATGACTTACTGTTCTCTGCTTGGTTCTTTTGTTGTTGTGCCATTTCGTTGTTGTATTTTTTTTCCATGTCTCAAGACAAGTAACTACCCAACAACCTTATATTCGGTATGTAAGGAACTTGAGTATCAAACAGGGGCGCGGAAGGTGCTAAATGTACAGGATGGTAAAGAAAAGTACGTCCGCGATTAAGCCATGGGAAAGTGAAGAATTCGATGCGTAACGTCACTTGCAAGGAAGCTTTTGCCTAGTTCGCCCACGCCCCCAGTATTCCAGAGAGACTCTTGCTGACGCGGTGCCGCATCTGCCAATCGCTTGAGCTGATTTTCATATTGAGTGGATATGTACCGTTTACAGTACCCAAGATTTAGCGGACATGTCCTAATAAGAAGGGTTTCATCTCGATCCTCAGGGTTGCGGTAAGGTGTGGCGTCGTGCGAATCGTGAGATTGCTGAACATCGGCGTCCTAACAGTGGGTCGCGCGGACATTCCGCGGACCTGCAATCTTTCCTGTTGACACAAACATGGCGATGGAGTGACATTGGAGTGTCTGTTGAGCGAAAGAGTCATCAAAAGTCCCCCAAAAAAGTGTAGGAGGGACGGGATGCAGGAACTGCGAAAGGAATGTTAGGTGCAGATCATCCGAGAGCCACCAGGACCAATGAGCATCGTGAGGCTCACAGAGCCGCAACGACCAGTACGAAGTAGTGGCGACACTGACTCTAACGGTCTGTTCCCAAACCATCAAGCAAGCCACACTTAGTCAATTGAGAGTTTGGGTGGACGCCGACGAAGAGGTCGCCTTGTCGCCACAATCATGCAGGTGTGCACGCACTATTTCTTCCTTGTGTGGAGACTCGGCCAACATTACTAAGTTTACCCGATGACTGTCCTAAGACATTTCCATCCTTGGGCTGCTACATTGCTGTACTTGCACATGCAATATCCATGCGCTGCAAAAGCTCCAGTGGCTGCGTAAGCTCCCGCCGCCGCGGTGTGGTAGTACATATCGGGCCCAATTTGGACGTCCGAGCTTTCCCATGGTCGTTCAATGGGAAGCCCATGGCCAAACCCCGCCCAACAATCCAACCCGCAAATATCCCTACTAGTCACCTTCACCTAGATCCTCATGATACTGCCATCAGCTTGTTCTGCTCCTGGGCCAACGTCAGGCCTTCGGGTGCTTGTCGGAACAAGACGATTTCGGATTGCTTGAAGTATCGGCGCGCGTCTGAGAACAGTCAGTCACAGTTGTGCATATGCGTGAGTGCTTCATACCTTCGTCGATGAGTACCAGACTCAAGTAGTACCGAGTGGAATACTTCTTGTTGACTTCGCGAAAGGTGGGTGTCAAGTCAAAACCACCGAGGAACAACCTGATAGGAATCGTTTCACCTGAACTCTTGTCAGTCATGCTCACCGCAAAGGAGTGGTTGTGCTTACCTCGCGACGGTGAACCGTCCATGATCTCAAACCGTACCAGCGTCTCGCTCTCGTTGTATTGATTGGGAGCAGCTCCAGTTGTCTCTCTCCGTATGATGGACAGCTCCATGTGCTTGATCTTTAACCGTACAAGCAAGAAGTATATCCTGCCTACAATGACATCCTTCAAGTGGTACTTTGATTTACTATATTCGAATTCGATATGTAGGCAGTCTTCAATACCAACGTCCATCTTGATGGAGCTGTTCGTCTCGGGCGGTATCCGGTACGAGTAGACCCAGAGGTCCTTCTCCCTGACCACGTCTGCCATCCTCCGCGATACAGTGACGCGCACAAAGTAACGCAGCTTGACGTTGATGCCATTGTATGATTCGTACTGCTTCTCGACGTTCTTGAAGTTGAAGTCGAAGGTCTGCGGGTGCTGGAGCTCGCCGGGGGCTGCTAGTTCCTGGCCAAGGGAGAGAAACTCGTAATGGTTTCCGCGATCAAAGAACATCTCTGGCGCATCATGTCAGCACTATGCGCTGAGGTGTAGCTATATCGAAGCTCCCGGATGGTGGATGCCTACCAATAGTACCGATGAATTGCACTTTGATGCCCGTATGTTCCAAGCGCTTGCCATCTTTAGGTCTTACGGTGACCTGACCCTTGACAGATTCGCCATCCAGATACAGCGGTACCTTCTCTTTGCGGTTCTTGTCCAGCTTCACGTCAACGGCGGAGCGATCGTCGAGGTCCTCGAGCACAATGTCGATGTCGACCGGGGTGGAGAAGAAGTACGACATGCTAGCTGTCCCGGGCGATAGATATCCCGATGTATTGGCGCGTCTTCGGATGCGATATCAATGTCGCGTCGGTGGTCGGCGGAGCTCGACTGAGATGGCCGTGGTGGATAGCTGCGCCCCAGATGCAGTTGCAGGAGCTGATGACGCGCTTGTCCCCGTTGAGCCCGTCACGTGAACGCCAGCTTGCCCCGCCTTCCCCGATTCCTCACCAACAACGTCCTCGTCATATCGACACCCATGCTTGTTTTCCTTTTCACTGGGTCCACGTCACATCTCACGACATCTTTCGTTGCGTCAGATGGTCCTCCACATGTCCCCTTCCGAGTTGGCGGAGATGGACGCACGCACAGGGAATAGCAGACATGCAGCGTCCAGCCGTGTGCTGCACACGAGTAACTGCAATGTCGCGGCGTCGTGACTGATCGGATATACATGACCATGTCTGGACCACACACGCTTGCTCCGGTGCATCTGCCGGATGCCGCCCCAAAGACTGTTCGCAGCCTCGATCCTCACCGGCCCGAAGCACTTTCCGATTCTTCGCCTAACCCCCACGCGCCATTATCAAACAGCTTCGTACCACGAGTCAAAGCGGTGAGCTGAAGGTTGTTTTTTCCAGTTGAGAAACCTGGTCGAATCGCAGCCTGCTCACCACAGCGCCCTGCAGTTGCCTGGAGCTTCCAACTCATTCCTGCGGTGGCAAGTTGTGGCCATTGGCGTGTGGGATGCATAAGTACCTGAGAAAGGACTGGGGTCAGCATGCGGGGAGGCAGATGCGCTACTCGTCATCCCACACGCGACAGGTCCACTTTCAAACGCCGAAGTTCATCCTCTCCAGGCCCGGCTTCGCGGCTGTTACAGCCGGCTGGGCTTGTTACTGAGGCTAGTTGCACGCCTCTGCTTGCGATTCGCTGTTTCCTTTTCGGAGCGTGCCATCGTGTCTTGGCTCCCAGAATAACGACAAGTCCCATCGCATCCCATCCTTGCCGTTGCCGTCATGGCTTGCGGGAGAAATTTCCAGACGTGCTCCCCAGGTGCCGCGTCTTAAAATGCACCAGGCCCCAGCAAATATCGGGCTTGCTTACCGTCTGCATACATATATCTCGTTTTGTCCGTATCGCAATATCGTATATTAACCCAGCCGAACACCCATCCCTCTGTCCTTGGGAGCCCAACACAATCACTAGCGTCATACAAGAGCTTCAGGTTTTACAAACACTCAATCTCCACAAACCAGTTGACTCAAACACCGTACAATCATGATGCAAACCGTGGATCTGTCGCAGCCAAAGCCCATACAATATGCATCACCGCCCTCTCCGCCTGCTTCCAATACAGGCTCACCAAAGTCAATGTCTGTCCTGAACGCTACTGAGGCCGACAAAATGACCATCTCAACCCACCACCACATTCTCATAGTCACCGGCCCCGCAGGATGCGGCAAGAGCACTGTTGCAAAGCACCTTTCAGATCGCTATGGATTTGACTACATCGAGGGCGACGAGGTCAGTTATGTCCCAGCGGGTATTTTACATGTACTGACGTCTTCATAGTTCCACCCGAAAGCAAACATCGACAAGATGGCCGCCGGTATTCCTCTAAACGACGAAGACCGTTGGGACTGGCTCATTCTTCTTCGAGACCAAGCCATCATGAAATTGAAGAACGGAGCCAAGGGTGTCGTCGTCACTTGCAGTGCGCTCAAGAAGAAGTACCGCGACGTCATCCGCACAGCCAGACTCTACGACGAAGACCCGAATGCCAACGTACACTTCGTCTACCTTCGTTCTGACCTGGAGACCCTCATCGCCCGCGTCCGCGCCAGAAAAGGTCACTACATGAAGGACTCTATGGTCGAGAGCCAGTTCGCTTCGCTTGAGGAGCCCGATGAAACGGAGTGTAAGCAACTGAAGGATGTCGAAATCATCGACGTCAAGGGAAGCATACAGGACGTTCAGGTCTTGGCTGGAGCTGCTGTTGACAAGGTCCTGGCGCAATAGCGTTCCGCCCTTAGGATCAGCCGGCTCTGATTCCTCGTTACGACGTCCCTTTTCCTTGGCTTAGATGTTTGGGCGCAATGTTGGGCCAGTTGCGCGGATACGCTATCCGTGGGTTGCATCTCTGTCTTTCTTTCGTACGGCGTTTACGATATAAATATACCCTCGCGAGACGGGCCCGCATACAATGGTTAGCGAAGATGGAATATTTTGATTTATCATGAGAAGTTCAAGTCATTCAGCTTTCCTTGATTATCCTGTTGCTTAGAGATCAAGCCAGGTGTTTTTTGTTGTTTTTCGAGCACGTAATCAAATGTGCTTAGCAATCCACCCCCTCACGTCTTCCATGAGTAAGCTGAGTCGAGTATAAAGAAGTGACCCACTTACTCTTCAAACGGCTTCAGATGCGAAAATCGAGACTCATAAGAAACCATACTCTACTCTTTATCTCATTCTTCATTGCCCTTTACTACCTTTTCGCAAAACCTTCAATCATGTCTTCTACCCAAACAGCGCTCATAATCACCTTAGTCGGCGGCCGCATGAAATCAACATCATCCTGGCCCATCCCCCACCCCGGTCCCAAACAACTCCAAATCCGTGTCACAGTCGCCGGCCTCAACCCGCACGACCAAAAATCTCGTGACAACGGCCTCTTCGTAAAAGACACCCTGCCAGCCATCATCGGGAACGACATCGCTGGTATCGTCACAGAGATCGGAGCCCAGGTCACGAGATTCAAGGTTGGGGATAGGGTGGTGAGCCAGAGTCAACTTACGAATGAGCAAAAGGCTTTACAGCAGTTTGCCGTTGTGGAGGAAGATGCTGCAGCGAAGATACCGGAGGGATTTTCCGATCATGATGCAGCGACGCTGCCTACGAATGCCATCGCTGCACTCATCGCTTTATTCGACCCCAGTGGCCTGGATATCCCCGCTCCTTGGAGCAAATTCTCATTCGACTATGCCGGAACTACATTGCTCATCGTGGGCGGAGGAGGCAACTGCGGAAGATTCGGCGTCCAATTGGCCCGTCTAGCAGGCATAGGCAAGATTGTCGTTGTTGGCGGCGATGAAGCTGAACTGAAGAAGATGGGTGCGACGACTGTTTTGGACAGACATGGCGGCGACGCCGCAGTCATCAAGCGGATCCGGGATGTTGTCGGCGACGACCTTGTCTACGTTTTCGACGCAATTAACCCACCTGAGGGACAACACGTTGCCATTTCTGCGTTGTCGTCGATCAAAACCGGGAAGGTGGCGCGTCTGCGTTCTTCAGTCGGAACTATTGATGAAAGCAAGATTGTGGGCGAGAAGAAGGCGCAGTATGAGATGAAGAATGTTCTGGGGATGAGCCAGCTGAAGGCTGATACCGCCCGACCTTTCTGGGAACGCGTGGAAGGCTACCTGAAAGATGGCAGTCTGGTGCCGTTGAAGTACGAAATCGTTGCCGGACTTGATGTAGACAAAGTCAATGAGTTGTTGGATAGATATAGGGACGGTAAGAAGGTTATTCAGACACACTTCAGGGTGTCGGAGTAAACTTGCAATGGTTAGGGTTATGTATCAAACTGGAGCATAGATGTAGTAATGATGCAGACGAGAAAGGATGCTACCGATAATTTCGACTCTTGAACGTTGAATGAACATGCAGCTACCATCATCAACTTTCTCTCATATGCTTCCTAACGGTCGGAAAGATCTTCCTTTATTGAACTTCTTCAGTCACTTAGCGCCCGTTTGTACACGTGTGTAACCCCCGATGACATGGAATTCTCGCCCCACTTGGGCTTTCGGAAAAGGATGTTTAACGCATCCGAGGCTCATGCACCAAACGCCGATTTTCTGTGGAGCCCTGGTATGGTGTATTGGTTACCGAGCATTTGCATTACGTTATTGATCGCCCTCATCTCACAATGAAAACATGTTGGCTCTGCAATGCTTTCGTTCGCTTGCTTGGTTTTGTTGGGTTGGTCTACCTGAGCACTAGATGGCTCGACTGACCCATTGATCACACTTCTCCACCTCCAGATCGACATTTAAAGTGCTTGTATCAGAAAATGTGCGTCGGGGCATGGCTTTCGTCATTGGCACTCCGGTCGTCGCAGTGCGGCCCAGGAAGTCTTGTTGCCGACCTCTGATGAAGCAGAACTGCGGCATGCAATCCACGTCGTTGACTTGATCGCCGTGGTGATTGATTACTATATCGAAATCTCTCTGGAGTGGGCCCAGATATCCGATAGTCAGTGCTTGCAGCTTGAAATCCGGATGTTTGTACAGTTCTCCAAACATCGAGTTGGCAAAACGTTGGGCTTGCATGGTAAATATTACCGTACTGAACTCATTTCCGGGACGATTCTTGAGGCCGACAAGGTAGTCAATAGTCGGGTGGTGAGCATGCAGTATACGCAAGTTCTCCATCTGTCTAACCATGTACTAAGATGCATTAATCATTGTACTCTACGTGACTTTCGGTGAGTAACTTACGACGAGATGCTCTAGATTCTCGAGGCGCGGACAATATCTACGTGGAGAATTGGGCTTCATAATGAAGTGCGACTGGTCTCCAGGTATCGTTTCAAAACTGGTTGTAGGTTCGAAAGACTAATGTGAAGGCTGCACAAGAATTCACTCGCTGTTAGCAGTTTGCCAAGAGTAACACTGCGCGCATCTTCTAGGTCAACAATCGGATTACCACGGCCGTTGTCGTTGTTAAATCGGTCGAGCGCAAAGTGTGTAAGATACCTAGGTAGAGTTGCATATCTTGACTCATTCCTGCAGTCAGGTTTGAGAGGAAGGTTAACACCCCTTCGAATTTTACTAGGTTAAGTTTAGATAGGTTAAGGAACTTTATCATCTTTAACAGTGCTGGATATGTGCCCGTCAACGCTAGCTCCCTTAACTTAGGGGTCTAGCCCTTATCTGTACAGTTTTAATCTTAAATGCTTCGACCGCCGCCACTAGGGTTACTATGGAAAGTTATTGACAGGCACCGTAGATCCTCTTCTATAGTGTAGAGATTATTAAGTAAGCTAGTTACATACGACATCGTTAAGATTTGTACATCAAGGCGTCTTAAACCTGTCTCGTGCAGTCGCAACATTAGTATGATAGTAAGAACATCCTTATCGTCATCTAGGCTGATCTAAATGTTACCAATGTTTCTCTGTCAAAGCAAGAGATGCGTCCTAACAGTTGTAGACAGCGAAGTTGCTGCGAGTAAGCTAACCAGGTCAGTGGATGAAACGCAGAAGCGCGGCAAACAGTCTAGCACTCACCGAAATCTACGCAGAGAATTCCTTGGATTCAACTGCAGAATCCTGATGAAAATGGCCTCTTGTGCCTCCTTATCATAGAGATTCATTGGCCTATAGTTAACAAGAAAGGGTAAGTCAATATTGCCATATTGCACAAATTCCGGCTGTTCGGTAATGTATTGATCTGCCACTGCAAACTCTCTCGTGTACTAGAGATATTGCTAGCTTTACTTCAAATGCTTGACGACCTAGGCAATATTTACTGCGTACTATAGGTGGAGTTCGATACGCTTGTATAGTAGTGGAACAGTAAGTTCATGAAGCCTTTTCGGTATTAAGGATAAGGATCTGAGATAGCTTCGAGTATGCACCTATCGTTTTCAATATCATGTTGACAGATAGCTGAGGTATAAAAGACCTACGTATTGGAGTAGTGTGAGTTGGCAGTCGGTTTTGAGTTGTAATATGTCAAATTTCCTTCGAAAGGTGGCGACCTCGAGAACACTCAAGAAAAGCGTTTGGAGGACTTCGCGGAGATTTCGGAGAGTTTTGTGAAGTTGATTGCTAACGTCCGTCCCTACGTGCCGGGACGCACAGTGTAACGGGACACATTTTCTTTCGGCCGCTCGGAATATACCCATCATGCCTATAAATCGACAGGTCCAGCGTGCATCCATTTTGCGGCGCTTATTCTTCCAGTGCATCAGCTTCCAATGCCAAAAAGCGCATTGTTGGCCATGTTGCCGCCCGTTCTGTTAGTGCCATCCATCGACTGATCCCTGATACCCCCAGTTTGTTCCTGACAGTTTATGTTTGTAGAGAGCCCGGTGGGCTAGGAAGAAAGCCAAGATGGCAAAGATCAACACTGTAGACTCGAAGAGTTGACATACGGTGAGAAGTGTGCATCCCGGCAGTTTCTCCGCGCAAACAGCAAGATCCTGAAAACAAGTCAGACGGGCATGCGCTGCTACCAGTTAGCGTGCTGAAATGTGTGCATGCTACATTGGGCACTGTGGCTGAGAACTGCCTCTCTGAGCACCTCGCCTCAGGCACCTCTTATTCTCGATTTGCAGGCACCCGCGTGTTGCAAGCAGCCATCCGCTCTGCTTAGGTCTGCTGTGTAGAGTGGATCGAAGCTCTTTACGAAACATTCAGAGTTGGTACGATCCATTGCTACAATATTACGTACTTTTGAAGGTATACATAATTTATCTAACTTATGGCATCTTGCCCTAAGATTTACAATGTAATGTCATGGATTCTTGTCGCTAAACTCTGCTCGCCAGCCATTCAGCGTGTCAAGCGACGACTGTGTATGAGGGTGTTGCTTGCCAAGGACGTGCTGGCGCGATTGGAAGCATGCTTCCATCAGTGCAAGAGCCTCCTGGCGGCGAGCTTGTGACTGCAGCGTGAAGGCAAGATTGTTCATGCTGAGCAGCGTATCAGGATGCTTGTCACCAAGCACTCTCTCCATTGTCTGCATCACTTGCACCTGCAACTCTTCGGCCTCTTTCCATCGTCCTTGGTTCCTGTACGTTAACGCGAGGTTACCCATGCTGAGCAGCGTGCTAGGATGCTCGTCGCCAAGCATCCTCTTCCTCGTCTGCATCACTTGCACCTGCAGCTCTTTGGCCTCTTTCCATCGCCCTTAATTGCTATACGTCGACGCCAGGTTGTTCATGCTGGTCAGCGTGTCAGGACGTTCGTCGCCAAGCACTCTCTTCCTTGTCTGCATTACCTTAAATTCTAACTCTTCGGCCTCTTTCCATCGCCCTTGGTTGCTGTACGTCGACGCCAGGTTGCCCATGCTGAGCAGCGTGTCAGGATGCTTGTCACCAAGCACTCTCATCATTATCTGCATCACTTGCACCTACAGCTCTTCGGCTTCCTCATACCGTCCGTCGCTATACAGAGTCATAGCACATTTCCATGCAAGACCCAATCTCTCTTTGTCATTATCATCCGTCATACTGTGCGACAGAGCATACTAGGCATGCGGAAGCAGTCGTCTCCACTTGCTTCTGTTACCGTGATCGTCGTCTAGGTATACCCGGAGTATCTGTGTTACAGTGCGCCGAGTCCAGTGTTTAAGCCGTCCCTGCACTTAGAGCCGCCTGTGTAGAGCTTGATGGACCAACTAATAAAGATCAAGTGCCAACTCAGCAGGTCGCCTAGTAATGAGCGCATACTTGTTAAGTAACTTTATAGCATCCTCTCTTGCTTGCACTAAGTCTGCCTCTAGAAGGTCGAGCGAGATGTCTTTCCAGTCTAAGCATGCAGCAAGAAACAGATAGTCTGCGGCAAGCGCATTATCACGACTAATCTCGTTTATAGAGAGAAACAATGCAGCAGCCACAGGGTCTTTTACGCCAGAATCTTATAGTCTACCCCCAGACAAGTCACCGCCCTGCTCAATAGCTAGTTCTTTGTGCTCATCCAGCCGTGCTCAATACTCCTATACCGTCATACTAATAGCTTTCATACAGGCCGCTGCTTGCATGACTGTTAGCGGGAGATACGATAGCTCTCTTAGCACGTGCTCGGCTTCCTGCTACTCAGTGTTCGCAAGTGGCCTCTCCAAGCAGACTTACAGCATCCTCAGCGCTGCGTCTCGTGTCAGCTCTCGCAGCGCTATAATGTTCTGTAAAGCAAGCGCCTAAGCTGTGTCGATGTTAGTTGTTGTAAAGATAGCAGAACATAGCTTAGACTGTAGCAGATAGTCAGCTAAGTCTGCCGCTTCTGTTATAGACGAGCTGCTAGATCGTAGAGTAGTGTATTCTGCGTTATCGAAGACCAGTAAACACTGTCGCGCACTCATCTCTTCTGTACAGCTTTTTGCAAGCTGCTTTATGTCAGTCTAGTCATTGTCCCACCCAGGTATACTAAGCTTCTACGCAACACTTGCATACGACTAGTAGAGACTGTCCTTGTCGCTCGCATCCATCCAAAAGACCGAGCAGCTTTTATTGTTCTGCCTTGTTCTGTGTGCAACCTCGAGCGCGAGCTGCGACTTGCCTGTTCCGCCAGGTCCAACAATCGCTAGCGTAGTCGTAGTCTGTTCGTTGCTAAAGAGCTTAGCTTCTAGGTTGGCAAGCTGCGACTCTCGGCCTACAAAGCGGGGGTTTTGTAAGAAGGGAATGATCGACGGTGCGTCGCTAGCTCCCTCCAGTTCAGCCTGTAGTCTGCTTCCTGCACTCTCCTCTCCTTCGCCGTACGCAGTAGGCATAGAGACACTAAGAATCCTAAGGAGGCAGTATAGAATGTCTTCTTCTTCTTTTGTTCTGCGGTCTTCGACCTATCGCCTTCGCGCAGATATAGTAAACTGGTCTAAGGGGCAGTTGCGCAATGCCGCGAGCGGGATGCCAGTAATGTCGTGGATAAGCTGGTCAAGCGACGCTTTGTCGCCTATGCGATGTCCTTTACGTGAGAAGAACTCGACTGACACTGGCGCGATTAGCTCTTGGAGCGTCCATCCCCGCTCGAACCATGCGCTATTACGGAACGTCGCCTCCCAGTCGCTGCGTTGGACCGGCTCTGTCGCAGTCAACACTGACACTTCTAACAAGAAGACGTAGCACCGCGCCGCGTTCTTGTACCACTAAAACATCGAGTTAATCGCCTTCGAGCGCTCGTTGTTATTCCACCTGTCGATGCAGCATGTGTCGATCTAGAAGTACTGCAGCTCGTCCTGGGCTGCCTGTTTGGCGCAGAACTTAAGCTTTTGATATCCTTCTTCCTTGTCTTTGTAGGCTCCGCTCGCTACATCTTCGAGCAGGATCTCAGAGTCGCTCCATCTGTGCGATAGTATGGCGTAGGGCGGGATCGTCTTGCCGTGAAAGTCTGTCAAGACGAGCCTTCCCAGAACGTCAAAGTGGAGAAGCCGCATGGCGTTTGCACTTCGGGCTTGGTCGAGGAGAAACTAGACATAAACAATTTTTGTGGTGTTGAGAGTGCAGCAACATAGTCGCGATGGATCGAAGCTTATGCTGGCTCGTTGCGAAGGCAGCCTCTCGAGGCAGTGCATGCGACCCGGGACCAGGCTGAGCGGACGCTGGCCAACATCAAGCGCCACGCCCAGTCTACGATCTGTACTAGGGCTGTGCTTACTCCAACAACTCACCTTTGATCAGTGCACACGAGTGCAAGATGCCAGCGAGCTGAGCAGAATAACATAGATCGCCATTGTCGCATCTTTCAACACTCAAGTCAAGGTTGTATTTTGCGTAAATGTAAAGAAAGGGGTCGTGTTGCGCACACTCTGGCTTACCTTTGCGCAGCCGTTTAATAAAGAAGTTAGTTGCATCGCCGGACAGCCGCATGACCTTGAAGCCAAGCAGTTAGGTGCAGGACTGAAAAAACAGCTACCTGCAAATTGGGAATAAGAGACGCCTGATGCGAGGTGCTCAGAACGGCAATGCTCAGCCACAGTGCGCGGTGCGCGGCACGCTGACATCTCAGCACGCTACTGCAAGTTGCGGCATGCCAAGAGCTACTAGCAGCGCACGTCCGGTCAGACCTGTTTTGACGATCTTGCCGTTCGCGCGGAGTAACTGCCGGGATGCACATTCCTTACTTTATGTCGACCCTTCGAGTGTGCAGTCTTGACCTTTGCCATCTTGGCTTCCTTTACAGCCCACTGAGCTCTCTACAGACGTAGACTGTCGCAAACAAACAGGGGGTATCAAAGGAGAGTTGATGTACGGCACTGACAGAACGAGCGACAGCATGGTCAACAACGCGCTTTTCGACGTCGGAGGCTGATGTGCTGGGAGAACGCCAGCTGCAGAATGGATGCACATTGCGTTTGTCTATATACAAGCGCGCTGGAAACAATCCGAGCGGCCGGACGAAAAGGTGTCCCGTTACACCGTGTGTCCCGGCACATAGGGACGGACATTATATCTTTATATATTGTGCGGTCTAGAGGAGGCAATAGCCCTTGCAGAGGGCGTCTGAGCACAACGGAATCAAAAGGATCCCCCCACACTTGCTAGACCTACAGCCAATATTATTGTCTCGGCACTCGATTGACTATTGCGAAGCTCCACACTCCTCTACGCCAAGTAAAGATCGAGTGATAAGATTGTTGTAGGAATCATGTGGCGACAATTGTGGAGTGCTTCAGGCTTTGTGCCTAGCAAGACATGCTTGAATGGCACCTGATAGGATTTCTCTCACGGCTAGATGACGCATTGTTGGACACGTGCATGATATGTTAACAACAAGATCTTATTTCACCCTACTCGCCCACGCATCATATGCGTCATGTGTCCTAGGATGATCGATATCCAAAATGTCCGTATACGGTTGAGTTGCGCGCAACATCGTCCTCGTGACAGGCACACCTACAGCGACAGTGCGACCCAGAATATCTCTTTGCTCGCCTTTGATGTAACACTGCTGTGGAAGCGGAATCACAAAGTCTGTGTCGGTTATTATCGCCTCCACTGTCACCAAATGCCCAATAACCAGAGCATCTAGCTTCGAGCCCGCTTCGTGCAAATCCCCAAAGAGTCGGTTCGCAAACGTTTGCAGCTGCAAAGATAGTATCGATGAATCCCAATCGGCATTGAAGTTGTGTTCACTTCTTCCCAAGCGATCACAGTCCGGTACGTGAAGGTGCAGCAAGCGAAGTTGCGGAAATCTTCTCAACGACTCCTGGGACCATATCAGACATCATTTTCGATAGTTTGTTTGTTTACACGTGTGAAATGATGCGTACTCACCAGAAGTATGGGATATTTGCTTGACATTCCCCCGCCAAGCATTGCTGACTCGCTAAAGTAGACTGCGAGCTGCTTCACCCTACTCAAGGAGCTCACAGATACCCATTGTAATAGATCCGAAGCTTCTTCATCCCATTGAAGAGTCTCGAACTCGTCACAACAGATACTCAGGCTCTGTAAATTGTGTTTGGAGAGACTGAGCTCCTGCAGGAAATCCAGCAGCGTGATCTTTGATGGGGTTGGCTTCAGGGTAACGCATATGAAAACTCTCGATTGGGCCGCAAGCCATGATGATGAGTTCCATCGAATCCCTGAGACCGATTGCTTCACACTCACAAAGATCGTGTACCAACTCGACAGCAATATGCTTCAACTGGAGTCTGTTCACCTCTCCGCTGCAAGTATATATGCTGTTGGCCAGATCCTTCAAGAAAAGATGAAGGCCGCAGCTCTCCACTAGAAGTTCGAGGCGAACTAATCGATGAAAGTCGATGATCCGAGAGAGCTGTTCAAATGTGTCCGAGAAGTCCATCTTGGATAATCTGAGCTCTTCGAGTTGGGGTGTATAGCGGGTGAGATCATTCTGTTCGCACATCGCCCAGACATGTAGCTGGATCTCGGTTGTCTGGGGGTCCGCTGCTGTCAACGACAATCGCCTCAAATTGGCGCCGACGGCTTCGATGCTGTCAAATAGGAGGGCGATATTCGTTGTCTCGGTAAGATAAACATCGAGGCGCTGCAGACCACAGAATATCCGTGGTAGCTGCTCAGGTGTTTTGGGATCGGTATACAAGCTTATTTGCAGCTCTTTCAACCTGTGCTGATAGTTGTGTAAATGCGCTTTCACTATCCATGACAAGGGTCGCCGCGAATGGTAACTGATCGTATTAGCTTTCATAGGACATGAGATCATATTTAGTGTAGCTTACCACAAGCGTTCCAGTTTGTCATGATGAATGATCTGCAAGAACGAGTAGGCACTATCGTCTTGCTGAGACTCAGTGAGATAGCGGTTCCAAGGCCCACGATCTGGAACAGGTAGGCGGATACGACCGGTGTGGATCGACCTGAGTTCTTCGCCAACGGGTTCATCTTCCACGATGAGTTCTTTCGCGTACTGAAAACTCAGTCCAGCGCCTGCCAGATTGCAGCGCCGCAGACATTCAACCGCTCGTTGACTCCATAACCGCAGATCAATGCGTCTATACAGTATCGGATTGGCGAGGATGCGAAGAGCTGAACAAGTGCTACACAGCGATTTGAGATCGGTTTGCGTTATTACCTGTCGCGGTTAGCATGAGCAGCCTGGAAGGCTACCCGCCACTAACGTACATGTTCGACCACTCTCTGCTGAAGCTCTCCTGGAAGGTCTAGTAGAGAGACTGCAGGGAGCATTGTGAGGTGTATAAGTCGTGTAAGACTACAATGACTAGAGGAATGTGCCGACTTTGATCAGATCTTGGTGAGAATTATATATTCGATCAATGCCGTAGACTCGATTCCGCAAAAGCAATGCGTCAATGGTGAGGTATGCTTCTGTACGCGATCAGATTGCGATCGAACCATTGGGAATGGCCAACTCCCTGGACCACAGGAGGGTTCATCCTTGAATGGTCTTAGGTCTGACTTTGGTTGATAATAGCCTGCGCGTAGAATCTAGCATATGGAAAGCTGGGGACCAATTGAGGGTGAGGCGAGTCAGGAGTTTGGGAACGGGATCAGCGCGCTAAGGTGAAAGCGCGGCGCGCTAATGTGAACGTTAGGCGTAGATACCTGGGTACTTAGAACTCATCTTATGCTTGCCCTTTCAGAGAGGTTTCATTTTGTAGGATACAAAGAAGCGAAGACAATGACCTGCAATACATTCTCTAGATCTATGCGATTTTGCTACAAGATGGATGATATTGACCAGGAAGTTGCAGTGATGCAGCCCTACGATGTCGCGCATGAAGATCAGAGCTCGGGGACGTGAGGCGGGGAAACTGCATTCCTGATCCGACACCGTTCCCCTCTCACCAAGCCCCTAAAATCCTGCCCTGACTATTTGAGTAAGCACTTAACGTCACCTACCATAAAACAGAAATGTGTCGGGAAGCATAAGGGTCCATCACAAAACGAGATCGCACGAGCCTTCTACTGGTACTCGGAATTAAACTCTGCACGGCCACATATCTTAGCGCTGCAGGTGACACAATCGGGTGGAGAAACTCCACTTTGCTTGGGAAATGGCAAGGGCAAAATCGACAGCATCATTATCGTACATGCCTTCAACAAGACTGCAAGTACTGAGTATCATGTAGACACGATTACCGGTAACCTTGTATTGGTTGGTGTCGCACGTGTCTATCTCCAAACGGCCCGATGACGAAAGAACACTCGCATACCATAGACTACAAAGTAGCAACGAGCCGCATTGTGGCGACCCGCGTTCCAAGTACATGGGTACTCAAGGGAATAGTGTTCGGTGAATAGCTCCAGCCTGTCACAATACCTGGGGACCCGGCCCCATGAAGATCATCACGGGGAACTACTTGACAGCGGTATTTGCCCGGCCTACTGGGCTTAGCACGAATCCTTCATCCGCCACGATACCTAACCTAACCTTGACCTGCCCGGTTATGCAACTTCCAACGCTCTGACATTTGCTATGGCATAGCCAAGAGTGGCACCCTAATTCCTATCTCAACCTACCTGGCATACTTCTCATGATAGGTAATTGCGGTGGAGTGAGCTTTCAAGCGCAGCGGCACGATACCGAACGGGATAGAATGCAAAGGCGAGCTCTTCAAGCGTTGAATCCGTCCCAGACAGACTCAGGTTTGAATGCAGCTTATCACCGTCGGCTTCAAACTCGAATCCAAGATTTTGTCAGCGGCGGCTAGAGACCAGCACCTATCGCAAGAGCTGCAGAGGCTCTTACAGTTGGCAGAAGTCTTTCGACCATAGGTACTTTACGACAGCTTCAATTTTGGTGCACTAGGTCCCGCTCGGAGCGCTGCCGCGAGATGTGGGTCATACGGTTACTATGGTTACTACGGTAAGACGGCAAGTTGAACATGGGTGGCCTTGTTCTGTCCTCAAAAAGATGACGTGAAGTACCTTCTGTGGTGCGTCAGTATAATGGCCGAGTGTGGGGTGGAGAGTGTCAGTTATGACGAGGAATACGAGGAACCACCGGTGTTGGTCAATAGATCAGTGGATATCCAGTAAGACGCCCCAATCAACAGTTAACAGAAAAGTTACTCTCTAAGTGAATATCGCAAACGTAGGAAGAACCCCACCTCACGGTATTACCTCGGTAGCTCTTTGCCTGGCATTTGTAGTACATCTCGTGATACGTTAGTATCACGACGAAATGGAGATACTAACGTTGCTCGGAAAGGCGAGAGCGGCGAGAGCGGCGAAGATCCATATCAGTGGATAACACCCCATAGTTACCAATTCACCGGTACTACAACACCGAAGCTGAAAATCCAGCGTTACACTGTAGCCTCGTATCGATTTCGGAGTCCAAGCTGACCTAGAACTCGTCGTGGTACTTTAGTGACATAATCGAGTAGAGAATGCTATTTAACTCCGCTTAGGAAGGTGAAGAATTATGTTCAGTGAACAGAATGACCAAATCGTTCGTCGCCGCTGTCCGCACATAGGCAAGAGCCTGCCAAGTTGGGGATATCTGACTTTTCGTATCGAGTGGAGAGTACTAACATTACTCGAGGTGGAGAACGCATAGGTGCCAGTGAAGATGCTAACAATCCCCCACCAATCACGTCTTCCAAACACCGAGACCCAAGATTCTGCGTTACAGCGTATCATCGACATCGTGAATTGACCTGCCATCAAATCCATCACTGTGCTGATAAGGACTATTTGTGCTGGGCAAGGCGAAGATCGCGCAAGCTTCATTGGGAGATTTATTGACCACCAATTTACGGCATCTTCGACGCCGACCTCAGCATACCGTCGGCATCGTAAATTACAAGGAGTAAGCAGGTGTCGGCTGTTGACGATGAGATCTAGAAACAGAGCTCAAGCATCGGAAGAACATCAAATCCAGGGTCTAGAGCCCTTGGTATAATCATTTTGAAGCCTAAAACGATCATGCGAGGGGAGGACACGAGGGTGCTTGAGGGTGCTCCGGAAGACGGACTTGGTGTAGTTTTTGGCGCATCGAACCTTATCATGTACACACCTGAACATGTGGGCAAGAAAACAACAATGAAATTCTGCTATCGGCTCCCGTGGAATGTCAGGAATGACAATGAGTCAACAACTTCCTACGACGCATCTTCTCGCGGCCCGAAATGCCGCTCCACCAGTACCTACTCACTATACATACCCCATGTCAATACACAGCGATCCCCTAGCCCTCTAGAGCACGTCACAACTTCATCTTCCTATTCCTCTCCGCGTCCTTCATTCGATACCCTCTTTCTCACAGTTCACAAAGTCGCTCCACTAGCACATACCCACAGCATATGCTTCCAAGTTCCAAGTCCCTCTCAAAGCTAAGATGAATTTCAAAGCACGCCACCAACTTCCTTCCCTTATTTCTTTCCATATCCTCTATTGAACACCTACTTCCTTTTTCACAGCCCACAAAACTGCACAAAACTGCTCCACAAGCAGCGTTCATCACGCATCCTCGTCACATCTCAAACAAGGCCCCCACGAACCCTTCATCCACTATCAAAACGCTCATCACACATGGGTCACATCATCAAAGCCATAGCGGCTCCTTACTTCCCCTAAAGGACGCCTTCGGCGCTTCACCTCAAGATCAAAGTGGATCTTCGACCTTTGTAAACAATGGGCAGGTACCGAAAGGCGACAAAGTGATGGACGATAGTGTTTGAGCCTAGAATGGAGGATCGTCAGTTTATAGTGCATTGTGAGAACCGGCCCCGACTGCCGACACCCTAGTCAACGGATAGCTATCAGGTATCATGTCTCCAAGTTTGATCAGCGTCCCGCCTAACCATCTGGTGTTACTTCGAAACGTATTCAAACGTGATACATAACGAGTAGCTCGGTGTATGATGATTTGTTATCAGGTTCAGCGCTTATTGGGATTCATTGGTGAGCGGAGGAGTATCATGGGGGGATGCACCGAAGGATGAGTCTGACATCAGCAAGCCAGCGGAGACATCGATGCGACGAGTTTCTTTGATCCACCTTGATTCGTATGATGGTTCTTCGCAGCCCTAAATCATGGTTTGAACACCTCATTTCGGTATTGCGATGGCAAACTCATTTTCCCAAAGCGCCATCAATATTTCCACTCCAAGATTAGGGAACCCCGGTCTTCCAAAACCACGTATCAACACTTCACCTTAACACCATGGCAGACTCTTCTTCCTCCCTAAAGCGTGTGATGAAAATTTACACGTCTAGACTACGACAAATCCTTCAATTTCTTAAAACACGTCATCGACAGTCCACCTCAACACTGTGGCATACCCCCACCACCCCACTCATCACAGAGCCCAGCCGGATTATCAACCCCTCCCATCCCTACGCCATAAACACCTGATCTTAGACCACAGTGGGTCCACGACTTGCCGAAAGTGTGTCGTTCGAATCCCCGCTCTTAGACCGCAGTACGTTCCCATTCCATCTAGAGCTCTCCACTCCAAATCCACCGAGGATTCTCCGGCCTCACTGTCCCCACACGATCCTCAACTATCGTAAAGTGCGCCGCAAATTTCAGCCCCTTCGATGCTCTCCACCCACTTCCTTTCTTTCTTCGAATGAAGCCACAGACTGAGTATCGTACCGAAGAATATATCCGCAGTCGAATTTGGCTACTGCCAGTCCCTGTTCTATGGTCTAAACTGGCTGCTGGTTACCCTAATGACTTTCAGTATCGCATGTGCCCAGATCAGGTCCGCAGCCGCAGCCTCGACAGATGCAAGAAGAAGGCGAAACACCCGAATAGCGGTCCAATAGCCGACATAACAGAACCGTGCCAGCCAGACCATTACATTCGATGGAGCATGAACATATTTCTCCCACAGTCGGCATCACAAAAAGCACCCCGATAACCATGAGAGCAAGCAGTGCGACACCAGGCCCAGTGAAGGCGTTTGTAGATGAAATGGATATCTCAATATGCCTTGCATCATTGGAAATCGTCATATTGAAGCCCCATGCGCGTAGTGAGAGCCAAAGAAGTTCGTGTACTGTAGCTGCAGAGATCCTTTCATATACTACCGATGTATAAGAAGAATGATGTTCATGACGATCTGACAAAGGAGCATTTCGTGGACAAGGAGAAAGGAAAAAGTTAAATAGATGTGTTGACGATCCCAAGTTGATCGATAAACGATAGACCCATAGTAGCAATAGGCTATCATGGCCCAGAATACTACGTTCACGAGCGACTCCACGACGTTGTGAGCTTCTCTGGATTTCGGTATACCTGGGTGAAATAACAAAGTAGACCATCGCATGGTTTCTTAGATGTTAGAAGTAGGACGCGCTCATAGTGGCCCTATCCCGAGCCTGACTTGGTTGGAAAAGCTTCCCCGTGTGCCTAGAAAGCCTTGCAGTGTGCCTAGAAGTAGGGTGTGCAGGCTGTCGTCACGATTCAATGACGAAAGCCTGTCCTTGTCCTCATGGTAGGTGGAGGCGCAGTCTTGCACGAAACACAGCCTACACAGACTTCTAAGGTTGGTGCGGATGTTCTCCTATTACGATGACTGGGTAGCGTATATCGTGTGGCTGAAAGCTGAGCTACACGTTAAGTTTGTTCTTTCGTGGCCTAGCATCGTTCGACCCGACACCCCGTCTGGCCACATTTAGCGGCCTAATCAAGGCATCGTCGCCCCACTCCACATCTTGCTAGCTGGCTGGGGCTGAGCGATGCTGTCTCCGCGAACATTTTACGAAGGTCAACGTGAACTAGTAGATAACTCAATAGGGTATAGTTCAGGCTTTGTTACCGTGTAGCGGTATCATGCAATCCAAAAACTTGGACAGAAGGGAATCTAGCCTCAGCCTCTACCCACAACTACCTAGATACGAGCGCTGTGCTAGTGAATCAAGGTCACCTTTGAATATATAAACACGAAGATCGCCGACCATATTTTCAGCATCTGCGCGAGTTCAGCCTTCTGGCTTTGCTTGAAAACTCTTTGGGGATGGACATCTTCAATCAGCGATAGGACACATGCAATCAACAGCATCAAAGCACAATGTCGGGATTTCTTCTTCGACCACAATTGCGTCAGTCTAAAAGACCTCATTCCCGTCCACGCGAAGCCCCCAATGATGGCACACCATTGCCTCCAAAACGCTTACCAAGGGTAATCTCGACGCCAGAAGGGAAATTAGAGCCTATAAATGTGAATCTTTTCCCCGAAGGAGTGTGTACCTCCTGCCAGAGGATCACGCTTCATGGTCTCCTAAACACGCACAAAGACTCGGGTGAGCTCTGCTGGCTTAGTTACGATCGAGAACTGCCAACAACATGTCCCATGTGCAGAACGATTTTCGACTCCATCTATCGTGGAAACGAAATTGTTGGAAACATTCGTATTGGATTGAGCGTCGATGACCGTAAGCTCGAAGAAGACATATACTCCGGGAGACAAATCCGCGAAATTCTTGTAAGAAAATGCTATGGAGGCAATGCGGATATTACTCGAGGTGGCGGATTCCGCATTTACGCGAAACCAGGTGTGCAAATCTACCTCTGCACCTTTGCATATTTGCTTCTAGGTCTGACCGTCGGTAGATTCATACGCTTCAGAATTCGTGCCGGGAACGCGTGCACCATCGTCTAACTTCTCGGATGCTACATTCAAGAAGATTGTTCGCTGGATCAAGGACTGCGATGAAACGCATACAGCTTGTCGAAGCCATCTCTCGCAGTCTTCAGAAGGAACGACGCGATATTTGCCTACAAGAATTGTCCATGTTGGCTCTGCAACTAGACAGCCATATCTTCACGTTTCCCAGTCACAGCAGAACGATCGCTATATCGCGTTGAGCCACTGTTGGGGTAAGCTTCCACAAGTCAGAACGTTGAACGCAAACATGGAGCAATTCAAGGAAGAAATCATCTTTGACGATCTGTCGAAGACTTTTCAGGATGCTATCCGTATGACAAGACGGCTAGGTATCGACTACATCTGGATTGATTCATTGTGCATCGTGCAAGACGACAAGAATGACTGGCTTCGAGAATCCGAGCGCATGGGTAGTGTTTACGCGAATGCCTACATCACCCTCGCTGCAACGTGGGCGGCTGATGGGAGTGGTGGGCTGGACAGCATCCGCCCTTCGAGCAACTGGATCGAATTCCCCTGTGATGGCTCTGACGAAACCAAAGGACACATGTGGTTCACCGATGCCTCGTGGACCTCTCAAACCGACATTGACGACGCACCGCTGAATACGCGTGGTTGGGTGTTCCAAGAGAAGATTCTCTCGCGGCGTATCATCCACTTCGCCCGTTCACAAGTATACTGGGAATGCAAGAAGCGCTTTGTCGGAGAAGAATGCGAAGACAGGATTCAATTCAGCGGTGCAACCTTGGAACCGTCGCAATTCTGGGCTGATGTAAACGCCGTTGGTTATATTGGACCATTGCCAATCGAACGTGCAAATGATGTCCGCGATGCGGGATATCCCCTGACACGGCTTGATGAGTTCTACTACGGATGGAGAACCATGACCCGGTACTACAGCACTCGGCAGTTCACTAAAGCGAGTGATCGTTTGGTAGCTCTGCTGGGTATTGTCCGATTTATTGAGGAACAGACTGGGCTCCGTTGTGTCGATGGCCATTGGGATGATGGTTCATGGCGCTTCGTGCGCGAACTGATGTGGTTCCCCGAAGGACAGAAAACAAAGTCATTGCTTTGTGACGATAATCCATCTAGGCTGTGTTCGTCATGGTCGTGGGCATCTCTTGAGGGCCCAGTGGAGTACCAGTCCTTGACCGTTGCCGCCTGGGAAGACTACGGTCTGAAAGATTGTAATCTACATCTAAAGGCAATCGAAAGCACAGTTCACGTTCCGTGGTCAAGTCATGCTCTGAAGGTTTCGGGGATGCTACGAACCGTGTACAAAGGTAAACCCGGAGGAAGCGAGTACCCGTACCAGAGTAGCTCGGGAAGACGCACCTTTATAGTAACGGCAGAAGCATCTGGGGAAGCCGGTGGTTGGGTTTGCTTTGACTTGGAGGATGAAGAGCCAGAGCAGTTCTACGTTTCTCCTGTGTATCTGTCCGGCCTCAGAATAGCATGCCTTGCTCTAGTTGAACGATATGAAACCAAGAGCAGTGAGCGTTGTTTTGAGCGTGTAGGCGTGGGGTACATTGAGGTTATGATTCGTCCCGATGGTTCTCAATGCGGCGACATGAAGTTATTTGAGGCATGTGAAGAATCAACGTACTATATAATTTGAATATGTTAGCTAGGTAGGGTATTCTTATACGTAAATAACGATGCTCACCAAAAGCAATACTGAGATGGTTCTGGACACAGCGATATCAGGCAACAGAAATTGTGGTTCACCAAAGTCGAACTGAATTAAGGTGCGTAGTTATATGGTTTCAGTGCAGGGATGCCTGAATGCGAAGCTGTCGTGTTGCTATAATCGTTTAAATGAGTACCACATCGGTCCTTTTATACAAAACCTCATTGTAAGCATAGAAATGATGCATATTGCTCTAATCCAGTTGTCCATCCAGAAAGCTGCAAAAGCGCTACACCAGCAACCTCCCACTATCCACGCACGCACATCAAGGCTCAGGCCACGCAGGATCCTCAATCCTCCTAAAACACGCCACAAACTTCAAACCCTTGTTCCTCTCCACCTTCTTTCCCTCCTCAGTTTCCACTCTCATCGCCTTGACACACTCATCCATACCCACGCCCTCGACCCCATCGACCGTTTCCCCCTCCTCAAATACCCTCTCCACCCGCTCAAAACTCGGATGTTTCTCAAAATGCCCCTTCATCCACTCATGCAAATCCTGCACATCAGTAATCGTATAAACCACCCCACCTGGCCTCAGCACATACGCATACTCCGAGTTTAGCGTATACGACACGATTCTAGCTTTGTGTTTGCGCTGTTTGAAATGCGGGTCCGGAAAACACAGGAAAATTTTGCTGAGTTGGGATTTCTGGAAGAAGTTGGGCAGGAATTTCATGGTGTTGGCCCGGATGCAGGAGGCATTTTGGTAGGCGTTTGTTGATGCATTCTGGACGCGAAGGGCGCGGACTTTTTCTTGTACGTATTCTGTCACCGAGGTGCGGATTTCCATGCCTGTGAGAGGAAGAAAAAAACAAGGTTAGCGATGCTGTGCTGTTCTTAGGGGCAAATGCGGTAGAGGTGGTCGCCACGACAGCAGAAACACTGGTTATTGCAATGATGGCAGAGCAGATAAGCCAAACACAACTCTTCTGCGATTTGTACCACACTCATGCGGGGAGGTGTTGCGAAGAAGGTAAATCGCACACCTTGGAATAGGAAAAACCGCGATACTAGAAGCTTGAACTTTGACATACCGAGTATCAATGTATCCGGGAATTTGGGTGCGAGGGCGAAAAGTAGACCACCAAAGCCGCATCCTATGTCGGCAATCTCAACATTCTGCGTGATAGCTTTGAGCTCTCTCTGCTCTTCTAGGCTCACGTCATGTGACTCGTTCTGCTCTTCTCCCGTCTCTTTCTTTGGATGTTTGGCGTACTTGGGGTACAGACTCGCCCAGTCCATGTCTACGGGGCTCGTTGGGCTACATCATATTAATACCATCCTTGGTAAGACAGCAAAATCATCCTTACTATGTGAGCGAGTGATCTGAGAAAGGATTCGCATGGGCGCGTTGCCTGTAGAACTTCTTCTTGGGCAATGCGCCTTGCTGCTCTTCATTCTGCAGCGACTTCTTGTATTCTTCGCGCCTTGTGCGCTTTGCTGGTTCGCCCGGCATGGTGACTTTAATGTTGCGCAATTCTCAAATGTCAAGCAACTTGGGGACAAAGGTAGATGCAGGTGCTGAGGTAATAGTCGATTAGTTGCGTATCACGAAGCGAGTTTTTCGCTAGCGCCAGGGTCTCTGGTGCACCCAACATATCTGGAGGAAAATAAGCCATTCGTGCAACGATCTACTGCTTGTATGACACAAAGTCGCAAAGTGACGTAATACGACCTGGTTGTCGCAGGAACGCTGACTACAAAAAGCCGCACGACCTAATCGCACGCTGCATATTGGTCCGTGGGAAAAGAAAATTACGATACAAGAAGTGCAACCCCAGGTGTGTGCGCCCAAATGCTAAGTCCTATACCCAAATGCCAAATCGTTTCAATCATCAACATTACCGGAATTCAATTGCGCCTTGACACCCAAAGTCTTGGACGTGTTCCAGCTGGAGCTTCTGGAACCTGTGGCACGGTTAGCGCATTTCTATCTTGGTTGAAGTGTCGGGACTCACTTCTCGCTCTTAGCATGGAAGTAGATGCCCTCGATGCCACCCGAGACCTGGTTAAAGCAGATGTAGTAAAAGCCCTCAAAGCTCGCACCGCTTATTGTCCTGACTCGGTGATCTGGCACAAGGAAGTATTCCTTCCATCGCATGAACAAGTGCTCCTTCTGCATCCAGTCCTTGGTCACCAGTTCTTGGCGCGAAGAGTACTTTGATAGCGGCTTGTATGCAGGGAACCGCGCCCAGTGTTGTCTGTCGACCTTCTCGTTGGAGCCCCATTCTGGGTGTTGTGTAATGAAGGTGTATTTGCTTCCGATGATCTCGCCCTCGAAGTACGTCGTCAAGCTAGGGTGGTCTTCCGTTAGACCTATGAACCAATTAGTCTGCAAGTTTTGTATATGGTGTCGCAAGGATCTGTACGTACCCTTAATGCGCAAGTATCCACACATGAAGGATTCGCGCATGTCGACGTGTTTTATCTCGACCTCAACTTCATACTTCTGGCGGTCAGAGGTTTGAGTGCCTACGAAGCGACTACCGGGCCGGAGGAGAGATGACGACGTATGAGGTAGGAACTGTATGGTTATTAGCAATGTCCAGTTGCGCATTGTCTGCATGCATGCTGATGGTAACGCACCCTGTGCGCAGGGAATGGCGATGATAGATGGCTGGCTAGCAGCGAAGTTGGCGCAGCGGTGGAAAGCGGCGAAGCCTGAGACGTGCGTTGCTCTTCGGTGCCATCGTCTGTCGCAGTCATAGGCGTGGGTATATCTCTGCTCGGCGCTTCTATGTTGGCACTTGATATCTTGCCATGGGTATCGTCGGGCGCCTGGGTGGGTTCGCGGGAGCTTTGAGGAGATGGAGTTGGCTGCTGCATAGGCACATGTGGCACAGAGTTGGCATTGCTATTGTGGTCGGATCTTCGTGTTTGATTCAATTCGTGGGTAGCGATAATGCGCGCATCTTCTGGTGGACAAGTCGTGCGGCCGGCGATGCTCTCGTGCTCCACTGGCAAGACCATCGCTTCATCATCGGGCGTTGGCATCGTCCGATAGCAGGGTCGAGGAGATTACAAGCAAGGTATGGTTCGATTATACATGGAACGGAAGAAAATATGAAGGTGCGATTATACAGTAGAGGTTTACAGGACCAAGAGTAGTGGCGATGGGGGAGTATGCATGTTGGATGGATGACTTGGACTCGGCGGAGGTGTCCAGGCGGTTAGTGGGTCACTGAGCGCTGCACCTACGCGGGGAAAAGGCGCTAGTCTCACGTGGGATGACATGGGGCCAAAACCCTGAACGCCTACGGCCAGCTTGGTCACACAAAAGAGTCTCTATCTGGGGTCAGCGCGGATATTCGTGAAGCATATTATTCCTTGCCAAGTGTGCTATGGCGACCTTGCGAGCCGACCCGTAAGATCTAGCGAATCTTGGTCAAATGACCCTATTACTGGGCATATCTTCCATACATCATCATCCTCGATAGGTTCACGAATACCAGTTGACACTAGCCACAAACAGATGTAGTTCCTTCAGTTGACTCCATACGCCATTCCTTACGTCATTCGACGTCAAGCCGCGATTGTGCCACACTGCAGTGGCTGCGCGCTATCGGCAAAAGCAGCGCTGCTGCGGCTCACAAGTGGCAGCGAAAGGCTTAGATTGGCTTGATCTGTACAGTCGTGAGTTCTCATGTCAGGGTGGATGCGTGGTATGCGTACCTTGAAGTGGAGAGATATTAATGAGAAGACCAGAGCCTTGAGGTCTTGTACTAGGTAGTAGAAGACGCGAAGGCCCTCTGGATCTGATGAGTCCTGTACATCTTGAAGAGAGCCGATTTTCGCAGTCTGTGTTCGTTAACATCGCTGAAAGCCACAACAACGTTCCAACGTACCTCAAACGAGATGTGCTCGCTGCCTAACCGAATCTCCAGCTCTTGACGACCATCTTTGTTCTTCTGGGGCCACTTGGTGTCATCTTCCCTAGATGATAGGTCAGCAAATGGCTCTTGTGGTTCCGTTAGTTGAACATACTTGAGGATTTCACTGTCCTTGACGATGCGCTTGATCTCAGCTACTAACGCATCGCTGACGCACACTGAACGCGCATTAGCAGGTTCAACCGATTGAAGGTGGCAAACTCCATACTCTCTTTCCGGATGAGTGAGTCGTTACGGTAGTTGGAGTTGTTCGCATAACGGGCAGATGCGCTGCGGCCATCTCCAAGCACTCGGAAGTCGAATTCTGATCAACTGTCAGTTCATTCCTTCGAGGTTTTCTTGCAGATATTACGGACCCAAGAACTCGTGTCCGAATCGGCCCTGGTGACCAGAGCTGCGAAAATGTTAGTAATTGCACGTGCTTTGAAGACCAACAAGCTGCATACTAGTAACGCAGGTAAAATGGTTCGGTCGTCGTCATGTTCGCGAGGGTTTACTGCTGAGCCTCAAGATACGCGTATAGGAATTCTCGGTGTTTGGCTTGCGCGTCGTGGTATTGATGTTCAGTCGCGAGACAGTGAGTTGGAGATCTTGGCGGCCAGACCCCTGCAAGCCTAGCGAGGGCGGCCTTCGCTGGGAGCGACCATTTCTCGAGCAGACACCTGGAGGTAAACAGAGTCAAGTCCAGCACTGCACCCATATACCCAAGTAGCCGCCTCACCGCCAGGGCAATTCAGTCCCTTCACCCTCACCACTGACCTGCAGCTGCGCCAAACCACACCAACCTCTCCACCGCCCAAGTCGATTGATACACGTAGCATCCCACTTATTCTGGACACCAAGGGACATTGAGGGCTGACGGCCGCAACGGGAGTCACGTTATCGCAGCTGGATACTGTATAAGTCGGGACCATCGCATACACCAGCCAAACCGGCATCATGGCGGCGTTTCTCGAGAACTCGTACAGTCTGGTAGGAACACCTGGCAGTGTTGGGGCTATGGGGAAGCTGACGGAGAGCAATAGGTGCACCAGGACAACGCAGCCGATGTACCAGCACAGAACGAGCTGAAGAATGCTCTGGAAAAAGGCAGCGATGAGCAGAAGATCGAGACCATGGTGCGCTCTTGCAATTGCATCTGCCCCGCCTCGTCGAATGCGACCGTCTGACAGCTTTGCAGAAGAAGATCCTCTCGATTATGCTCAATGGCGATCCTCAGGCAGGCCTACTCATGCACATTATCCGATTCGTCATGCCCAGCAAGTCGAAGCCGCTCAAGAAGCTCATGTACTTCTTCTTTGAAGTATGCCCCAAGCACGACGCCCAGGGCAAGCTAAGGCAGGAATGGATTCTCGTCTGGTAAGCTTGTAGAAGCATGTCGTTAGATGGCCGCTAATTCGGAATAGTAATGCGATTCGATTCGACTTACAGGCGCCTAACGAATACGTACGAGGAAACACATTACGCTTCGTGTAAGACGCACCAGGATACCCTCCCGAACGTTGCTGATATCTTGAACAGGACCAAGCTACGAGACGCTGAGCTTGTGGAACCTCTACTACGTAAGATTGGTGCTCCCAATGCTTCTAATCATGTACTGACAGCTCGTAGAACCGGTGCGCCAGTGCCTTACACACCGACACGCATACGTCCGAAAGAATGCAACCTTTGCTATCGCATCGATCTTCACACATCTCCCCGAACTCATGCCAGATGCGCCCGACCTCCTTGTAACATTCCTAGACGACGAGAACGACCCAACGTGCAAGCGCAATGCTTTCGCCGCCCTCGTTTCTGTCAGCCACGAGAAGGCTCTCGAATACCTAAGCACCGTTTTCGATGCCATACCCAACCACGAAGAGCTTCTGCTACTCGCTGAGTTGGAGTTCATCCGCAAGGACGCCATTGTGAACCCATCGAACAAGGCCCGCTATCTCCGTTTGATTTTCGACCTCCTCGAATCGCAGGTATCGACCGTCATCTACGAAGCCGCGCATGCTCTCACAACCCTCACAAGCAACCCGGTCGCAGTCAAGGCAGCTGCCGGAAAGTTTGTGGAGCTAGCGATCAAGGAGCCCGACAACAATGTTAAGCTGATAGTCCTGGAAAGGGTTGAACAGCTGCGACACAAGAATGAGGGAGTCCTTGATGATTTGACCATGGAGGTTCTTCGTGTTTTGTCCAGTACCGACTTGGATGTACGGAAGAAGTCACTTAACATTGCAATGGAGATGATCTCAAGCAGGAATGTTGAAGAGGTTGTTCTCCTGTTGAAGAAGGAGCTGATGAAGACGGTGGACGAGCAATACGAAAAGAACCCCGAATACAGGTCGCTACTCATCTCTTCGATACACTCCGCCGCCATCAAGTTCCCCGAAGTCGCCGCAAGCGTTGTCGGATCGCTCATGGATTTCATCTCCGATGTCAGCAGCAACGCTTCTGCGGTTGACGTTATTTCGTTCGTCAAGGAAGTTGTTGAGCGCTTCCCGGACCTGAGGGCTTCTATCATCGAACGACTGGTTTCGACTCTGGGTGAGGTACGTGCTGGCAAGGTTTACCGAGGTGTGCTCTGGATTATTGGAGAGTTCTCCCTGGAGGCGAAAGACATTCGAGATGCATGGAAAGGCATCCGGTCATCACTTGGCGAAATTCCCATCCTTGCTTCTGAGCAAAGGCTGTTAGACGATGCGTCAGAGGGCAAGGAGAGCAGTGAACAGGTTAATGGACATGCAAAGGCGGCAACTCCTACCGGATCAAGGAAAGTGCTCGCCGATGGTACCTACGCGACTGAAAGCGCCCTGACCTCCTCCGCTGCTGCTAAGGCGAAGCTCGAGGCGGTCAAGAACTCACAGAAGCCCCCACTGCGTCAACTCCTCCTCGACGGCGATTACTACCTCGCCACCGTGTTGTCCAGCACTCTCACCAAGCTCGTCATGCGCCACAAAGAGATATCAAAAGACGACGCTCGCACAAACGCCCTCCGCGCCGAAGCTATGCTCATCATGATCTCGATTATCCGTGTCGGTCAGTCGCATTTCGTCAAGACTTTCATCGACGAAGACTCTGTTGACCGTATCATGTCGTGTGTTCGCTCTCTGTCCGAGTTCTCGCAAAGAAAGGAGCTCGAGACTGTATTTTTGGAGGACACTCGAAAGTCATTCCGAACCATGGTCCAGACGGAAGAGAAGAAGCGAGCAGCCAAGGAGGCTTCCGAGCGCGCGAAGTCGGCTGTCAATGTTGATGACTCTTTCAATATCCGCCAGTTGAAGAAGAAGGACGCGGACGGCAGCGATGGGATCGAGCAAGATCTTGAACTGGCCACAGGAGGCGATACTGCGACTGAGGACCTCACATCTAAGCTCAGCCGCGTCGTACAGCTTACCGGTTTCTCCGACTCAGTATACGCAGAGGCATATGTCAAGGTATGCCGACTTCATATTGCCAAGACGATTGATCCACTAACTTTGCCAGGTTCATCAATTTGATATTGTCCTGGACGTTCTTCTCGTGAACCAAACGACCGAGACATTACAAAATCTCACAATTGAGTTCGCGACACTTGGTGATCTCAAGGTAGTCGAGCGCCCTTCAACACAAAACGTTGGTCCGCACGACTTTATCAACATTCAAGCGACGATCAAGGGTAAGATTGTCTTATGAACATGTTTCGGTTCATATGCTTACTTTCACAGTCTCCTCTACCGATACCGGTGTCATCTTTGGAAACATCATCTACGAAGGGTTAGTTTTGTGCATCCATCATCTACAATAATTGTTAACCTGGCACAGTGAGAAGGGAGTTGACTCCAACGTCGTCATTCTCAACGATGTCCATGTCGACATCATGGACTACATCAAGCCCGCGCAATGCACAGAAACTCAGTTCCGAACAATGTGGACCGAGTTTGAGTGGGAGAACAAGGTCAACATCAACTCCAAGGCCAAGACGCTACGTGAATTCCTGAAGCAACTCATGGCATGCACGAACATGAGCTGCTTGACTCCGGAAGCGTCAATGAAGGGCGACTGCCAGTTCTTGTCGGCGAACTTGTACGCTAGAAGCGTATTCGGTAAGTTTGGAGACTCCTTTTTGCGTATCAGTCGCTAACAGAAACCAGGTGAGGACGCTCTCGCCAACTTGAGCATCGAGAAGGAAGGTGACAACGGTCCTATTACCGGGTTCGTGCGCATAAGAAGTCGCTCCCAAGGTTTGGCATTGAGCTTGGGATCGCTGAAGGGTCTGAATAAGGTCGGGGTTGCATGATTTGTCGGCTGAAAAGCACTGTCACTCGTCTGGGGTAACGGGAGATGGGCGTTGGATCCTAAATAAACGGTAACAAAAGGAAGGCTTCCGGCTTGGCTCTTAGTTTAAGGGTGTTCCTGCTTAACGCGTTGGAGAAGAGACATGATGGGTGGGATGAATGTTAATTTAGCATTACCGTATTGAAGGCACAAGAATTCAAGATTAAATCCAATCAATCTGTGAGTGAGGCTCATTGTCATGTTGTCTGGGCTGGGCTGCTTCATGGTGGAGATGCCTCGGTTCGCGTCCAGCGCAGGGTCCAGCGGGTTTGCTTCCTTTTTGTTTAGCACCAACTGATCCGGAAGGATCCGTCCTTGCAGCAGGCACCTACGCATGAGCGTGACAGAGGTCAGCTTACCAACTGTCTAAGCTTGACGTTGACTCGACGTTGATTCCCGTCGCCCTCTTTGTACAGCATGCTGTGCGTCTCCTTTGACTAGCTACAACAACCATGGCCTCGATGGCTGGCTCCGACGATCCCTTTAGCGACCCTCTTCTCGATACCACCACTCCTTCGCAACCACCACATTCGTCTGAACCTACGCAGGAGCATACCAACGTTCCCGATACACTCGCTGTTGGCAGAAATGCCTCGTTAACCTTGGGAACCGATTCCCTCATCGTCTTAGGTAGGGAAGCACTACCCATGGACTGCGAATGTGCGCCTCACACAATACAGATGAAGCGCTTCTAGATAGCAAAAGCGCCAGCTGCTGCGGCCTGTCTCTTGCTGGCAGTAAGCATCTCCACGGCGTCTAGACCCCCAACCTCCCGCTTACGCTGCGCAGAGAACAAATCCACTCGTTCCATACCCTTTTACCACATCCTCTGGGCTGAGCACTCCGAGGATGGTCAGGTCACCATACAATACGCGCAAACCATATCGAAGAAAGGCGTTCGTCCCGCTATTGTTAGCTACGCCCTCGACAAACCAGACAGCCGCTTAACAGAAGCCTGGATAGAGAAGCTCTTGTCTCGCGCATACGGCGCATCGCAACGCCGCAAACGAATCAAAGTGCTCGTCAACCCCTTTGGCGGACAAGGCGGCGCCGTAAAAACATACCACAAACTCATCGCGCCCATCTTCGCCGCAGCCCGCTGCGACCTCGACGTCGAGAAAACCACACACAACGGCCACGGCGTGGAAATCGCACAAGAGCTAGACATCGAAGCATATGATGTCGTAGCCTGCTGCTCCGGCGACGGCATCCCCCACGAAGTGTGGAACGGCCTGGGTAAACGACAGGATGCTGCTCGTGCGCTGCACAAAGTCGCCGTCGCGCAGCTACCTTGCGGATCAGGCAATGCTATGAGTCTGAACTTCAACGGCACCGACGACCCCAGCCTCGCCGCCCTCGCAGTCGTAAAGGGCATCCGAACACCCCTCGATCTCTCCTCGGTAACACAAGGCGACCGCCGTACACTCTCCTTCCTCTCCCAAGCCGTTGGCATAGTAGCCGAAACCGATCTTGCAACGGAGCACCTCCGCTGGATGGGCGCTGCACGCTTTACCTGGGGTTTCCTCGTGCGTCTGATCAACAAAACGTGTTACCCAGCCGACATTGCCGTAAAAGTCGAATACGACAACAAGACGGCCGTCCGCGAAGCTTACCGCACTGAATCCTCTAAACCCCCTGGCAGCAACGACGACGATCGCACGTTACCCGCTCCCGACGCCGGTCTCCCGGGCTTGAAATACGGCACAGCAAATGACCCCTTGCCCTCTGGTTGGGAACTCATCCCCCACGACAAGCTCGGCAACTTCTACGCCGGAAACATTGCTTACATGTCCCCCGACGCGAATTTCTTCCCTGCGTCTCTCCCTGCGGACGGCTGTCTCGACCTCATCCGCATTCGGGGAGATATTCCGCGACATACGGCCATCAAGACGCTGCTGGCGATTGAGAATCATACTTTTTTCGATCTGGAACATGTGGATTACCAGAAGATTAGTGCGTATAGGATTATTCCAAAAGGCCAGCGTGATGGGTATATCAGTATTGACGGGGAGAGAGTGCCGTTTGAGGGGTTTCAGGTCGAGGTGCATAGGGGGTTGGGCACGGTGTTGAGTAAGAGTGGACATTTGTGTGAGGCGAGGGGTGTGTGAGGTTGGGAGGCAGGCAGATGGACGTGAATGTTGAGGTGCTTCCTGTGTGTTTGTGAGATGTGTGTGTAGAAGGGCGTTGTGTTTGGACGTTGGGATACCATTTCCTTTTTGTTTTTATATCCTGATCGCGATATCCCAAGTTGTTGTTGTTGTTGCTTAATATCGGATTTGCGTTTACAACATGCATATTTAGTTTGCTATAAATCCCCCACCCAATCTCGTTGATCGCATCTACGATAACAGCAGCAATCTTGCATTTACTCCTTACCCAAATTCATAGCTACCGTGCTCTGATTGTTCGTTTTTCTCTATATAGATTTCTCTTCTTTTTCCATCCATAGACATGTTAATCGTAACAAAACCGAAAATTCGAGATCATGACGCACAATCTCCATATAACCACTGTCGAATTTTTTTTCTTCCATAGTCGCCCCTCTTACTTACCCACCCGACCTCACCGCTCCTAGTTATCGCCTTAACCACCCCTCCCTATGATATACTTCATGCTGGTTTTTCTCATAGCAAATGCTCGACTACTATATCGGCCTAATTTTAAACTTTTCCATCGAAAGCAACAAAGCTCAACAACATAAAAGCTGCTTGGCGCAGCGGAAGCGCGCCGGGCTCATAACCCGGAGGACCTCGGATCGAAACCGAGAGCAGCTAGGAGTTGAATCTGTTCTTTTTGAACATATATTTTTGTGTGGTCGTGCTAGTGGTAATGGTTCGAGTTTGGGTGTTGGCTGGCCAACTTCTTTTGCTTAGCTTGGAGATTTTTTTTACCTTAGCTGCGTCATACTGTCAACTGTGTCGCACTCATAAGGTTTTTTTTTTTTTCATAATTGCAAAAAGCTCACTATTGGGACATTGGTTGAGGGGGAAAACTAGAAGTCAAAGAAGAATCATCAACATGATATATGATATAACCCCGTCACAAACGGCCACACGCTATGCAAAAATGCCACGTCCACCATTCCCTCATTCTAATAACCCCCGCTCTTCCCCTATCCATCTTAAAATATGAAAACCCCCCTCCCCCTTCCAAATCCAGTGAAAATTCAAGATGCAGTAACAAGCACATAACTAGTAATAGCATCCATCCTCTCCTTGGTCAATTTCAACCCCACTTTCAGCAACTCAGTCGCAACCTCCTTCTCCTTCCTCTCCAACTCATTATACCTCTCGCGCGTCAACAACCAAGCCACACTATCGTTTTCCGCCGCCACGGTACCCGTACGATCTGTTTCGCTGAAAAACGGAAGCTCACCACACGTGGTACCGGGCAAGATGACTTCGAAGAAGGAACCTTGATCGAGTTGATACTCTGTGCGTAAACGACCCTTTTCAAGAATGTAAAAGCCGTCTGGGTCGTCGCCGCGCGAGTACAAGACGGTTCCCGCGGGGTATTCTTTGCGCTCAAAGTAGGGTGCTACTGCATGCCAGAAGTCTTCGTTCTTGGTGGATACGTCTTCGAATGTTTGGAGAATAATCTTCAGTGGTTGAGCAAAGTTGCGCCAGCGCGAGGGGGCGACTTGGGTAGTTTGATTGTTGTTGGTGTTAAGCGAAGAGTTGTCTGCTATAGCGAGAGAGTCTTCGCCGGACTCGCGCATCGTGGAGCGGGCGGCGATTAGACGGGCGCCGCGGCGCGGGGAGGAGAAGACAGGATTTAGGGAGCTGGCGCCGAACGAGGTGGGCGAGCCGCCTGTTGCGATGGGTTCGTTGCTCGCTTTCCCATTACCAGAAATACTCATCGGAGGGGTGGTTTGCGGTTTCGAGGAGTGGCGGTTCCAGTGCTTGTGGAAGACCTCTAGAAGCTCGTTCTCACAAGATTCAAGTGCTGTATTTAGGTCCTCGAAGACTTGTGGTGGAGGGCATTCTTCATCACCGTCTTCATCGAGCAGACCTACGTTTTGAAGAGCTCGACCGACTGCATCGGCAAACGAGACTCCAGAGATGATCATCTTGACGTTTTTGGTATTCAGGATGCGGTTGATGCGCTGGAAACCTTCTGAACTCGAAAAGTCGACGTCCATGACATGTGTGAAGTCGACAATGATGAAGCTGATAGGGTTCTTTTCAAAGTTGTCGTCGTCGATCAAAGAACGCATGTACTCTTCTACCGAAACGATGGTCCCAAAGAACAAGAATCCGCCTAGCTTGATGGCGCGGATCTGACCACGCACCTTGTTGAGATAGCGAGAGTCTGATCGCGGGCGGCGAACAGTGGACTCTGCGATCATGCCACTGTATGTTCCTCGAATGGCTGAGTGGCGCGAGCTTTGCACCACGTAGCTGACACATGCAAGGACAATACCGACGAAGATGCCAACGACGAAGTCGTGCACGCCCATGATGAGTACGATGGCCACGATAGTCAGGTACTCCAGTTTGTGGCACTTGCCGAAAGTATCCCAGAGAGCTTCCTTCATGAGGTCGATACCGAGAAGGAAGATGAGTGCGCCAACCAAGCAGATTGGGATGTAGCCAACCATGGCTGGGCCCGCGACCCAGACTGCAGTCGTTGCAAAGGCAAGCATGATACCTGCCAGTCGGCTGTTACCACCATTGTCAACGAACATGACGCTGTTGGCGTAGACTAGGTAGTTCTGATGGATGTGTTAGCACCACGTTGTTGACGCATGTCAAGTAGTTCTTACCTGAATACTACCGAGGCAACCGGAGAGGGTATTAGAGATGCCGTGAGCGATCAACTCTCGGTTGACATCAAGGTTGTCTTCCCGGACTGCGGCACCTAAAGCAGGGACATTGATAGGAACATGAATAATGCCGAAGAACGAGAGGGCGAACATAGTCGGGATGGTGCTGGCAAGTGCCGCTCCATCTATGCTGCCGAATTTGAAGTAAGAGTAGAATCTGTAAAACTTGACACCAGCTTCTGGCATCTCAAAGATCCATCCTGCGTTGCGCACAGGCTCGAGGTCCTTGTGTAGGATGCCTTTGACGATTAGGTAGAAGACAGCAAATATAGTGATGAAGAAAGCGGGTAGAACGAATGGGCTCTTGGACAGACGCCGTAAAACCATGATGGTGATGGCAAGGGCAAGGGGCAGTGTCCATAAATACCATGTGTCGCCGGAGAACAGCTTCTGTAGGGTAGGGAGATCGTAGTTAAGGTTGCCCTCGAGGCGGGCGGAAACCTCAATGCCCGTAACAACAAGGAAGAAACCAACACCTCCGATGCAGCCGATCAGAATGTGTCTAGGGAAAAAGCTGACTAGGTTGCCCAGCTTGAAAGCTCCGAGGGCAAGGAATATGAGACCTGTCAGAATGGAGCTCAAACAGTAAGAGACGATGGTAGTGGCTATGATGGCCTCTGGTGGCTTGCCCTCCATCTGGTCCATGATGGAATATGCCATCTTGTGGAAGAAAGGTACCACCTCAATCATCTCGGAACCAACCCCACCCTTGAAAACAGACAGTCCCAACGAGTAGCAGAGTTGTGATACGATGCAGCTCACAAAGAAGATGGAGATGCCATCTGGACCGGTGTTGCTGAAGATGGGCGCGCCAAGGGGAAACAGGATGTAGCCATAGGACAACGCATCCAAGAGGTTCAGAAGTAATCCCAAGAATACGGCAGAGGTAATCTGAACGGTGCTGAGAGCGCTTGAGACGAGTGCGTCCTTGGTATAGTTCTTGGGGTTTGTCAGAGACTGACCCACGCCCAAGATGTGTTCCCGGCCAGCAATGAGGGTCTGCTGGAAGCGCGATTTAGACTGTTTTGTCCATGGCTGGCTCTTGTGTGACTTCTGCTTTTGTTGCGGGTCCGGGCGCGACAGTCTAGTTTGGGGCAGTAAAGGTGTCCGCTCGGTATCCTCGACAACTACACCCGGCACGTTTGCGCTCCCCGGTGCTCTCTTCGCGTTCTGTGACGTCGCGCCTGGTGGCTTGGGGCTGAAGAAGCTCTTGTCTTGCTGTGGCCCGATAACAGTATCGGGGGTTTCGGCCTCGCTATCCTCCTCGATGGTGTCGGTCCAGCGACCCGTGTCTATCGACGCGCGCCCCTCCTCGTTGTCCGACAAGACACCACCATGTCTCCCCGCGAAGGTGTCGGCGTCGGCGAAGCTGTGGCGGTGCGGTCGGTCTTGGTAGTCTTCGGCTTCGAGGGCATACGAGGCCAACTGGGAACTCCTCTCGCGCACGCCTTGCGACGAGTACTGTGGGGTATCTAAACGGCAGTCAGCAGCGGCCCATGGATGCGGCTTGGGAGGTGTACCGGCGAAACCATGCGAGGTTTGATGCGCGAAAGAGCGGATAGGATTGCGCGTATACGACCCAGCGAGGGGCCCTGAGGTGATTGATCCCCCTCTTATCCGGCGCGGGAGGGAATGTCCGCCATGCTCAGCCTGCGACGGATCCTGAGCGAAGTCGGCTTCGTTGACGCTATCGCTGGTGAAGGGAAGCTGTTGCTCTGCGCCGGTTGAGTCGCGAGAGAACAGACGTGACGGCATGGCGCCTGATTAAGAATAATTACAGGTAACAATCCAAACTCAACGAAGCATCTCCAGACTCAAGCAAGTTCAAGTGGAGAAAGTCTAGAGACGAAGGCGCGCGGTCCAGGTGGGTAGTAAGGGACTACCGGCAGCTAGACACAGCTGGAGGCGGATATAACAATGCCTCAACGCGACACAGGTGACAATCAAAGAAGCTTCCTCGGGGATCAGACATGATAGTGAAAGGCCGTCAGTTACAAGGATTGCGCGGCTTGTCGGAAAGCATGGGGCGCTGCAATAGGGAAATTTTCTGCTGAGAACCGTGAATCGAGACCCAGCTCGGTACGTCACCGGCCGCTAACCCGTCGCAACAAGAATCATCCTTTCCTCTTGCATGCTTCCCACCTCTCAATTGGGTTTCCCACCATCCCCGCATCCTGCCGCGTATCCTGATCTTCAGTTCACCCGTCGCTTGATTTCGTTTTTGCCTACTTGCACGACGCAAGATGGCGTCAAAATGCTCTGACATGTGAGCATCGCCGTTTTCGCTGCCACTCGCTTATGCACCTCAACCAATGCCGCGACGAATCCCACACGTTCATGCATCGCGGAGCGCACCGCGCAGACCTGTAGGTGGATCCATTTCCGTCATGCGAATTGTCAAAATCCCTTTATACGAGTCAGGATGTTGTCTATCTTGATATATCTCATCGTTCTACACACAAAAGAGTTGGGCAGAGAGTTACATCGATTACTCAAGACATGTAAAATTGCGGTTCCGCTTCTTCGAATAAAATCCATCTCATGTGATGTCCGTGGCCGATGTAGAAGCGCCGTTCCATTTGCTTCTGGCTATACTCAACGTCCCTCAACAACCCCGCTTCAATGTCAGTCGGTTGCATGTACAGCTCCGACAGGACGGTCATCATGCGTAATCCATTAAACACATGCCCAGAAGTCTGCAGAAAACACGCACCTGCATTACTGGAAGAATAATGCCTCAAGTGCCTCGACGCTGTTTGCTACCTTGCACCAACACTCGAAGAACTGCACAGTCTTGCAGATTGTGTGAATCACTCATCGTTGCGGCAAAGTAGGTGTTGAAGAAGATACCCCATTCGATGGAAGCTCGCTGGGCAATGCTGAAGGCAGCTCAGATGGCTCAGATTGTCGAGCAGAACTTTGCTTGTGTTGGCTCTCCTATGCATACTTTTCATATACCGGCGACATCTGTCCATGGTCTGGGTGTTGGGAGGAGTACCCTGATGCCCCTTCGACATATTTCGACACAGCAGCTTCTCTCTTGTACTTGGATGCTCTCCGAGCGAAAAAGACGGCAGCTGCAAACAGGCTCAGTCCTGCAGCCCCGCCGATAACAATACCCGCAATAGCTCCTCCAGAAATACCAGAACCCCTTTCGATATGTTCAGTCACAGCGGAAGATGTTCTAGCAGGTGCCTCTGTTCCCAACGTTGGTGCTGAAGCCATCGATGCCGAGGACGCTTTGGGTGTCGGTGCTAGTGTTGGCAAGTCCGTTAAGCTTGACACGCTCGACGAGAGCGTACGCTCCAGCACCCGTGCCAAAGTCACCACTCCAACGGTACTTGTACAGCAAGCAGTGTTGTCGCCACAACACCATCGCTCGCCGTCGGCTTGTCCGTTGTCACATGGCGTCATTCGCGCAATGCCGAAGGAATCTCGCACTTGGTCGCAGACGTTGAGACATTTGCTACTGTTTATAACATCATCGGCCCAGAAATCTACAAAGAATCTGGACGGGTGTCAGTATCACTTAACATTGACATCAATGTAATAGCTGCTTCCTTCGTTTCCTCCACCTCATCTACCATTGCTCGGTTCTGGCATAGGCCGTTGGGGAGACATTCGTTAGTCGTGTCGCCATCCGTGCTGTTGCCTCAAGCGACGTTCTCGCGGTCGATACCACAGCACATCGTTGAGGGGCCACCGGAGGTACACGGCTTATACTGGTTGTAGATAGGACACACAGGGATTGCTGTGCCGTTGGCGAAGTAACATGTTCCAACCATTCCGGACTGCGCAAGGACTGATCCAGCGAGGAAGGAGAGTAAGGTGATGAACAGTATCGACCGCATGCTAGAATTCTTCCAGATGACGGTGCTCGTAGACCGACAAACCAGGAAAACTACCCAACTGAACCGAAAGCGTGAAGTTGAACAGCAGAGAACAAGAGACTCAGAGGCCGCTCCAACAGAAATCGGCCCATACACCTTGTGTGAACACTCAGCACCATGGATGAGGCCCCAGGAGCTACGGTTAAGACTGATTACACAAAGCATTTCTGGGTGCAGCTTAACCCCTTCTAGCTATCGATTCGCTCACAGGAAATGAAATTGTCAAAGCGTTTGAGATCCTTCGAGCGGGAAGAGGTTTAGCGTAGGCTGCCTAAGGCATATCACGACGACTTGCGACGCCTTACGCTTAAGCATTAGAAGTCGTGCATCAAGAAGGCAAAGGATGCTACTTAATAGTTCGGTTGGGCTAGGAGAGCGTGGTTCAAGAATTCAACATATCAGCTTTAGGTTCAGTCTTGGGGTGTTGGAGGATGAGGCGGTATACACATTCTTTACCGTGTCAAGAACGGAAGAAGCAGGCCAAACCCTCATCTCACAAGATTTTCGTGATCGATATCGCGCGAGGATTCAGAGGGATATTGTGAGAGGTCTTCCGCTGGTTGGACTGTGTACTCAAGGCCGCTGTAGTAAGCAAGGATGGTAAGATCGTCAGTGTTGGTAGGTCTGCTGATTCTTATAAGCCAATGCGCCTGCTGTTTCGAACCGTCTCAGCTACGACAGGGCTGACAATATCGAATGTGTCTGCACTTAGAGTTGCGGGAATGTTGAAATATTAGGTTCAAGCAATAAAACCGTACACTGACATTCTAGACAGCGCCGTCGATCAACCTTAAATTCAGAACATACCTGAACATATCTCATTCATGTATACCTGTCGTTGCCCGTTTCACAGCGGCAAGTAGATGGATCAGCCTATTCCTTTTCCGACCCCAGATACAAGCTTCATGCTACCACCTTCGTCCACATGTTTAACCTTCATCCACACGTTTAACCTTCATCCACACGTTTAACCTTCATCCACACGTTTAACCTTCATCCACACGTTTAACCTTCATCCACACGTTTAACCTTGCTCAAACTACACGTCCCTCTCCTTCCTTCATCTTTCTATGATCAAGCGACTCAATTCAAACCACAGATACTCTGCGATGTGGCGATCTAAAAGTAAGATAACCCAAACCGAGTTTATAGATGGATTGAGTGCCTGAGAAGATGGCGGAGCTATCGTCATATCCTGTAGAAGGGGCGACTTGAACGCGGATTCCTAGGTAGACAAGTGGGAGACATGGGCCGGTCGGATCATCTAATTTACTAGCAAGGTAGTTGTGGAAGGACAGGAAGCGGCACACAGTCATATACGTATTGCAGTGTGCCATGCCAGCTGTGCGGAGATAAGGCACGCCGTGCCTTGCTGGCGGCGCATAAACACCGTACTACAAGTTCCTGACGAAGCATACCACAATGTCACCAAGGTACTCAACCCCGTTTTCGTCCGTCCGCACCACGTCCGTCCGCACCACGATCACCTCTAGTGCTGGGTTTTATACTAAATTTGTACAAGGAACTTAAATGAGAGTACTGTGGTTGCTTACCAAGCCTACCAATACCGGAAGTACTAGCATTCAGCTACCGTTACCAAGCCCGTTGTTCCGCCGGTGTTGATGTAGTGATGGTAACGTCGCTATATGAAGAGCCGGTAAGTGGTAGACAAAGAAGCAAATTAGAATCTCATCTTTTTGAGCATATACGTCTATTTCAAATAATCAGCAAATTACCACCAATATGTCTGTCGTTGCTGTCGCAGGTGGAACTGGCAAGCTTGGGCGAACCATTGTTGAAGCCATCATCAAGCACGGTGAGCATAAGGTCGTGGTTCTTGCTCGTACGGTACGTATTATATCATCCCAGTTGTGCAGTAACTAAATCAGATATCCAGGCCAACGATGAGAGGACCAAGGGACTCGGCGTTCCAGTACTTGCAATCGATTACAGTAACGTCGAAGCTGTTAAGAGCACACTCGAGTCTAACAACATCGGCACGGTGATCGCGGCACTAGACTCGGCAGCTGGTGCAGAACCAGAGCTTGCCCTCATCAAAGCGGCCGATGCATCCTCTGCCACCAAGCGCTTCATCCCCACTGGGTATGGCATCAAGTACACTGCAGAGTAAGTCAGACTCGGGACATCCTCACTATATACTCATTGAAGGTTTCACAGAATTGCCGAGGTCTTCAGTCCCGCTCAAGCCAAGCTTACCGTTCTCGAAGCCCTAGAGTCGACGTCGCTCGAGCACACGATTGTCATCAATGGGTTCTTCGCGGATTACTTTGTCACACCCAAAGTCCCGTCTTACATGGGGCCTCTCCCCATCGTCATCGACGTAGCCAACAACGCTGCTGCAATCCCTGGATCCGGAAATGTCCCCGTCGCATTCACGCACACTACCGATGTCGCTAGCTTCACTGCCAAACTTCTCAACCTCGAGAAATGGCCTCGCGAGTCATATGTTGTTGGTGAAAAGCTTACATGGAACGAATTTCTGTCTCTAGTAGAAAGGGTCAAGGGCGTCAAGTTTGACGTTGCGTACGACGGGATGGAAAAACTACAGAGATACCAGACTACGGAATTGCCGGGACAGAAGGAACTGTACCCGTTTTTTCCCAAACCGATGCTTCAGGGCCTGACTGCGGCCTGTGGAATATTGTTTGACAAGGGTTTCTTTGATATTAATAGTGAGGAAAACGTGGTAGGGATCAAGGCAAGAGGCATTAGGGAATTGATCGCCGAGGCTTGGGGAAGCTCGTAGCGCGCAAGAAGATTGCCGTAGTGGTTACTTCAGTGACATATCAAAGACTGGAAGACACTGTTTGTCGAAAGGATAGCAAGGCTTCTTGCGTGATGAGACCTACTAGCTTACAGGTAGAGTAGAGAATTTTGGTAGACGTAGTTTGCATGGGTGCTTTGTATTGCGTAAGCGTTGTTTGGCATCTCCGTAGATAAGCCTTTATATGACAATGACAATCGCTCAAGGCACTGTCGTACCATTTGCGTTCAAGATAAGTATAGCTGTCTGCTAAGTCAATTACGGATTGGGTAGATCATGAGAAGCTGTCTACTGCCGGTGGCTATTCTGTGCGGCATGCGCAAGCGGACGGACCAAATCAGGTGTAGTGGGGATCACCGGCCAGAGATTCGCTGACCGGCCACGTTATTGTAAACAGCTAACGTCCTTTTATTTGGCCTAGTGAAACTATGTCGTCTTCTCCGCAAACTATTCTAAATTCCTAAGTCGCACACGGACGAATTCGGAAGATCAGCTGCGAAACGTAGTTAGACAGCCGTCGATGAGAATGGTAGGATATTGATGAAATTTTGCTTCAGGATCCGCAGTGCGGCCAATTAACGAGCTGTCTGGACCGAAAAGGATGAAAGTGACCCACCAGGATGCAAGGACAAACTTCCAGTTCGTAGAGAACAAGCCTAATAGAGCACAAATTGGCTGCGTGGCACATGTGGCGGTGTATAACGGTGTCTGAGGAAACAAGGAAAACCATAAACGAAGAACGAAGTGCGAAGAACGTAGACGTGCTTATGCACAACTTTGGTTCCACTACGATTCTGGCCGAACCAATAATTCGGTCCTTGCGTTATAGCGCACGTCGCATCCGGAGAATGCACCGTCACGACTGCGTACCTCGGGGCTAGAAACAACACTTACATAGGAAGGTGTTCGCATCACTTGTGTATTAACTCACTGCAAGGGTTCGTTACGGAATGTAGTCAAAAAAATGAATATAGGAGAAGATGTATGCCCATACAGTAGGAATCCGGTCTTAGAAATGGGCCGAGGCTCTATGGTGACCACCCTGACGACTATGGAAGAGTCACTGATTGGAAGAGTGGTACAGTCGTTGGTGGAAAGGTAAGCTTTCTGCTTGCTATGCATCACTCATAGTTCTGGGATGCACCTGCTGACGGGACGGTCATGTTCTAGGCATTGGGATTAGGGTTTTACAATGGGATTACAGGGTTTGCTACAGAGCCTTACAAAGGCATGAAGGACGAGGGTGCTGTTGGGTTTCTCAAAGGGGTTGGAAAAGGAAGTATTGGCTTATTTACCAAGACAGGGTCAGGTATGGTGATACTCCTGTGAGAGATAAAACATAGCTGACAACCTCCAGCGACGTTTGGCTTGCTTGCCTACCCAGCACAAGGCATCTATAAGTCGGCTACGTCGATGACAAACAACAAGCTCCATCGGCAAAGAGTAGAGGCAAGAGCTCATGCTTTAGTGTCAGCAGATGCACATAGCAAGAGCGACGTTATTCGTTGGTTTGCGGAAATCATTGATTGATGATGCTGTCGGAGTTTGCGAGTAAGTATACCTTTCTGGGTATCCTCCTGCGCGGCAGTTGGATAACCAAAGTACGGAAGTCAAAGAATAAAAATAAATGGTACCATACACTGCAGACAAGCCCAGCGTCGTGCGTTAACGATCCTTCTTGATCTCGCACACTTTTCGTACTAGACAACAACGCACGTGTTCTTATCAAATCCCACTAGATATCGGATCACCACCAGATGGAGGACTCTCCATGCCCCATTGATTATATTTTGTACTCGAACATGCTACAGGCGCAGAGGTATACTCCAAATTAACGCGGTCTCTCTCTTAGTATATCGTATAAGTGACGATCCCATCTACATTAGCCATGTTAACAACTTGAATGTACTGTCGTTTTCCCAGACGAAGGATATTAAATACGAATTGTAGGGGCACTATAGACAGGTAATCAACTTCGTGCAGGATGGATGCATGTTGAGGATAAGAGGCGAGTCGTCAAGACTCAAACGCTCAGAATTCCTAGGTAATGGGTAGATATGGCCCGTGAGTGTCTCATAGAGCCCTTCCGAAGCACAGCTGATACAGTAGAATACTATAAGGATCCCTGCGATAAACCAAGGCTTAGAAAGATTCTGAATCCCCTAGAAGTTCAATATGAATTACACGAGCGAGATATTTTGAACCCAAGCTTTTTTGTATGCTGCCAGTACTAACTTCGCAGGTTCCCTGCCAATCGTGAAACTACCAATCCTCTCAAAAGCACCCGGCTGATTACTGGAGTTCACTATGCAGACCCCTTTCAGTATCATCGGGTAGTCTTCAGAATCAAATCGCAGGAGTAGAAGCAATTCAACGTGGACTGTTTGGTTACCGGCGTAACAAGGGGCGCGCGGATCGTCTAGCTTTACTTCACAAGATCCAACTTCTAAAGATCCATATGTCTTCGGATGAGGCTCTTGATCAATGGGAGCTTCGGTAAAAGAGGGCCAGATACCTCTATCCAAGGTACAACGGGCGGTGCCCCACCGGTTCCCATTATAGCGAAGACTGGCTGGAATGAGTCTGCATTCCACGTGTACGGAACCTTGCTCGATTTCTCCAGAAGGCTTTGTCGAAACAATAAGTTTCTTGATTGCTACCATGGTGGATGGGAGAACGTCGTAAGGTGACATTCCATAAGGTTGGATGTTGCCTATCGTGCCTGCCCAACTCCAGCTAGGTGCACGCCAACGACTGGGTCTCCGACTCTGCCCGAAGGATTGCCAACACAGCTCTTCAATGAAATATGCTTTCCAAAGACCAGCAACTAAGCAATCGTTCATGATATGTCCAACTTCATCTGCTATGCCTCGTAGTGCAACCAGGATATCTGACTCTTTGGTCAAATTGCAGCTAGAATACTGGGACAAGAATTCACACCACAGCTGGTACATCTTCCTTGACGTGGTTAGTTTGGTGCCGCTGCTGTTGCTGTGAAGAGTAGCATCTAGCATGGATCCAGCACCAAGTCCTAACCATCGAACGTCATGAACTAGTCTTTTGAGAGAACTAGGGTCTCTAAATGGTGCGATGAATTCAGGACAGATGTCTGATTTGGTATAGTTTTCACTCGTGAAAGACGTGGGACATTCCCAGAAGAGCAAGGCTTTTGTAAAGTGCAAGACTCGTGGTGAAAGAAAACGTTCTTGGGCAACCCATGCCCTTGTGTTCAAAGGTGCGTGATCTAGGTATTGAGCTAGGGTGATGCCATGAAAACCGAACAGGTATGAACCTGGCATTGGCCAGCTGGGAAAATGTGTGTTTGACCACGTAATCTCGACTGTGATCGGCGTGAGCTCCTGAATGTCACGATCGAAAAATAGTCCAATATCTCCGGATTGGGCACCGGTGGCTGCGATACAGAACTCGGCTTTGCCGTAGACGTCGCGCATACGGTTTGCCTCCATGTCTCAATCGTGAATATCATCCTGGAAAATACACCTTCACAAGTCAGTTACTGCAACAGGAAGTACGGTTGTGGAGTTGTTACAACGAATCGATCCAGATGTATTCGATCTCGAACTTTCGTGTGACGGTAATAGCGTCCTGGAACGTTTTCGGTAGGGAAGACCACGTAATCCCTTCTTTGAGCTCTTTCACGGTTGATTTCTTCAGAATGACCAGCTGCGGATGCCTTCCCCAGCAGTGTGAAAGTACGCTGTATGCTGCCCCAGTTGTTACATCGGCGCGATCGCAGAGACGTACTGCTTCTTCTCCGGCGGATCCAACAAAAATAACTCTTGTTGGCGTGAAATCGTTATACGGAGCGAGAAGTTGACATTTCGGGTGCTGCTTCCGGCATGTCTGATATTGCTCCACGAAGAATGACAGAGCTTCGACATCTCCTGTATTACTGGTAATACGTGGACGGTGCAAGTCAGGCCTTGCTGCAGTCCAGAATTAGCCCAGAACGAGGATAAATCATACATTAAATACTGGCTTCCTTACACTCGAATGATTCTAGATCAGGGTATATGTGGTAATCGTGGCTTGAAAACCGAAATCCGTGCTTTTCGGTATCATAGTCGTAACGTGTTGGCCCTGTAAAATAGGTGGTTTCACCAGGAATGGCTAACAGTGAGTCAGCTCTGTTACACGTCGTTCTCATAGGGCTAAGAATACCCTCTATGTGGTGATTGAAAATTTTGTGGAATCGAATGCAGATGTCACAAGGAAGCTCAAGTGCTTCCTGAAAAGAGTTCGCATCAGGATGATGAACGTATTCCTGATACTTTGATCTTTCCAATTCGTTTTGGTTAATGTATTCTGTTCTATCTCCTCGAAGAAAAGCCTTGCAAGGCTCGCAAAGCTTCTGCTGTGATGACGAGGGGAGCCTCGCGGCTGTTTCCCCTTGTAGGAATCGAAAGCTATTCGATGTAGCATGAGGAAGGCGAGGCGAGTTATGAAGATCGCTCATACTAACGACTGTGTCTACCAGTGTAGGCGACGTTAGTGCCATAATTGTGGTATGATTACGGTAAACTAGAAGTCAGATGTAACCCCTCACTTGCTCATTACCGAAGGACGATCCTGACTTAACGGGTTGTGAGAGTAAGCCACTCAACGTCCTAAGTCTGGTGCACTGCGCATACTGAAACGAGCCAACCCGCTCACGATAGGCCCTCTCCACGGTGTCACATTAATAGCCAACAACATCTAATGGCAATTGAACAACGTCGTAAGCTCCAGAAGATGTACTATCATGCTCTGAAGATAAGATAACGAAACCCGTTTGTAGTGTCGGCCCAATAACATGGCTATCATACATTCGCGATGCCTACAAGGAGCCCTGCAGCACGAACCTACAGCTTCGGAAACCTCACCCTCAAAAACTGATTCGGCCACGCAACATCGAGGCCCAACTGCCACGCAACCCTCAACACCCACTCAGGCTCCCTCATAAACTGTCGCGCAACCAACACAACATCAGCCAACGGCTCCTTGCCCTCCGTAACCTTGACCGCAGCCCGCGCCTCTTTCGCCAACTCCTCATCCCCGATCCGAGAAATAGGTGCAGCTGCACCACCCTCTTCCACAATATCTCTCGCTTGTTCCGCTTCGGTAATGAGACCAACAGCGCCGATGAACAAACTGAGATTCTCTTTCTTGAGCGCACTACGGATCTGCGCCGCGATCTTGATCTGATAGTCTTTCGAATCGAACATGTTGATGCGCTGCTCGGGGTGATTACCTCCACTGCTCACATCTAGGAGATCGACGCCCAGACCAGGAAGCAATTTCGCGAGGCGGATCGAGCTTTCAACGTCCCAAGTACCGAGTTTCTTGCCCTTTTCGGTTTCTTCCATCCAATCTGTGGAGCTGATGCGGAGGTACAAGGGCATGCTGGCTGGGATGACAGCTCGAATGGCCTTGATAATGTCAACGAGGATGCGTGTGCGGTTTTCGAAAGAACCACCGTAATTGTCTGTTCGTTGATTGGTAACAGGGGAGAGGAATTGGTGGATTAGGTAGCCATGCGCGGCGTGGATCTCGATGACATCGATACCAGCGTTTACTGCTCTTTGCGCAGCGTCGGCCCAGTCTTGGACCAAATCCCCAATCTCCTTCTCGCTAAGAGCTCGAGGGGCCCAGTACCCGCTGCTCTCGTCGTCTGCTGCCTTCTCGTCCCATGCCCATTCCTGGCCGCCCATTGGTCCAACGACGTTTTCTGGCCAGCCGCCTGCATCCGTGTCGGCTTTTACGCTGACTTTGCGCTTCCCGCCTTGTGTCTTCTGTTCGCCGGCAATCCAGGGTGCGCATGTACTGGCCTTTCTTCCTGCATGGGCTAGTTGGATGCCGCTCTGAGCTCCTTGGCTTTTGATAAAGTCCGACACCCGGCGTAGCGCAGGAATCTGGGAGTCGCTCCATAATCCAGGGCAGTTTGGCGATATACGACCGTTGGCTTGGACACCGGTTGCTTCTATAAAGACCAGACCAGCGCCTTTGAGAGCGTAGTGGCCGAGGGTTGCGATGTGGTAGTCTGTTAATGCGCCTGTCGTGGGTCCTTCAGATGCAGTGCTGTACTGGCACATTGGGGCGACTAGGATGCGGTTGCGGAGAGTGGTGCCGCGTATTGTGAGGGGCGTGAAGAGCGTTGGTGTTGATGGGCCATTTTGTTTAGTGTTGGAAATGGGTGTTCCTGGGGAGGTGAGGTGTTTGGGGGTGAAGTATGGGAGGCCTGAGACGCCGTTGTTGTAGTCTTGAGGTGCCATGTTGGGTGATAAGCCTCAGAAATTGGTCCAACAACTCGTAGACGAAGAGAAGGTGTAGAATTTATGTTGGTTAGTAAGAGATGCTAGAGAAAATGCTGAAGTCGCCTATGCTAGAGCACGCAATGCCGTTGATTTGTAAGTACCGTTGGGTCTAAATAGTTACCGAGGTACGTTTGCACTTGCCTGAACCAGCAGGTCCTGTTGCAGGAGCATGTCGATCATCTATGTCTTCAAAGATACTATGTGTGGCATTGACATGTTTGAGCTTGGTGCCTCAGGCCTTAGCCTTGCCATATAGAGTGGAATGACGCCGGCTTCATGTCGGACGTCCGCAACCAAGAAATGCAGTCTGTAGATCTCATCGATGCCATCGTTAACAGCCGTGCGATTGGGGCGGAGACGTCCTAGAGGCTGAAAAAGACTGAAACTAGGTCTGTCGCAGGAGAAGCATGGAAGGGTCCAGTGCTTACGTCGTCTACGCGTGAGCTCGAGCGCGTCGCCATGTGATGTGCTCTTGATGACGTCAACGTAACCGCCTTTCCATATAGTAGCGGAGCCTGCATTGGCTCGAGATTATCAACAATCTACATCTTTCCAAATCTTCCACTACATACCTACATATCAGTCTTCTCACTCGCATTCAGCACATAATACAACATGTCTGCCGCACCAAACAACCCCGGTCTTGTCTCTTCCCACGCCCAATACGTCAAAGGCGCTGCCGAGGTACGTGAAGACGGTTCTTTTGGAGAATACTCCAGCGCAATACTAGACACTGACTTGGTTCCAGGAGACTATCGGAAACGTTACCGGCAGTGAGCCATGGAAGGCATCGGGCGCGCAAGACAAGGAGCAGGCAGTAGACGCCATGAAGGCAGCATCAGCGAACCGCGACCCCAACCAACAAGGAATGGGAGGTATCGAGGAGAAGGCAGGAAGCCTAGTTGGCTGCGAGGGCATGCAAAAAGAGGGTGCTGAGAGCAAGAAGCAATAGAAGACGGTTTCGGCTGTCGGAATGAAATAATATAATGAGCAATGAGACATTACGCATGAATAAATGTGTACACATGCATCCACTCGTCTGTCCGGTATGACTACTCAAGATGTGCTGGTACGTCATTACCAGCAGAGCCGCATTGTGAAGTACCCTGAGCTTCGGTTGGTGAAGCACGGTCCGTGTGAGACTTGAGCTTGAGCTTCTCGAACTTCGACTCCAACTCCAATTCCAACTCCAACTCTAGACATCGCCGCTGTCGCATTGCTACCAAACAAGCACCAGCCGCGCAAATTGCTGTATCCTAACCATGGCGCCTCCAATACGCGCGCGCTCGATCAAATCAGACGCCTTCCACGAACACTTTAGGAAACTCAAAACATCAGTGTACCAAGACAGCCCTCGCCCCAACGCCGTATCATCCTCGCACTACATCCGTTCGATATCCTGGAATGCCTCTGGTACTTTCATCGCGACAGGTGCCGCCGATAGGACACTGCGCATTTGGAACCCTGAAAAGACCAATTCCAAGAACTCGACCGAGCTGCGCACGCCCAGTACAACCGCTTCACTAGAACGCGTTTCCTTCCACCCAATCAACGAGAATGAGCTTGCGAGCTCCACGTCAGATGGCATGGTCAGGTTCTGGGACATACGGTCCAAAGCTAGTGTTGGTGAAGTCAAGGTTGGAGAGTGCCCGTTTACCCTGGCATGGACACCAGATGGCAATGAATTGGTCGCAGGAAGAAAGGTCATACATCACGAAAGCTGTCGATATCACACATGCTGACCTCGCCTAGGATAACCTCCTCGTCACTATCGACCGATCAACCCTCAGCATTGTCTCCGAACATCAACAAGTCCTTCAAACAAACCAATGCGTCTTCGACTGGTCCGGCAACCATCTCTACTCGACAGCCGGCGACGGCAGCGTCCGAATGCTCCAATATCCGTCCTTTGAGAACGCGCTCACGCTCAACGCCCATACCTCTGCATGCTACGCCGTTTCTCTATCACCTAGCGGCGAATACCTGGCAGCCGGTGGCGGCGACGCGCTCATCTCACTCTGGGACACGCAGGAATGGATATGCACACGGACGTTGGAATTGACGGGTGGTATCATCAAGTCTGTTGACTTCTCCTTTGACGGCAGCTACGTTACTGCTGGCTCCGATGACAAGGAAGAGAAGAAGATTCGTATTGCACATGTCCACACTGGAGAGATTGTACACACTGTCGATGTCCCGACACCAGCGTCACATGTTGCCTGGCATCCGTGCCGGTATATCCTGGCTTACTCCGCGGACAATCTGGGGTTGAAGATAATTGGGGGTATCAGCTAGTTTGGTGCAGGAATAGAACGGCTTTTGCCAGGCCTGCAGGATCGTATGATACCCTTCGTTAACCGGAATCGAATCTCGCGCACAGTCTTCCTCGGAATCTTTTCCAAACGGCTTATTTCCGTCTGTGACGCAATCGTGTCGCTCGATGTCGGAGTAGCAAAGTCCGACGTTTACTCCGTGAAAGACACTTCTCCAAGGAATTCGCATCTTTCCTTCATACTATACACCTTCATCACAATGGACGTAACAACACCAATCAGACCCAACGATCTCTTCTCGGCGAAAGGACTAGTGGTGGTCATAACAGGCGGAGGTAGTGGTACGTTACTCAAGCTTCGAGCTACCCCATCAAGCCCCGCGCCCTTGCGTCTCGACATGCTCGCGCTCAACGCGCAGATCAATAGAAGCTTACAATCAAAGGTCTCGGTCTAGCCATCGCATCCGCACTCTACCAGAATGGCGCTGAACGAGTGTACCTCCTCGGCCGCCGCAACGATGTCCTCCAAAAAGCTGCCAGCGATCTCCAATCCAACGCACCGCGCGACTCCCAAAGTACTGGCACAGTCCACGGTATATCCTGCGACGTCACCGACCTCTCCTCCGTAAAAGCAGCCGCCGAAACCATAAAGAAGGACATTGGTTATGTCGACGTTCTAATCAACAATGCCGGCGTCATTGGCCCAAAAAACGGCGCCGATATCTACAAAGCCGAATCCATTCAGCAGCTAGCAGACACCATGGTCCACGGCTACTCCGACTGGACCAGCGCCATGGCTATAAACACTCAATCCGTCATCGGCGTCAGTGCCACCTTCCTCCCTCTACTCGAAGCAGCAAACACGCGCCGCGGTTGGACACCCGGTAAAGTAACCGGCACAGGCAACGCCCGCGCCCGCGACACTTCCGCCGCGTCGTCCAAGAACGGCATCGACCAAGATGACGACCGCATGGCACACATTATAACCGTTGCGTCCGTCGCTTCCTACATGCGCTGGGTATCCGCGGGACTGGCATACAATGCTAGTAAAGCAGCGGCCGCACATCTAGGCAAGATGATGGCGACGTTTCTGAGCGAATGGGGTGTGAGGAGTAACATTGTTTGTCCCGGCCCTTATCCTAGTGATATGACGGCGGGGCTACATCCCGTCTATGGTACGAATCAGATTCCCCAGGGAAGGATGGGCGGCATCAATGATATTAGTGGACTTGTTTTGTTCTTGGTGGGTAAAGGTGGTGCATATGTAAATGGAACGACGCAGTTGACTGATGGGGGAAGGGTGGGAGTGTTTCCTGCTGTTTATTAGATGGGTGTATGTGTGTATATGTTGTTGGTAGGATGCTTAATCGAGCATGTTATGCACTCTAAAAAGCTTACATGACTCTGGTGAAATGTCTCTTGTCTTTCTAGACTTTTTTGTGAAGATGTTTACAGACTATTGAGGACCCAAGCTCAAGATTGAAGCTCCTCTCCCCAAATGGTGCTCCACCAAATGCAGTGTACTCTCATTTCCAATGTTGTAGTCTGCTAGCGTCCGACCCTCTTCCAATTGTTTTGAAGACTGACTCAGGTGTTCTGGCTATTCTACAACAATCTTTTCACAACATGCTAAAGGCAAGAGAAACAAAGCAGATCGACATGACTTGCTTCTTCGAGCAAAAGGGAGTCCCTTTTGTTGGCTATGTAAGTTCCAAGTCGAATTCCAGCATATGCAAGTGACTGATCTGGTAGTAGGTCGTTCCACTTCATTCTGCTATCTTACCTCGTTGGAACAACGTGCCCCTTGACAAAAACCACATGACCATGACAAAGTTTGAGTCCAATGAGGACCATAATCTTGCACTTGTGTTCAGTGAGATTCGGCGTTGGGTAAGCGATACTCGAGCGCGCCAGAGTACGAGCCCTGCCTTCCTTCCAGGTATATAGCATAGTAACTGATACAGGAAGCCCTCACAGTCCCGCCGGAGATGACCATTAGCCGAAAACCCGCCACGCAAGCTGAGTTTGCAGCCGTTCAGCACGCAACGCATCTAGGTACCCGGTATGATCTACTCATTGACGCATTTACTATTTCCATTGCAACTCGACTCTTTGTTGAAGACAAGGACTATCTTTTGGTTTTCTCTGCTGATATCGAACGACCGCCATCTCGGCTCAAGAGCTTGTACAGTATCTCAGGGTGGGCGACAATCCTCCAAAGATTCCAACCCGAAGAACACGGCTCAGATCCATGACATGAAAAGACACCGATTTGCCTAGTCCTCTTCATAAATGGCCGGTTTCTAGCCCGCGTACCAACCACAGATATCTACAGGACTCTAGCGTCTCGAGTCTCCGGACGGGACTTTCAGCATTCGACTACTGCAGTCCTGATGCACAACACATGGTACTCCATCTCTTCTGAGCCTACGAGAACCTGCCCATCATCTTGGTGCGCTACAGCGACAACCTGCATGCTCTCGATGGAAGCATGATTCCTAGCGCCGAGTTTTGCAGCGCAATAGCAAGTACCGCCAGTCTGATACCATGTATCGATTTTCCCATCGTATTCAAATGCACATCACGAGGCCACGAAAAAGTAGCAATGCCATATCTCATGGCTTTGACGGATCTCCACGGCAACGACGTCCTTTTCTCCTCACAACTCACTAGAACTGCGCAGATTTGGGAAACAGTGGTCAAGTTATTGGATATGGCATGGGATGATGACGATGCCTGGGAATGCACACAAGACCAGGTACCAATCAGGGTGCTGGTTGCAGATTACCGCGACTATGTAAACGGGCACATTCTCAGTTCAAGGCGGTTCTACTTCTATACAATGGACATGCAGGGGTCGACATTGAGAAGAAATTGTTTCGACTGGGTCAGAAACACGCTGATCACGAGTTTGAGAATGAAGATGTCAGAAATTGTCTTAAAGCAGTCGAGGTTGTAGCAACAACCTCGGACTCTCAAAATGAAGAGGAAGTGCTTGAGCAGTGGTATTCTCTTTACGGGCTCGAGGTCTCAAGGTGGATCTTACTCGCGCTTACATTGAATATGGGATCGAATCTCAGCAAGGCCTGGACGTTACCGACGAGCTTTGATGTGCAGACAGAACATTCGTGGTGCTACGTCAACTGACCACGGTACTGCGATGACCTATAACCGACGAGCCACTCATAACCTCCGCAAACTCACACGCTCTCTTATGCAAGACGAGGCTCTTGAATGAGAATTATCGCAAATATAGGAAACTATGTCAGCTGAGAGTGGCCGTAATGCGCGCAAGACTGCTACTCACTTCATTACCATGCTTTCATCTATCGCCGTCTCCCGTCATTTTCCTGTGGCGACTATTTACTGAGACATGCAGGTCATCCCCTCACTCCCCAGATCGGTGAGTGTAACCGTCGTGCAGCCGGCTAGCTGGAAGTGCCGATGACTGACAAAATCAAACCAACCCCAAACCATAAGCTCTCTGTCCTGTCAAGCGCCTGGTTTTCGGATGGTACACTGACACTGATGGCGCAATGAACAACTGAAACAGTGTGGTCGCATCTACTGAGGGCTTGTGCTGCGACGTCGGTGGCGGATGGGCATTGTTTCCTGGGGGTATGGTAGGCGGGAGGGGCTTAGGCGTTATGAAAGGCGTGAAATGAAGATCATTTGGAAAAAAAAGGAGTAGATGTGTCAACAGTCTTATGTTGAAGCTGGGTACCGCTACGCACATGTATCCTGTCATGCCCACAGACTTCTTCAAACGTGCGACCTAGTAGTTGGAGTCGCGAATTTTACTGGCATAATGGTACATACTATTATTTCATACCACTACCGGCTATCAACAGTAGCCACGCACTATTGAACATCTTTTGCTAACTATCAACACCTGCGTGCGTAAACACGTTACACGACAGATGTCAGTACCGGTTCCAACCACCACCCCACTAGCTTCCCTTAATAACCGACACATCCCAACACCGATCGTACTCCCCCCTCTCCGCACCGTTGTTCAACGGCGTAACCACTAGGCTGCCATATAGGCCGACTGTATCGTGTAGCAGCACGCAGCGACGTTGGCGGGAAGAAATGGTAAGGTGGGTGATCTACCGGCAGGATGCGCAAGTATATGTGAGGCGTGGTATATGCGAAATGGCATTCACTGCAGGACACGGAGCTCGGGTGTTTCCACAATCAAGTCGTTTTCGCTCATTCCTTCTTCCAGTCACCTGCATGTCCACTACCGGTTTCCCATCTCGTATTTCCCCATGCTCCGCCCTTAGCCATGTCCGAAGAACTTCCCGGAAGTGAGACCGGGTGTTTGGTGGATTGGAAGACAAAAGCAAATATATCAATATTTACCCCACCACCCGAAACAATAATACTGTTCCGTTGCAAGCCGTTGAGATGGCGCAGGATGTGGTCGACTAGTTTTGCTTATTCTTATTTCCGTAAGCCGTAAGAACAATATCGTAGTACGGGAGTGGCTTGAGGGAACCAAGGGATTGAGGTATCGCAAATTGGGCTACTACATTCAGGTCCACTCCACTTCAGAAGGCAACAAGGACAAGGTTATTGATGTAGGATAAAATTGAAGCTGGAACCAATCGGCCCATATCAGAGTCCATAAAACTAGCAGACAGAACGCGAAGCAACAAAGAATTCCCATAGGCCCCCATCGTATCCATAGCAAGCGTTATCCGAACGTCTTCTGCATTTCTATCATTCTCTCTCTCTCCCAGCAACACAAGTATCGACACCATAGAACGCCAACAATCCGAAAACGCGCCGACCATGCTAACGGTGTGCCTCCTATAACTAAAACCGTGATTAAAAAGAAGACAAGAGTGGGGATGTGCAAAATTGTAGATAAGACAACCCTGACACGCCACTTGCATGCGAATGAAATAAGACTAGAACGGAGAAGCAAGCGGGTCGCAGAGCTGCCAAGAAGTGTAACCACAGCACTGTGACAGGTAAGACCGCCGCGTACGGAGTGAATGTCGGATGCCGAAGCGACGAAGACCTTCGCGCTCCGGTTGGTAGGCTAAGCTTGGATGAGGACAAGCGAAAACCAGGATGATGATGTGCCATGGAGGGGTAAAATATATTATGCAACGAGATGGGAAGTGCTTGATGCAAGCAAAAGCTTCATCCGTCCTTGGCCAGCAGAGACGGTACGCGCGGAGCAGGCACAAGAGCGACGATATGTCGAGAGATTGTCCACCGATCTGAGGTGCCTTTAGCCTTATTGCAGCAGCTCTAGCGTATGCATCAAGCAGGATGCAGGAACGGGTGCGGGGTATCGCGGGGTATCATAGGGAAGGAATCGACAAAGAGATGTGAAGACCGGAAGAACAGAAGCGTCTAGTAGGCTTCAAATCAGCCCATGTCCATGCCGTACTCATCCTCCTCTTTCAAGCTGGTCCAGTACTGTGGTTGATTTGATCCGGAACCGCTACCGGGACTCTGCATGCCTGGACTAAGGCTCTGTGGAGACACGCCGCTAAGAGGCTCACCGGCCAAGTTGGTGTGCTTGGGTACTCGGAGTCCGGAACCTGGGCCTCGCGAGTACCGGAAGGTACCAGAGCCGTTCTTCTCGAGAGCCTCGAGGATCTCAGTCTTCATGCGCTTCTCGTCTTCGGTTTGCTCAGTGACCCATTCTTCGCCAGTGGCTTGTTGAAGACGTGCGGCTAGCTCGTCACACTCTTGAATCTTCTTGGACAACATCCACATGAGATCACGAGTCCAGCTGACAGCACCATTGAGAATGTCTCCTTTGTTTGGTCCTTTGTCCTTCTCTTCGATTGGTAGTCCTTGAGTGATGTTACCAGCAGCCCGCCTTCCATTGCCACCGGCAAGGAGTGACGTTGCTTGTGGAGGTGACATGCCGCTAGCCCCCATAGTAGGTGACAGGGGTCCATTGTTGTTGATATGCTTGCGGATCTTCTCGTCCTCGAGACGGTGCTGAGGTACAAGACGGGACAAGTCGTGAATGCGCTCGTTGATGTTGTCCCGTCGTCGGCGCTCGACCAGATTGTGAGACTCCCGACGCCGACGCTTCTTGGCGTCCGCATTCTGTCCAATGTCGACCTTGGCAGGTAGTGAGTTGTGCTTGCCAGAGTGCAAGACATCGGTGATTTGTTGGTGGTGCAGGCCACCGGTGTGGGGCGAGGCCGTTGGTGAGTCGATCCATGAGTGCGCACTTCCAGGAGTGCCATCCCACTGACCAGACACGCTCTTCTGATGGCGATGCATGTTGGTCATGATTGGCTGAGTGAAGTTGCCAGAGTCTGGAGTGCCGAGATGGAGACCAGCCATAGCAGGGGTCTTTGGTGACATGGGAGCACGGCTGTCAGAACCAGTCCGGCTCATGGTAATACGCTGGCGCATGGAGCCGCTCGGCATGCTACCGGGGAAATTCATCCTCTGCGGTACTGATTGGTACTGGTTGAAGTCGAAGTTACCGGGATGGTTGAAAGGACTGTGAATGGGCAGGTCGTCCGGGGTATTTGAGTAGACCTGGTTCATGCTTGCGTTGTTGGTGTGACCATGGTAATAGTCTTGCTGGCCAACCTGCTCCTGTGCGAAGCCGTTGAAGCCTGGCTGTTGTTCGAAAGTACCGAGAGATTCGGCAAGCTCGTCGTCGGCGATACCTGCTCCGCCCTGCATGTAGCTGTTGGTACCGAAGTGGTTGCCCATCATGCTTCCGCTCATGTTGAGCTCGGAGGGGTTGATGCCATTTGCGTTCTCATGCCCAGAAAACTGAGCGTTGGCGTATTGGTGGTTCATATCGAGGCCGTTGTGCCCCAGGAAGCGGTTGTTGAAAGACATTTCGTCAACCTCTTCTTTGATGTATGGTTGAGGTGATCCTGTGCCAGTCATGTTGAAGATATCAGCGTCTAGCACGTCGTCAGAGGGAGAGTCGAAGCCAAGGTCCAGCCTCGCAATCGGCTTCTGAGGAGAGTAGGAAGAGGGAGGAGTGAAGAGAGCGTCCGCTTGAGGGACAGTCAGTATTGTCTCGTAGTACATGATAGAAATTGACGTTTGAAATGACGAAAGAGGAAGTGCGGGGGAGGGAGTTGATATAAGAGATGTGGGTGTACTCGGCAGATGCTGTCATGGCGGTGCAGAGTGGGGGATGTCACAAAGGCGTACTTACTAGGCTTTGGCATTACTGTAGGTTGCAGTATTCCAGTAAAGTGGATGTGTGAGGCCGAGGGCCGGTGCTAGTGCCGAGTGTAAGATCTGAAACGATCTGTCGTCGGCCCAAGCAAATGACTGAGGGACGCACTCGCAGGCTTGCAGGATGATTGCAGCACGAGGCGGTCTGTGTTCCTATAAGGATCCTGGCAGATGCTTGCTATCTGATGTGCACAAGGACAGTGCGAGCAAGCCTCTGATCTGGGTCAGAGGAGGCTAGTGTTTGCCTGCGCAGGAGACGTTAGTCCATATGTAAGAGCCGTCGTTTTGGAAGATGTCGCTCACCGGTCTGGGACCTGCTGCGGCTTTGAGCGGCAGCGTATTGCTAGAGTGAAGGGTGTTTGTAGCTGTGGTTCTGTAGTCGAACTGAGAGGATATGTCAGCGCACAGTCCAGCAGTCTGAAATGTTGGGCGGTTCAAGGGTTGGGTGCATGAGTGCGGCGCACAGGTAGGTAACCCGCGAAGCGAGAGACGGCGGACGACAGCCGTGCAGCAGTCCGGCGCTTTGGAGATGGTGGTACAGAGGACAGAAGTAGCGAAGCAGTCACACACACACACACGCACCCGCGGTACGATTGGGCTGGTGTTGATAGTGCAGGCTGAAGCGAGGTGTGGTGGTGGAGGGAGGAAGTGGTAGCAAAGGAAAGAGCGCCTGGGCGTTGACTCACCTCACAACTGAAGGAAGGCGCAATGGGAATTGCACCTGCGACTCTCGGTGTCTCGGTCCTGGAGAGATGGAGTGAGGTCGTTCGAACGGCTAGCTGCTGCAGTTGGAGAGCAGCAAACTTGGTCGTCGAGGAGGGGGGTAGTGGTGGTATTGATGTAGCGGCGTGGGTGGGACAGAGGGGTTGTTTTCTTTGTCGTCGAGGGGCCGAGGGGTGAGAAGCGGTTCAGGCGTCGTGGTGCTGAAGGTGAAGTAGCGGGTGAGGTGGGCTTTCGTTTGTGCGACTGGTGTGGGTGGTGGTGGGTAAATTACCGGAGGTGGGATATGGAGATGGATGTCGGGGTATATGGCGGGGAGGGATCAAGGGTGGGATGTGCCTGGGAGCCGTGGACCAGGAAGCGTGGTAGGCGCCCTGTTGTGCTTTGAAGTATGCGCGTCTCTATGCGGCACAGACTGAAGATATTCCGCTGGCTGCAGCGGCTCTCGCTTCAGAGCGAGGACGGGGCAGCTGAAGCGAGTTGGTCGGTGTAGGAGGGCCCTAAGCCGGAAGGCGGTCAGAGAGATGGTGTTGCTAGTGTGGCCGCCAAGCAGCTATTGACAATGGCGAATCAGCCTGTTTGATGCGGATCGCAGGCCAGCGAGGGGCGTCGAAACGGCAGAAGCAAGTCGCGCCCAAGGATGCACGGGAGTGGTGCGGTGCGCGGAGATGCAAGATGGGATGGGATGACGTGCGGCCGAGTACAGAAATGATGATGATGATGGCGGCGATGGAGGAAGCTCGGCCCGCAGTGGTCCGCAGATTATATTGTATGGAGTGCTCCACAGGTCTGGAGAAGGGATGCGGACTTGGACGGACTGGACAGACATGCAGCGAGGGCGAGCAGTGGAATTATTGGACAACTTATTCGACGCGGCACGGCAGCATAATATACACTCGAAAGACCTGGCGGCGGCGGCTCTATGCCATTTCTCACCCGCCTTACGCTCAGTGTGGCTCTGCCTGTTGCCCACCCCGGTCCTGCGCCCACCATGCGAGCAAGGTGTGGCCTCTTTTGGTCACGACGAGGTAATCGTGTCTCAGCTACCCGGTTTCTTTGCAGCGCTGGGTGAGGGCGCGCAATGTGACTCACTAAGGGACAGTCGGGCTCGGTATCAAGCGTCATTCCATCTGGGGGTCCAGGGAAGACCAGCTTGGCCGAGCGGTCCGAGTGTGTGTGGTTGCTGCGCGTTCTTGATGAATGCAGCGTGGTTAGCGTGTGTGTAGTCTAGCTGATGTCGCAGCGGGAGACGATCCCGCGCTAGTCGCTAGAGGACCGCGGCGAAGCTAATCGACTACCTTCACCCTCCATCGTCGTTTACGACACTACCCAGGCATACGACCGACCAGCCCGGAGAGCTCCTTCCTGCTCTGCGCCGCCTCGAGCCAATCGTTGCCGCCACGGTCCTCCCCCCGGCCCATCGCACCTTCCGCGACAACTTCGCACCCCCCAGTGCACCCTTCGCGGCCTCGTCACAAGCCTCGCCCATCCGCCGTCCCATCTGAGACGCTTGTCTGACATCTGTCATTGGCCGTCTGCCTCCTACACCGCAGGCAGATCATCTGCACGAAATCCTCCGGTCCGTTCTCGCAGTAGTTCCAGTTGCACCAAATCGAACAAACCACTGCCGTGGACCGTCACCGTGCCCTCCCACGACGCGCCCCAAGCCACACACCGCAGTGGGGACCAGGCAGCTAGATACAAGACCAGCAGGGGTAGACAGTACCAGGCAAGGGCCTCCGGCAGCTATCTAGCACTACCAAGGCCCGCATATCTTTGCGTCGCCTGCTGCGGCTTCGACAAGCTTCGACGCGACCATCTCCCTCACACCCGTTCACACTAGCACCTCGTGCCTCCATCAACCGCAATGGCCTCCGCTTCCTTCCGCGACTCGATGAACTCGCTCGGCTGGAGCAGAAGAGAGGTAGACGCGCCCGTCAACACCGCGCCGCCTTCATTGCTCGGCCGCATACAGAACCTGAATCCCTTCGGCGAGGGTGGCTATGTTAGACTCCCCATCACAGAGACCAACCCCGGTGCCCCTCTTCCAGCGCCCTCCCGGAGAGAGGAGGAAGAGGGGTGGTTTGCCCGTAAGTCCATGTCTTCCATTACTGCCTGTGGCAAAACACGTCCACCTTCCTTACGCGTCTTCTTCGCTCCTCGCGTCTCCACTCTACTCCAAGAGATGCCCTACAAGCCCCTCGCGCACTTTAAGTCTGCGCGCTACGAGCCCCCTCACACTCCAAACCTGTGGCGCGTGATGTCATCAGACGACGACGCTCTGAGACTAGTGTCACCCCACCGCCATGGTTCTTTGTCTTCCTTCCATGTTTGTTCTTGTATGGCATTCTTGAGATGAGCATCTGTCTAGTTGTGGACATATCCATCACTCCACTCGCGAACGTGTCATCTGGTCTGCGCACCAACCGGCAATGTGACTACAAGGGGGTTCCTGCGTTACCACGTTGGATGCAGGACCATCGCATTTCACACTGCCTCACACCGCAACCCATCTCGACTCACGTTCGTGACGCTAACCAATACCTGCAGTGAGTCGGTGGGACCGGTTGCTCGTATTTGGCGGGCTGCTCCTTGCTGCCTTAGCAATGTTTGCTACTTGTATTGGCCTAATGTTCACGCCTGTCTTTCTGCTTAGGCCGCGCAAGTTTGCCATTTTGTAAGTCCTCAGCTCTCATGTTGTCTCTGTTGCCTCGTGTCCAGTCAAAAGGACGCCCTGCATGCAGCCTTCTTGCAAGTGGTGAGATCATACAAGGCAGATAGGCAGTGGCACCTACCGTAAACGTCCTTCGGTACGGCTATGCGAACTCATGCAATCTGCAATGTCTTCAAGGATCGCATGTTTCCGCTCACCGACTGCGAACGTTGGCCTTGACGAATAAAGCCGCTTGACTCTCTAGCCACTGCAAGATCGGCACTGGACCCTCTGTAGCGATCATGCGGGTTCAAGGTTCGGCGCGCTGCAGGGTGCAGACAGCCTTCACGTCTAGTCCAGACTCTACCTCGCCAAGTCGTATGCACATCACCTGAAGGACGTTAGCGCTAACAACCATGGTCTGGTTACAGATGGTCCATGGGAAGCGTTCTCTTTTTGGCAGCTTGGGGTGTCCTGATGGGCCCTATCCAATACTGTAAGCAAGCCTCAATACCAAGCCAACCACCACCACTGTTGCTGACAATATATTCAAAGTTCATCACCTCATCTCTGGTCCAAGGCTTCCGTTCACGGCCGCTTATTTTGGGAGCATTGCTCTTACACTATTCTTTTCCCTAGGTGTAAGTTGAGGTTCCTACCCTAGTACATATAATCCCTGCGCACATGTCAACCCCTGTTCATGTCATGGCTGCCCGAAAACGAAACAGTCCACCTGTCCCCCCACGCCAGTCCTTATCGACTATCGTCTCCATGGTTAGCTCATGTTTACTGACACTGTCCGCGTGATTAGCTCCACAGCACCATCCTCACCTTCGTTGCGGCTATCGCCCAACTACTATGCCTATTGTGGTACATCGTGTCGTACTTCCCAATGGGCTCAACAGGTCTACGGTTCGCAGCACGCTTTGGTGGCAACCGTGTGGCCGCCTGGATGAACGACTGAGTTTCTCCTTTGACTTTTATGCAATACCAAGGCTACGTTGGTTATCGTGGCTATGCTATACTGTATATACAAATAGGTCGATGCAGCGCAACGCGCGTCGGGAATATCATCGACTTGTCGGACATGGCTGCCAGAGCAGTATATTGCCCCTCCAAACCAACGCGAAAGAGACTCACTTGCCAGGATGCACTCCGACATGCTTCTTCCCAGCCCATCACGTTGCGTAGTCACGCACGCGTTGCTTCTCTACGCCGCTCCCTCCTGCGCTGTGATTGATCGGTCGGCGAGAGAAGATGTGGCACACCAAACGTCGCGAGCTTTAGAATGGGCACAAGATGGGCATAGGCTAAGTCTCTAGCGTGTCGTTCCAACAGTGTTTCATCGTTTTATACACTAACCTATCGCCACATTTGCATTACCAAGCCCGGCATTCCGACTCTGTTCTTGACTCGACTCTGCCAAACCTGTTCATGTTCAATATACATGGTACATAGATGGGCGACTGACTTGAACTTGAATTGAGGTTGACTTGTCTCACATGCGTAGCCTATCCTAACGCGGTAAAACAGCCTCTTGGGTTGATCATGCTTACCTCATAGTGAGAAGAACCAGTCGGATTATCAACAAACTTGTTCATACGATAAGGCTGGCTGGTGTGTATTCAACTCGCCACAACGACGACAGTTTGTACAATACAATACCTCCGACCGATCGGCGTAGGGTCAAGATCAGCACTGCGAACATTACATATGGTGTACGTCAAAAAAAAGGCGCAGACAGTAGACAGCGCCGATCAAAGATCGTCACGAACTCCAAAGGCAGGGTCCCGCGACTCGCGAGAATGCGCCGTCTCCATTTTGTGCGCAAGCACGCTGCGAACGGCTCTGACACCATCTTGCGCATTCCAACTAATTACATCGTTTGCTATGGCGCGATGCAACCAGCAAACGATGCGAAGAATATCGTGTGGGTGGGTAGCGGGGCTGGGATTTAAGTTTACACTTTAGTGTTGGGTTGTGTATTTGACATGGCCACTGGGAACATGACTCTACGTGTTCTGTCGGGTGATTGCATGATATGCATGCGAACATGATCGCGTATCGCGCCAACGATAAATAAAGTCTGAAAAGAATAGTTCATGGTATACTCCGAAAAGTAATGCGAACCTTGGAATGGAAAGAGAACTAAACAGAGGCAAGTGTAACGAAAGGGCTCATGAGGCGGGTCTAGGTTCATCCTAGAAGTCTAGATGACTTAATGGGCAAAAGAGAAGCAGCCTCGTGATGTAAATTACACTGAGAATACACCCGAGTCTTGGGCTTGAGTGGGCGTGGGACTTGATTATCGCCATGGAAGGTGTAGTGGTGTGTAGTGGGAGACAGGGATGAGGGTACCCCGCAATCGCGTCGTAACATCCATTGCACATGGTCGGCGCTTACGCACGCCACAATAACGTGCAACAGGGTCAAAAGCAGGCTGTAAGGGTACCGCAGAGTCGCAGATATTATGACCGCTGGGCGCATCCACTCCTGGCCTTCCAGATACAGGAGTAAACAGTTTGGTTCGATCTCAAAACTAGAGGATAGTCTGAGGCATGGATTGGCGCGAGGCGTCTCAAGCGAGGTGAGGCGGTCAAGAGAGCGCAGGGAACTCCTCTGTATCCTACCCTCATCTTTATTGGGCGGGAGACGCGGTTCCGATTCTACACCCACAATCACACTAGTTTGGCCTCAGAAGGTTGGGATCAGATAAAGGAAGAAGGAAGAAGTTTGGTTTAGGATGAATGAGCGGTCAGAGACATATGTGAGGCACCGGAGGTAATGACGACATGACTTCACCTACATACAACCTACCCATCTCTAATCCAGAACTATGGAAGAGTATTAGATTAATGAGGTGGGCTAGGGATTACCACAACGGGAATAGCAACTAACAAGAATCGAGGGGATCAAAGCTTCGGTATTTGATGCCGAAGGAGGTGTGCCGTTTCGCGTAGGTATGTTTGGTGTCCTTGGTTTTTAGTTGCTTGATTTCGCATCAGGAGCTCTGTGAGATGGTCATTCGGGCCCTTTGTGGCGCGATGGGAATCTGTGGATTTGACAAGATGAGGAACCGAAGTTCATGGACGTGTAAAGGACGTGATCATGTTGCCATTAGACGCGTCGTTGCCGCTTCGCTATTACATGCCTCGGATTCGCTTCACGATGGCGAGGTGTACGAATCACATTTGGATACAAGTCATGTCGCAGACGACTTGGTGATGATTTGGTAAGTGGACTATCATTATTTCTACTTTTGGTCAATGCTAATGGTCGTATCTTCTATACTAATTTTGGTCTATCGATATATCCACATTGCACCAAATGAACTTTCCGCGGACCTCGATTGCTACCAGCTCAGCTGCTTCTGTGCCACGCGATCTCACATCGTCTCTTGTTTGACGAACAGCATATGCGAACGAAGACACTATTGAGTCGGCTATTTTATGCAAGATCAGATTTGTATAACAGTGGGTAAAACTGGTACTCCCAGCTCTTTGGTTTTCTCATCGTATCGCGTGTAGGCGAATTCCGGTGCGAGCCTGATGTGGTATGATTCCTCGCAAATGTAGGGCTGAGAAGTATTTATTGTGGCGTTAACGTTTCTGGAACCGGTATCCTGAGAATGGATGGAACGGGAAGAATGAGGGTATTGAGGGTGTGTTGTAGATCTCTTTTGGGGTGGTCAGACGGGGAAGATGTGGAAGGGACTGCGATGGGAGAACGTGACCCCGGAGAACACGGAGAAGCAAGTTCATCCAGAGCTGTGATGTATACCAACCGAATTTTGAGGATACTTGGCGTGTTGTGATCGAACGTTGTGAAAAAGACAGAATAGTGTACGCCTTTTACGAGGGACATGAGTCGGATGAATTGAACTCCATCGTAGGGCTAAGCGGAATCCTTCTGAGCCCGGAATCTGGTAAGCCGGATCCTTTACCCAGTCACGGTGCATGTCGATGCATGTTTATTGCTGCGGATTCCATCACGTATCGCACAACCAATGTTGCGCAACAACCCAACTTATGGGGTCAGTAAGCCTCGAACAAGCTCGACACGCTCGCGTCCGAGCTGCTGACTATGCTCTTACAAAGTTCTTGACAACCATATCCACTGTTCCACTGCCACATCTTAGTAGCGAATCGGGGACGCATGAAGTCCGCTCTTTCCCGGTGTCGCAGGGCCGTGGAGCTACCCCTCTTCGACCCTCATCGGCAGTTGCGCATCTCACTCCCAAGCCAACCTCATCGCTGCGCACAGCTAGGCATGACGACGAGAGCCCAACTCGGAGCCATCAACGATTGGACAATGCCTAATGAGATCGCAAGGAGGGGGACTTGGTGACGGGAAATTCCCTTATGCACAAGGCGGCTTCCTGCAATATTGTGGGGTCAACAAGTGTGGGGTCGTTATGAGGATGATGATGCACTTCTTTTGACAACAGACTTTCTGCTCTACCAAACTCTCCCTCTAGCATAGTTTGCACTATCGTAGACAGGATACCTGAATCCGATCGCCCAGTTTAATCTATTGGTCTCACACCGATCTTATACAGCACTTTGACTGAACGGTCACGACTATCGCAACATCATGCCTGAACCACTCAAAGATCCAAAGGAGTACCAGAATATCTTCCACTGGGCGGAGACGCAGCAAGATGGAGCCATACCTTCATTCGGCACCAGGAAGAACGATCCATATGAGGTGAGCTGACATCTTGCCATGTTCAAGTCCGCTGCTGACATCTATCCTGTAGTATCAATCTGGGTTCGGGAATAGCTTTGAATCAGAAGCAGTACCAGGTGAGCATCGCGTATATCCAAGTTACGCGACGAGGAATTGACCGATCTCCGCCAGGAACTATCCCAAAGGGCCAGAACAACCCCAGAAGTGTCAGATTTGGGCTGTATGCGGAGCAGATGACCGGGTCTTCTTTCGTCGCTCCAAGACATCTGAACAAGAAGGTTATTAGTCCGATTGAAGTAATCTCACTTGATGCTGACGGCTCGATTAGGCCTACCTATATAGGGCGCGCCCGGCCGTTGCGCATCAAGGATTTGTAAGGGACCTTTTCCTGGACATCGGTTATGCCCCTTGACTGATCTTGTCGCCCTGCGAAAATCACCTTACATCATCGATGCCTAACTCCAGTCATGCCCTGTAAGGGCTAAACGTGGGTCGCATGGTCAGATCGATAAGACGGCCAAACGATACGGTGATCACTTGTTCAATTTGCTGACAAAAGCTCTAGACGGATCTCCCCGACAACGAAGACACCGAGTCAAACTTCCTCCCCGCGAACAAACGTGTTCATGTCTCTCCTACACAGCTTGCGTGGCTTCCATTCGATACTCCTACGGATGGTGATGTTGACTTCATCTCCGGCCTCAAGAGCATTGCAGGCTCTGGGGACCCAACACTTCGTGAAGGCTTAGCTGTGCACACGTATCTTTGCAATGCGAGCATGAACAAGCGTGCTGCAGTAAACTCGGATGGCGATTTCTTGATCGTACCTCAGCAGGGAGCGCTGGATATCTTGACTGAGTTCGGACCGATGTACGTGCAGCCAGGCGAGATCTGCGTGATCCAACGAGGACAGCGATTCAGAGTCAAAGTTGAGGGACCGACACGCGGCTACATTCTAGGTCAGTAGTTTTAGCAGTTGAGAACCAGGTAACGATAAGCTAATTTGAGCAGAAATCTGGGGCTCGCAGTTCCAACTTCCCGAACTTGGTCCCCTCGGCGCGAACGGACTTGCCAACGCTCGAGACTTTCTGCACCCTGTCGCAAAGTACGAGATCGAACAGGAGTCATGGGAAATCGTGTACAAGCTAGCCGGCAAGTTTTTTGTTAGCAAGCAAGAACATTCGCCCTTCGATGTCGTTGCATGGCATGGAAACTATGTGCCGTATAAGTACGATCTGACCAAGTTCGTCAATGTTGGTTCGATCTCGGTTGATCATATCGATCCGTCTATTTTCTGCGTCATCACCGCACCTTCGCGCGATCCCGCAGCACCACTCGCAGATTTCCTGATCTTCAGCCCGCGCTGGGATGTGGCATCACACAGTATGTACTTGGGGTTCTGGAAGTGCTGAAGATACTAATCACGTTATAGCCTACCGACCGCCATACTACCACCGCAACGGAGCCTCGGAGCTCATGGGTTTGATCTATGGCGAGTACGCAGGGCGTTCAGATGAGTTCCAACCTGGAGGCATCAGCTTCGAGTGCGGCTTCGTACCGCATGGCGTTGCGTACGAAGAAGTATGTTACTCTTTGTGCCACATTCGACCTAACTCGGCTAACAAAAAGTAGTTCAAAGCAGCCAGCGCAGCTCCACCTCCAGAGATGCAGATTTCCAAGGGCGCCATTGCGTTTATGATGGAGAGCTCGAGAATGTTTACCATCACCGACTGGGCGTGGAATAGCAAGAAGAAGCATGAGCATGACCCGAAGATGTGGTAAGTATTGACAAGCTTTACACGAGGCATCAACATGTGGCTGATTGATCATTAGGGATAACCTCGTAGACAACTTCTCCAAGCACAAGGATGAAGTAGAGAAGATTTTGGCGGAAGGCGTGAAGAAGCTGTGATGAAGCATACGATGAGGCTCAGATGCGAGAGTACGAGTTTTGACAACGACAGCTCTTGCAAGGTCTTGAAATTCCTTCGCAGTGGTATGATAATAGAACTAGAACGTCCCCTATTTTGTTAGTGCAAATGTCTAGACTGCGACGTGATGGAAAAGAATGCTTCTCAAACAGGTTTAGTGTCGACCCCGCCCGCGGGAATGAGCCCCTGCCACAGCCACAGATGAGCTCATCGCGAACGAACAAAACAATTGTAGCAATGACTCTAGACTGACCTCAACGCGACTGCGCCTTTACCTACGCCCTTTTGATGTTTGTCCCTGCAGCCTGAGCTTGGTATGAAATGCCCTTGTCTTGATTCGATGTTGACTCATCGCTACCGCGCACTTTGTCTCGTCTTTCTGTTTGCTGCCTGACCGAATGATCGTTCTTAAAACATTGTCCCCGCTCGCACACATTTGCATTTCACCACCCACCACCTCTCACTTACATTTTCCCTTGATTCAGATATCCAGTTCACTGCGACACCGTACTCGAACCTCACCTACCTTTCTACGCTCCTTTCGATCCACCGCGGCCATGGCGCACCGCGACCAAGCACCGTATGTGCCCCAAGACCCTAAAGAGATTGCAGAGCTGGTCCACGCCCTCGAGGCGCACCAGGGCAAGAAGGGCAAGGGTGGCTTCTCGGTCAAGAAACACACGTTTACGCTCCCCAATGGCCGCACCGTCGACTCGTGGAAGATGAACGATTGGGATTACAAGAAAGCAAACCTCCCGACATACGCACGAGGACTGTTTACATACAAGAACCGGGACGGCAACTACGAGATTGTTACAAGAGGATACGACAAGTTCTTCAATCACGGCGAGGTTCGGAAGACTGAATGGAAGAACGTGGAGCAACACACTCAGGGTCCGTACGAGCTGAGTGTCAAAGAGAACGGCTGCATTATCTTCATCTCTGGCCTGGATGACGACACACTATTGGTTTGCAGCAAGCACTCAACTGGTCCACGAGGCGACGAGCTCAGCCATGCCATGGCAGGTGAGCAGTGGGTGGAGCGCCATGTCGCGAGTGTTGGCAGGAAGAAGGAGGATCTTGCCCGGACACTACGATCCATGAACGCGACACTCGTGGCCGAGCTATGCGATGACGACTTCGAGGAGCACGTTCTAGCATATACCCCGGAGCAGGCTGGTCTCTACGTCCACGGTATCAACCTCAACCTACCCGAGTTCGCAACATATCCTGGCCATCTAGTCGACAAGTTCGCGGAAGAGTGGGGCATGAAGAAGGTTACATATGTCATGGAGAATGATATCAAAGAGGTCAAGAAGTTCCTGGACAAGGTCGCCGAGACGGGCAACTACGAAGGCCGTGATACAGAAGGCTTCGTCATCCGCTGCCGAGCGCGCGAGGTTGAGGGTGCGCCATATGTGGATTGGTTCTTCAAGTACAAGTTTGAAGAGCCGTATCTCATGTACCGGCAGTGGCGTGAGTGCACCAGGGCTTTGATTGCCGGCAAGCCACCGCGCTACAAGAAGCACGAGGCCATTACCAAAGAGTATCTAGACTTTGCCAGACGGCAGTTCGCCCAGAACCAAAATCTAGCGAAACAATACAATGCGAATCATGGCATAATCAAGATGCGGGACGACTTCCTCAAGTTCCGTGGAACAACCGGTGCAGACATCATCAGGCAAGAACTGCAGAACGGCCCCGTCGAGAGCAAGAAGGCTGACAGGAATATTGTGCTTGTTCCTATTGCGACGATTGGATGCGGAAAGACGACTCTGGCTCTTGCGCTGGTGAAGTTGTTTGGTTGGGGTCACTTCCAGAACGACAATGTCAAGGCGAAAAAGGGTCGAGGGCAGATCTTCGCAGACACCATCTCCTCATTGCTCGTCACAAACCCTGTTGTCATTGCCGATCGCAACAACCACCAGAAGCGCGAGCGCGATCAGATCATCAACGATATTTCGAGAAACGTACCAGACGCTCGATTCGTCGCACTGCACTATGTACATGACCGGTCTAACTACGACCGCATTCGACATGCAACGCAGAAGCGTGTGCTTGATCGAGGAGACAACCACCAGACCATCCAAGCAGGCTCGAAAGGCAGTGATGAGATAATCCAGATTATGGAAGGCTTTATGCACCGCTTCCAGCCCGTCGACCCTTCAGACAAACCAGACGATCTGTTCGATCTCGTCATCGACCTTGACCCGACCGTTGACTCGCGCGAGAACCTCGAAACCATCATCGGAAAGATGTTTGAGACATACCCCGCCCTGTTCGCCGGTAAGGATATGCCGACTGACCCGGACATGGACGCTGCCATTCAATGGGCGATGAACGACTACACACCAGACTTCAAAATGGACCTCTCAAAAGGTAACAACGACAAGAGAGGCAATAGTCAAAACTTCCAGAACGGCCAACAACGAGGAGCCAACAACAACAACAACCAGCAATCCCAGCTCGCAGCCAAGCCAAAGAAGGCACCGCGCATGGAATACTTCTCGGTCCGCCTCGACACGAACCGCATAAACTCCATCCTCGACTCCTTATTCAACGACAAAGACGCAAACACCGCACGCATGTACAAACAACTCAAGCAAACCCGCCGCGTCCAAAACGAATTCCACGTCACGCTCATACACCGTGCCTCCGCACCTCAAAACCAGGAATACTGGGACAAGCTCAGCAAACTCCACGACGCCTCCCAGAAAACTAATGCCAACGGCACCTGGGAGCCTGAACTGGGTCAATGCGACGTACTGATCGAGCGAGTAGTATGGGACGACCGCATCATGTGTTTCGTTGTGCGTTTGAACGGGTCTAGTACACTTCAGATTGACAGCGCGGCTGGAACGACGACGGAGGAATTACTCTTTTCGACTGTTAATCCTACGGCGCATGTTACGGTTGGGACTGCAGATCAGAGTATCAAGCCTATGGAGAGTAATGCGTTACTTCAGCGGTGGCTTAATGGAGGGTCCGGGGGCGACACGGGGATTGGTGAGATTAGTGTTAGGGGAAACCAAGTCATCAAGGGAAGTGTGAGGGGCGTGCTGGGGCGCATGTAGAGTGATTGTCCGAGCGAGAAGCTTGATGAAAAGTGGCTTTTATGAGGTGGAAATGGATTGCCTTAGCGATCATGGCATTATGATGGGCAGGGATTTGATGGAGTAATTCAAAACATAGATACCTGATCGAATACAAATGAATGAATAGGTGCTCATCAATTTAGTATCATCAGTGAAAGGAGTGTATTAGTGCCACTATCTTATGGAGCTTCCACGAAGAACTGGGGTTGGCTCAGACAAAGATGTCGTGTTGCCCGCGCTGCCTTGCCTTCCATCAGATCTGTTGTGGTGCCTACGGGTCGCACCATCGTCCCCGGTGTCTACAGCATCTGCCATCTGCATGACTTGTTCTACTCTGCTCTCTTGTACTCGTCAGTCCATCTCCTCGGTAGAAGATACCAGCCTCGCCGGTATTAATACCTCGTCCATCCTCATGTCTCATCATACGTATTACTAGGTGGGATGTATGGCGTCCTCTCAATGTAACCTGTCAAAACTGTAGTCTCGCAGCAGGGCGCGCATGGGAGGCGGCCGCAGGGTTCAGCTCCTTTGGCTCAGACGTTGAGGTTGCGCAAGAGCACAAGGGAGAGTGGGGACTGTATTCGCAATGTTGATTTGAACTCGGATTATCCGGGTGCTGCCGAGCCGCTGACCACCAGGCCGCATCCGACATCATTCCAACGACATCAGGGATGTTATGCCCCGTGAGGTTTATTTTTGCGATGTGGGAGATGAGGTTGCAGCGGTAGTATTCGAATCGGGACCGGGACCGTCGCTATCATCGCCAAAGCCCAGATTCCTGAACGAATCAGGGGCCATTAAATTCCTGTAAGCACAAAAGCGGTCAGCGATATGCTCATTGCATGAGTTTTTTAGGCATAAAGAAGGTAAGGGTGCGCGAAATGCTGTTCTGAGACAGCCGGGGTGGTACGACGGAGGGATGTGGGGATGATTATATCGTGACAACACCATCTAGGCACTCTTGCTGGAGACAGTGGCTAGAAGCTACCAAGTTGACAGTTTAACCGCCTTTAGACCTTGACAGACCCGGGGATCCCAGACGTGTAGTTGCTGCTCTCCTTCTCCACCTCGCCAGGTGTTGTCCTTGATAGAGTGGGATAACGAGACCTTCTTCTTCTTCCTCGGTTGCGATGAAGTGGAATAGGACGGAAGGAAAAGCATCGCGACGCATATAACAGAGCAATATACGTTTTTGTGGAGCAGGGAAACTTTGGTGTACGTACCGATCCATACGGCAAGACAGGTATGATTTGGACAAATTACGGCATTCGGGGTCGTTGCTCCCACGGTGGGATTTGATGCATCGGAGGTATGACAGCATGATTTGCTTGCATTCTCCTGGAATATAGCGTCAGTAGGTTGTAGATGTTGATAGCGGCAACGTCTCAGGGTCAAGGCAGTTGATTGGGTTGGTGGGATGCGGGTGTGAATATTGAAGGTGGAGGAGCGTACCGTCGTGGTCGAGAGGGAATGAGCCGCGCTCTGGCCTAAACAGGAGCAACAGTTAGTAAGATGTAACAGAAAGAGCAAAAGAGGTAGGCATGTTGTCAGTGTCGCTCTGGTGTGAGAATGCGACGGGCGCATTGGGGAAAGAACTTACGGATTTGGCCTGATCACCTTTTGTCCAAGTCCGGCGCCTCCGAAATTACTCATATTGGGCAATTAAGCAACTGGTCTCTGTATTCGAAAATCTTTCGGGAGTCCGTGATGCTGTAGTCAGGCTTGATGGGTGTGTAGAATGATGGTGGTTTTGGTGGAGTGAACATTGGATGAACTTAGCGCGATCGGACTTGTCGGTTGGCCAGTGCTTTGCTTCCATCCTCGCAACCTCGGAATGACGCAACAACCATTGAACTTCACAAGGTCCATTATGGCCCGCCCAGAGACGCACTTCTTCGCTTACCCGTTCTGCGCGTGGTCTGCTTCATAGTACTAGAGTCGGAGGTCCTGCTATTACGACAATGACTCTTTATCATGTACAACGGGCGCAAAAGAGTCAGGCCTCGCAATCTATGTATCTCTACGGAGACGGCTTCGGTTGTTGGCACTTTCGCTGTGGCCTTTTCAGGAAGCTGAGTGGATGAATCACAATGCCCTATTGGTTGGTAGAATCACTCTTCGGGCGTAAGCGCTGGCAGGGGGTGATACCGTTATGGGTAATGCGCAGCCTTACAAGTAAAGGCTTACGTCTACGCTCTGTTTTACCTCCCGCTTATCCTGAAAGTATAGCACTAACGTTGTCTGTACAAGATGAGGCTGATCGACTGTCGCGGCGACTCGCTACAGATGCAGGAGTTCATCGACCGCCCGTCGTTCCCCTTTGCCATTCTTTCGCACACCTGGGATAGCGAAGAGGTCAACTTTCAGGCCTTCAACAACGTCGCCACGCGCACCGCAGCCAAGGGTTGGACCAAGATCGAGCAGACATGTCGCGAGGCCAAGCGGTGCGGCTTCGACTATGTGTGGATTGATTCGTGCTGCATCGACAAGACTAATAATGCCGAACTCAGCGAGTCCATCAACTCCATGTTCCAGTGGTACAGCGAGGCCGAGCTCTGTCTCGTCTACCTCGATGACTTCGATGCGAATGTTACTGCTAGCGACCGTGATGCTATGCTGCGTCAAACTCGCTGTTTCTCACGTGGGTGGACGCTGCAGGAGATTGTCGCAGCGCGAGCCGCAAACTTCTACGATGGTGCCTGGAATCAATTCGGCACTCGATCATCTCTACGCGATGAACTGACGTCGATTACGAAGATTGACGCAAATATTTTCTTCCCCTCGCAGAATCCCTACACCGTAGGTATTCGCGATCTGCTTGACGCCATCCCTGTCGGCCGCCGAATGGCGTGGGCTGTATCCCGCAAAACCACCAGGCCTGAGGACATGGCGTACTGTCTGATTGGCCTGTTCGGTGTCAGTATGCCAATGCTTTACGGTGAGGGTGGGGAGCAAGCGTTCATCCGACTCCAGGAAGAGATTATACGTGACAAAAACGACCTCAGCCTATTTGCATGGAGAGCACGCGACTCTTCAACGCACCGTGGCATTCTTGCCCACAGTCCAGATGAGTTTGCTGGACTGAGTAGCCTTGAATTTGAACAGGACATCAAGTTCAACCCAGATTTTTCGATGTCCAACAAGGGCCTGCGTATAAACACCTTTCTGAGGCCTCTTGACGCGGAGTCGCGAACCGTCGTTATGCCGTTACATTGTTATGATGAAGGAGCTAAGGGTGAGAAGATGCCGCCGCAATTCGGCGTCTATCTCCAGCACGAAGGCGCGAGCATCTATGTCCGAATCAGACCGGATGTGTTCGCAGTATTGTCTGCTCCGATCCCCATCTCAAGCGGCAACAAAATTTTCATATCTAAGCGTGTGCGAAGAGCAGATACCACTGTAGGTTCCTCGCAGTATGCGAACACTGTCACCAACAATCTGGGTGCAGTTAACTTCAACATCCCAGGCGTCAACGCCCCAATCCAGTCCGAGGACATCGCAATTAAGCTGCTCGAGGTTGAGCCCAGGGAGCTCTGGGATACCCATGGTAACGTGTTTCTTACTCGCGGCCTGCGAAGCTTCACCGTATTTCTCAAATTCCACATTCCTACCCGTAACATTGGCGTCACGGGCCAGGCCGTGGTGATATGTGGCTTTAGCGAGATGGCGTCACCATGGCTCGTGGCAGTCGATGAACAGAGCGACCTGTTTTAGGCCACAGTGATGCGTGACTTTGGACAGATAGCTAGGATTGGTGCGGCAAGAGGAAGTTTGGAAACGCGAAAGCGATTCCTGCATGGAACCGACCCTGTGAATGGCCGAAGGATAAGACTTGCAATGGTAACGCTGCGATGAGATCGACAAGTTCTCAACGAGGAGATGGCTTTGGTGTTCCATCTCCGATTCAATAGGATTTAGGCCGCCTTGACTCACTGTCCCGATAATTTGTGCTCTAGGCAAGTACCTACGTGTAGATAATGCTGGTTGTGCCCGTGCGAGTCCGGCTATCCCCCTTGACGGCGTGATATGTCAGACGAACATCACGACTTTACATAGCTTGCTTCTCCATTGCATAAATTTTCCAAGAATTCCGACCTTCGTTGATCATCATTAACGTTGCTGTCTAGTCATTCGACGTCTATTTCAGATCCGCTGCCAACTATCATCCTCAAATGCGCACTGAAAACATTGACCTCAATACGTGCGCATCTCTGGGTTCATCTAGCTTGACAGCCATCTTGAGCTCAGCTAGATCTACCATGAAATACCGCCTATGCATAAGCTTCCGTACCCGTATCAATGTCCGCCAGATCAGACACTTACTCGAGCGACTTGTCAACCTTCTTTCCCTTGGACATTCTCTCCGCCTCCTCTACAATCCACTTATTCCAGAGCGCGTTGATCTTTTCGACAGCGTGCTCAGCATCCTGCTTCTCGATCTTGGCCGTCTTACGCTGGAGGTATTCCATCTCCCAGGGTGAAGGCTTGTCTTCGTCATCGAGGCAGCGAGCAGCGTCCCAGCGTTTGCAGAGATGGGCGTGCTTGGTGACGGCTGTGAGGTGTTAGACTGGGATGGCTTGGATAGTGATATTTGAATAGCGGAAGGGTGATTAGAATCAAGGAGAGGAAAAGAAATGGGACTCACTGCGCTCGAAGTGTTCTTGGAGGTCCAGGGACCTGCGGTGGTCGTTGTATACCCATTCTCGGGTTGCAACAGCCGAGGTTGCGAAGAGGCCGATGAGGGCGGCAACGGTGAGGGTGAGCTTCATGGTTTTGGGAAATTGTCTTTGTATTTTTGAGTTGGATTACTGGGAGGTTGGGCAGAGCTGGTATGACGATGGTTTCTGAGGATGGATGAGTTATAGTGACAGTAAAGGAAGTGCCATTATATAGATGTTCTCTTCTCGAAATATCTGGCCCGCGTGTTTCCATGGTACGTAAAGAACCATCGTGTTTGGACTTACTTACACGGTCAATAGAGTTACGTCAGGTCAGGAGCAAGGATTCGTCACAATGCGACGCGTCTATACTAATTAGTCAGAGACCCTAGGTTGCACTGGCCCAAATAAATTTGCACTGGCTACTACCAAGGAACTTGCGTGTACCAGGATGGAGTCTATAACCTACCGTGGAGGTATTCGCTGTCGGTGGGCTATGTGCCTATTAGCGTGGAACTCAGCGGACACCTTTTCTAGGTCATCCATGGTGCTGAGGTTCTCATAAAAGAACATTTGATACGCTGCCGCTGAGTCGTTGCGCACAGGTCAGATTAATGCAGAAGCCATTTACAAGGTAGCAAGTGTAAAGTAGATCTTTAATGTAACACGGAACCTGTAAACCCAAAGTTGAGAACCTCGATACTAAGGTTCTTCACATTTACACACACCGACGTCACATGTCACTAGACGCAGATGAATTAGAATAGCAATTTACTGAACTTAAAGATCACGTCTATGGAAACTCAATACAATCGCCCAAGCATTCCATAACATCAATGCCCATCATGCCCAGGCCTTCCATGGTTTTCCGGACCGAAGCGAAGTCCCGTATCCCTATTACCCCAATAGAGATCATCGTCCTCCGAATCCCAGCTATGGCGACCCCCATCATAACGCCCATTGTAGCGCTGCTGATCGTAGGGATCAAGAACACGATCGCAGTTGGGACATCTGTTACTTTCTAGAAGGGTAAGCGGGTGCGTGCCGTGGTAGTCAAGACTATAAACTCCATGTTAGTATTCTCGCTTCGAAACCCGAACACCGGGATGGATGAACGGATGGAAAGGCAAAAAGAAGGACACTTACGTAGTAGCTGGGATCCAAAGCTTCTCTGTGATGATACGGCCGTCGTAATCAGATATGAAACTATACCGGGGATTGGAGTACGGTCCATCATAGCCGCCGTGGCCGCGGGGATCCCTATGGGGATGGGTGACAGTGCGGAGCGTCGTAGGGTCCACGGAGGGAGCCCTGGTGACGAGAAGCGCGGCGGTGGTGGTAATTGCGCTTCCCCTTGACGTCGAGGAAGCCGCAGGAGACGAGGGAAGCATGATTGTAGCACCGGTTGCTCCGGTCTCGGCAGTGATGATAGGGGATGTGCTGGCAAGAGCAACGGACGCCGTAGCCAGAATGCTGACGAAGGCTTTGTACATCTTGGTATTTGTTGGGGATGAAAATGATTTGTTGTCTTGGAATGCTGGATGTTAGTGCACGTTGTCGGTGTATATCTCACATGCAGCTCATATAAGAATACTTACGGTGGAGATTGTGATGGTGAAGACGAGAAATGAAGAAGGCAAAGTGAGGGGTGCTTAGACACTAATTATGAGATTGTAGAAAAGTCGATGAGAGAGCGAACCGTGGATGCGCATTGCTGAGAATTATCTTTGAAGAGGAGACGTCGCATGGTTCGCGATCGATCAACCATGTTTTTCAGTAAACCATCCGAATACAGCCTATCATTGAAATTCGAGAACGTAAACGCAGCAAAAATGTTGGTTATATCGCACGGGACTAAAGAATCGAGAGAGTTATGGATTCCAGCGAGAGCCATATTTCAGCGCACGGGTATCGAATCAAACATCACCATCGCATCATCCGCACACTCACCAATGCCGGGCAATGACCAGCCACCCTCTCTCCTTGACTGCATTGAAAAGCACAGCCACCCTCTTCCGCTTAATTCCCTCTCTAGCCGACACATCTTCAATCGCATGCTTACCGTCCAAATGCCTTAGCAACATTGGCCAGCTCTCGCGCAACTCTTTACCGGTTATGCCACCAAACCCGCCGTCCACATGCTTCGGTGGGCTGGGATTCGTGGAGATGATTGCAGTTTCTTCGAAAGTCTGGGCGATCTTATCAAGCCAACGCGCTTCGATAGACGATGCTTTTTGTGGCGATAAAATGGTGGTATGCGTAAAGGAAGAAGGGTCCGGTGGGGCGAGCTTTTCCACCGGAGATGTGAGTGAGACGATTGAGTTGCGTGATGGAGACGGCGAGGTAGGTTTTAAATGTAGCGGCGACGGGCGATGGGGCTTTACGTCTCGAAGCCCGAGGTGAGATGGCGATTCTGCTCTTTGCATAGGGTTAAGCGCGATCGTTGTGCGTTGACTGCTGGTACTACCCGCATCTGACCCAGAGCGAGCAGAAGCGCTGCGCGACATGGCGGTCGATCCGAGTCGCGGGCTTAGTATTGTACTGTTCTCCATCTCCTCATCTGCATCTTTACGCGTACGACGCAAAGGTGATGAGGTCCTCAGAGAGTTCAAGGAAAGCAGGCTGCTTCGTTTGTCGGAGAGCAGGCTATTGGCTACCGAGTCGTTGTCACTCATCAACTCTCTGCGCGCCTCTTCAGCTTTCTTGACCCGCTCTTCGCGCTCAATCTCTGCTGCCACTTGCGCTTTGATCTCAGGTGTTATCCGTACCCAAGCGAATGTGCGCAACTGTGTAACCCAGCCTCCGCGCATGAGCCAAGCGAGTATCTCCATGTAGGCGTCGCGATGCTCAGCGGTAGGTATGAAGGTTCTGTATGGCCGAGGTGTACCGGAAAGCATGCTGAGGACTTTGGGTAGTGTAGGCAAGGTAGGAAAGCGCTGTGCGTACACTGATATTGCAGCTGGAAGAACGGTCATGTCGGCATTCGGGCTGACCATGTACGTGTCGCGTGGTGACAAGGGGGCGATGAGACGAGCGCGCCGCCAATAGACAAGATGACTTGCTATGTACTCCATATCATGCGCTGATATGTTGTGCTTCTTCGAGATCTTCAGTAGCGATTTGGTGGGTACGATGTTTCGAATGTAGAATGCGATGGCTGCGGCATTGCCACCAGTGTCGCCGCCCAGGTCCTTGATCAGCACTTCGGCGTCCTCCAGGAGCAACAGGGCGGCATGCTGTGTCATGGGCGCATCGTCGTCTTCTAGCATAACGTTCGAGGTCGTAAGCCACAGCCCGGGCATCTGGGGTTCAATTGCAGTGGGGAGGTATGGAGTTGAGTCGGCTTGTGGGATCTGGAAAGACGTATTGAACGTCGCGTCGAAGTGGATGTGAGCTATCTTGTCGTGCGATATAGCATCGAACATGATAGCGATAGACTTGGCAAGCGGGGATGTGCTGACAATCTTGCGCCATGTTGCCGTCAAAGACTCGTTCGTCTCCTTCGCCCGTTGTTTGATATCGATGATGCGCTTGGACTCTTTCCATACGTACTGGAACCGCGCCTCCTCATACTTGAGTGCTTTGGCGTACTTGCGCGTAACGTTGTCGTACATCTCCTTGACGCGCTGTTGGTATTCCAGCGCTGGCGGATTCAGCACGAAGACGACGTTGAACATGGTCATGTCAGGATTGTTGTTGTCGTGACTTGTCGAGTTGCTTGGCGCGTCTGATCCAGCCTCTGACGGTGCGTTTGACGGTCCACTGGATATAGATCCATGTCCATAGCCTGGCTCGAATCCTGCAGGCATCCTAAAAGACTTTTGGGCGGGTTTCGCGGGTGGTTCGGGTGAATGCGCGTCGTCATCGTCGCTCGCGCTGGTGAGATGCTTGACCAGATCGCCGTCTTCGAGCTTCTGCTGATCTGACCGCTTCTTCTTTTTCCGCTTTGCCTTCTTCCATAGCCCGTCTTCCCTTACGAACATTGGCGCGCCCAAGAATACGATGCTCTCAACACCCAGCTCGAAGCGCCTCTTGTTGTACTCTTTGCTTGGGCTCAGCATCTTCTCCAGCGCGTCTGTCTTGAAGCCTAGCACGGTGTCCCAGTCATGGTCGCCACCTTTGCCTCGACGCCCGTTACTCTCTTCATCGTCGTCGTCATTCGCATCCTCCTCATCGATGGTCTCCTGTCTGCCCCATAGCCCAGATCCTAGCTTGTCCTTGTCGCTCACACGACCGGTCAAGGTTCTTCCCGATCGGCGGCCGCCACTGGTGCGACTGCCTATCTCGACGTCATTGTCATCCTCCGAGTCTGTGGTGCTATCCCAATCGCTATCAGAGCTTCGCGAATCGACGCTGGCCGTGGATGTGTCGTGCCGAAACCAAGCTGGGTCCTTCGCCGCAGCGAGAGCGGCTGCTGACGGCGATAAAGGAGGATAGTGGAAGACGAGACGGGGACCGAGTGAGCGCGACTTAGTAACGAGGAGGATGGCGTGGAGGTTTGAAGCAGGTGGCAGTGGCACAGCCATTGGGTGAATGGAGGATGGGCAGACGCACATGCGGGGAGCGACCTCGGGAAGCTGCGGAGTGCCGGGAGATCTAGCCTAAAGCGGGTTTGACCTTCACTCTATCTTCCATTGCGACTGTTTCACCATCCTTCCGGCAACTACCACTGTACGAAGTAAGATACGAGCTCCATCAGAGTATCTCGAAGCCACAGTTCTTCTGGTGGCGTGCAACTGAGAGGAGTAACAACAAGAAACATGATCCTCACAGAATCACTGCAAGCGTTGATGCCAGAGAGAGAATTATAGTCATGGGATTTGATTGCTATTGGGGAAATGATAGCTAATTCCTTAGAACATAGCGATGAGGATTCCTTGCAGGTATCGGTAGATTGAAAACCCGCCCAAGGCTCTATTCGTGCTCAACGCGGTCGATTCACTCACAGCGCAGGGAACAAACACTCTACTCAGCGACTTCCAAATTACTCCAGGCTAATCTCGCCCACTTACGATAGGTCACCAAAGCACCCGCCACATGTCAACCATGCCAGTCCCGCGTCTAGAACTCACCCCACGTTCAAGTCCAGGCAGTGTGCCCACCACAGATATCCAACAATACTACCTAGGATATGACTTGACCAAGTTAGCAGGCTTCATCAGCGACGCTCCTCCGAATCTGCTATACAACATCATGTCTACTGCAACGGAAGTCGAACTAAGAGCACTCCTCGCCACCGTCAACCCACTGGAACAACGACTCCAGCCCAGCATACTCATGATCTCTACTTGCATGCGCATCACCCGCTGGCTTGAAAACTGTAGTGAAAGCGGGGCGATAAGCAAGGACGTTGTTCCTTGCGCTCTCTTCCTGCTTCTGAAGGTACGAGTCTTGAACCGCAGTATGCAGACTTATGATGAGACTATCAGGCTAGGTGTCGCGATCAAAATCGCGTATGGCAATATCTGCGACGGCGCAATATGGCGTAGGACAATGGAATACCTTTTGGATAAGCCATTTTATCTTATTCAAGAGACTGAGCTTGCGTTTCTATATGACCTAGACTGGAGGTCTTGGGTGCGCGAGACTGACTTCAAGGAGTTTGTTTGGAGGTTTGAAATTGTGTGGGAAATGTTGCTAGAAAGAAATTGAGCTGTTGTAAGTGTTGGTCGCGACTGAACAAGACAGAAAATGCGCTAGTGGAGAAAGATGGCCTTGCTTGTATGCTTCGATTGATGATTCCGACTACACTGATGCATCACAATGCCTTGGAATGTTGTGGCAGCTCCGTCACCGCTAGCACCAATGTGATACGGATGTTCGTCCACGAATCAGTTCACCATTGTGCTATCCAGAGCTCTGAGTGTATCAAGGCGTCATTTTAATCGCTTCCCTGGAACCCATATGCGTCAGAGGCTGTAAACGCACTATAGTATGATCACTATTTCGCACGCTAGTGTATACAAATTAGCTAAGCGATTAGCGAACAGGATACTAAAGCTGACACAGGTGAATACTAGAGCTAGTGACGTCTTGACCAATCAATAAGCTAGATCTGACAGAACCAGCCGAGTTTACCTGGTCCTTCCCCTGGTAAAGTGTCAAGTACCAAAAAAAAAGACTAGATAATTACGGCGGTATGCTACAGTATCTTGCCCATCCATTTCGTGTCTTACAGGCCAAGTCATCTCAATTAGCATTGTTACCAGGGCATGAGCTATACATAAGGTTTTCTCACAGTGTTCGTGCTGCGTACTCTGCGCATCACGATCGTCATCACTCAGACTTACCACAGTCTCGAAATGATCCCCAAAGTCAAGCACAGTAAAGTTACTTCGAAATTTTATTCCACTGCAGATTGGTCCTCACCGGCATCTTTGTGTTTGTACAAGCAATACATACTTCCGTTCAGGCAATTTCCTGAAGTATCAGAAAATTGGAATCCTCTTTCACTGACAATCTCCTAGGCCTTGGCTCTCCAAGCACGCAACGATTCTCGTCAAATTCATCTGAAAACCAATACTGTGAGTAAGATTCCCGGTAAACCTCTGCGAATACACCTCTAACCAAATTAAGATCGATATTGCGAATACCTCCTACGCGAACCATGTGCGAAGTGTGAAGTTACCTTCAGGAAGGACTTACCGCTACGTGTTCTCTCCACCGTCAGAGTCTGACAAACCCTATCTGCTTTTCGTACATGGCTTTCCGGACTCGTCTTATGGCTGGGCGAATCAAATTGAGTACTTCATCCAGCATGGCTATGGAGTAATCGCATCAGATATGCTAGGCTATGGCGGTACAGACAAGCCAGATGACTTGGAGAGTTATCGACTGGATAATGTGGGTCCCGAACTAGTGAACCTGTTAGATCGTGAGGGAGTAAGCCAGGTTGTGGCTATAGGAAATGACTTGTAAGTTGACCAAGTCGAGAAGGCTTCTCACTGTTTCTGTTTAGGAAACCAAGATCTGGCTTTGAAATTCAGCGGAGTTGCAGCGCTCAGTACACTCCAAGCTTACAACCCTGACCGCTTGCATGCGCTTGCGTTTTTGACCCTAGGTTACACTGCTCCTGATGGTGACCTTCCTCTGGCAGCCGTTGAGACTTTGAATAACCAGATAAATGCTGTGGTGTAGTAGGATAACACGTGATCGGAGGGACAGTATATATACCGAAAACCTTTCAAGAGAGAAAGGTAGCTTCTTTCTTCAATTTCACTCTAGCGATTGCTCTCGAACTACTTCTTTCTGCTCCTCTATCCGATTGCGGGTCGAACACCTGCCTCCTGACTTTGCTCGATACCTTATCGTGCTACAATGCGCTAATCGAATACCCTGTCTTCGGGTATTTCATCTATTTCTCGCTGAGGAAGCATCTGCGGCCTATGACAATAATGTAAGTAGTCTTCATGTTCTCTTTTCGGATCGAAGGTTAACGTCAACAAAGCTCGATTCTGCCTACATCCTTTGGTTCACTAACAATACGACCTACCAGAAAGAACACCTTGCACCCCTGGATAGACTCGAGGAATGGCTGTCTGAATACAGACAAGCACCATGTGGCGGCACCTACATTACCGGTGTAGTAAAAGAACAATGGAGAATGATCATAATGGCTTAAAGAGGTCTTGCCGGAGGCCTGAGATGGTACAAATCAATAATACCTGGAGTCAATCAACCCGGCACAGCGAATAAAACCTTCTCACAATATCTGACCTGGACTGGTGTATACTAAAGTCCTTCCAGCCTTGCAGTCAGTGTCGCCAATCATCACCAAACCCCCTCTAATAGTCGTCGCGAACCTTGATCCAATATTTCCCCCAAGTATAACTTTGAACAACACGCTCCCGTACGCGCCTCTTGCGCGTGTAAGAACGCTAGATTCAGAACATTTTGTCCAACTAGAGGCAGCTGATCAGTTGAACTACGAGTTGCACAACTTCGTCAAAGTTCTGACCTAGTTTGGATAGTCGAGAGTAATCGGGGTTGGCGAAAGCGGGTATGATGACGAATTCTGTAAGTTGGATTTTCGACTATCGTTCAATCGATTCTTCTTACTACATTAATACCACACAACGTCGACGTATGTCGCCGCAACCCGTCACTGTCGCGACGCACGCTCATGACTTCACGGCCTTTCACAGCCTCATCATCAAATCCTCTTATACGTTATTTCCTTCAAGCTTTTATTTTCTCTACTCTGTGCGAACAACCGACAACCGGCTTTTGCCCCTATAACAGCAGCGCCCTAGTTAAAATGACCACGACAGCATTCTCCCCCACTAACCGACCTCCTTTCAGCTCTTGCCAGCCCTACACCGCGCCTTTGCTTGCTCGCCTTAGCATGTTCATCTTACATGCCCCATTCGCCACTGTGAAGTCTGCGTTCAGTCCGACTTCAACAAGTGACGGTGAACTGCCACATACCGACCCCAACAGTGACGTTTTGCGATCCAATGAGTTGACGAACGCCATGTGCTAACGCGTGCTCTGTTTGCTGAACGAACTGACACTGAACTTTCCTCACGCTGATCACCCCAGTCCGGATACTATCCCTCTCGCACTGTGCCTCCTGTTCCGCTACTGTGTAGCCCTTGCTTCTACATCTCAGCGTAAACATGTGCCTAAGTATGGGTATTTTGTTATAAATCAGCCCATCTCAGCTCGCGTCTCTCCTCTCTTAGGGTCACAGCTAACAGACGCAACGCGTATCGCTCTCTCTTTGCGCATCGCGTACAAGTTCTTACCAACGAATTATACTGGGTAAATTTACAGCACTGAATGCAACCACTCGAGCCCAGCAGTTGGAGCGCATTAGAAGGCGAAAGATGTTTTTTTGGTACGATTGACTATGGCGTTTGGATATGGCAGGACGAACATACACGATTGAAGGTTAGGTCCAATGGTTTGTGGGAAGAGGTATTCAGCAAGGCTGCTAGGCCAGCACCTTCCGCATTTGTGTTGAAGAGACTAGGCAGGATAAGTTGAGTTTCCCACGTCGTGCAGTACTGATGGTGTTGAGATCGAAGCTCCGGCTTCACGTGTCTCCCACGTAGTTCAACGCGTCTATCGTCGATAGGAGCACGTCGTACATGTTGGGTTACTCATGCGGCCTGAAATAATAACCGATGGGCGGCGCAAAGCCATAAGAAGAAAATGGGCGCATCACGCACAAAGACGCCTATGTCGACCTTCCGCTCAGCCACACCATATCGAATCGTGTATAACAAGTCTAGATGCTACGCCGAAGCGGACACTGCGCAATCATAGATTACACAATAAGAACGTAACCAGCAATTTACCTACATGCGTGAAGATCTCATCCAGCACTTACCAACATACTACGATGACCCATGATCATCGTCACCCATTATCTACCCCTTGCTTGTCGAAACCGTACCCGGCATCGATGTGCGCATCATATGTTCCAACGCAAAAAGCAATCTTTACGTCAATCCGACATGGGACACAATTCATGAGGAATCTCCGATTGCATAGCGTGGCCAGCCTCTTACGCATGTGGCATGCGCGCACTGATCAGATTGATGTGTGCTCAGCGTGCATGTTACTTCAGCATCCGTCATTGATGTTTCCCCGCACTAACACTATCACCCTTTGCTTTTCCAACACCTGCATAAGCGCACATGCAATGTACGATCGATCTGCCGCATTGCCGAATTGTCGGTGTTCCTGGATCACACTAGCGCAAGGGCGTAACGTTGATGATTATATCATGACATCAAGACCATCACCAAGTTCAGGGGTTCCAATCGTGATCTTTGAAGATCCCCATACCGCTCATTGTTCTGCATCATCCATTACCTAGTGTAGCATGGAATGGCATGACCTAGATCGATCCATGAGATCTATGGATCGTTGTTCCTGACCCTGATCGCGGCCCGTCTACCAAGGGTTAGGATCAGCCGCGTACGCGAGGTGGACGCGTGAAACGGACAATGACGCGCTTACACTTTGTGGTGATGTACTGACGTCGTGGTAAATATGTCAAGGTCTCTCGTTGATGTATAAGTACCTGCCTTGAAAGCACTCTTTGTATCACACAAGCATCAATCCACTCTCATCAACATCTGACATTCAACCAACTACTTCCAACTTCAAACACATATCATCAACATGGCGGACTCCCAGTACAAGCCCACTGGTAAGGGAGACTACCACCTCTTTACTTCGCATGAAACTGACTGGCAAACAGAGCACGGCGGCCTCAAGCAGGACGGTACCCCAGACAAGCGCGTCGGCACTGGCGGTAAGTCGACACGATTCTTCGAAGTACACAACCATGATCGCTAACATGCAATCTAGAGTTTGCCCAGGGCAAGGTCGACCCCCATGAGGCCGGAAAGCAGGGTGGACACACCTCTGGATCTGGATCTGATGGCTCAGCCGACAGCTCTTCAGGAAACTCTGGTGGCAGTGCCAAGGGAGAGTTCGCTCACGGCAAGGTCGACCCCGTCGAGGCTGGAAAGAAGGGTGGTCAAACCTCTTAAATATTTACGCGTATACCCGAGACAATCATCAGCATCTCTATCGCAATACATAGTTGTGCTTTGAATACAATGAATTATCGCACACGCTGCAAGCCGCATTTGACTTATAGTGAGTTGTCGCTTGAGCTTGTGCTGTGCATGTGACCGCACAAGCTTCGTTCAGACGACATCGCCGTCAGATCAATATCTATACTTTGAATCAAGACCGTCTTTACGTCAGCTAATCTGCGGTATAGGCGTGCGTACAAGTCCTAAGTTCCTGAGGGTAAAGAGGCGTGTGTTGATAGGCGTACGTGTACCGAACGACCAAGCTTCCCTCCGAACGCACTGCGTAATTTGCCGCTGAATACTAAACCAGGCCTACGATCACCTCAATTACCAAACAGAGCATGCAATTACCTTCTGTGTGGCATCCGATACGCGGACGCTGTTGTAAGTGTAGCTGCACATGACAGCTCTTGTACTGCTTCGCTATACGCGTATGACTAGCGCTTCCTTAGCGACCAATGCCATCGCGACGCTAGTGTCCGGCATATCTCCGGGCCAATCACTAGATCAGGGCATCGTATACGATATACGACGTATGAACGGTATGGTCTCGCATGCATCTTCGTCTACTTGCGATGATACAGGCCGTGCTGCTCTGGTATTTAAAGGTGTCGAAAGCATTCGCAAAGCTTCACAGCACTACTTTAGTCCTCACGTCTCCAACGACTCGGCAATATGCACTTCGTCGAGGCCTTGGTATTCGTTTCGAGTTTGATACCCCTGCGTTCTGTATGGGCTGTGGATGCACATATTCGAACCCCTCTTTGTAAGCTGCTCAAGGAGCCAAACATGTTCTGATAGTAGCCCCAGCTGACCGATTTGCATAGCTTGGACTGAAGCATTGCAACAATCTAGAGACTTTGTCTCCCAACTCAATACCTCTGAGAAAATCGGCCTCGTCACTGGTAGTTATGGCTCTTCTCCGACTCTTCCATGTGTAGGTACGCTCGCGGCGATTGAACGACTTAACTACACCGGTCTGTGCCTATCCGACGGCCCAGCTGGTTTGGCACGTTCAGACGGCGTTAGTGTGTTTGCTTCCGGTATCACGGTTGCAGCCACATGGGACAGGCGACTTATGTACGAACGCGGACTGGCCATTGGACAAGAGTTTAGAGCAAAGGGTGCACATGTCCATCTTGGGTACGTACATCTTCACGACTCAGATACATCGAGTTCATTGCTAACACGATACAGTCCATCTGCTGGACCCATGGGTCGTCATGCTCGAGGCGGACGCAATTGGGAGGGCTTTGGACCAGACCCATATCTTGCCGGTGTTGCGATGAACGAGTCTATATTCGGCATACAAGGAGCCGGTGTCCAGACGTCGTCGAAGCACTATATCGGAAACGAACAAGAAACCCAACGCACACTTTCTACCCGAGAAGACGGAACTGTAATAGAAGCCATATCTGCCAACATCGACGACCGGACGCTTCATGAGCTCTACATCTGGCCGTTCGCCAATGCTGTTCACGCAGGCACAACGTCTGTCATGTGTGGCTACAATCGTGTCAACGGCAATTACTCTTGCGCCAACGCGGAGATACTGAATACCATTCTCAAAGAGGAACTCGCCTTCCCAGGATACATTGTCTCGGACTGGGAAGCTACGCATTCGACAGTCGGAACAGTAAATGCAGGACTAGATATGGAGATGCCTGGAACCACGAGTCCTAGTGGTATCTACTATTTCGGCGACTCGCTCGCTGCTGCCATCGAAGCAGGCAATGTCTCATCCGCCCGTCTTGACGACATGGCTACAAGAGTCATGACGCCTTACTTCCGGCTGGGCCAAGACGAGGATTTCCCCGTCCCGGATCCTGCTAGCGGCCCTGTGTTTCTCAGCTACATCTATGGTCATCAATCACCCTTGGCAGCATCATACCCTGACGTGCCTGCTCTGGACGTTCGTGCCGATCACGCCCAAGGCATTCGGGAGCTGGGAGCGGCCGGCACAGTGCTACTCAAGAATCTAAAAGGCACTTTACCCTTATCAAACGAAACGAGTTTTGGCCTCTTTGGTAATGATCTCCCCGATCCAACAATCGGTTCCGTCTTCCTGGGCGACGGCGATGCTGCAGTGGGCTACCAGATGGGAACTCTTGACATTGGCGGCGGATCTGGAACGGTACGACACACTAGCCTCGTCACCCCGCTTGACGCCATTCGAAGCAAGATTCATTCTCTGGGTGGACGCGCTCAGTGGCTCTTCGATAACGACGAGATTGCGGACGGAAGGTTCCGTTCAATCTACCCGGTACCGCAAGTCTGCTTGGTGTTCCTCAAGGCTTACGCAACGGAAGGTTCTGATCGGCCTGATCTCGACTTGCAGTGGAATGCTACTCTCGCAGTAGAGAGTACAGCAAGGCTGTGTTCCAACACCGTCGTCATAACACATGGCCCTGGTGTTGTTTTGATGCCTTGGGCGGACAACGAGAACGTGACGGCTATCCTGGCAGCGCATTATCCAGGAGAAGAGACGGGAAACTCCATTACTGATGTCCTCTGGGGCGACGTGGAACCGTCCGGTCGTCTCCCGTATTCCATACCGAGAGCTGCGGAGGACTACGGCCCACCTATTGTGGAATTGCCCGGCAATGTCACAGACCCAGATGCATGGCAGGCCGATTATGTCGAGGGTCAGATGATTGATTATCGTCACTTCGACGCGAATGAAGGGTTGGACCCACTTTACGAGTTCGGGTTTGGACTTTCGTATACTAGCTTTGCAATGGCCGAGGAACTGGATGTCGCGCTTGGTGACATGCCTTTGACGCCAACTCCGGATCAGTCCAAAGGCCTCGCACCGGGTGGATTAACAGATCTGTGGACCGTTGTCGCTGTAGCTACGGTGAACATTACGAACAATGGAGCTAGGGCTGGCTCCGCTGTACCGCAGTTATACGTATCGCTTCCCCAGGACACTACCCCTCCCGGCACGCCTGTGAAAGTCTTGAGAGGGTTCGACAAGGTACATCTTCTACCAGGTGAGACGCAGGCAGTGACGTTCAATCTAATGAGAAGAGACATTAGTTTCTGGGATGTCGACAGGAAAACATGGGTCATTCCAGCAGGACCAGTTCGGTTCGCAGCGGGGTTCAGTGCGAAAGACTTGCATGCAGTAGCTGAAGTTGTGGTTTTGGTTTAGATTCTACTATGACAGCATTGATCTATAAGGAAATCTATTCGTAAACATGGAACTGAAGCACTTTCAAGCCTAGTTCTTCGCCCAAACCAAGCCTCCAGCGTGCGCACCAGTACCCTCTTCAACGTATCTGCATGTAGTGAAGCTCTGCCACAGATCGACAAAGAAGTTGCTCTTTTGTTGGATGTAGCGTTCACCGAGAAGAGGAGCAATAGCCCACGTGGCTTCCTCGGCGTGGTAGAAAGGGATACGTGGGAACATGTGGTGGACGACGTGGTACTCAATGATACCGTGGAAGATGTGGCGACCAATGAAGCCAAAGTCGCGGTCGACTGTGGAAGCAGCGCCCTTGATAAAAGTCCAGTTCTCGGCTTCGTAGTGAGGCGCCTTCTCATGTGTGTGGTGAAGGTAAGTAATGGCGACGATCCAGTGGTTCATCCAGAGGTAAGGCAGACCGTAGGCCAAGAGAGCAGTCGATGTGCCGACGCTCCTCGAGGCGAGATAAATTGCGCTCATGGTCAGGATGAGTCCAACGTTGCTCAGCGCGACGAATGGTGCCTCAGACGGAGTGAAAACGGGGGAAGTCGGGTCCAAATGACTTTGCTTGTACCTGGACTCGGAAGCACGGTCGCTCTTGGTCAGGCTCTTCGGTCCGGCACCGGCGTTCATCAAGATGTAAGCGGGCCAGCCAAGCACTTGGTGGAAGATAAGAGCACCGACTTGAACGAGTGGTGTGTCGGCAGCGGCGTGGTCCATGATTTTCTGCATAATGGTAGGCTCTGCGGTCCTGGCGGCGACTTCGGACTTTCGGTGGGGGACGAAAACAGTGTCCTTCTCCATGTGGTTGTGATAGCGGTGATGACGTGCGTGGCTGAACTTCCAGCTAAAGAATGGCACCATCAAGATGCTGTGGAGGAACCAGCCAGTTACGGCGTTGACGGTAAGGTTGTCGGAAAAGGAATCATGACCACAGTCGTGGGCGAGAATCCAGAGGCCGGTAAAGAAGCACCCCTGTACGAAACTGTACAGGGCCCAAAGGGGAACGGTGATAAGGGGCGAAGCGTCCAATTGCGAGAGCCGGACGGCAGAGTAGAAGAGTCCGCTCACGATGATGAGATCGCGAACAACGTAAGAGAAGGAGCGGATCATAGAGCGCTCGAAGCACTTTGCTGGAATAGCATCTTTCAGGGTCTTGACGTCTGGAATTGGAGTCGGCTTGACATCGTCGGCCACAGCAGTGAACCTAGTCTTGACAGGCGCTGCCTGTGTGCGGGACGTTGTTGTAATCATGGTCCAAAGAGGTGAGAAGGGAGGGAGAAGCGTGCAGACGTGCCGTGTCGCTGCTCAACCTTTTGTACCAAGACGCGCCCGGGTGGAAGGCGAAAAATCTGCTCCTTGATGTACACCAGCCTAAGCTCAAAGCACTCGACCTAGGTTTCAACGTCGCAAAGGAAACCGTGTGTACAAGACACCGCCTCGCGTCTAGGAAAACAGTGGGTCTCTAACCGAGATTTCAACGTCGGCGCACAGTCGGCACTAGCAGTCTAGGACGAACACGTTGCGGTGAGCCAAGGGGAAGAGGCAAGATTGCCGGAAGAGACCACCAGCACAAGGATAGGCATCTCATTTCCATGGTTGCGAGCCATTGAGCTTATCGCACGCTGCGGGAGGTGTTGCAAGACTTGGTTGCTATCGCCTCGTACTCTGATTGTTCCAAAGTTCAGTCAGGGTCCAAGAGATGAGCCGCAACTTAACCGCATCGGGAACAGATAACACGAAGCCCCGTGGGCCCTGACGATCTTGTATGGGGCTCATCAATTCCAAGCCGGCCCAGGCATTGGAGGAAGACCCTACCTAGATCTGACCGCCCCATCGCCAGGCCGTTCCAAGTCGCGCTGTAAGGGGAAGGAGATGCAGTTATTGGCAGAAGCTGCGACACCGGTACAGCACGCAGCACGACGTGGTCGACAACTTCAGTGGGGGTGTCTTCGACATCAGGCGCCATGCATCCCTTGTGTGGAGATAGTTCGCTGCGCTGTTGCATGCCAACGAGCACAACGAGTCCTGCTCGGTGATATTCGAGAAGGTCGGGTATTTCAGGGTCTGGTGTGTGTGGGCGGGGCTGGGCCCATGGGCGGAGCAATCCCGCAGGACGTGCGCGCGCAAGCCTAACCTTGGTTACAACGCAACATGGCGGTCAAGTTTCTCCGTCGCCGTCCATAACTCTACCGGAATCGAAGACATCACCTAGAGTTTAGATCACTGTGATTGGAGAGCAGAATATGTGGTAAACAGATTACATAGTACATACCTACATCTACTCAAAGACGTCAGTAGCAAACCGCTCGTTGCGCAGACCCTCAAACCACTCCCTAGCCTTGGCATCATCCGCCTCCCGCCCCTCCTTTTCCTTCAATCTCTCCTTGGCAATCTTGATAAGCGTCTCCTGCACACCATTCCCAACTTCGCGCGATCCGCAGACAAAGAGCTTAGCACCGGCTTCAAACTGCTCGATGACATCGGCGCGGTCGTGGTACACACGGTCTTGCACATACTTACAGCCATGCGACTCGTCCGTCTTACGCGAGAAAGCGAACCGGATGGAGACTGCGCCCATGTCTTCCCAACGCTTGAGAAGATCGCTGTACATGAGGTCGCTGGAAGGTGATCGGCAGCCATAGAAGAGAATGGCAGGTGCGAGTTTGCGGCCCGCTGCGATTTGAGCTGCCCGCTCTTGAATGAAACCCCGGAACGGTGCGAGACCGGTACCTGCTGCCATCATGATGACGGGCACGTTCTTGGAGTCTTTCGGCAAGTGGAAGGCTTGGTGCGAAGCCCGCACATTAACATGTAACCGGTCGCCTGGCGCAAGGTTCGCAAGGTAATTCGTAGCAACGCCTACGTACCGGCCTTGGCCACTCAGGGCGGGTGCGCTGACGACGGAGTAGGTGAGGGTGACATTGTTGGGGTTCCATAGAGGCGACGACGAGATGGAGTATTGGCGTACGCGCATCGGTGGCTGCATCTTCAGGAAGACGCCGAGTGGCAGTTTCGTGGATGGGAAGCGCTCGAGGAGATCAAGGACGGATACACGTTTGGCGGTGATCTCAGCGCTGAAGGCTTCATCAGCGAGATGCGCTAGCTGCTTCTTCTCGGCTTCGTCACGTGTAGACTCGACAAGTGCAACAACATTGCGCTTGCTAGCGGGTTGGGCCAGTTCGACATACGCGCCGAGAATATCGACGGCGCTGAGGGGAGTATCCGTAGGAAGCGTCGTGGGGCCGGCCGAAGAGATGGTCAGCATCGAATCCCAACTCAAACCGAAATGTCGCATGGCACGTTGAATGTTCTTCTTGGGATTCAAAGGTAGGATGGCCAGGTAATCTCCCGCAGAGTATGTCATGCCTGATGGAAGGCTGATCTCGATGTGTCTCTTCTCGGAAGCATCTTCATTGGAAAGAACCTCAACCTCCTCGACACGAGCCTCACGAACATCCTGGCGTAATGTCGATGACCTGGGCGCTGTGACTTCGACATCAAGAGTAGTCTCCAACGAACCTTCGCCATCGACCTCAGTAGACCCATACTTTTCGCGCATGGCTGGCCAGAACACCTGGTCCTCCCAGGTCTCAAAGTCAGTGAAGATATCCCCTGAAGAGGCATCAGTGGTACCCATTTGCACCATCTTGGTCGCGCCTCGTTCCTCCAGAGTCGCGTCGAGATATTTTGGAATCTTGTGGAATGTCTTTGCCCAATCGCGATGACCGCACCCGAAGACTGCATACGATACGTTCTCCAGCTCCTTGCCCTTCAATGTGCCGATCCAGTTGACAAAGTGTGCGGCATTGTCTGTAGGTGCTCCTTCGTACGAGGCTGTGACGATAACGATGGGCTTGTCGGTGGGTAAATTCTCGCGCACAGCATCTAGGGTGTCTACGACTTCCGCATTGAAGCCATGATTCGCGGCGTCACTGGCAAGGCGGTTGGCGAGCGCTTCACATGTGCCGGTGTTGGAGCCATAGTAGATAGCCATGGGCTTGCCTTTGGCGGCATTCTCTTTCCTCACACCGGGCGCACCGTTTGCTGGCGGAGGCTCGTTGAGAGTAACCGATGCCAATTTACGTTCGAGCGATGTCGCGGAGATGCCACTTCGGAGATGCGCGCGCATGTAAAAGTCCTTGGGCTTGATGGTGAGCGTTTGCTTGATCTGGAGCTGGTACGATGCGTCTTCCATGGTGAAATTAAAGTTCTGGAGGAGGATGGCAAGCACCAAGAGGGCTTCTTGCCAGGCAAATGGTCTTCCGATACAAGCTCGCATGCCGTTACCGAACGGCTTCCAGCAGTTGGGGAACTCGGTATTGCGCTTCTCGAACTCTGCATCAAGCATTCGTTCGGGACGGAACTCCTCGGCATCCTCACCATATGCGACTGGGTCGCGATGAACCTGCATTGAAGTGTTAGTTGTTACGCTTGCTATGCATGTGAAAACAGTGCGCAATGTTGGCTTACCATTGGGAATAGTGCGACGAGAGGCACGCCTGCCTTGACTGCATACTTTCCTCCAATCGTAGTGTCTTCTTTAGCCGTCATGCCCACTGAAGGCGCAGTCGGCTGGAGACGAAGAGCCTCCCGAAGTACAGCATTCAGGTAAGGAAGCTTTGTGAGGTGATCAACAGTAATCGGTCCCTTGCCAATCACATCATCCACTTCTTGCTGCGCCTTCTCGTATGCTTGAGGGTTCTTCAGTAGGTAGTAGAAAGTGAAAGATAGTAAACCCGAAGTTGTCTCGTGTCCAGCAATCAAGAACGTGATCATGTTGTCAATAACATTCTCATCCTGTTGACGTTAATGGAGAATTCTTCAGCCAAGGGTTCAAAATAGCTTACTGTCATCTTCTTACCAGTCTTTGAGTCGACACCGTTGAGCATGCCGTTGAGTAGGTCCTTCTTGTCGGTTGGATTCTCTCTCCTCGTCTTGATGACATCCATGCTAGTCTTGCGTAGTAGTTCAATGTCTCTCCAGTACTTCTGCGACTCCGCACCGTAGAACATCTGCGAGATGGGGTCTCTCCTAGCGCGGTCTCCGCTAGTCTTGAGGAAATCGGCCATGGCATCAACAAACGGATGCATCTTTTGGTAGTAGTACGAGTTGAAACGGTAGTCCATGGCGCAGAGGGCGATGGTATCGAGAGTTAAACGTGTAAAGTCGTCTGTGACGTGAATGGTATGCTCAGAGCCGTGTCGTGCCCACTTCATCACAAGTTGAGACGCAATGTCGTGCATTTCGTTGAACATGTTACGAATGGCTAGGGGTCCTAGTTGAGGAAGCAAAACACGATGTGCGATACCCCAGTTCTCTTCTTGTGGTCCGTAGGATGTGAATAAGCCATCGTGCACACCGTTTCGGACTTGTTCGAGTGATGCTGCTATGATCTTTGAGAACCGTTCCTCGTCGCATATCTCGTTCATGTGAGCTTGGTTCGCAATGACAACACGCTCGCCGCCAAGATAGAACTTCCATATTGGACCTGCACTCGTTAGTCATTCTCGTCTCAACTCCATCCACATGGCACGAAGCCAGCAGGACAGTAGACATGCATCTCAACATCATGACTCACCGTATTTTAATGTCAGGTTGCACATGGACTGTATGGGATTCGTTGCATCGATGTCTGCAATGTTGCCAACGATAGGAAGGCCTGGTGGGCCGGGGATTGGCTCAAGTTCCGACATTCTGGTGTAATCGACAACTGTAGAAAGCAACAAGAAAAGCAAAAGGCTAGGGTATATCTTTGCGAGTTTTTGGAGATGTGTGGGTTGGTGGTGGAGGCCGGAGAGACGTTTCTATCTATAATGCTTCAGAAAAACCAACCCATGCCACGTCGTTTGCTTAATGACGCACTGAAACACAGTAAATCCTTTCGCGCGCTCCGAGTGCTACCTCCTTGACGCGTTGGGACCACTTTGGTGCTTGGAGAGGAAGATGCCTCGGTCGATGTCGTGGATTTGAAGCACGGTGATTTGTTGTTGCCGTTTTGGGTAGTCGCCGTGTCGGAGGTTTTCACGTCGGTGCACGGGGGAACTCTGATGTCGGCCGAGCTTGAGGCTGAAGCACATGCAAAGCCACCGAACACACGAGATGCAGTTGGAAACCGAGGAAGAATGAAACTACAAGTGTGATGCTGTTCAGGAAGGGGTGCAGCTTGCGAAAGACAATGCTACGCAATGCGTGCGGAGCAACTTGGCATTAGCTCCATCCCAATTGGCTGTCCTCGTCGAAGCGGTGGCATGATGCATGTCAACCAAACGCTGGCGACTTTGGCGATCATGATCTTCAAACGTGCAGCCATGGGCTTTCAACATTGTGCTTTTCGAGGTCAGTTAACAAAAGCGGGGTTTGCATTCTTTGGTATTGGAAACTTGGTCATGCCGTTGGTATCATCATACAGGAATTACCGTGGTCTCGGTCTCTGCCATGCAATTCCTCGCCGTATCCTCCTTCTCTCAGCTGTCACAACGTAGTCGTCGTAGTATTGTTTAAATTACGAAGAGACCTCCAGGTTCCTACATTGTGGAAAGGAAGCAATCATGGCTGCAGATGGTCGCCAACTACATGCGCATCCCGAGCACGGTGAGTGCACCAAGTGCCATGATTGGTATTGACACGGTCCATCTTCCTGCACCAGCCTGCATGTTCTCGAACGGGCTACCGTTGCCATTGGCCGGGGGATCCGTCTCTTCCGACTCCGATGAGGTTGAGGTTGACGACACGCCTGTGGCGCTTGGTGTCGGCGCCGGAGCGGAAGGCTGGGCAGTTGGGCTAGGCGATGAGATCGCGGCCGTTGGTGAGCCACCAGCCACAGTCGATGTAACAATGGTCCCAGTACTGATGCCAGTTGGGTCCATGACTATCGGCACAACTATCTGCAGCGTGTTGCCGTCGCTGTCGATGGTGGTTTTGGTTATAGTTGTGCTGACTGCGCTTGTCAGGTCATCGTCGTCGTCGTCGTCGTCGTCATGGTCATCGCCTTCGCTGGTGCTCGTTGGCTCGGGTGCGGCGGCGGTGTTGGAGGGAGGGGCTTCGCGCGTCGTCGTTGTTGGCTCATATGTACTCGAGACAGCAGCGTATGCATCGTCCACCACCTCTGCGGGTATGGTACAGCCTATCGCATCGCAATACAATTCTAGCGGCCCAAGGACGAGTTCGAGGGCCCAATCGTCGGCATCGCACTTGGAGACGGCGCACGCAACAGCGCTGGGTAGGTACGAGGCGCTGCTTTCGCTCGTCTGGCATATGCCTGAACGGCCATCAGTACAAGTCGCGGCAGAGTGCTCGAGAGGGCAGCTTACATTTTCTATAACCGCAGCCGTCGTCTGTGTTACCCAAGCAATCCCGCCAACATCGCGGCAGGCCCTGTAGCCACCAGTCCCGATGCGCAGCGACACCCAGCGCGAAGACGGGCGCGAACAGCAGCCATTGCCCAATAGACGCGAACATATTCATACAGTCCGCAAGGAGCGACAGTGGTGTTGGTGATGATGAGGCAACGGCGACTGCAGCCTTAAGGAGTCCAGTCGTCTCTAACCTGCTGTTCTGCGCCTACCACCATCACGTCTGTACTTAGGGAGGTCGCATGGCGAGTGGCGCCTGCATCCTTTACTCATCGCCTTCAGCCGGAGCCAACCAGTTTGTGGCATTGATCGTCGCCGTCATCGTGTCTCTTCGCTCGTGTTTCAGCTTCGGGAAACATGCAGGCGAGTCGGGAGTTCGCTGCCCGCCTTCTCACCAGCATTGCACAGGCAACGATCTTGCAAGACTACGCGCAACCGCCAACATACAATAGAACAACAACCACAACACATGGCCGCTAACAATCTATTACAACTATACTAACTACTTTGCGTGCGGAGTGATTACCGTAAAGTTCCCCCATCCTCCGTTCTTTGCGGCGTTTTCGACTGCGGCGTGATGCGCATCGAGGCTGAAGGCGGCAACCTCAGCTCTGTTCTTTTTCCCAATCTTCAAGGTTCCAGCTGTGACCATATTGATAACAAGTTGCGCTGTGGCAGGGTGGTACATCCACTTTCCCATCATGTTCAAGTTCTTGTGCAGCATGGCAAGGTGCGGGAACACGATATCCCCATGCGCGCCACCACTCATCACGACCTTTCCGTTGCCCTTGAGGGCATGCGACGCAGCCGAGAGGTATAATGGTGTCGCGAACTCAGAAGGTGTCCAATCGTTGTAAACGTCAATGCCGGTTTCAGGTGCCAATGCCTTGATCGCGGCGGCATCGCTTTCAAAGTCCCCTGTCATTACGGCGTATTGTAGTCGGTCAGGGCTCCCAAGGGCGAGTTTCATGGCTTCCAGTTTGTGCTTGTTTCTTCCCAATGCGATGACATTCGCCCCAAGAGCCAGCGTGAGTTCAACAGCAGCACCACCAAACGAGCCTCCTGACGGACCGATGGCGATGGTTTCACCCGCCTTGATATTTGCCGCCTCGATGGTCGCACCGGCAGCCACCATGTAAACCACGAGGAGAGTAAGATCCGCCGGATTGTATTTCAACTCGCCCAGGAGACGTTGCTCATTCAGCAAAAAACAGTTCTCCAGCGGCACCTTTTGGAATTGTTGCAACGATCCGTCGCGCCATTCATGCATCAGCTTGCGATGCATCTCCGTATCATCACCCCCGTGATGGCCCTGCATGATGATGACTTTGGGGTCATCTCTTGCGCGAACCGTTGAATCCACGAAGACTAGATCTCCATGCTTCAGCTTAACCGAATCAGAACCCACGGCGTGGACGCGGCCGATAGCACCTGGATTCGGTACGAAAGGTGGTTTGAGGTTGAGCGCAGCGATCTTGCCACTGTGTACGGCGTCCGTGTATGGAGTCAGGAATGAAGCTTCAACACGAATGACCGCCGAACCTTGAGTCACAGTAGGCACAGGAAGGCAAACAACTTCCGGCGGAGAGGAGAAAGAAGAGAGCCAGAGGGCACGGTTTTCCAGCTGTTCGTCCATCTTGCGAGGAGAGTTTGCTTTGTGGTAATGAGGTCCATCTACCGACCCTTGTGCAGGGCCAGAGCAGCAAAGCAGACGGCATCCAGACCTGTCTCACAAGCGCAGGCGTACATTCGACAATATCAACGGATGAAACCTGGGCCAACGACACAGCGTCCTTCCAATTCCGACTCCCACGACAGCCTGTCTCTGTCGCTTTCCCCGAGACCAAAGACGATGTCGCATCAGCTCTTGGCTGTGCACGGAACGCGTCAGTGAAGGTATCTGTACTTGGTCGTGGACATTCCTTCCAAGGCTACGGCTTTGGCACCCCCGGCAATCTTGTCATTGATATGGGCGCGTTCACCGAGCTGAGTTTCGATGATTCGACGAAACAGTTAACCTTCGGAGGTGGATCAAACGTGGGACCTGTAAATAGCCCTAGACAACGCATGAGAAGAAACGGTACTGACTAATACAGACTGCTAAGTACGTTCACGACAACTTTAGGCGTCACTTCCCGCACGTGAGAGGTTCTCATGTCGGCCTGACTGGAAGTTCGTTCGGCGGTGGCTTCGGCACGACTAGCAGACTTCTCGGTATCCCTTCTGACAATCTCGTTTCCGTTGAGTACATGCTGTACAACGGTACCATTGTCAACGCTGGTCCTGGTTCGGATCTCCTTTGGGCAGCTCAGGGCGCTGGTTCGAACTTTGGAGTTGCTCTTTCTGCAACGACTAAGACATTCGAGCTTCCTTACAACGGAGCCGTGAGCTACTCGCTTGCCATCGGTGAAGTGGACAAAGATGCCGCTTCTGCTGCACTTCTAGCGATCCAAAAATGGGTTCTTGATGGTCAGGCGCCAGACACACTCTCCCTGCGCTTTACCTTGTCCAACTTCGCATCTGCCGGTTTCTTCTATGGACCGGAAGCAGAGTTTGACTCCGCCATTGCGCCACTTGTCGAGTCTCTCCAATCAATTAGCCCGGCTATCAACCTGACAAAGACTATCATCCCAACGTTCTGGGATTCGGAGGTAGCAGCAGCTGGTAGTGGCATGAACTTGCCAACTGGAGGCACGCTCGGTGGTCGCGCTTCGCTCGTTCAGTCGTGGACCACGACCAACCAACACCCGTTCACCTTGACGCAAGCAAAAGCATTGCTGAATGGATATCGTACACTTAACCGGACCGATATCACCGGTTCTGGGTTCATCGACCTGTGGGGCGGAGTCAGCCGTGACATCACTGACAGCGCTCATGCATTCGCGCACGGCAACAACCTCTGGCTGGTCCGTGTTGATGGCGTTGGAGCTCGTGGTGTCTGGCCAAGCGATGGCGTTGCATACATGCAGAATCTTTTTAAGCCGTTTGAGGATACTTTAAAGAAGTCGGCCCCGCTCCGCAGTTTTGTGAACTACGTGAACTCGGAACTCAGCGTAAAGGAGTGGAGCTCTAGGCTGTACGGTGCCAACTACGCAAGGCTTCGGAAGATCAAGGCTGTCGTTGACCCTACAGGTCTCTTCTCTGGATTCGGCCTCGCAATCTAAACTACAAAATCCGGACGTTCTTAGATAGCATAAGGAGCGACACAGCATAAGAGGCTTTTCGGTGAAGGTTCAAGGATATCAAATTTAAATTTCTCATCCACGACTACTATGCTTCAGCAACTTCAAACCCTGCCACTTGTCCAACCTCTCCAAAAACTCATTCTCTTACGCTAGAATCCCTACAGTCTAGGTCTAGTTCTCCGCTAGCTTCCCGGTGACGTTCGTAGTGTTCCACCAGCTGTTCGCAAACGGGTACAGCGTGTTCTCCACTATAGTTTAATACCCGAGAGGACGACCTTAGGGTCATTCTTAGCATCTAGATCTAATGGTCGTTATCGGCCCTAAGACAGACTAGAAAGAGTGGCTGTAGAGGAGGAATATCATCTGTGCGAAAACTAGCATCTGTCACGGAGGGTTTGCGAGAATGCACTCCTACTTCATAAACTTGCTCACGGCTGCTGTAATGATTGACAACATCGAAGTAGCCACACATAACAACATGCTCGCTGGTGGCCAACTCTATACTAATGCGCTAGCACTCAAATTAGCAACCAACCAGGCCGCGCGGCTCCTACAGCTCGTGTGATGATGTCTAGAGCAGAGCGCAGCCTGGCGGAGTTCGATGCGTTCGTCGACGAGCAGGTTGACTCTGCAAGGCGCGAGTGCGTCCGCCTGGACAACATATCGAGAGCGATCCATTTGGATAAGCAGATGAGCGCTCGTGCCTTGAGGTGGGCGGAAACCTACCAGAGGGGATACCTGGAGCAGATGAAGGCTCGGTTCTTCGGTGGCCAGAACGACCTGCCTAACGGCACGATACCGTTGGTCGCCCGCTCGAATGTCGACAGCTCCGAGTTCTACAAGTCCTTGATTAGCAACAAGGATGTCCTATTCGCGGTATATGCTCATGTTGAGTACTGCAACCATTTCCCGTAACTCATTTTACAATCTCGATGAACTAAAGCCAACTATATATAGGCCAAACATCGACCTAGGAATTGTGAAAGCGCTCTTAGTCACTCGCGTCACCGTGATAAGCCGCGCCATGCTATGAGATATTATCTCTCCCCAGCTTCGTACAAGGTTAGTATCTTCACTAGATGACGCATTCATCCGAGCATCGGTCTCCTTAGTCCCAGACACCTTCCCATTGTGCTCCGTTATCGAAGGACTAGATGCCACCGCCAACTTCCCCCTCACCGTTTTTGGAGGCACAGAGATCATCAAGATATCTCTCGATGTCCGGCACGTGCGTAGAAAGAGGTGCAAGGGGCAAGTTTGGGAAAATATCCGCGAGCACAGGGACATCGAGTTCGATGAGCACGGCGACGACGAAGTAGCGCGTTGATCGCGTTGATGTGGTGATGATTTGCACAAGCTTCGTTTGAGGTTTATTGGAGCATCACTGGGGATACGATGGAAGCACATTCTTGAACTCATTTCGTGCATGGGCTCCGTAAGCGCTCCCCTGTTGCAACCTCTGCTCTTACGGCTTTGGTTTAATCTTCAGAACAATCCTACCAAAGTCCTCGTCTGCCTCAAAGGTATCCTTTAAAGCAGCAAGTTCATCCACATCCCAGTTACTCAGGATGAATCTGCCGTTCAGAAACGCTGCCGCTGGGCTCGCCAACCATGTCGCCAATCCTGCCGGTAGACTCACGTCATCCCATGCGTATGAGTCCTCGTCCAGCCCTCCTACGCGCGTCGCATCCGTCAAGATACCGCCCGGATGATACGAGTGAATGCGTAGTCCGGTACGTGCATATTCGGCCCCGATGTGTCTTACGAAGTGGGTGAAGGCTAGCTTGCTAGCGCCGTACATCGCCTGCATAGGGTAGCGCTCGTAACTTGAGTGTGTCGAGATGTCGAGAATTATTTTTCTAGTCTTGGACTCCGGGCTCTTCGGATCGATGGTCGATAGGAAAGCTCGAACAACGTTTATATTTCCGATGACGTTGGTGCCAAAGGCATCGTAAAGCTGTTTTGTGCTGTATTGCATGGCCGGAACACCTATCATCATAGTTGCGGCGCTGAGCACCACGACATCGATATCCGCACTAAGGCGATCTCGAACCTCGGCGAAGACCTTGTTCACAGCATCCTCGTTGGATATGTCAAGTGGGAAAGTCAAGACTTTAGTTGAAGGCAGCTCTGCAGCCAGCTGAGCAGCCTTCTCCTTGAGTGTCTCAACACGCCGTGCGACAATTATGATGGCCTTAGCACCAGCGATAGCAAAAGCACGAGCGGTTGCGAAGCCAATTCCGCTTCCGCCTCCTGTCACGAAGACGATCTTGTCCGCTGCCGAATTTGCCGTGTTATTGGGGGCAATTGTTGGGTACTGGTTTTTCTATGTGAGCAAATTCGTCTCATTTGAAGGTAAAATATCCTTTACCTCTGTCTTGTGTGTGGTCTTCACCATTTGCTTGAGCGTAGGGAATTCGTCCATCTTGCTTGAGTGAGAAGTGCTGTCTACTTATACTCGAATTTACGGTCTAACAAATGCAGTTGAGAGCAGGGGAGCTTTAGACATTCAAGCTGTGCCTTTTAAACTGGATGTTATCATGATAATTTATCGTAATTCTGACAATCTGGGTGATTTCTCTCTCGAAGGGAAGTATTTGTCAGCGAACTGCCTGCTTCGTCAGCCAACATCTTTGTCCACTTGTAGGTTCGTACAACCAGGGTATTGCTTGGACTTTAGACGGTTGCTGTCGAACATAACCCGCTACAATCTTAGTACAATTCAGCGCACTGCAGGGTAGGGAAATATATTCTACTGGAACTGCGGTCCTAGAGCTCGACTTACTAAACTATGCTGCGCCTTTAATGCTAGTGTGAGCCGACGTACAGCACTACAGAGCTAGTTAGATACAAGTCAATTCACATACATGGTGCTCGAGCACTCTTGAGGCTAACTGCGACGCGGCGTGGCACTACATTACTTAATAAAGGATAGATAGGATGTTTCATTGTGACTGAGTGTACTGTAGATTAGATTGTACCTTCCTTACACATTGATGGAAATTGAACTGCTGGTCGCGCTTTACGTATGCGGGCTTCTCTGTCGGCCATCTGCCCTCAATGGAGAATGGCGGGTACCCGTCCTCCCTTCGATGGATGTCAGCGATTCGCTTAATCGGCGCGGGCGGGGGTGCGGTTGGCATTAGGGCAGTGCGCATCTTCGATATGAGCTTCTCAAGGCTAACTGCCCGGCTGCAGCCACCTTGAGTAGCGACTTCGACGGCGAAACAGTTTCCGATAACTCTTAGAATACATTCAGTGCTACACGATCGATGGGTTTGAAGAGTACGAGATGCTAGCGCGATTTTCTTCATCTATCTTCCGCTAATCAACGATAGCAACACCTTCTATCTAAAAATCTTACTGCCAGTCATGTTATGGATCCTGACGTTTAGGTCGTCCAGACAGAACGCAAAGTCCACTCTGCTGTCCTCCTTTACAGCAATGTCGACAGCGGTGAGGTCGTGGAGGGGGAATCCGTACTTTTCGAACTCAACGTGGGCAACGGCGTGGTGGCCATGACCATGAAAAACCTGATCTACATATATGGCCTCGGTCTTGCCGTTTCGAACTTGCCAGAACTTGTACTCGATGAGCACGTAGTCTGAGGAGCGCCTTTGACGTGGCTTGATGGAGAGGGACACGATATCAAACATGAGGGACGAATTTCCGTCGATAGACCGCGGTGCTTCGATTTTGATCTGGGGGAACTGGCCGTTGGGAAAAAACGAGCTGACTAAGGTGTTTGGGTGCGATGTTGCACAGTCCTTGTCCTCAATATCGAGAACGCTGCTTTCGGAGACATTAACAACTGTCAGTCCTTCGAAGAGAAGGCCGTTGTATAGTCCAATGGCCGCTTGTCCGTCGGTTGTCGGGATGTTATCAAACTAGCCTATTAGCGTGTTGTTGTTGCATCTAACGTTCCACATACATTTAACACGATGGATTGGTCATCCTTTGTTAAAAGATGAGTCCTCCAGTCGAGGCGTTCGGCCGCGAGACGATCTGCTTTGAGTAGCAACTGCGAGTTTGGACTGATGCTATAACAGCGGGCAAGTCCCACGCAAGTTGAGATAAGCCATACTGCCACTAGTGTTGCGTACATAGTGGTATCGCTATTAGAGGAAATATCCTTCGATGATTTCAGACAGTGTTGTTGTGTGCGCTCAAGGCTACGACGATTCTAGTAAGAAGAAGCGATTGCAGCCTACGGATTATCTATATTCTATATGCAATGCGGCACAGCCCAACCGCTAGCCCAGGTAACAACTCCTTCATCCATATAGGCTCGCGATACGAGGTGTGCGGGGTAGCTCTGGAGCTGCATGTGCTTACGTGAAGCGAGATTTCACAGCACGTAGCCTCCAATATGCATGTACAATCATGTTGGGAGAATATCTACACCAACGCAGCGCAGAAAAAACATAGCTCATGCAGGTCTTCTGCTGTACTTCGAAGCATTTGTGTTCGTTATCAAGCGTTCAATCGCTGCGTTTGGTTGGATGCTCAACAGGCCACGGAGTGGGAAGCGTGGGCACCTACTCATCGTCCTGTCCTTCCATCTAATCCGCCGAGCCGACTGACATACGCCAAGAATAGCCACCCACGATAACAGGCTAAACATAGTGGTCGATTACGCCTGCGCTGCATTCAACGGCGCTGTATGTGGTCGCAGCATTAGCGATATTTCTCCGCACACAAACGCCAACCTTAATCAACTTCAACCTTGGCCTTTTAATGAAAGCATAAGCTTAGTTTGTAGTAGAAGTAGATGTTAAACACAACTAATACTAACTTTTAAATAGGAACACAATTGGGATACAAATTAATCAGCATGTCCTGCATGATAACTGCTTTATAATTCGGTTATATCCCCCATTATGAGGGGTAAGTAATGTACTAGAGTATTGTAGAAGGTATTAGCGTCTACATGTACAGCAAGCTGTCTAGCAGACCAATGCGCACCTCCCGCACGTGCGTCGCCTCACTCACTGCCAATTGCTTTACGGAAAGATTGCGTCCCATGCGCTCAAGTCAGCCATTGACATGCAGCCAACAATCCATCACTACTGCATCGGTATATTAAAACCGTTTCGATGTGATATGATGAAGCCGTTATTGATGGGCGCTGGCCTGGTTTGAACGTGGTTGCTTGTTGGCGTATCGTGCTAGCCTTGCCGCTTGGCACAAGATGTCTCATGGCAAGACCACCTCCAGTGCCCGTGAAAGCCTGGAACGGGATACCGATATGCAATTCTGGTTATATCGCTTGTACCTCTGGGGATTGGCTGCAGCACCACACCGTCCCGCCATCTTCACGAGTGCTGGAAGCAACATGAGCACCAATCCAGCGCGAAGATTTAGCGATGCAACTTCACGAGTTAGTGGCGACGGCACTGACCAACCATGAGAGATAAGGTGATCTGTACCTCGCATGATAGGCTTCGTATGCCAAACGATGTTTTTAAACTGAATTCAGGCGACTTCGCCTAGCTTGAGCAGTTCGTATTATGGGTAGCAACTTCCGTGATCTGTAGCGTTGTGAAGTCGCTGGCGGTGATCTGTCTTAAACTATGTGAAATCTTTTCGTTGTCTCAGTAATGTGACTTTAGAATCGGAGCAAGCCGGTGGCGATGTGCGACGGACAGTGTAAGGTCACCCTCGACAGCGCACCAATCTCTCCGTCTTAGTCTAACGCAGAACTGAGGTGTGAGTTGACATAAGACCGATTGGACCAACCGGGCCAACTGGCAAATGTGATCATGTCATTATTGGTGATAGCGCGTCTCTATCTCATCGTGTCAGCAATGGGCCGCCGCCTGCATAGTCCATCTCTCTGGATATCTGAGGTCTCTCGGCCGGCTCCGTCGTATTTGAACGAAGAGGAATGAACTCTCTCCCCTACTCGCGCAGTCTGCAGGTGTCGTTGATCGACAGCTTCCCCAGAGCAGCTTAATACCTCGTCCAGCGGCCCTGTGTCTACGCTGGCCAGGATCAGAGAATCAAGAGGGTTTGAGGGCTAATTCAGTATCTTCGCATGCTGAATTCAACGTGAAATCTATGCTTCAGCGATCGAAGCTTTCCGTTGTGCTTTCATTGGTGATATCCACCTCCAGATCATCAGACTGGCTCACGGCTGTGCCAATCAGCCATCAGGTCCAGAGAGAGGGTCGCGACTTCTAAACCACGCCTCCTTGTCACGTCCTCCCAAGTGCAGTTGGGGAATGTTGCCCAGGCCTGCGTTGTGGTGTCGAATCGAGGTATGATTCCGTTATCGCTGATTGCTGCTGTATAAACCGATGGCCCGTATAACCCGCAGCGCGATAGCCGTATGGTTCGCATAACCTTTCGAGTAGTATCAGCGCCGCTAGTTGACGTCTTTGAGTTGGTGCGAGAAGATCATGAGCTATCGCGCCAGTTCTCTTTAGCTTCTTGAGTTTGTAGAGCTGTCAAAAAGCTCATGCCCGTAAGTCATTCTGCATGTCGCAGCGACTTGCTAGACATCGCATCACACTCGCATCTGTCTTAGTTTGCTTGTGCGAGCAGTTCTGCCCGGCAATCGTTCTAGCATTCCTGGCAGGGGGTGTTGGAACGACTGTTCGTCTAGCATCATGCATACAGGTAACCGTTATCTCGCATCGATTCGTGAGGCCCAAAGCTCTTCGTTGTGAAAACGATACTCACGGTCATGTAATGCTTCCGTGGCATGTAAAGTCGATCGTCAAACCTCGCGAAAACATCGTTGCGCGCGATATGCATCTCTGGAAGGTCGCGAACGCAAAGGGCGATCGGAACGTTCCGAGTTCCGAGAAACACCAAAACCTGTGGCCGAACCAGTAGCGTGCAACGCGCGCTCGCTTTTCCAAGGTTCCATCCAATTCGCAAGGCTCTACGACCAGATCGAGCTCGAGCCAACCGCGGCGACAACCCCTCTTCCTTTTCTCACGACGCGACAACCCCAACGATGCAACAGCGGCGAGAACGTCGTTCCGAGACCTGAAGCGGCTACGAGCCAGTTAGTTCGCTGATATTACACGTGTCCACGTGCTTACGCGTCGGGTCGTGGGCCCGGAGCCTCCCAAGGTCATGTTCATTCCACGGACACCTGCTGAAGAATTGGAGCGCACGCTCGAAGTTGGTCCGCCAGATCCACCTAGGCACTCAGGCTCGCACCTACAACGTCGTCTTTCCCTAGTCCAGCGCGCGCGTCGCTACTCAAACAACTCCATCTCCCCGTTCTTGACTCGAGTCTCAAGCAATCGCAGCCGCTGCTACAGCGAATCGCACGCACGCACGCACGCTCACCGTCCTCACACCGCAACCCCAAGGTTCCCACTGTCAACGATGAAGACTGAACCCTCAACCTTTTTTGGCGCCTGCGCGGGTTCTGCGACGGATGGGAAGACAGCGACTCAGATTATGAAGACAAAGTCCTCCCCTCAGGTGGCGATACCAGCGTCGTCGAGGACCCCAACCCAGAGCCATACCCATGGCGCCGCAACACCCTGCGCAAGCGACTCACAAACGGCTTCCAGGGCTCCGGCGGTTTCCTGATTGGCAACTCACTCGGCGTCGAAAGACACCGCACAACCGCCGCTACCACCACGTCGCACCCCACACTTCCCCTCCTCCCCAAAGATAAGCCAACACATATCCTCGCCCCGCATCCTGCTCGATTCCACAATGCCTCTCCGATCTTCCAGCAGCGGAATTTGCAAGTGTGGATCCCAGCCTAGTCTCCGCTCCCCAGCCTCCTTCGACCGCTCCGGTATGAGTCGGCGCCAGTCTTGGCGTAAGGGTCGTGCGATCCTGAGGTTAAAGGGCTACCAGGTGCAACACATTGGGGTCAGCGGGATCAAGGACTGGCTAAAGGAGCACACGGCGGAGAATCGGAGGAACAAGATCCGCAAGAGCACTAGGAGCAGGTATTACGTCGAGCCAGAATAATGGTGGCGACTTGAGGACCCTCGTCATGTTAGGGCCCACTGGGACTTCGTACGCTACCACACGTCTTACCTAACGACAACACCTGCCCCAGATTGAGGCTCTGCGCTACCATGTGTACCTTGCACATTTTACCTAACGACAATACCTGTCCCCAGACTGAAGCTCCGCATCCTCCGACTCTTTACATAACAGCAAATCTTCCCCAGGTCGCGACCGCAGCACTGGGTCAGCCCAGGCGTCAGCCACGCCTCCGCCATGCTTCACTATGCTTCCAGAAGCCGTGCTCATTGGAGCTGACTGCGTAGCTGCCTGTCCTTTGACTCGGGGAGGCAGTTGAGTGTGGAGAAGGTCTGTTCTCCACCTGCATTCCTCCGGAGTCCTCCTCCCTCCGATACCCTCGCATCGAGCATATACGCTCGGACGCCTATCTCTATGTTCCGCAAATTGCTCCGCGTCTTGTACGCCCATCGCAATTAATTCCTAGCGCTTTGTACCACCATGTAATGACTTACGGCATTGCGGCATACCATATCATGTACTGCTCCAGCACACGACTATGTTCGAATTGTTTACGATTTTGATACCACCATGTAGCGATACTGCGTCGCATGAAAGCGCTTAAGGTCCTGATATTCGAACTACAAGCTTCTAAAGCGTACTTGTATACCATTGCAGCTTGTCGTAACAGAGAAAAAATGTTACTATGATCATCAATTCATGTGCTATCTCCACGCGACTCCAACCTCCTATATATGCGCATCCTATCTCTGCTCTCTCTACGCGCACCCATGTATATCATCAATATTGACAAAATTCATCTGAAAACACGACAAGAATGACGTATTCCCGTTATTTCGCTATCTCAGAAGGCATTGTTGAACGGATCTGAACGGACCCTCGTCCCACAACGTAAGCCCAGAAATCCACAAAAGATAAGCGTCTATTTCACTTGCTCCGAACTGCTTGGTCCCTATTCCGGTCCTGGCTCTCGTGCTTATCGTCGCACGCAGCTGTGGTGGACGGTCTTGTGGTGAAGCTTGCGCACGCCACATGGGTATGCCAACACCTCCTGTGCTCCCCCAGAGTGCTCTCGAACGCGCTCAACCTGCAATCCGCGGGCGCTTAGTACTGGCGACATTCGACGATGCAAAAAATGGAGTTGATTTACCGTGTTGGGCCTAGTCCGGCAAAACCTCGCTGTACCTGCACCAAAATTTTGCGGCTCAATGCGGCTCCAGACCCCCTTGTCTCGGTCTTTCGCGGCTCCAGGCTCATTCGCCAGCGTGAGCATCAACCACCGGTGTCCACCACCGCGAGGGGACCTACGTACCTGGGGAAACAATGGGCGCGCCGTGGGCGACCTCCACATCGTTCCTGGGTCTGTGCCAGCCGATGTCGGTCGGGCCGACGATTTCTGCATAAAGACCGTACCGTCGCCCTTCGAGGCACTACTTATCCTCGCGTGCCATCTCTTATTGATACCCCGGATCAGACATCAAAGCAATATGGGCTTCTCAAACGACAAGAGGGGCGACGACATCGAGTACGGCAGCCAGCTCAAGGCTGAGGACACCAACGCGCAGGGTCAGACCGATGCGGTCTTCGGTGAGGTCGTCGAGGGAGGACCCAACTACCGCAGCGTATGTTTCTATATTGTAATTATTCCCTAACGCATATTGACGCCCAGCAGGTCAGCTGGTGGGGGTCGTCCATCATCATGATGAAGACACAGATCGGTCTCGGTGTGCTGTCTATTCCCGCTGCGTTCGATGCCCTGGGCCTCATTCCGGGCATCATCTCGCTACTTGCCATTGGATTGATCACGCTGTGGTCTGGCTACATGGTCGGCACATTCAAGATGCGTCACCCCGAGACGTACGGCATCGAGGATGTGGGGCAGAAGCTGTTCGGGCGTGCAGGCCGCGAGGTGCTCGGTCTGGCGTTCGCTTTGTGTGGGTCCTTACCTTATGGAAACATGGTTCTCCAGAACCCCAGAGTTGAGAATGTGGACTGACGAAAATAGTGTGGACGTGCGTCGCTGGCTCCGGTATGCTGGGTATCTCTATCGGATTGAACTCGTTGTCTGAACATGGCACGTGTACTGCTGTCTTCGTGGCTGTAGCCGCCTTTGTGGGCTTCGCACTTGCTTCGATCAAGACCTTGAGCAAGCTCTCTTGGATTGCGTGGATTGGTCTTGCTGGAATCATGTCAGCTAGTGAGTATTCCTGCAATTCTGCACCAAAGAATGTGCCCTGACCACTACAGTCATCACCCTCACCGTCTCAGTCAGCATCCAAGATCGCCCCTCTGCGGCGCCTCAATTCGGCCCCTGGGAGTCTGACTTCGAGCTCTTCAAGTCGCCCACCTTCGCTGAGGCTGCGGCTGCTCTATCCAGCATCGTCTTCGCGTTCTGCGGTATCCCTGCGTACTTCAACGTCGTGTCCGAGATGAAGGACCACAAGGACTACTTCAAGGCCCTGTCGCTGTGCCAGTTCGTCATGACCTCGATCTACGTCGCCATCGGCGTCGTCGTGTACTACTACTGCGGATCGTACGTCGCATCGCCTGCGCTGGGATCTGCAGGTGTCTTGATGAAGAAGGTGTGCTACGGGCTCGCGCTTCCGGGTCTGCTTGCGTCCGTCGTCCTGGTCACTCATGTAAGTTCCACCATCCCTCCTCCCTTTGCTCTTTGCGGACAAGGTACTGACCTCACACAGCTCGTCGCCAAGTACTTCTTCATCCGCACCCTGCGCGGAACAAAGCACCTCAGCCACCCCACCACTAAGCATTGGGTCACCTGGTTCGGCTTCACCGCCGCCGTCTCCCTGACCGCCTACGTCATTGCGTCCGCAATTCCTGTCTTCGGCGGTCTCGTCTCACTCGTGGGCGCCCTTCTGGGCACTCTCATGAGCTTCCAGCCCATGGGCTGCATGTGGCTGTACGACAACTGGCACCGGTCCAACCGCGACTGGAGGTGGAAGGGCATGGTCGCATGGTCCATCTTCGTCATTGTGGCTGGCACGTTCCTCCTCATCGGTGGTACTTATGGTTCGATTGTCGGCATCATCGACTCGTACAACAAGGATGGCGGCACCAAGGCTTGGACGTGCGCGGACAACTCCAACTCGAGTGGTGGTCACTAAGAGTGGCTGTTGGGGTGAGAATTATGATTTGACAGTGCTCTAGTCCTGTTCTTTTAGCGTTGCATATGCATGATTTGAATACAAACATCGTACATTGATCCAGTATGTGCTGTATCCTGAATATTTGAGTGCAGCGATGAGGGAGCTATAGCGGAGATGGTTGTGTAGAAAGACTGACTGGATTGGCGACGGCTGCACGGCTCGTTTCTCTACTCAGGTAGAACATGAGGCCGGGGGGTTGTAAGGTACTCGTCCTGCCTGCTGGCCTGTGCTTGATCTGTCTGGTGCTGCATCCTGCTGGGCTCGCCGTATCAGAATAGGGAGGTCAACAAAGGGCGAGTTGTTCCTGCAAGATTGTTGCGTTGTGTTATTCGTTACTACCTGTGGTTTCGTATAAAAGGTAAGAGGCGGGCGGCTGCTTCTAGAGTACACCGCCAGGATTCGCAACGGTAGTCGCCCGGGCAATTCTCGATTGGCAACATACTGCGACCCGGAGGGCCTTGATCTGTGTGGCATCCGCTTTCGCGGCGCAGTCGGCATTCGTGTCGATCAATCAGCGTTGGGGTAGCTGTGAAGGCAGCAGTCTTCCGTACAATCTACTAAGGCTGTCGCATTTTGAGATCCAGTCGTAATTAACCTAGTTTGGCTGTATATTGGCGAGTAAATGCTGCGGTGGTATAGTCTCAGTGTCTTAGGCGTTGAGAAAAACTGTTGTTGTGTTTGATAGCGGGGTCTATCGTAGAAGGAACGAGGTGCTGAGTTGACGACTTCCTTAAGCATACTGAATACAAGAAGACGTGAGTAAAGCATGAGACTGACAGGGAAGTAATGCATAGAGGATTGGGAAGTAATGGCGCAAAGCCCGATAACTCGCACAAAAACCAAAGCAGACCAAATCGCAGTATAGGTAAAACGCGCGGAGAAAGCAACACAACCTACCCTTAGCCTACCCGGTTGCCTTGAAGCCTAGTACTTATCCTCCGCCTCCGGGTGCAACAGGCTTCTTATCTGCTTACCCTTCTACGCCCTATAGTACTACAATCTGTCCCCGCAGCTTTCCCGCAGGAGAAAGCCGCGGAGAAGTGGGTCTCGCACACCGACTTCGCAGCTTCCCTTTGAAACGACCGGACGTGTACTCAAGTTTGCGAACAGCACCTTGAAACGGTTGTATTAACCTCTCTTGGACTCTAGAATTACCTAGGCTGACTACTAGCATGTGCGCCAAAGCATGCTCCGCAGGTACCCACGGCCGCTGCACGCACGATACCTGTGTGCATACGCATTGCGAGCACAGACACGGTATGAGGTGAATCTCGGTGATGACCTACCACTCTTCCGGCAGACGCGAAGCTACGCGCACGACCCCGAGATCCTCAGAACCATCACCTCCACCAACACGACATGCACCGAGAAAATGACATTTTGGAACCCACCATAACAGCAACCAGAACAATTATGCTAGTAATCGCAACGGTCTTTACATGTCATCGCGCCTTTCCGTGTCAATTCTGTACCTGTAGAGCTACCGTTGTGGCTGCAGTAGGGACCGATTGACAAAATCTGCGAGCAAGCTACACAATGTGACACGTCCATTGAACGCAGCAGCAGCCATCTAGTCACGACACACCAACCCAAGATGCGACAACAGAGCCCGGACGCCCTTTAAGCATAACAATTACAACACATACAGTACAGTCACTAATGGGTTTCCTGAGCTGCCCATCGCCAACTGACAATGTTTTCGACGTTCCACATCGATGAGCCCTCGGGCTGAACAGCATCATCTCTTACGCGAATCGATTCACTGACACCCGAAAGGGTGTGAGGAGATTTTCACGGCGCTCTCATGCTCAGCAGACTCAACGGCACGACGAACGGAGCATCGCTCTCGTGGAGCTGCGTCACGACGAAATGCTGCTGCCGTTGCGCTTGGCGGCAGGCCACACCACAAAATATGGCCACATACGGTATACTTCCTGCGCACCCCGCCAACGTCGCGAGTACAGTCTTTGAAGTTCGATATCACCACTATCACCCATAATGGATGCCCGCGAGGCTGCAATACAATCTGTTATTGCTGATCTTGAATCTGGAGTTGTTTCAAGCCAGCGAAAAGCTTCTAGAGCGTACGGCATCTCATAATCGACACTGCGCGCACGACGCGCTGGTCACCACCAAGCCTACGCGATCGCTCACCAGCACCAGCAGCGGTTGACGCCGGAGCAAGAGGACTTTCTTGTTGATTGGATTATGATGAGGATACCGGCGCTCAACCTCCATCTCATGGATGTGTTTGTGAGATGGTACTCCGGATCCTGCGCATGAATGGCGATCACAAGTTTCTCGACCGTCTCTGGGTCACAAACTTCCTCCGTCGCGATCCAAGTGTTGTGAAGGAAGTAAGAGGGTACACAGACGGTTGAAGCGCGTTCTTTGCCCATAAGGAGAGCTGAACAAGAGTGGTACATTCTTTGCCGTTAGGGGTTTTGGTCTCGATGGAAATGTATATTGGCCAGAGGCGAACGCGTTTGTAGGAAGTGTGGCTGATGCTGGTGACGCTGTTTCTCGTATCTGCAAGCACTTGATTGATGGCGATGAGGACGAAGTCAACGAGTTTAGATTCGGCATTAATGTCGCGGACCTTGGGAACAAGTATGGCGTCCAATTGTAGCGCAGTAATGTTTTCTTGCTGGATGCCAGGAAGGTTTTTGGTTACCTGGCGCAACACCACAGCAAAGAAGGTAGGGTAGAGTAGGTCAGGCTAGCAGAAATTCAAACGCAGCCTTTAGAATCTTAAACAGCCTATGAGTCATGTTTTAGATCTGGCAGAATGGGTGCAGGGCGTCGCCAGCCACGATGGAAATGCAAAGACTCGCAGTCGTCGCTCCCGCCCGCGCTATAAATGCGCTCCAACCTGAACTGCGACGAAGCCGTGGCATCGTTTCTCTGCCGCCTTTGCAACGTTGGAGTGGACGTCAGAGACAGGAGGCTGAAGTTGGGAGTCTCAATATGTTGTCCGAGCAACAAGGTGCTGTTGAAGCAGGTACAGGTCGGATACTGAAGGAACAAGAGCAGCTGGTTCAAGACGTAGAACTCGAGTTTTAACTTGATGCTGTAGACGACGGTCTTGTAGGTCGTCTGGATATCAAAGTTGTTGGTGAATTCGGTGACGACAAGGCTGGCGTCCAGTGCGACAACGAGGACGTTGACAAGAATCAAGTGCCGAATCATTTTTTTCCCTTGCGGCCCCCTGGATTCGAGAACGTGGTTGAGAATGCGGGAGGCCTCCCAGATATAAATACCGGCAATGATGCACTCCTGGATGGAGAAGCCGACGAGTTGGGTCTTTTCGTAGATTTTGAATACGTTGGTGAGTGAGTTCGAGGGGCGAACATTGATGGCGAGATACAATGCCGAAACAGGTAGATGGAGGACGATGAAGTTAGTGCCGATCATGATTAGCACGCAGCGCGTCTTTTTCCGGTCGCTAACCAGATGTAGTCGCGAGTAAAGCACGACGGCCTGGCCGGTCACCATGGCCCACCAACCTAGGACAACAGCTAAAGACATGGCTACGTTCGACACCAGGCCGAACATGCGTACCAGCACAGCGATCGCATGGACGGGGATGCCGATGCATGCGACAAGCATGCTCCAGAAATACAGCCCTTTGCGGCGTTTGAACCGGCCGAAGATGAAGAAGAGGATTTCGATCGAGTTAGACAGGGACATGCCAAAGAAGGCAGCTATCGTCATCGCCCTAGGCAACGATAGATGTACGGGCCCTGACTCGCCCGCCATAGTGTCGGGGTCGAGTAGCAACAGCCGGGGGGTTGAACAGAAAAATATGGCAGGCGAGAGAGCAGTCTCAGATAAGGGGTCCGTTGAGAGAGTGTCGCAAAATGGTAGGATTGAGCTGATCGTTTCGATTTAACGATATGCCTTTGCTCCTATATACCGCTTCAATTCGCGGGTGGGTGCGCACATACAGCCTCCTGCCGCCTGAACTGCCAATCAACGGGTTACGAAGCTCTCTCTGCAACATTTAGACTCGACGATCAGGGTATGCCCTGGTTACACGAGAAGCTTGGCTGGGTCATGATTCAAAGACACCTTTGCCACAATATGAGAGAGAGTTATGGGAGAGCCGTCTCTTCCTGCAGCAGCGTGCATAAAATAGTGGTCGATGATCGACGGACCGATGGCCAAAACCCAGGAGCCCGGAAAGTCCCGTCAAGCTGACGCACGTTCCGAATCGTCCATCCAGTGAGGTACAGATAGTGACGAGGAAGTTTGTAAGCTGAGGTCGGACAATTGATTGGGTACAAAGATAGTTTTCTTCACACGAGTCAACGGATCGCTGATCACTTCCCCGCGCCGCTCTGGCCACAATTTCACCACCCCATAAAATTCCCAACAACGCGGTTTACAAGCAAGCGGAAGCGGGGGGCCACCCCACCAACTTCGCGCACTTCTCATACTTCAATTAACCATGGCTCCACCAAATCAAGTCCAAGACATTTCCTATGAAGCTAATATACAGCTAGCAATCTTAGCTATTAGTTAAGATCGAATCTAGCCTCATAGAGGTGCCGCGCTAGCGTACGAAGTCTCTCGAACAACGCTCGAGTGCTAACGCGCTAGTGTACCTGCCTAACGCGATTGCTAGCCTAACTTAAAGAAATTTTCACAAAGAGAAGAGAAGGCAATTATTAGATAACGTACCTCACGGGTGCATCGGTCACACGGGTGCGTCGGTCACTTTTGCCAAGCCCTCATCAAACTACCCTTTCTACAACTATGTCTCCCCAACAACAGTACTCAGACGCGTTAAAAGAAAGTTAGGTACGGCTTGCGCTTCAGGCTATTAAACAGGACGCGAATATGCCTTAGCGACGCGCTGCAGCTTACTACGTTGTCCCTTAAAGCACACTAAGCGACCGACGCGCTGGGCGACGCTCACGAGCAGACTACAGGCCTCACTCACGGAATCTAGACGACAACGAAGATAAGGTGATTGTCCAGCATACACTTGAGCTAGTCGCGCGAGGATTCCCCCTATGGCTCGTAGCTGTGGCTGATATGGCCAATTCTTTGCGCGCTGAGCGGAATCTGGGCCATGTTGGCCTAAAATGGCCCAGTACGTTCGTAAAGCGCTAACCAGAGCTTACAGTTAAGTTCAATCGCAAGTACGACTACAAGAGAGCCCTCTGCGAGGATGCTGAGGTGATCCAGGGCTGGTTCGGCCTAGTAGCCAACATCAAAGCTAAGTATGGTATTCTAGATAACGACACCTACGACTTCGATGAGGCTAGCTATATGATGGGCGTTATATCAACAGGAGCAGTTGTTACAGCTTCCGAGCGACGAGAACGGCCAAAAGCAGTCCAGCCAGGCAACCGGGAGTGGACAACAGTCATACAGGGCATTAATGCCAAAGGGTGGGCCATTCCGCCCTTCATCATCTTCAAGGCCTACTATCACCTTTCTGTTTGATACAAAGAGGAAGCTCTGCCTTAGGATTGGGTAATTGGGGTCTCTGACAACGGCTGGACTACTAACAAGCTTAGTCTGGACTGGTTAAAGCACTTTGACGCGCATACAAAAGGGCGTACTGTTAGCTCACACCGTCTGCTAGTTATTAATGGCCACGAGAGCCACGCCTCGCTGCATTTCCAGCAATACTGCAAGGACAACAAGATTATCACTATCTGTATGCCTGCTCACTCATCGCATCTCCTACAGCCACTTGATGTGGGTTGTTTTGCCTCTTTGAAGAAGGCGTACGGGCGCGAGGCCGAAAACCTCATTCGCAACCGGATCACCCACATAACGAAGACTGAGTTTCTACTATGCTTTATAGCAGCCTTTCAGGCTGCATTTACTCCTAGCAATATCCAAGGAGGGTTCCGAGGCGCTGGACTGGTCCCTTTTGACCCAGAACGGGTCATAATGGGCCTTGATGTGAAGTTGCGCACTCCATTCCCACCACTACCTGCTAATGACGCGCCCTGGCAGTCGCAAACCCCAAGCAACACCCTGGAACTTAGGTCGCAGTCGACGCTCGTGAAGACAAGGATTCAGAGGCATACCAATAGCTCACCAACTTCTATGGTTAAGGCGTTTAAGAAGGTCTCAAAGGGGGCAGCAATAATCGCGCACAAGCTAGTGTTGACGCAACAGGAAATCGCTGAGCTTCGAGCTGCAAATGAGGCCGCCACGCGACGTAAATCGCATAAAAGAAAGCGAGTCAAAGCAAAAGGGACCCTAACGGTTGAGGATGGCCTGCAACTAACAACTCTAAAGGAGTTCGGGGCGCGTAGTGATGGGAAGAAGGCAAAGAAGCGAGTGCGCGCTGATGGGGGTGAATCGACGCAAAGGCGCTGCGGACGGTGCAATAGGACTGGACATAACGCGCGAACGGGTAAGCAAGACGTAGAAGTAGTCTCTAAATGATATCCTAGGCCGCACTGCACTATACAGCGCCAAAGTGGGTTGTTTTGGGCCATAATAGGGTTGGTTTTGATGGGGACTTGGCAAAAGTGACCGACGCACTCGTGTGACCGACACACCTGTGAGGTACGTTATCCTTATATAGATATAGTATTATTTAGTTAAGTATTAGTAGTTATAAAGTATTTTTAGTGTCTAATAAGTGTTATATTCAAACGGGCCTTCCTAATACGCTAGGTGAATATACTAGCATTAGTCTTAACAGGGTCGTGATTCTAGTAGGTATAGTCTGTTCTATGATTCTGACGGTCTCATAACACTTTATCATTTCTCTCTCTTCCTTCCGTATTGCCGTTTCAACTTTGTTGGCGATGTGCTCATCCACTGGGGTTGGTGGATTGCGTTGTGAACAGCAGTGTTCTCGGGCAACACGACAGCAAGTCACATACTACCTTCGCAACCCAAACTCCAAGTTTGCGGAGAGGTGCTTATGACGGCAAGGTATCGCAAATACAAAGAACTCGATCAAAACTCTTGTATCGATCTCAACAAAATCGCTGAAGGAAATAGCTAGCCTTGAACAGCGCTTAGATCGCACTTGTGATGGAGCGTGCTCTACGCGTCTATGATGGTTATCTGGCTCATATCTTGGTCAATGACGCATGGGTCGTACGTAGGGATGCGCTATATTGATTTGGTTCGCTGCGAATATGATGTGAGACATTGATACATCGGGACAGACTACCAGATATCGATCGTGAAGACGCTTTGCAAACCCTACTATATAGAGGACGGTAACACGAACGGTAGAAAGATCAAGGTTAGATTCCGCGAGACTACGCTGTCCATGGCGGAGATCAGCGTCAGCGGTGGTGATCGCAGAGGTATCAACGTAGCTTGGCGTCGTTGTAGTGTGGAGGGAGGGCGGTTATGCTTTCTGGGTGGCGGTGCGGTGCTATCGCAGTTTTGATGAGCTTGATCGCTCGCAAAAGTTGTAGGCCCCCCAAGACGGAGGCTGGTGTTCGCATTTGCCCTGTGGCCAGCCAGCCAGGCTCGCTGCAAAAATACCCACGATGCCCCATTGGGAGCGCCCCACTGTATCATTGTCTACGTCTCCTTGCGCTGTCCAAGCTGCGACTGTAGGGAACCGAACTCCAGTGATCGGCAAGACCGTCGTGAAACGAAGCGCCTGAACTGCCGTCGCCTTGTATGTATTCGTCCAGATCAGTTCCTTTCCGTAATAGGCACATCGTGGATGGTTGTCGAGTCACGTTGTGTCATGCCGCGTCGTGCGCTGGTGTAAGCATGAGAAGTTGAAAGAAGATAGGGCCCAGTTCCTTAGGCTGAGGTTAGTTAGCACCGTGCGCTGTCTTTTCGGAGACCTTATGACTGACCATGTACACCCAAGCCGCAAACTCATAGTACCTCATTGGGTATCTTTATGATGCTGTGGCCATCTAAGATGGACGAACAGAGAAGGCGCCGCTAAATATGGCGAGATCATGGCGCAGCGAACCTTCCATCCGATCGATTGCTAGAGCAGATTTACTCTGCAAGTATGATAGCTGAAGCCCTGCACGACAACAGGGGGAAAATAGACTTGCAAACTGTACATGCAAAGGTGAATACATACGCCAAAAAAAAAGGAATCAGGAAACGGAGGCAATGGAGAAAGAGGGGGGCATGAGAGCTCTTCAGATAGAAACGGAGAAGAAAATGCTTCACCAGAAGGAGCTGCTGCTGCAGCAGAGATCACGGGGCGGCAGCGGATCGATGTTCCCGTGGCAGCAGGCCAAGCACTCCTCGAATCTATTGCCACAGTATTCGCTCCTGGTATGTTGGATGTTGCAACAGGAATCGAGAGTATGGTCACATACGATGAGCGTGCTAGATACACAGAGTGCCATGTGACTGTCAATGAGACAGATATCGAAAGCGATGAAGATCAGCTGCAAATGAAACTGTAGAATTCGAGCAGTCAAGATGGAGTATCTGGACGTGGGACTTCGTTGTGAACTTGTGAGCCATTGCTTCCACGACGACATCGTTAACTTCCTGGTAAACATTGTGTTCAACCTGCCACCCACTGAACCGTGTGGTCGCCAGTAAGCGGTAACAGCCCTTGCCTCGAAAGAGAATAGAGAACCTAACCCAATAATTCTTATACCCTTCACCAAGTCCTCCGGAGACGCACTGGACTGGGTCTACGGCTTCGCCTATTGACCTGAGTAGCGTAGGGTAAGTAGATGCCTGCTCTAAAAGCACTGGATACTAACGGCAGAGAAGCAAATCGCAGCTTACTGTTGAGTACTGCCATCGGATCGCGGAGCGATCGTCGGAGACATGCACGTTTTAGTGCACGCCGGCGACACGACAAAGCTACCGAAAGACCGCCGACTAAGTCGAGGCTCCCGGCTTGAGCGACTCACACGCAGATGCGTTTAAGCTCGTTTGTAAACGACTTTACAGCGAGAGAAAGAGCAATCAACTGCTGGTTCTTGCAGTGCCGACAGCGCTAATATTCTCGTGCTATTGTTGGAATAGTTCTTGAGGAGTTTACGGGCGGTATCCTGTAACGATGCGTGGCTCATACCGAGAACGCTACTCCGGAAACGGAACAGTCCTATCTGGTGAAGCCACACAATCAAAGCCGCAAATGCTAGACATCGCCTTCTAGCGTTCGCATTACTGTAATGCTTTACACCTCCTGAGAATACGAGAGTACTGCTGAATATTTAGCGATGTTCAGCAGTAATCGGATCGCGAGGGTCGAAGACAAGTGCGCAATCTTAGCGATCCGATTGGTCGTTCTCGACACACAGGGTGTTTCGTCGCATAGGGATAGACGTCACAGAATACTCCTTCGGGCAGTGCCGGCCGGATCTGGGCGGCTTCCCTTTGGTCTTGGCTGAAGAGATCCTCTTAGCCTTTTCTCAGGTCTGAGAGGGCTCTGCAAGATCCTTGTGTGAGGATTTCGCAGAGCTAATAGTATCGAGCGAGAGTGCTCAGCGTACTGATAATAGCGGATTCTGCAAGCAGACTCGTATTACAGTCCGCTCAAGCTACCTCCTTGTAACTGTCATACTACGGTCTTGGCGTTGCATCAACCTCCGTATTGCACCCGTTCGTAGTCGCCGAAGCCATATTATTCTCACAGTATTGATTAGTTGAACGTGCTGGTGACAAGACGCAGGCAAGCATATAAACGAAGCTAACAACCTTCCCTAACTCTAGAGAAGAACATATTATCTTCTTCCTCTGTTAAACGTAACATTAAGAATGAAGATTGCAATTTTTATCTCAACACTACTAGGCTTCGCGGTTGCTAGCCCATTATTGTCCTCCCAGGATAGCGCACTTAAATTCGAAAAGCGCCAATCTGGTACCATTCACGATGATTGCGGAGATTCACCAGCCTTCTGCGGAGCTGTAAGTGCCCGTTAATTCTGTTAGCTCTTTTTAGTTCTTATTATACGCTGTTAGATCTTATAGCTAACATGTTTTGTACAGGATGTTCAAGTGTATCGCAACCTAAGATGTCCTAGTCTTGTTGTTTGTCCAAACGTAAGTACACTTTTCTTTAGAGGTTACACGAATAGCGTAAACTATCTTATAGAATGCCTAGATAACTAACGTGAATCTAAATTTAGGGGGGGCGGCGCTTTCTGTTTCTAGTCACAAGCTAAGTTAGTCAAGATATGCTTGTCTGTTAGGAGGGGCTCGATCTTTGTGTTTAGATAACTACCACCAAAGCCATACAATCAGACCGTTCCCCAAACAACAAACCAATAAACGTTGCTATACAAACCAGGCCCCGGTCCCGAGATATCTGTGGCCAGGTCAAAGCACCGATACCCGACAACGAAACGAGAAAGTGAAAGTGATGACGGAGATTATCAAGTTTCAGAGCGACTGGAAAAGTGGTTTGCATTGACCAGCAAATCTTCCTGGGCATGTTGATGACTTCGAGTTCGGTCCATGCTGGCTGGATATGCTCCTTCGTTCAATATTTGTTTTCTTCTCATAATCCAGGCAAAGAGGAACCGCACGTGGTTTTCATCTTCACTTTGAGACGCATATAGTAATATGGCCCCATAGCTTTGGTACAATGGTCCGTGAAGCGACCATCATAGCGCAAGCGTCGATATCGACGTCGAACAACGCTTTCGATTACTTTCTACGAATACTAAAATACCACAAAAACGTGATAGACGGCTGTCGCTTCAGCTCCGCCGTATGCGGCATTTTTCTAGTTCACAATATTGAAGAAGGTGTCAAGAATAATGTCGAAGGCGTCCAAGCCGCAGAAGCAACCACAGGACACAGTATGTATTTCAATACTCATTCAATGTTGCCTCCAACTACGGATGAGCTTGTGTATCAGTCCGAAAGCTTGGGCTGGGAAGTCACACCTCTTGCAGCCACCATCCAGAATTGCTGCATTGCTAAAGAGATACTTCACCAGTTGGAATCACCTCAGCCACCGCCAACGTATCCGTAGATCTCGCCGCCCAAAGCGATATTCCTTCTTGTTGCACTTCATGGGACTGCTCTGCGCCTAAGCGGCGAGGCCTCGCTTCATGGGGCTACTCCAGATGCTACGGATGCGGGAAGGCGAGGAGAGATATGCGCGATTCGCGCCCAGAAGCATCAGGTCCTCTTCGGATTCGTCCTGCGCCTTAACACATTTCAGTTCTCTCTCTCAGGATGCTAGGACTGAGTCTTGCAACTCACGTCCTTGTGCTGATCGAGAGTGACCGCCTCAACCCCCTCTTCTTCGCTACCTTGCAGCTCCTCTTCGATCTCCGTGCGCCCCTTATTATCTTCATTATCGGCCTCCTCTTCGCTGCTCCAGCCGTTTTCTGTCTCTTGTATCAGTTGTAACGCAGTCGAGATGGGCATGCAAGCCATATCAGCCCTTGAAGTTGGCTTCATTATAGTCTCTAGACCAGGCACAGCCTCGAGCTCCATGTAGAATGCCCAAACCACCGCAGGCTTGGTATCGGAGAGGTGGTAAATGAAGTCAGGCCTGACGCCATACGCCGTCGCGAATCTATCTAGTCCGCCATCTTCTACCCAATCCTTGTAGGCTTGTAGCTCTCGAATTCGAAGCAAAACTGGTACGGGGACTCCTAGTCGCTGGTATGTTGCGGGATCTTCAGGGTCATACGAAGGCCGAGGCGGCTGTTGCGAAGATGTCATGTTGGAGGCTGTGGGCAGTGTACGTATCGGTGTGTGGGTGTGCGCGTGCGCGTGCGTGTTTGTCTTTGTATGTGGGTGTTCTTGTGTGATACAGTGTCATATATGGCAGGGTTACAGGTAGATCCATGGAGGTAGGAGCACTCACTTGGTTTAGGTTGAGACTTTCCTTCCCGATGTCGAACCGTGGTTCTCTTTCCGGAAGATTCTCAACCCGAACCATAAATTCAGAGCTATCTCAGCGAACCATATCTTCGACGTCTTGGCTTGAAGGAGCTATGCCTACCACCTGGTATGTAAGAGTGTATATATGCTCGGTTCGCTGCATCTAGAATCTCTCGATCTTTCTACACTCTCAACATGCATCTGTTTAAAGAGCAGATAAGCAAAGCGATTTTTATACGAAAAGTCCTTTCGCGGTATGAAACTGTTGCGCATCCGGCTTTCTGGTATCTGTCTCTATCTGTATACTAAAATGCTGTACTATCCTTATTCGAAGCATATTCATACTTCGTCGAACTTGGGGCTCGGCCATTCACGAAGAACCTTACCATCGTCGATTATCATTTCAGCAAGAGACAATCTTGGGTTTCCCCAGAGGCTTAATGCCTGCGCGAAGATCTCCATGACCTCCGCGAAGAGGCGCTCTCTTACATCTCCCGAAGGAGAACGAAGCGACATCATATGTCCGGAGACCACTTTATAACACATCTCTTTGTCTTCCAAACTACCGCCATCGAAGGAAACGTACCGAATTGAGACAGTTTTGTCTGGAGCGGGCTCTTGGAGCCTGAAAGCTCGATGCAATCAAGAGAACATAGTTGCAGAACCAAACTGGCCTTGGCTTTCCATGATTGGTTTTCGGTGCAGAATGAGGATATACCGTCCCTTACGATACAGTTGATCGAGGCAAAGCCTCATCGCCTCTTCATGTGATGCGACTTCGATGGGATTCATCTCTTTCCAAGAGACTTTGCCCGCGGCATTGTTCCAATCCCCTCTTGTCTCTTCAGCCTCTAGCTGAAACGCTTCTCCTCGGCCAGAATCGATGACTACGGCGGAATTGTTTGCGATATTGATCTTGGTAGCATTTCGATGCTTCCCTTTGTATTCGTTGTAGCTGCCGCCGATATGTGATGACTGGTTCGCTGCTATTGCGTACGCAGTGCATAGTCCCGTGCCTCCATTCCAAAGGCACTCAGGTAATGGATCGTCCCAGTCCGGCTTTTTGTCACCGAAGAGCTCTCCACTAGTCTTACCTAGCTGTTTTGATGCCGTCTCCCATCGAGCATCCAGATTGGCTTTCTCGAGAAGTCGATCACATCGCCGCATGTACTCCGCCCGTGCGCCTGAGGTTACGGGGAAGTTCGTGTTGAGGATGTATTTGAGGCTCATCAGATTAGTGTAGTTGGATGCTCCCCAGATTTTTATGGACGCGTGTTTTGCTGCACCGAGGTCGTTCATGGTGGCGAAGTTTGCAGTTTACTAGAGGATTGCACGTTGTTATAGCGGATACGATGCGAAAGTGGCTGTTTTTTTTTGGCGCTGGTCAATCCGTCGGTGGTTGACAAAGAGCAGGTTTACGATACCTGCACAGTAAACAAATACACCGGGTTTCTTCAAAGCTGCAACTACCCACGTTGTACATGCCTAAAGCTACACGTTGTGCATGCCTACAAGCTTACGATTCCACGTTAGACCTCATGTCGACTGATTGACGCCTTCTTGTACCACTTCCAACCGCTTTCCTCAACATCCACTTTCGCGAAGCACTCTCCTCCCAACGGCACATCCAGTTGCACGCAACCTTTCCTAGCATCCTAGAGTTGACTATCGCAACAATAACCTATCTGTAGCTCGTTGCAGCAGCAGCCTACCTAAATAACTCTTAACAAAATTAGGGAGTTCTTCTACATCTTAAGATAGAAGCAACTATAATTAAGAAAATAACTACTACTTCTAAGAAACCTAACAAACGCCAAGTAGTCCCTAACTCTGCTAGTAGTCAAATAGTAGTCCTTTATACTAAAGAGTAGAGAATATATAGCTATAAACACTGGTCCTCTACCTCTACATACGTAGTTAGCGGCGTAAGAACAAAGCTTCCTAGTAGCCTAGTATAGTAGATTGATATCAAATTACACTTCCAGCCCACTGAGGTACCTTCTAGTAGTGAGACGGTTCTTAGACTTATGCGTACTGCAAATGTCCGTTAGAAAACTAGCTGAAAATAGCACGCATTACTGTCGCAAAAGCTATTTGTTAGACTAGATAGCGGGTGAGTCTAACGCTGCTAGCACTGCTATGCTAATGACTTGTGGCGCAAACGTTAAACGCTACAATCATGACCAAATGCAGCCTCTGCACGATAGCACTAACATGGGCATGCGAACGGACAGCGCACTCCTTTATATTCAAAGCCATTCCTACCTCTGTTGAATGCTGCAGTACATGTTGAGCGGCAGATATTCGCCACCTCGTGGTTCAGATGCACATGATCAACGGGCATGTCCTTGCTAATCAGATGCCTCGACTCGCGACTGGATGGAAGATATCCTTGAGAACTGTTCGTTGGCCCAGATGATACATTGTTGACTTGAACATAGTAATGACCAGTTGGAACAGGCGAGGGGAGCTAATCTATCGCAGAGCCGCTACCGCTTAGGTATCAGGGGGAGGCAAAGTGGGTAGACGAGGCTATGGGAAAGTGATGGCGGGCAAGATCATATCCTGGATTCAGACTTTAGAAACGACAGGGTTCGTAGAATCCTCGGTATCCGGCCTCACTGCACTGACATTTGGGCTCTGAGAGAGGATTGTGCACTTGGACCTGACGAGGGCCTCTATTTGGTACCGTGGGGATCGATGTGGGCGCATTATTCATGAAGCGTCAGATGTGGGCATACGGAGCAGCATTTTGTCTTGAAGAGTCTTCCAGACACCGAGGGCAAAAGAAAGAAAGTGAGGGACGGATCGTAGTAGAGATCTGGTAGGGTCGATAGCCATTGAGGCCGCCATACCATCATATAGGTCAGGAGTCAGCACGTAGAGCCCAGTCATACAATAAAGAGTGTCTCGAAGTATAGAGAATACTCTCGAGAATCTTAGTCCGTGTACAAGTCTGACCTTAATTGCGAGGATCGTCCCAGTCGTGCGGGTCGTATCAGTCGTGTCAATCGCGTTAATTGCACCCGTCTCTCACGTCTGTTGCCTTCCTTGCCGTTCGTGTATGCTCGTCTTGGTCTCACCGCATGCATGTCGGCTCATCCAATCATGTGGACTTTTCCGCTGCCAAGGTATTAGCATCCATGTTTGTTGTGTAAAATGTGCAGGCTCAGCAAGTACCCTTTGAGAGGTATTTTAAACATCTATCGTTGTGAGAATGAAAGTGCTAGGTTGCGCGGTTCCAGATGCTCATAGAATAACAAGTCGTAAGGCGTTACATAATTGTTGGAAGGTTACCTCGCCCTCTACTTGAACATGAGCACGGTCGACGGGTCCAGTTAGCCGGAGACGAGCATCCCGAAGCTCTGGTTGCACTTTGCTTCTGAAGGGTGACAGCCGCCGCGACGCTCGTCAAGCACAACCATAACTCTAATATCTGAAGTCTTCTCTCTCAGGTTCTGTCCTGAGCAGCCAGTTCGCGCGCAGCTTCTTTAGTGGTGCGACACTGAGCGACGGGCGCGCTGGGGTGACGATATCTTGTGTGCTTTGGCCGTACCGCGAAGGTGCAATAGCGACATGCAACATCCTGACCGAGCTTTGGTAATCCAAAATATGCGCAAGGCATCTATGGTTTCAAGATGTGGCAACCAGGAAGGTATCGGGCGCGGTACCTGACTTGGGCGACCGTGGTGCGCCGTGTCTAGAGACTTGAGCGCAGCTACTACAACTTATATCAACCATGTGTGAAGGCTTATTGGAAGTTTCCGGGTACGCTGCTAGTTGTACTGACTTTCACTAAGTCGTCACTCGATTGTACAACGCAGTACTACAAGCCCTGAGACCAGCGCGTTGTGGCGAGCCCAGGAACGTTGAGAAAGCAGGTATACCACAGCAAGAAACATGAAGGGCGTCCGCTGTATATTGTAAGAACAACGAATGTGCTCTCGGCCTTCTGTCAATGTCGACATGTACGGACGTGCGTGTCGTTTGCCGTCGTCGCAGGACATACCTCGTACAACGGACCGACTCAAGCCAATCAGCAGCCTAGGATACTTTGGGACCTCCCGGTGGCATCGCATCCATTGGCCGGATATACTCGTGTTGTCAAACACATAGGTCCAGTCAAAGGTTACCCATGAACGTAGTCGGTGTGTCCACTACAGCATCCAATTAGAGCACAAGACCAGAAGTGGCTAAAGGGCTTGAGACGGACGAGCTGCGAGCTCGGCTTTCGGTCTACGGTTGTACGATGTCGCAAAGGGTACTGTACGTGTCGAAGCGCCCATGGGATAATGCGACGTCTCCATGTAGTGTCGATATGTACCAGCATGGAGTATAAGGCCAGTGACCCGTCTGCCGGCGCAAGGCAAAGCATTCCGAGCAGACCATGCTTGTACAACTCAGAAGGCGCCATGTTCCTGGATCTGGTCTATCCGCTTGAAAGTTCGGGGCTTCAGTTATCGATCTTGAGTTGGGGCGGATGTTCTATGCTGTCGAAGGGAACTGCGGGCTTTTTATGCTCAGGAGTCCAACCAGGTCTTCGCCTACGAGCAATGGCGCAATGACCGATACGGCCCTTCTCGAATGGGAGAGCAACGTAGGGCATGTTCGCACGCTTCGGCGCATCTCGGTGTACAATCAGCTATGTTCTTGCCCCTGCCTAATGCGACTCGGCCAAGCCTTGGCGTTCCTTTCACACCTTCCACAAAGACGTGCTGCACCGCAAAGTATATGCCCTACTCATCGCATCATGCTTCACTAAATGCTGCAATTGATAAAGCACGATCCTTTATCTGATGTTAAGATAATCGCTCCATCCTTCGTATGGCGACGTTCCTAACGCGGTAAGATACCCGGCGTATCTTGTGGACTCTAGGAGATTACCGTCTTGCCTAGGCTGTCTCCGATTGCATCCGCCGGCAACGTGTTGCTCCAACCCTTTAATCATCGTGATCACTCAGCGATTGTTTAGCAAACGGGGCTATATTTTATGAGTGTATGGCTTGGTCCTTGAGGTATTGTGCTGACATATTAGATGGCGTCTTGGAAACCTCTCATCACATCTCTTCGATCGTGGATAGCCTGTCGAACAGTGATGAGAGGGACTAATTGAAAGCGTTGCTGCCGCATCTAGACGTTTTCATCATACATTCATAGAATACTTCGTAACGTACTGTATACGCGCTTCAAGTTCCTATTTATCTCCCGACGCGCTGTAATAAACCCCGGGCTCAACTCCCTGTTGCGACGACCGATGAACAGACAGGGCCTCCGCACAATCTTACAATAATGGATGAAAAATGCACGAGGCGCCTTCTGTTGATCTTTTGCGATCAGACATTGCGCGGACGGTCGTTTTGTGAAGGCGGTAGGAAGCTCGGCGGGGCACGACGCATGATGCTCTCATTACCCATGTACATTCTGCTTCAGATATGAAACAAGTTTTTTCCAGATTGCGCACATCTGAATAGCAGCTCGCTACTTTTAGAACTATATGTCGTCGTAGGGGATGTCAAAAGCCATGTTAATTGCGTGCTTTGATGCTGTGCAGGAGAAGGATGACACTTTATGAGGCTCTGTGTGAGTAAACGCGCGAAATCGGCCGGACTGATCACTAATCAACCTGAGGCTGTAGGGCTACTATAAAAGCTGTTGTAACTGGATTATCTAGTAGAATAATGTTTAGACCCATGCGGTGAGTTCCGCTACTAGAGTCTACGTAGCAAGAAGGGGTACTGACGCGTCAGACGAAGCAAGGATCAAGCTTTAAGTGTAACACGGGATAGCAGAGGCTGAACGAGGGGGACGATTATGGCCTCAACATTTGCTTTTCTCGTAATCGCCTTGGCCTCCAAACCTGCTCATAAGCTGCGCCCCGCGCGTTAGCAGAGGGGCAAGAATTATTCTCACGACCTCCCCACCTAGTGTAGTAATACAGAGCTTTCCCCCACTATTCTCTTGTAGTGTAAAGCAAATACTATTGCCTATAACTACCCCTCACAGTATTACGTTTAGTTGATCGTGCTATTCCTAGAACAGCTTCACATCCTATCCTAGGGCGCTAATGACATTCAGCCCTCCATGTAGTTAGGGTATTATTTTAGTTAGTGCTCAGATATCCAGATTCCGGCGTAATTTTAGGTACGTAGGCTCTATAGCGTTACATTTAGAAGCCGGTGTCGTTAGGTTCCCGCAGGCCGATGTGTCACGATGTTCCATCACCACAGGATTCCAGCCACAGACTAGTGAGCCACCAGGAACCCTTCGGGGCACCGTCGGATCACACCAGCCACAATCAC